TCAAGCCACTGCAAGGAAATCCGGCCTCCTTTCAAATTAGGGTTTCTCTCTGTATATTCCCCTTGAGGCAGCAAACTCGGGGTCCCTCCCACATAGCTATTGCTGAGAGAAGCCTCCTCCTGAGGTGCTTCTGGAAAGTTGGCATACGTCTTGAGCCTAAGCCAGGGAATCAGCTCTCATCTCGAGACGATTTGGGGTACACGGAGCATTCCTCGAGTTGCTGTGCTGAAGTTGGTGTTCCTCTAGACTTGGGACAGTGTTCTCGGGGCATCTCTGGAGTTGCCTGAAGGAAGTCGAGCCACCGGTCTTGTTGAATGGGGAACGGGGAATGGCTCTGGACTCAATGCAGGGGAATCGGGCCTCATCTTGAGTTGATTTGATGCACATGGAGCTGCTTTGCGTTGCTGGGGTAACCTCAGGGTCCGTCTAGACTGGTGACAGTGTTCTTGGGGACTGTCTCGAGATCCATTAAGCAAGTCTAAGCTCCTGACTTGTTTGAATGGGATCACGGAATAGCTCTGCATGCACTGCAGGGGAATGGGGCCTCATCTCGCCTCTAGGGGGAAGTCTCATGGTTTTTCTCGAGTTGCGGCGGGGACCTGGGGTATGTTCTCGACTTACGGCGGGGATGGCCCTTCAAAACACGCGTTTCTTCAGTGACGTCAGGACTCCTGTCTAGTAACGAGGGACACCTCAGGAATCTCTTCGAGGCTTGGCAGGGCAAAAGGGACGCTTCTCGAGGTGAGGCAGGCCACCCAAGGACCCTTTCCAGTAGCCACACGGATTTGGGATTCCTATTAGTATTCAAGAGGGGTCAGGCATCGTCACCATTTGAAGAAATGAACTCCGCGTGCCTCTCGAGGTGTCAGCGGGATGTGAGGCATTCCGTAAAAAGGAGGCAGGGACCTAGGGCTTTCTCTTAGGTCTCCACAGGGGATTCAGACATCCCTTCATGTTGTGAGATGAAAGAAGAGCCTGTATTCAAACCACTGCAAGGAAATCCGGCCTCCTTTTAAGTTAGGGCTTCTCGCTGTATATTCGCCTTGAGGCAGCAAACTCGGGGTCCCTCCGAGATACCTATTCCTGAGAGAAGCCTCCTCCTGAGGTGCTTCTGGAAAGTTGGCATACGTCTTGAGACTAAGCCAGGGAATCAGCACTCATCTCGAGACGATTTGGGGTACACGGAGCATTCCTCGAGTTGCTGTGCTGAAGTTGGTGTTCCTCTAGACTTGGGACAGTGTTCTCGGGGCATCTCTGGAGTTGCCTGAAGGAAGTCGAGCCACCGGTCGTGTTGAATGGGGAACGGGGAATGGCTCTGGAGTCAATGCAGGGGAATCAGGCCTCATCTCGAGTTGATTTGGGGCACATAGTTCTCCTTTGCGTTGCTGGGGTGACCTCAGGGTCCGTCTAGACTGGTGACAGTGTTCTTGGGGACTGTCTCGAGACCCATTAAGCAAGTCGAAGCTCCTGAATTGTTTGAATGGGATCACGGAATAGCTCTGCATGCACTACAGAGGAATGGGGCCTCATCTCGCCACTAGGGGGAAGTCTCACGGTTTTTCTCGAGTTGCGGCGGGGACCTGGGGTATGTTCTCGACTTACGGCGGGGATGGCCCTTCAAAACACGAGTTTCTTCATTGACGTCAGGACTCCTGTCTAGTAAAGAGGGACACCTCAGGAATCTCTTCGAGGCTTGGCAGGGCAAAAGGGACGCTTCTCGAGGTGAGGCAGGGAACCCAAGGACCCTTTCCAGAAGCCACAGGGATTTGGGATTCCTATTAGTATTCAAGAGGAGTCAGGCATCATCACCATTTGAAGAAATGAACTCCGCGTGCCTCTCGAGGTGTCAGCGGGGTGTGAGGCATTCCGTCAAAAGGAGGCAGGGACCTAGGGCTTTCTCTAAGGTCTCCACAGGGGATTCAGATATCCCTTCATGTTGTGAGATGAAAGACGAGCTTGTATTCAAGCCACTGCAAGGAAATCCGGCCTCCTTTCAAATTAGGGTTTCTCTCTGTATATTCCCCTTGAGGCAGCAAACTCGGGGTCCCTCCCACATAGCTATTGCTGAGAGAAGCCTCCTCCTGAGGTGCTTCTGGAAAGTTGGCATACGTCTTGAGCCTAAGCCAGGGAATCAGCTCTCATCTCGAGACGATTTGGGGTACACGGAGCATTCCTCGAGTTGCTGTGCTGAAGTTGGTGTTCCTCTAGACTTGGGACAGTGTTCTCGGGGCATCTCTGGAGTTGCCTGAAGGAAGTCGAGCCACCGGTCTTGTTGAATGGGGAACGGGGAATGGCTCTGGAGTCAATGCAGGGGAATCGGGCCTCATCTCGAGTTGATTTGGGGCACATGGAGCTGCTTTGCGTTGCTGGGGTAACCTCAGGATCCGTCTAGACTGGTGACAGTGTTCTTGGGGACTGTCTCGAGATCCATTAAGCAAGTCGAAGCTCCTGACTTGTTTGAATGGGATCACGGAATAGCTCTGCATGCACTGCAGGGGAATGGGGCCTCATCTCGCCTCTAGGGGGAAGTCTCATGGTTTTTCTCGAGTTGCGGCGGGGACCTGCGGTATGTTCTCGACTTACGGCGGGGATGGCCCTTCAAAACACGAGTTTCTTCAGTGACGTCAGGACTCCTGTCTAGTAACGAGGGACACCTCAGGAATCTCTTCGAGGCTTGGCAGGGCAAAAGGGACGCTTCTCGAGGTGAGGCAGGGAACCCAAGGACCCTTTCCAGTAGCCACAGGGATTTGGGATTCCTATTAGTATTCAAGAGGAGTCAGGCATCGTCACCATTTGAAGAAATGAACTCCGCGTGCCTCTCGAGGTGTCAGCGGGATGTGAGGCATTCCGACAAAAGGAGGCAGGGACCTAGGGCTTTCTCTAAGGTCTCCACAGGGGATTCAGACATCCCTTCATGTTGTGAGATGAAAGAAGAGCCTGTATTCAAACCACTGCAAGGAAATCCGGCCTCCTTTTAAGTTAGGGCTTCTCGCTGTATATTCGCCTTGAGGCAGCAAACTCGGGGTCCCTCCGACATACCTATTGCTGAGAGAAGCCTCCTCCTGAGGTGCTTCTGGAAAGTTGGCACACGTCTTGAGACTAAGCCAGGGAATCAGCTCTCATCTCGAGACGATTTGGGGTATACGGAGCATTCCTCGAGTTGCTGTGCTGAAGTTGGTGTTCCTCTAGACTTGGGACAGTGTTCTCGGGGCATCTCTGGAGTTGCCTGAAGGAAGTCGAGCCACCGGTCGTGTTGAATGGGGAACGGGGAATGGCTCTGGAGTCAATGCAGGGGAATCAGGCCTCATCTCGGGTTGATTTGGGGCACATAGTTCTGCTTTGCGTTGCTGGGGTGACCTCAGGGTCCGTCTAGACTGGTGACAGTGTTCTTGGCGACTGTCTCGAGACCCATTAAGCAAGTCGAAGCTCCTGAATTGTTTGAATGTGATCACGGAATAGCTCTGCATGCACTACAGGGGAATGGGGCCTCATCTCGCCACTAGGGGGAAGTCTCATGGTTTTTCTCGAGTTGCGGCGGGGACCTGGGGTATGTTCTCGACTTACGGCGGCGATGGCCCTTCAAAACACGAGTTTCTTCAGTGACGTCAGGACTCCTGCCTAGTAACGAGGGACACCTCAGGAATCTCTTCGAGGCTTGGCAGGGCAAAAGGGACGCTTCTCGAGGTGAGGCAGGGAACCCAAGGACCCTTTCCAGTAGCCACAGAGATTTGGGATTCCTATTAGTATTCAAGAGGAGTCAGGCATCGTCACCATTTGAAGAAATGAACTCCGCGTGCCTCTCGAGGTGTCAGCGGGATGTGAGGCATTCCGACACAATGAGGCAGGGACCTAGGGCTTTCTCTAAGGTCTCCACAGGGGATTCAGACATCCCTTCATGTTGTGAGATGAAAGACGAGCCTGTATTCAAGCCACTGCAAGGAAATCCGGCCTCCTTTCAAGTTAGGGTTTCTCGCTGTATATTCTCCTTGAGGCAACAAATTCGGGGTAACTCCCACATACCTATTGCTGAGAGAAGCCTCCGCCTGAGGTGCTTCTGGAAAGTTGGCATACGTCTTGAGACTAAGCCAGGGAATCAGCTCTCATCTCGAGACGATTTGGGGTACACGGAGCATTCCTCGAGTTGCTGTGCTGAAGTTGGTGTTCCTCTAGACTTGGGACAGTGTTCTCGGGGCATCTCTGGAGTTGCCTGAAGGAAGTCGAGCCACCGGTCTTGTTGAATGGGGAACGGGGAATGGCTCTGGAGTCAATGCAGGGGAATCGGGCCTCATCTCGAGTTGATTTGGGGCACATGGAGCTGCTTTGCGTTGCTGGGGTGACCTCAGGGTCCGTCTAGGCTGGTGACAGTGTTCTTGGGGACTGTCTCGAGATCCATTAAGCAAGTCGAAGCTCCTGACTTGTTTGAATGGGATCACGGAATAGCTCTGCATGCACTGCAGGGGAATGGGGCCTCATCTCGCCCTAGGGGGAAGTCTCATGGTTTTTCTCGTGTTGCGGCGGGGACCTGGGTTATGTTCTCGACTTATGGCGGGGATGGCCCTTCAAAACACGAGTTTCTTCAGTGACGTCAGGATTCCTGTCTAGTAACGAGGGACACCTCAGGAATCTCTTCGAGGCTTGGCAGGGCAAAAGGGAGGCTTCTCGAGGTGAGGCAGGGCACCCAAGGACCCTTTCCAGTAGCCACAGGGATTTGGGATTCCTATTAGTATTCAAGAGGAGTTAGGCATCGTCATCATTTGAAGCAATGAAATTCGCGGGCCTCTCGAGGTGTCAGCGGGATGTGAGGCATTCCGTCAAAAGGAGACAGGGACCTAGGGCTTTCTCTAAGGTCTGCACAGGGGATTCAGACATCCCATCATGTTGTGAGATGAAAGACGAGCCTGTATTCAAGCCACTGCAAGGAAATCCGGCCTCCTTTCAAGTTAGGGCTTCTCGCTGTATATTCGCCTTGAGGCAGCAAACTCGGGGTCCCTCCCACATACCTATTGCTGAGAGAAGCCTCCTCCTGAGGTGTTTCTGGAAAGTTGGCATACGTCTTGAGCCTAAGCCAGGGAATCAGCTCTCATCTCAAGACGATTTGGGGTACACGGAGCATTCCTCGAGTTGCTGTGCTGAAGTTGGTGTTCCTCTAGACTTGGGACAGTGTTCTCGGGGCATGTCTGGAGTTGCCTGAAGGAAGTGGAGCCACCGGTCGTCTTGAATGGGGAACGGGGAATGGCTCTGGAGTCAATGCAGGGGAATCAGGCCTCATCTCGTTTTGATTTGGGGCACATAGTGCTGCTTTGCTTTGCTGGGGTGACCTCAGGGTCCTTCTAGACTGGTGACAGTGTTCTTGGGGACTGTCTCGAGACCCATTAAGCAAGTCAAAGCTCCTGACTTGTTTGAATGGGATCACGGAATAGCTCTGCATGCACTGCAGGGGAATGGGGCCTCATCTCGCCACTAGGGGGAAGTCTCATGGTTTTTCTCGAGTTGCGGCGGGAACCTGGGTTATGTTCTCGACTTACGGCGGGGATGGCCCTTCAAAACACGAGTTTCTCCAGTGACGTCAGGACTCCTGTCTAGTAACGAGGGACACCTCAGGAATCTCTTCGAGGCTTGGCAGGGCAAAAGGGACGCTTCTCGAGGTGAGGCAGGGCACCCAAGAACCCTTTCCAGTAGCCACAGGGATTTTGGGATTCCTATCAGTATTCAAGAGGAGTCAGGCATCGTTCCCTTTTGAAGCAATGAACTCCACGTGCCTCTCGAGGTGTCAGCGGGATGTGAGGCATTCCGTCAAAAGGAGGCAGGGACCTAGGGCTTTCTCTAAGGTCTCCACAGGGGCTTCAGAAAACCCTTCATGTTGTGAGGTGAAAGACGAGCCTGTATTCAAGCCACTGCAAGGAAATCCGTCCTCCTTTCAAGTTAGGGCTTCTCGCTGTATATTCGCCTTGAGGCAGCAAACTCGGGGTCCCTCCCAATACCTATTGCTGAGAGAAGCCTCCTCCTGAGGTGCATCTGGAAAGTTGGCAAACGTCTTGAGACTAAGCCAGGGAATCAGCTCTCATCTCGAGACGATTTGGGGTACACGGAGCATTCCTCGAGTTGCTGTGCTGAAGTTGGTGTTCCTCTAGACTTGGGACAGTGTTCTCGGGGCATCTCTGGAGTTGCCTGAAGGAAGTCGAGCCACCGGTCGTGTTGAATGGGGAACGGGGAATGGCTCTGGAGTCAATGCAGGGGAATCAGGCCTCATCTCGGGTTGATTTGGGGCACATAGTTCTGCTTTGCGTTGCTGGGGTGACCTCAGGTTCCGTCTAGACTGGTGACAGTGTTCTTGGGGACTGTCTCGAGACCCATTAAGCAAGTCGAAGCTACTGAATTGTTTGAATGGGATCACGGAATAGCTCTGCATGCACTACAGGGGAATGGGGCCTCATCTCGCCACTAGGGGGAAGTCTCATGGTTTTTCTCAAGTTGCGGCGGGGACCTGGGGTATGTTCTCGACTTACGGCGGGGATGGCCCTTCAAAACACGAGTTTCTTCAGTGACGTCAGGACTCCTGTCTAGTAAAGAGGGACACATCAGGAATCTCTTCAAGGCTTGGCAGGGCAAAAGGGACGCTTCTCGAGGTGAGGCAGGGAACCCAAGGACCCTTTCCAGTAGCCACAGGGATTTGGGATTCCTATTAGTATTCAAGAGGAGTCAGGCATCATCACCATTTGAAGAAATGAACTCCGCGTGCCTCTCGAGGTGTCAGCGGGATGTGAGGCATTCCGTCAAAAGGAGGCAGGGACCTAGGGCTTTCTCTAAGGTCTCCACAGGGGATTCAGATATCCCTTCATGTTGTGAGATGAAAGACGAGCTTGTATTCAAGCCACTGCAAGGAAATCCGGCCTCCTTTCAAATTAGGGTTTCTCTCTGTATATTCCCCTTGAGGCAGCAAACTCGGGGTCCCTCCCACATAGCTATTGCTGAGAGAAGCCTCCCCCTGAGGTGCTTCTGGAAAGTTGGCATACGTCTTGAGCCTAAGCCAGGGAATCAGCTCTCATCTCGAGACGATTTGGGGTACACGGAGCATTCCTCGAGTTGCTGTTCTGAAGTTGGTGTTCCTCTAGACTTGGGACAGTGTTCTCGGGGCATCTCTGGAGTTGCCTGAAGGAAGTCGAGCCACAGGTCGTGTTGAATGGGGAACGGGGAATGGCTCTGGAGTCAATGCAGGGGAATCGGGCCTCATCTCGAGTTGATTTGGGGCACATGGAGCTGCTTTGAGATGCTGGGGTAACCTCAGGGTCCGTCTAGACTGGTGACAGTGTTCTTGGGGACTGTCTCGAGATCCATTAAGCAAGTCGAAGCTCCTGACTTGTTTGAATGGGATCACGGAATAGCTCTGCATGCACTGCAGGGGAATGGGGCCTCATCTCGCCTCTAGGGGGAAGTCTCATGGTTTTTCTCGAGTTGCGGCGGGGACCTGGGGTATGTTCTCGACTTACGGTGGCGATGGCCCTTCAAAACACGAGTTTCTTCAGTGACGTCAAGACTCCTGTCTAGTAACGAGGGACACCTCAGGAATCTCTTCAAGGCTTGGCAGGGCAAAAGGGACGCTTCTCGAAGTGAGGCAGTGAACCCAAGGACCCTTTCCAGTAGCCACAGTGATTTGGGATTCCTATTAGTATTCAAGAGGAGTCAGGCATCGTCACCATTTGAAGAAATGAACTCCGCGTGCCTCTCGAGGTGTCAGCGGGATGTGAGGCATTCCGTCAAAATGAGGCAGGGACCTAGGGCTTTCTCTAAGGTCTCCACAGGGGATTCAGACATCCCTTCATGTTGTGAGATGAAAGAAGAGCCTGTATTCAAGCCACTGCAAGGAAATCCGGCTTCCTTTTAAGTTAGGGCTTCTCGCTGTATATTCGCCTTGAGGCAGCAAACTCGGGGTCTCTCCCAATACCTATTGCTGAGAGAAGCCTCCTCCTGAGGTGCTTCTGGAAAGTTGGCATACGTCTTGAGCCTAAGCCAGGGAATCAGCTCTCATCTCGAGACGATTTGGGGTACACGGAGCATTCCTCGAGTTGCTGTGCTGAAGTTGGTGTTCCTCTAGACTTGGGACAGTGTTCTCGGGGCATCTCTGGAGTTGCCTGAAGGAAGTCGAGCCACCGGTCTTGTTGAATGGGGAACGGGGAATGGCTCTGGAGTCAATGCAGGGGAATCGGGCCTCATCTCGAGTTGATTTGGGGCACATGAAGCTGCTTTGCGTTGCTGGGGTAACCTCAGGATCCGTCTAGACTGGTGACAGTGTTCTTGGGGACTGTCTCGAGATCCATTAAGCAAGTCGAAGCTCCTGACTTGTTTGAATGGGATCACGGAATAGCTCTGCATGCACTGCAGGGGAATGGGGCCTCATCTCGCCTCTAGGGGAAATCTCATGGTTTTTCTCGAGTTGCGGCGGGGACCTGTGGTATGTTCTCGACTTACGGCGGGGATGGCCCTTCAAAACACGAGTTTCTTCAGTGACGTCAGGACTCCTGTCTAGTAACGAGGGACACCTCAGGAATCTCTTCGAGGCTTGGCAGGGCAAAAGGGACGCTTCTCGAGGTGAGGCAGGGAACCCAAGGACCCTTTCCAGTAGCCACAGGGATTTGGGATTCCTATTAGTATTCAAGAGGAGTCAGGCATCGTCACCATTTTAAGAAATGAACACCGCGTGCCTCTCGAGGTGTCAGCGGGATGTGAGGCATTCCGTCAAAAGGAGGCAGGGACCTAGGGCTTTCTCTAAGGTCTCCACAGGGGATTCAGACATCCCTTCATGTTGTGAGATGAAAGAAGAGCCTGTATTCAAACCACTGCAAGGAAATCCGGCCTCCTTTTAAGTTAGGGCTTCTCGCTGTATATTCGCCTTGAGGCACCAAACTCGGGGTCCCTCCGACATACCTATTGCTGAGAGAAGCCTCCTCCTGAGGTGCTTCTGGAAAGTTGGCACACGTCTTGAGACTAAGCCAGGGAATCAGCTCTCATCTCGAGACGATTTGGGGTATACGGAGCATTCCTCGAGTTGCTGTGCTGAAGTTGGTGTTCCTCTAGACTTAGGACAGTGTTCTCGGGGCATCTCTGGAGTTGCCTGAAGGAAGTCGAGCCACCGGTCGTGTTGAATGGGGAACGGGGAATGGCTCTGGAGTCAATGCAGGGGAATCAGGCCTCATCTCGGGTTGATTTGGGGCACATAGTTCTGCTTTGCGTTGCTGGGGTGACCTCAGGGTCCGTCTAGACTGGTGACAGTGTTCTTGGCGACTGTCTCGAGATCCATTAAGCAAGTCGAAGCTCCTGAATTGTTTGAATGTGATCACGGAATAGCTCTGCATGCACTACAGGGGAATGGGGCCTCATCTCGCCACTAGGGGGAAGTCTCATGGTTTTTCTCAAGTTGCGGCGGGGACCTGGGGTATGTTCTCGACTTACGGCGGGGATGGCCCTTCAAAACACGAGTTTCTTCAGTGACGTCAGGACTCCTGTCTATTAACGAGGGACACATCAGGAATCTCTTCGAGGCTTGGCAGGGCAAAAGGGACGCTTCTCGAGGTGAGGCAGGGAACCCAAGGACCCTTTCCAGTAGCCACAGAGATTTGGGATTCCTATTAGTATTCAAGAGGAGTCAGGCATCGTCACCATTTGAAGAAATGAACTCCGCGTGCCTCTCGAGGTGTCAGCGGGATGTGAGGCATTCCGACACAATGAGGCAGGGACCTAGGGCTTTCTCTAAGGTCTCCACAGGGGATTCAGACATCCCTTCATGTTGTGAGATGAAAGACGAGCCTGTATTCAAGCCACTGCAAGGAAATCCGGCCTCCTTTCAAGTTAGGGTTTCTCGCTGTATATTCTCCTTGAGGCAGCAAACACGGGGTAACTCCCACATACCTATTGCTGAGAGAAGCCTCCTCCTGAGGTGCTTCTGGAAAGTTGGCATACGTCTTGAGACTAAGCCAGGGAATCAGCTCTCATCTCGAGACGATTTGGGGTACACGGAGCATTCCTCGAGTTGCTGTGCTGAAGTTGGTGTTCCTCTAGACTTGGGACAGTGTTCTCGGGGCATCTCTGGAGTTGCCTGAAGGAAGTCGAGCCACCGGTCTTGTTGAATGGGGAACGGGGAATGGCTCTGGAGTCAATGCCGGGGAATCGGGCCTCATCTCGAGTTGATTTGGGGCACATGGAGCTGCTTTGCGTTGCTGGGGTGACCTCAGGGTCCGTCTAGGCTGGTGACAGTGTTCTTGGGGACTGTCTCGAGATCCATTAAGCAAGTCGAAGCTCCTGACTTGTTTGAATGGGATCACGGAATAGCTCTGCATGCACTGCAGGGGAATGGGGCCTCATCTCGCCCTAGGGGGAAGTCTCATGGTTTTTCTCGTGTTGCGGCGGGGACCTGGGTTATGTTCTCGACTTATGGCGGGGATGGCCCTTCAAAACACGAGTTTCTTCAGTGACGTCAGGATTCCTGTCTAGTAACGAGGGACACCTCAGGAATCTCTTCGAGGCTTGGCAGGGCAAAAGGGAGGCTTCTCGAGGTGAGGCAGGGCACCCAAGGACCCTTTCCAGTAGCCACAGGGATTTGGGATTCCTATTAGTATTCAAGAGGAGTCAGGCATCGTCATCATTTGAAGCAATAAACTTCGCGGGCCTCTCGAGGTGTCAGCGGGATGTGAGGCATTCCGTCAAAAGGAGACAGGGACCTAGGGCTTTCTCTAAGGTCTGCACAGGGGATTCAGACATCCCATCATGTTGTGAGATGAAAGACGAGCCTGTATTCAAGCCACTGCAAGGAAATCCGGCCTCCTTTCAAGTTAGGGCTTCTCGCTGTATATTCGCCTTGAGGCAGCAAACTCGGGGTCCCTCCCACATACCTATTGCTGAGAGAAGCCTCCTCCTGAGGTGTTTCTGGAAAGTTGGCATACGTCTTGAGCCTAAGCCAGGGAATCAGCTCTCATCTCGAGACGATTTGGGGTACACGGAGCATTCCTCGAGGTGCTGTGCTGAAGTTGGTGTTCCTCTAGACTTGGGACAGTGTTCTCGGGGCATGTCTGGAGTTGCCTGAAGGAAGTGGAGCCACCGGTCGTCTTGAATGGGGAACGGGGAATGGCTCTGGAGTCAATGCAGGGGAATCAGGCCTCATCTCGGGTTGATTTGGGGCACATAGTGCTGCTTTGCGTTGCTGGGGTGACCTCAGGGTCCTTCTAGACTGGTGACAGTGTTCTTGGGGACTGTCTCGAGACCCATTAAGCAAGTCAAAGCTCCTGACTTGTTTGAATGGGATCACGGAATAGCTCTGCATGCACTACAGGGGAATGGGGCCTCATCTCGCCACTAGGGGGAAGTCTCATGGTTTTTCTCAAGTTGCGGCGGGGACCTGGGGTATGTTCTCGACTTACGGCGGGGATGGCCCTTCAAAACACGAGTTTCTTCAGTGACGTCAGGACTCCTGTCTAGTAACGAGGGACACCTCAGGAATCTCTTCGAGGCTTGGCAGGGCAAAAGGGACGCTTCTCGAGGTGAGGCAGGGAACCCAAGGACCCTTTCCAGTAGCCACAGAGATTTGGGATTCCTATTAGTATTCAAGAGGAGTCAGGCATCGTCACCATTTGAAGAAATGAACTCCGCGTGCCTCTCGAGGTGTCAGCGGGATGTGAGGCATTCCGACACAATGAGGCAGGGACCTAGGGCTTTCTCTAAGGTCTCCACAGGGGATTCAGACATCCCTTCATGTTGTGAGATGAAAGACGAGCCTGTATTCAAGCCACTGCAAGGAAATCCGGCCTCCTTTCAAGTTAGGGTTTCTCGCTGTATATTCTCCTTGAGGCAGCAAACTCGGGGTAACTCCCACATACCTATTGCTGAGAGAAGCCTCCGCCTGAGGTGCTTCTGGAAAGTTGGCATACGTCTTGAGACTAAGCCAGGAAATCAGCTCTCATCTCGAGACGATTTGGGGTACACGGAGCATTCCTCGAGTTGCTGTGCTGAAGTTGGTGTTCCTCTAGACTTGGGACAGTGTTCTCGGGGCATCTCTGGAGTTGCCTGAAGGAAGTCGAGCCACCGGTCTTGTTGAATGGGGAACGGGGAATGGCTCTGGAGTCAATGCAGGGGAATCGGGCCTCATCTCGAGTTGATTTGGGGCACATGGAGCTGCTTTGCGTTGCTGGGGTGACCTCAGGGTCCGTCTAGGCTGGTGACAGTGTTCTTGGGGACTGTCTCGAGATCCATTAAGCAAGTCGAAGCTCCTGACTTGTTTGAATGGGATCACGGAATAGCTCTGCATGCACTGCAGGGGAATGGGGCCTCATCTCGCCCTAGGGGGAAGTCTCATGGTTTTTCTCGTGTTGCGGCGGGGACCTGGGTTATGTTCTCGACTTATGGCGGGGATGGCCCTTCAAAACACGAGTTTCTTCAGTGACGTCAGGATTCCTGTCTAGTAACGAGGGACACCTCAGGAATCTCTTCGAGGCTTGGCAGGGCAAAAGGGAGGCTTCTAGAGGTGAGGCAGGGCACCCAAGGACCCTTTCCAGTAGCCACAGGGATTTGGGATTCCTATTAGTATTCAAGAGGAGTCAGGCATCGTCATCATTTGAAGCAATGAAGTTCGCGGGCCTCTCGAGGTGTCAGCGGGATGTGAGGCATTCCGTCAAAAGGAGACAGGGACCTAGGGCTTTCTCTAAGGTCTGCACAGGGGATTCAGACATCCCATCATGTTGTGAGATGAAAGACGAGCCTGTATTCAAGCCACTGCAAGGAAATCCGGCCTCCTTTCAAGTTAGGGCTTCTCGCTGTATATTCGCCTTGAGGCAGCAAACTCGGGGTCCCTCCCACATACCTATTGCTGAGAGAAGCCTCCTCCTGAGGTGTTTCTGGAAAGTTGGCATACGTCTTGAGCCTAAGCCAGGGAATCAGCTCTCATCTCGAGACGATTTGGGGTACACGGAGCATTCCTCGAGTTGCTGTGCTGAAGTTGGTGTTCCTCTAGACTTGGGACAGTGTTCTCGGGGCATGTCTGGAGTTGCCTGAAGGAAGTGGAGCCACCGGTCGTCTTGAATGGGGAACGGGGAATGGCTCTGGAGTCAATGCAGGGGAATCAGGACTCATCTCGGGTTGATTTGGGGCACATAGTGCTGCTTTGCGTTGCTGGGGTGACCTCAGGGTCCTTCTAGACTGGTGACAGTGTTCTTGGGGACTGTCTCGAGACCCATTAAGCAAGTCAAAGCTCCTGACTTGTTTGAATGGGATCACGGAATAGCTCTGCATGCACTGCAGGGGAATGGGGCCTCATCTCGCCACTAGGGGGAAGTCTCATGGTTTTTCTCGAGTTGCGGCGGGAACCTGGGTTATGTTCTCGACTTACGGCGGGGATGGCCCTTCAAAACACGAGTTTCTCCAGTGACGTCAGGACTCCTGTCTAGTAACGAGGGACACCTCAGGAATCTCTTCGAGGCTTGGCAGGGCAAAAGGGACGCTTCTCGAGGTGAGGCAGGGCACCCAAGGACCCTTTCCAGTAGCCACAGGGATTTTGGGATTCCTATCAGTATTCAAGAGGAGTCAGGCATCGTTCCCTTTTGAAGCAATGAACTCCACGTGCCTCTCGAGGTGTCAGCGTGATGTGAGGCATTCCGTCAAAACGAGGCAGGGACCTAGGGCTTTCTCTAAGGTCTCCACAGGGGCTTCAGAAAACCCTTCATGTTGTGAGGTGAAAGACGAGCCTGTATTCAAGCCACTGCAAGGAAATCCGTCCTCCTTTCAAGTTAGGGCTTCTCGCTGTATATTCGCCTTGAGGCAGCAAACTCGGGGTCCCTCCCAATACCTATTGCTGAGAGAAGCCTCCTCCTGAGGTGCATCTGGAAAGTTGGCATACGTCTTGGGACTAAGCCAGGGAATCAGCTCTCATCTCGAGACGATTTGGGGTATACGGAGCATTCCTCGAGTTGCTGTGCTGAAGTTGGTGTTCCTCTAGACTTGGGACAGTGTTCTCGGGGCATCTCTGGAGTTGCCTGAAGGAAGTCGAGCCACCGGTCGTGTTGAATGGGGAACGGGGAATGGCTCTGGAGTCAATGCAGGGGAATCAGGCCTCATCTCGGGTTGATTTGGGGCACATAGTTCTGCTTTGCGTTGCTGGGGTGACCTCAGGTTCCGTCTAGACTGGTGACAGTGTTCTTGGGGACTGTCTCGAGACCCATTAAGCAAGTCGAAGCTCCTGAATTGTTTGAATGGGATCACGGAATAGCTCTGCATGCACTACAGGGGAATGGGGCCTCATCTCGCCACTAGGGGGAAGTCTCATGGTTTTTTTCAAGTTGCGGCGGGGACCTGGGGTATGTTCTCGACTTACGGCGGGGATGGCCCTTCAAAACACGAGTTTCTTCAGTGACGTCAGGACTCCTGTCTAGTAAAGAGGGACACATCAGGAATCTCTTCAAGGCTTGGCAGTGCAAAAGGGACGCTTCTCGAGGTGAGGCAGGGAACCCAAGGACCCTTTCCAGTAGCCACAGGGATTTGGGATTCCTATTAGTATTCAAGAGGAGTCAGGCATCATCACCATTTGAAGAAATGAACTCCGCGTGCCTCTCGAGGTGTCAGCGGGATGTGAGGCATTCCGTCAAAAGGACGCAGGGACCTAGGGCTTTCTCTAAGGTCTCCACAGGGGATTCAGATATCCCTTCATGTTGTGAGATGAAAGACGAGCTTGTATTCAAGCCACTGCAAGGAAATCCGGCCTCCTTTCAAATTAGGGTTTCTCTCTGTATATTCCCCTTGAGGCAGCAAACTCGGGGTCCCTCCCACATAGCTATTGCTGAGAGAAGCCTCCCCCTGAGGTGCTTCTGGAAAGTTGGCATACGTCTTGAGCCTAAGCCAGGGAATCAGCTCTCATCTCGAGACGATTTGGGGTACACGGAGCATTCCTCGAGTTGCTGTGCTGAAGTTGGTGTTCCTCTAGACTTGGGACAGTGTTCTCGGGGCATCTCTGGAGTTGCCTGAAGGAAGTCAAGCCACCGGTCGTGTTGAATGGGGAACGGGGAATGGCTCTGGAGTCAATGCAGGGGAATCGGGCCTCATCTCGATTTGATTTGGGTCACATGGAGCTGCTTTGAGTTGCTGGGGTAACCTCAGGGTCCGTCTAGACTGGTGACAGTGTTCTTGGGGACTGTCTCGAGATCCATTAAGCAAGTCGAAGCTCATGACTTGTTTGAATGGGATCACGGAATAGCTCTGCATGCACTGCAGGGGAATGGGGCCTCATCTCGCCTCTAGGGGGAAGTCTCATGGTTTTTCTCGAGTTGCGGCGGGGACCTGGGGTATGTTCTCGACTTACGGTGGCGATGGCCCTTCAAAACACGAGTTTCTTCAGTGACGTCAAGACTCCTGTCTAGTAACGAGGGACACCTCAGGAATCTCTTCGAGGCTTGGCAGGGCAAAAGGGACGCTTCTCGAGGTGAGGCAGTGAACCCAAGGACCCTTTCCAGTAGCCACAGTGATTTGGGATTCCTATTAGTATTCAAGAGGAGTCAGGCATCGTCACCATTTGAAGAAATGAACTCCGCGTGCCTCTCGAGGTGTCAGCGGGATGTGAGGCATTCCGTCAAAATGAGGCAGGGACCTAGGGCTTTCTCTAAGGTCTCCACAGGGGATTCAGACATCCCTTCATGTTGTGAGATGAAAGAAGAGCCTGTATTCAAGCCACTGCAAGGAAATCCGGCCTGCTTTTAAGTTAGGGCTTCTCGCTGTATATTCGCCTTGAGGCAGAAAACTCGGGGTCCCTCCGACATACCTATTGTTGAGAGAAGCCTCCTCCTGAGGTGCTTCTGGAAAGTTGGAATACGTCTTGAGACTAAGCCAGGGAATCAGCTCTCATCTCGAGACGATTTGGGGTATACGGAGCATTCCTCGAGTTGCTGTGCTGAAGTTGGTGTTCCTCTAGACTTGGGACAGTGTTCTCGGGGCATCTCTGGAGTTGCCTGAAGGAAGTCGAGCCACCGGTCGTGTTGAATGGGGAACGGGGAATGGCTCTGGAGTCAATGCAGGGGAATCAGGCCTCATCTCGGGTTGATTTGGGGCACATAGTTCTGCTTTTCGTTGCTGGGGTGACTTCAGGGTCCGTCTAGACTGGTGACAGTGTTCTTGGGGACTGTCTCGAGACCCATTAAGCAAGTCGAAGCTCCTGAATTGTTTGAATGGGATCACGGAATAGCTCTGCATGCACTACAGGGGAATGGGGCCTCATCTCGCCACTAGGGGGAAGTCTCATGGTTTTTCTCAAGTTGCGGCGGGGACCTGGGGTATGTTCTCGACTTACGGCGGGGATGGCCCTTCAAAACACGAGTTTCTTCAGTGACGTCAGGACTCCTGTCTAGTAAAGAGGGACAACTCAGGAATCCCTTCGAGGCTTGGCAGGGCAAAAGGGACGCTTCTCGAGGTGAGGCAGCTAACCCAAGGACCCTTTCCAGTAGCCACAGGGATTTGGGATTCCTATTAGTATTCAAGAGGAGTCAGGCATCATCACCATTTGAAGAAATGAACTCCGCGTGCCTCTCGAGGTGTCAGCGGGATGTGAGGCATTCCTTCAAAAGGAGGCAGGGACCTAGGGCTTTCTCTAAGGTCTCCACAGGGGATTCAGATATCCCTTCATGTTGTGAGATGAAAGACGAGCTTGTATTCAAGCCACTGCAAGGAAATCCGGCCTCCTTTCAAATTAGGGTTTCTCTCTGTATATTCCCCTTGAGGCAGCAAACTCGGGGTCCCTCCCACATACCTATTGCTGAGAGAAGCCTCCTCCTGAGGTGCTTCTGGAAAGTTGGCATACGTCTTGAGCCTAAGCCAGGGAATCAGCTCTCATCTCGAGACGATTTGGGGTACACGGAGCATTCCTCGAGTTGCTGTGCTGAAGTTGGTGTTCCTCTAGACTTGGGACAGTGTTCTCGGGGCATCTCTGGAGTTGCCTGAAGGAAGTCGAGTCACTGGTCGTGTTGAATGGGGAACGGGGAATGGCTCTGGAATCAATGCAGGGGAATCAGGCCTCATCTCGGGTTGATTTGGGGCACATGGAGCTGCTTTGCGTTGCTGGGGTGACCTCAGGGTCCGTCTAGACTGGTGACAGTGTTCTTGGGGACTGTCTCGAGACCCATTAAGCAAGTCGAAGCTCCTGACTTGTTTGAATGGGATCACGGAATAGCTCTGCATGCACTGCAGGGGAATGGGGCCTCATCTCGCCTCTAGGGTGAAGTCTCATGGTTTTTCTCGAGTTGCGGCGGGGACCTGGGTTATGTTCTCGACTTACGGCGGGGATGGCCCTTCAAAACACGAGTTTCTTCAGTGACGTCAGGACTCCTGTCTAGTAACGAGGGACACCTCAGGAATCTCTTCGAGGCTTGGCAGGGCAAAAGGGACGCTTCTCGAGGTGAGGCAGGGAACCCAAGGACCCTTTCCAGTAGCCACAGAGATTTGGGATTCCTATTAGTATTCAAGAGGAGTCAGGCATCGTCACCATTTGAAGAAATGAACTCCGTGTGCCTCTCGAGGTGTCAGCGGGATGTGAGGCATTCCGACACAATGAGGCAGGGACCTAGGGCTTTCTCTAAGGTCTCCACAGGGGATTCAGACATCCCGTCATGTTGTGAGAGGAAAGACGAGCCTGTATTGAAGCCACTGCAAGGAAATCCGGCCTCCTTTCAAGTTAGGGTTTCTCGCTGTATATTCTCCTTGAGGCAGCAAACTCGGGGTAACTCCCACATACCTATTGCTGAGAGAAGCCTCCTCCTGAGGTGCTTCTGGAAAGTTGGCATACGTCTTGAGACTAAGCCAGGGAATCAGCTCTCATCTCGAGGCGATTTGAGGTAAACGGAGCATTCCTCGAGATGCTGTGCTGAACTTGGTGTTCCTCTAGACTTGGGACAGTGTTCTCGGGGCAGCTCTGGAGTTGCCTGAAGGAAGTCGAGCCACAGGTCGTGTTGAATGGGGAACGGGGAATGGCTCTGGAGTCAATGCAGGGGAATCAGGCCTCCTCTCGGGTTGATTTGAGGCACATAGTGCTGCTTTGCGTTGCTGGGGTGACCTCAGGGTCCGTCTAGACTGGTGACAGTGTTCTTGGGGACTGTCTCGAGACCCATTAAGGAAATCAAAGCTCCTGACTTGTTTGAATGAGATCACGGAATAGTTCTGCATGCACTGCAGGTGAATGGGGCCTCATCTCGCCACTAGGGGGAAGTCTCATGGTTTTTCTCGAGTTGCGGCGGGGACCTGGGGTATGTTCTCAACTTACGGCGGGGATGGCCCTTCAAAACACGAGTTTCTTCAGTGACGTCAGGACTCCTGTCTAGTAACGAGGGACACCTCAGGAATCTCTTCGAGGCTTGACAGGGCAAAAGGGACGCTTCTCGATGTGAGGCAGTGAACCCAAGGACCCTTTCCAGTAGCCACAGGGATTTTGGGATTCCTATCAGTATTCAAGAGGAGTCAGGCATCGTCACCTTTTGAAGCAATGAACTCCACGTGCCTCTCGAGGTGTCAGCGTGATGTGATTCATTCCGTCAAAAGGAGGCAGGGACCTAGGGCTTTCTCTAAGGTCTCCACAGAGGCTTCAGACATCCCTTCATGTTGTGAGGTGAAAGACGAGCCTGTACTCAAGCCACTGCAAGGAAATCCGGCCTCCTTTCAAGTTAGGGCTTCTCGCTGTATATTCCCCTTGAGGCAGCAAACTCGGGGTCCCTCCCACATACCTATTGCTGAGAGAAGCCTCCTCCTGAGGTGCTTCTGGAAAGTTGGCATACGTCTTGAGCCTAAGCCAGGGAATCAGCTCTCATCTCGAGACGATTTGGGGTGCACGGAGCATTCCTCGAGTTGCTGTGCTGAGGTTGGTGTTCCTCTAGTCTTGGGTCAGTGTTCTCGGGGCATCTCTGGAGTTGCCTGAAAGACGTCAAGACGCCGGTCGTGTTGAATCGGGAATGGGGTATGGCTCTGGATTCAATGCAGGGGAATCGGGCCTTATCTTGAGTTGATTTGGGGCACATGGAGCTGCTTTGCGTTGCTGGGGTGACCGCAGGGTCCGTCTAGACTGGTGACAGTGTTTTTGGGGCCTGCCTCGAGATCCATTAAGCAAGTCGAAGCTCCTGACTTGATTGAATGGGATCACGGAATAGCTCTGCATGCACTGCAGGGGAATGGGGCCTCATCTCGCCTCTAGGGGGAAGTCTCATGGTTTTTCTCGAGTTGCGGCGGGGACCTGGGGTATGTTCTCGACTTACGGCGCGGATGGCCCTTCAAAACACGAGTTTCTTCAGTGACGTCAGGACTCCTGTCTAGTAACGAGGGACACCTCAGGAATCTCTCCGAGGCTTGGCAGGGCAAAAGGGACGCTTCTCGAGGTGAGGCAGGGAACCCAAGGACCCTTTCCAGTAGCCACAGGGATTTTGGGATTCCTATCAGTATTCAAGAGGAGTCAGGCATCATCACCTTTTGAAGCAATTAACTCCACTTGCCTCTCAAGGTGTCAGCGGGATGTGAGGCATTCCGTCAAAAGGAGGCAGGGACCTAGGTCTTTCTCTAAGGTATCCACAGGGGATTCAGACATCCCTTCATGTTGTGAGGTGAAAGACGAGCCTGTATTCAAACCACTGCAAGGAAATCCGGCCTCCTTTCACGTTAGGGCTTCTCGCTGTATATTCCCCTTGAGGCAGCAAACTCGGGGTCCCTCCCACATAGCTATTGCTGAGAGAAGCCTCCTCCTGAGGTGCTTCTGGAAAGTTGGCATACGTCTTGAGACTAAGCCAGGGAATCAGCTCTCATCTCGAGACGATTTGGGGTACACGGAGCATTCCTCGAGTTGCTGTGCTGAAGTTGGTGTTCCTCTAGACTTGGGACAGTGTTCTCGGGGCATGTCTGGAGTTGCCTGAAGGAAGTGGAGCCACCGGTCGTCTTGAATGGGGAACGGGGAATGGCTCTGGAGTCAACGCAGGGGAATCAGGCCTCATCTCGGGTTGATTTGGGGCACATAGTGCTGCTTTGCGTTGCTGGGGTGACCTCAGGGTCCTTCTAGACTGGTGACAGTGTTCTTGGGGACTGTCTCGAGACCCATTAAGCAAGTCAAAGCTCCTGACTTGTTTGAATGGGATCACGGAATAGCTCTGCATGCACTGCAGGGGAATGGGGCCTCATCTCGCCACTAGGGGGAAGTCTCATGGTTTTTCTCGAGTTGCGGCGGGAACCTGGGTTATGTTCTCGACTTACGGCGGGGATGGCCCTTCAAAACACGAGTTTCTCCAGTGACGTCAGGACTCCTGTCTAGTAACGAGGGACACCTCAGGAATCTCTTCGAGGCTTGGCAGGGCAAAAGGGAAGCTTCACGAGGTGAGGCAGGGCACCCAAGGACCCTTTCCAGTAGCCACAGGGATTTTGGGATTCCTATCAGTATTCAAGAGGAGTCAGGCATCGTTCCCTTTTGAAGCAATGAACTCCACGTGCCTCTCGATGTGTCAGCGGGATGTGAGGCATTCCGTCAAAAGGAGGCAGGGACCTAGGGCTTTCTCTAAGGTCTCCACAGGGGCTTCAGAAAACCCTTCATGTTGTGAGGTGAAAGACGAGCCTGTATTCAAGCCACTGCAAGGAAATCCGTCCTCCTTTCAAGTTAGGGCTTCTCGCTGTATATTCGCCTTGAGGCAGCAAACTCGGGGTCCCTCCCAATACCTATTGCTGAGAGAAGCCTCCTCCTGAGGTGCATCTGGAAAGTTGGCATACGTCTTGAGACTAAGCCAGGGAATCAGCTCTCATCTCGAGACGATTTGGGGTACACGGAGCATTCCTCGAGTTGCTGTGCTGAAGTTGGTGTTCCTCTAGACTTGGGACAGTGTTCTCGGGGCATCTCTGGAGTTGCCTGAAGGAAGTCGAGCCACCGGTCGTGTTGAATGGGGAACGGGGAATGGCTCTGGAGTCAATGAAGGGGAATCAGGCCTCATCTCGGGTTGATTTGGGGCACATAGTTCTGCTTTCCGTTGCTGGGGTGATCTCAGGTTCCGTCTAGACTGGTGACAGTGTTCTTGGGGACTGTCTCGAGACCCATTAAGCAAGTCGAAGCTCCTGAATTGTTTGAATGGGATCACGGAATAGCTCTGCATGCACTACAGGGGAATGGGGCCTCATCTCGCCACTAGGGGGAAGTCTCATGGTTTTTCTCAAGTTGCGGCGGGGACCTGGGGTATGTTCTCGACTTACGGCGGGGATGGCCCTTCAAAACACGAGTTTCTTCAGTGACGTCAGGACTCCTGTCTAGTAAAGAGGGACACATCAGGAATCTCTTCAAGGCTTGGCAGGGCAAAAGGGACGCTTCTCGAGGTGAGGCAGGGAACCCAAGGACCCTTTCCAGTAGCCACAGGGATTTGGGATTCCTATTAGTATTCAAGAGGAGTCAGGCATCATCACCATTTGAAGAAATGAACTCCGCGTGCCTCTCGAGGTGTCAGCGGTTTGTGAGGCATTCCGTCAAAAGGAGGCAGGGACCTAGGGCTTTCTCTAAGGTCTCCACAGGGGATTCAGATATCCCTTCATGTTGTGAGATGAAAGACGAGCTTGTATTCAAGCCACTGCAACGAAATCCGGCCTCCTTTCAAATTAGGGTTTCTCTCTGTATATTCCCCTTGAGGCAGCAAACTCGGGGTCCCTCCCACATAGCTATTGCTGAGAGAAGCCTCCCCCTGAGGTGCTTCTGGAAAGTTGGCATACGTCTTGAGCCTAAGCCAGGGAATCAGCTCGCATCTCGAGACGATTTGGTGTACACGGAGCATTCCTCGAGTTGCTGTGCTGAAGTTGGTGTTCCTCTAGACTTGGGACAGTGTTCTCGGGGCATCTCTGGAGTTGCCTGAAGGAAGTCGAGCCACCGGTCGTGTTGAATGGGGAACGGGGAATGGCTCTGGAGTCAATGCAGGGGAATCGGTCTCATCTCGAGTTGATTTGGGTCACATGGAGCTGCTTTGAGTTGCTGGGGTAACCTCAGGGTCCGTCTAGACTGGTGACAGTGTTCTTGGGGACTGTCTCGAGATCCATTAAGCAAGTCGAAGCTCCTGACTTGTTTGAATGGGATCACGGAATAGCTCTGCATGCACTGCAGGGGAATGGGGCCTCATCTCGCCTCTAGGGGGAAGTCTCATGGTTTTTCTCGAGTTGCGGCGGGGACCTGGGGTATGTTCTCGACTTACGGTGGCGATGGCCCTTCAAAACACGAGTTTCTTCAGTGACGTCAAGACTCCTGTCTAGTAACGAGGGACACCTCAGGAATCTCTTCGAGGCTTGGCAGGGCAAAAGGGACGCTTCTCGAGGTGAGGCAGTGAACCCAAGGACCCTTTCCAGTAGCCACAGTGATTTGGGATTCCTATTAGTATTCAAGAGGAGTCAGGCATCGTCACCATTTGAAGAAATGAACTCCGCGTGCTTCTCGAGGTGTCAGCGGGATGTGAGGCATTCCGTCAAAATGAGGCAGGGACCTAGGGCTTTCTCTAAGGTCTCCACAGGGGATTCAGACATCCCTTCATGTTGTGAGATGAAAGAAGAGCCTGTATTCAAGCCACTGCAAGGAAATCCGGCTTCCTTTTAAGTTAGGGCTTCTCGCTGTATATTCGCCTTGAGGCAGCAAACTCGGGGTCTCTCCCAATACCTATTGCTGAGAGAAGCCTCCTCCTGAGGTGCTTCTGGAAAGTTGGCATACGTCTTGAGCCTAAGCCAGGGAATCAGCTCTCATCTCGAGACGATTTGGGGTACACGGAGCATTCCTCGAGTTGCTGTGCTGAAGTTGGTGTTCCTCTAGACTTGGGACAGTGTTCTCGGGGCATCTCTGGAGTTGCCTGAAGGAAGTCGAGCCACCGGTCTTGTTGAATGGGGAACGGGGAATGGCTCTGGAGTCAATGCAGGGGAATCGGGCCTCATCTCGAGTTGATTTGGGGCACATGGAGCTGCTTTGCGTTGCTGGGGTAACCTCAGGATCCGTCTAGACTGGTGACAGTGTTCTTGGGGACTGTCTCGAGATCCATTAAGCAAGTCTAAGCTCCTGACTTGTTTGAATGGGATCACGGAATAGCTCTGCATGCACTGCAAGGGAATGGGGCCTCATCTCGCCTCTAGGGGGAAGTCTCATGGTTTTTCTCGAGTTGCGGCGGGGACCTGCGGTATGTTCTCGACTTACGGCGGGGATGGCCCTTCAAAACACGAGTTTCTTCAGTGACGTCAGGACTCCTGTCTAGTAACGAGGGACACCTCAGGAATCTCTTCGAGGCTTGGCAGGGCAAAAGGGACGCTTCTCGAGGTGAGGCAGGGAAGCCAAGGACCCTTTCCAGTAGCCACAGGGATTTGGGATTCCTATTAGTATTCAAGAGGAGTCAGGCATCGTCACCATTTGAAGAAATGAACTCTGCGTGCCTCTCGAGGTGTCAGCAGGATGTGAGGCATTCCGTCAAAAGGAGGCAGGGACCTAGGGCTTTCTCTAAGGTCTCCACAGGGGATTCAGACATCCCTTCATGTTGTGAGATGAAAGAAGAGCCTGTATTCAAACCACTGCAAGGAAATCCGGCCTCCTTTTAAGTTAGGGCTTCTCGCTGTATATTCGCCTTGAGGCAGCAAACTCGGGGTCCCTCCGACATACCTATTGCTGAGAGAAGCCTCCTCCTGAGGTGCTTCTGGAAAGTTGGCATACGTCTTGAGACTAAGCCAGGGAATGAGCTCTCATCTCGAGACGATTTGGGGTATACGGAGCATTCCTCGAGTTGCTGTGCTGAAGTTGGTGTTCCTCTAGACTTGGGACAATGTTCTCGGGGCATCTCTGGAGTTGCCTGAAGGAAGTCGAGCCACCGGTCGTGTTGAATGGGGAACGGGGAATGGCTCTGGAGTCAATGCAGGGGAATCAGGCCTCATCTCGGGTTGATTTGGGGCACATAGTTCTGCTTTGCGTTGCTGGGGTGACCTCAGGGTCCGTCTAGACTGGTGACAGTGTTCTTGGGGACTGTCTCGAGACCCATTAAGCAAGTCGAAGCTCCTGAATTGTTTGAATGGGATCACGGAATAGCTCTGCATGCACTACAGGGGAATGGGGCCTCATCTCGCCACTAGGGGGAAGTCTCATGGTTTTTCTCAAGTTGCGGCGGGGACCTGGGGTATGTTCTCGACTTACGGCGGGGATGGCCCTTCAAAACACGAGTTTCTTCAGTGACGTCAGGACTCCTGTCTAGTAAAGAGGCACACCTCAGGAATCCCTTCGAGGCTTGGCAGGGCAAAAGGGACGCTTCTCGAGGTGAGGCAGGGAACCCAAGGACCCTTTCCAGTAGCCACAGGGATTTGGGATTCCTATTAGTATTCAAGAGGAGTCAGGCATCATCACCATTTGAAGAAATGAACTCCGCGTGCCTCTCGAGGTGTCAGCGGGATGTGAGGCATTCCGTCAAAAGGAGGCAGGGACCTAGGGCTTTCTCTAAGGTCTCCACAGGGGATTCAGATATCCCTTCATGTTGTGAGATGAAAGACGAGCTTGTATTCAAGCCACTGCAAGGAAATCCGGCCTCCTTTCAAATTAGGGTTTCTCTCTGTATATTCCCCTTGAGGCAGCAAACTCGGGGTCCCTCCCACATACCTATTGCTGAGAGAAGCCTCCTCCTGAGGTGCTTCTGGAAAGTTGGCATACGTCTTGAGCCTAAGCCAGGGAATCAGCTCTCATCTCGAGACGATTTGGGGTACACGGAGCATTCCTCGAGTTGCTGTGCTGAAGTTGGTGTTCCTCTAGACTTGGGACAGTGTTCTCGGGGCATCTCTGGAGTTGCCTGAAGGAAGTCGAGTCACTGGTCGTGTTGAATGGGGAACGGGGAATGGCTCTGGAATCAATGCAGGGGAATCAGGCCTCATCTCGGGATGATTTGGGGCACATGGAGCTGCTTTGCGTTGCTGGGGTGACCTCAGGGTCCGTCTAGACTGGTGACAGTGTTCTTGGGGACTGTCTCGAGATCCATTAAGCAAGTCGAAGCTCCTGACTTGTTTGAATGGGATCACGGAATAGCTCTGCATGCACTGCAGGGGAATGGGGCCTCATCTCGCCTCTAGGGTGAAGTCTCATGGTTTTTCACGAGTTGCGGCGGGGACCTGGGTTATGTTCTCGACTTACGGCGGGGATGGCCCTTCAAAACACGAGTTTCTTCAGTGACGTCAGGACTCCTGTCTAGTAACGAGGGACACCTCAGGAATCTCTTCGAGGCTTGGCAGGGCAAAAGGGACGCTTCTCGAGGTGAGGCAGGGAACCCAAGGACCCTTTCCAGTAGCCACAGAGATTTGGGATTCCTATTAGTATTCAAGAGGAGTCAGGCATCGTCACCATTTGAAGAAATGAACTCCGCGTGCCTCTCGAGGTGTCAGCGGGATGTGAGGCATTCCGACACAATGAGGCAGGGACCTAGGGCTTTCTCTAAGGTCTCCACAGGGGATTCAGACATCCCTTCATGTTGTGAGATGAAAGACGAGCCTGTATTCAAGCCACTGCAAGGAAATCCGGCCTCCTTTCAAGTTAGGGTTTCTCGCTGTATATTCTCCTTGAGGCAGCAAACTTGGGGTCCCTCCGACATACCTATTGCTGAGAGAAGCCTCCTCCTGAGGTGCTTCAGGAAAGTTGGCACACGTCAAGAGACTAAGCCAGGGAATCAGCTCTCATCTCGAGACGATTAGGGGTATACGGAGCATTCCTCGAGTTGCTGTGCTGAAGTTGGTGTTCCTCTAGACTTGGGACAGTGTTCTCGGGGCATCTCTGGAGTTGCCTGAAGGAAGTCGAGCCACCGGTCGTGTTGAATGGGGAACGGGGAATGGCTCTGGAGTCAATGCAGGGGAATCAGGCCTCATCTCGGGTTGATTTGGGGCACATAGTTCTGCTTTGCGTTGCTGGGGTGACCTCAGGGTCCGTCTAGACTGGTGACAGTGTTCTTGGGGACTGTCTCGAGACCCATTAAGCAAGTCGAAGCTCCTGAATTGTTTGAATGGGATCACGGAATAGCTCTGCATGCACTACAGGGGAATGGGGCCTCATCTCGCCACTAGGGGGAAGTCTCATGGTTTTTCTCAAGTTGCGGCGGGGACCTGGGGTATGTTCTCGACTTACGGCGGGGATGGCCCTTCAAAACACGAGTTTCTTCAGTGACGTCAGGACTCCTGTCTAGTAAAGAGGGACACCTCAGGAATCCCTTCGAGGCTTGGCAGGGCAAAAGGGACGCTTCTCGAGGTGAGGCAGGGAACCCAAGGACCCTTTCCAGTAGCCACAGGGATTTGGGATTCCTATTAGTATTCAAGAGGAGTCAGGCATCGTCACCTTTTGAAGCAATGAACTCCACGTGCCTCTCGAGGTGTCAGCGTGATGTGATTCATTCCGTCAAAAGGAGGCAGGGACCTAGGGCTTTCTCTAAGGTCTCCACAGAGGCTTCAGACATCCCTTCATGTTGTGAGGTGAAAGAAGAGCCTGTACTCAAGCCACTGCAAGGAAATCCGGCCTCCTTTCAAGTTAGGGCTTCTCGCTGTATATTCCCCTTGAGGCAGCAAACTCGGGGTCCCTCCCACATACCTATTGCTGAGAGAAGCCTCCTCCTGAGGTGCTTCTGGAAAGTTGGCATACGTCTTGAGCCTAAGCCAGGGAATCAGCTCTCATCTCGAGATGATTTGGGGTACACGGAGCATTCCTCGAGTTGCTGTGCTGAAGTTGGTGTTCCTCTAGACTTGGGACAGTGTTCTCGGGGCATCTCTGGAGTTGCCTGAAGGAAGTCGAGTCACTGGTCGGGTTGAATGGGGAACGGGGAATGGCTCTGGAATCAATGCAGGGGAATCAGGCCTCATCTCGGGTTGATTTGGGGCACATGGAGCTGCTTTGCTTTGCTGGGGTGACCTCAGGGTCCGTCTAGACTGGTGACAGTGTTCTTGGGGACTGTCTCGAGATCCATTAAGCAAGTCGAAGCTTCTGACTTGTTTGAATGGGATCACGGAATAGCTCTGCATGCACTGCAGGGGAATGGGGCCTCATCTCGCCTCTAGGGTGAAGTCTCATGGTTTTTCTCGAGTTGCGGCGGGGACCTGGGTTATGTTCTCGACTTACGGCGGGGATGGCCCTTCAAAACACGAGTTTCTTCAGTGACGTCAGGACTCCTGTCTAGTAACGAGGGACACCTCAGGAATCTCTTCGAGGCTTGGCAGGGCAAAAGGGACGCTTCTCGAGGTGAGGCAGGGAACCCAAGGACCCTTTCCAGTAGCCACAGAGATTTGGGATTCCTATTAGTATTCAAGAGGAGTCAGGCATCATGACCATTTGAAGAAATGAACTCCGCGTGACTCTCGAGGTGTCAGCGGGATGTGAGGCATTCCGTCAAAAAGAGGCAGGGACCTAGGGCTTTCTCTAAGGTCTCCACAGGGGATTCAGTTATCCCTTCATGTTGTGAGATGAAAGACGAGCCTGTATTCAAGCCACTGCAAGGAAATCCGGCCTCCTTTCAAGTTAGGGCTTCTCTCTGTATATTCCCCTTGAGGCAGCAAACTCGGGGTCCCTCTCACATACATATTTCTGAGAGAAGCCTCCTCCTGAGGTGCTTCAGGAAAGTTGGCATACGTCTTGAGCCTAAGCCAGGGAATCAGCTCTCATCTCGAGACGATTTGGGGTACACGGAGCATTCCTCGAGTTGCTGTGCTGAAGTTGGTGTTCCTCTAGACTTGGGACAGTATTCTCGGGGCATCTCTGGAGTTGCCTGAAAGAAGTCGAGATGCCGGTCGTGTTGATTGGGGAAAGAGGAATGGCTCTGGAGTCAATGCAGGGGAATCGGGCCTTATCTCGAGTTGATTTGGGGCACATGGAGCTGCTTTGCGTTGCTGGGGTGACCGCAGGGTCCCTCTAGACTGGTGACAGTGATCTTGGGGACTGTCTCGAGATCCATTAAGCAAGTCGAAGCTCCTGACTTGTTTGAATGGGATCACGGAATAGCTCTGCATGCACTGCAGGGGAATGGGGCCTCATCTCTCCACTAGGGGGAAGTCTCATGGTTTTTCTCGAGTTGCGGCGGGAACCTGGGTTATGTTCTCGACTTACGGCGGGGATGGCCCTTCAAAACACGAGTTTCTCCAGTGACGTCAGGACTCCTGTCTAGTAACGAGGGACACCTCAGGAATCTCTTCGAGGCTTGGCAGGACAAAAGGGACGCTTCTCGAGGTGAGGCAGGGCACCCAAGGAACCTTTCAGTAGCCACAGGGATTTTGGGATTCCTATCAGTATTCAAGAGGAGTCAGGCATCGTCCCCTTTTGAAGCAATGAACTCCACGTGCCTCTCGAGGTGTCAGCGGGATGTGAGGCATTCCGTCAAAAGGAGGCAGGGACCTAGGGCTTTCTCTAAGGTCTCCACAGGGGCTTCAGACAACCCTTCATGTTGTGAGGTGAAAGACGAGCCTGTATTCAAGCCACTGCAAGGAAATCCGTCCTCCTTTCAAGTTAGGGCTTCTCGCTGTATATTCGCCTTGAGGCAGCAAACTCGGGGTCCCTCCCAATACCTATTGCTGAGAGAAGCCTCCTCCTGAGGTGCATCTGGAAAGTTGGCATACGTCTTGAGACTAAGCCAGGGAATCAGCTCTCATCTCGAGACGATTTGGGGTACACGGAGCCTTCCTCGAGTTGCTGTGCTGAAGTTGGTGTTCCTCTAGACTTGGGACAGTGTTCTCGGGGCATCTCTGGAGTTGCCTGAAGGAAGTCGAGCCACCGGTCTTGTTGAATGGGGAACGGGGAATGGCTCTGGAGTCAATGCAGGGGAATCAGGCCTCATCTCGGGTTGATTTGGGGCACATAGTTCTGCTTTGCGTTGCTGGGGTGACCTCAGGTTCCGTCGAGACTGGTGACAGTGTTCTTGGGGACTGTCTCGAGACCCATTAAGCAATTCGAAGCTCCTGAATTGTTTGAATGGGATCACGGAATAGCTCTGCATGCACTACATGGGAATGGGGCCTCATCTCGCCACTAGGGGGAAGTCTCATGGTTTTTCTCAAGTTGCGGCGGGGACCTGGGGTATGTTCTCGACTTACGGCGGGGATGGCCCTTCAAAACACGAGTTTCTTCAGTGACGTCAGGACTCCTGTCTAGTAAAGAGGGACACATCAGGAATCTCTTCAAGGCTTGGCAGGGCAAAAGGGACGCTTCACGAGGTGAGGCAGGGAACCCAAGGACCCTTTCCAGTAGCCACAGGGATTTGGGATTCCTATTAGTATTCAAGAGGAGTCAGGCATCATCACCATTTGAAGAAATGAACTCCGCGTGCCTCTCGAGGTGTCAGCGGGATGTGAGGCATTCCGTCAAAAGGAGGCAGGGACCTAGGGCTTTCTCTAAGGTCTCCACAGGGGATTCAGATATCCCTTCATGTTGTGAGATGAAAGACGAGCTTGTATTCAAGCCACTGCAAGGAAATCCGGCCTCCTTTCAAATTAGGGTTTCTCTCTGTATATTCCCCTTGAGGCAGCAAACTCGGGGTCCCTCCCACATAGCTATTGCTGAGAGAAGCCTCCTCCTGAGGTGCTTCTGGAAAGTTGGCATACGTCTTGAGCCTAAGCCAGGGAATCAGCTCTCATCTCGAGACGATTTGGGGTACACGGAGCCTTCCTCGAGTTGCTGTGCTGAAGTTGGTGTTCCTCTAGACTTGGGACAGTGTTCTCGGGGCATCTCTGGAGTTGCCTGAAGGAAGTCGAGCCACCGGTCGTGTTGAATGGGGAACGGGGAATGGCTCTGGAGTCAATGCAGGGGAATCAGGCCTCATCTCGGGTTGATTTGGGGCACATAGTTCTGCTTTGCGTTGCTGGGGTGACCTCAGGTTCCGTCTAGACTGGTGACAGTGTTCTTGGGGACTGTCTCGAGACCCATTAAGCAAGTCGAAGCTCCTGAATTGTTTGAATGGGATCACGGAATAGCTCTGCATGCACTACAGGGGAATGGGGCCTCATCTCGCCACTAGGGGGAAGTCTCATGGTTTTTCTCAAGTTGCGGCGGGGACCTGGGGTATGTTCTCGACTTACGGCGGGGATGGCCCTTCAAAACACGAGTTTCTTCAGTGACGTCAGGACTCCTGTCTAGTAAAGAGGGACACATCAGGAATCTCTTCAAGGCTTGGCAGGGCAAAAGGGACGCTTCACGAGGTGAGGCAGGGTACCCAAGGACCCTTTCCAGTAGCCACAGGGATTTGGGATTCCTATTAGTATTCAAGAGGAGTCAGGCATCATCACCATTTGAAGAAATGAACTCCGCGTGCCTCTCGAGGTGTCAGCGGGATGTGAGGCATTCCGTCAAAAGGAGGCAGGGACCTAGGGCTTTCTCTAAGGTCTACACAGGGCATTCAGACATCCCTTCATGTTGTGAGATGAAACACGAGCCTGTATTCAAGCCACTGCAAGGAAATCCGTCCTCCTTTCAAGTTAGGGCTTCTCGCTGTATATTCGCCTTGAGGCAGCAAACTCGGGGTCTCTCCCAATACCTATTGCTGAGAGAAGCCTCCTCCTGAGGTGCTTCTGGAAAGTTGGCATACGTCTTGAGCCTAAGCCAGGGAATCAGCTCTCATCTCGAGACGATTTGGGGTACACGGAGCATTCCTCGAGTTGCTGTGCTGAAGTTGGTGTTCCTCTAGACTTGGGACAGTGTTCTCGGGGCATCTCTGGAGTTGCCTGAAGGAAGTCGAGCCACCGGTCTTGTTGAATGGGGAACGGGGAATGGCTCTGGAGTCAATGCAGGGGAATCGGGCCTCATCTCGAGTTGATTTGGGGCACATGGAGCTGCTTTGCGTTGCTGGGGTAACCTCAGGATCCGTCTAGACTGGTGACAGTGTTCTTGGGGACTGTCTCGAGATCCATTAAGCAAGTCGAAGCTCCTGACTTGTTTGAATGGGATCACGGAATAGCTCTGCATGCACTGCAGGGGAATGGGGCCTCATCTCGCCTCTAGGGGGAAGTCTCATGGTTTTTCTCGAGTTGCGGCGGGGACCTGCGGTATGTTCTCGACTTACGGCGGGGATGGCCCTTCAAAACACGAGTTTCTTCAGTGACGTCAGGACTCCTGTCTAGTAACGAGGGACACCTCAGGAATCTCTTCGAGGCTTGGCAGGGCAAAAAGGACGCTTCTCGAGGTGAGGCAGGGAACCCAAGGACCCTTTCCAGTAGCCACAGGGATTTGGGATTCCTATTAGTATTCAAGAGGAGTCAGGCATCGTCACCATTTGAAGAAATGAACTCCGCGTGCCTCTCGAGGTGTCAGCGGGATGTGAGGCATTTTGTCAAAAGGAGGCAGGGACCTAGGGCTTTCTCTAAGGTCTCCACAGGGGATTCAGACATCCCTTCATGTTGTGAGATGAAAGAAGAGCCTGTATTCAAACCACTGCAAGGAAATCCGGCCTCCTTTTAAGTTAGGGCTTCTCGCTGTATATTCGCCTTGAGGCAGCAAACTTGGGGTCCCTCCGACATACCTATTGCTGAGAGAAGCCTCCTCCTGAGGTGCTTCAGGAAAGTTGGCACACGTCAAGAGACTAAGCCAGGGAATCAGCTCTCATCTCGAGACGATTAGGGGTATACGGAGCATTCCTCGAGTTGCTGTGCTGAAGTTGGTGTTCCTCTAGACTTGGGACAGTGTTCTCGGGGCATCTCTGGAGTTGCCTGAAAGAAGTCGAGATGCCGGTCGTGTTGATTGGGGAAAGAGGAATGGCTCTGGAGTCAATGCAGGGGAATCGGGCCTTATCTCGAGTTGATTTGGGGCACATGGAGCTGCTTTGCGTTGCTGGGGTGACCGCAGGGTCCCTCTAGACTGGTGACAGTGATCTTGGGGACTGTCTCGAGATCCATTAAGCAAGTCGAAGCTCCTGACTTGTTTGAATGGGATCACGGAATAGCTCTGCATGCACTGCAGGGGAATGGGGCCTCATCTCGCCAGTAGGGGGAAGTCTCATGGTTTTTCTCGAGTTGCGGCGGGAACCTGGGTTATGTTCTCGACTTACGGCGGGGATGGCCCTTCAAAACACGAGTTTCTCCAGTGACGTCAGGACTCCTGTCTAGTAACGAGGGACACCTCAGGAATCTCTTCGAGGCTTGGCAGGACAAAAGGGACGCTTCTCGAGGTGAGGCAGGGCACCCAAGGACCCTTTCAGTAGCCACAGGGATTTTGGGATTCCTATCAGTATTCAAGAGGAGTCAGGCATCGTCCCCTTTTGAAGCAATGAACTCCACGTGCCTCTCGAGGTGTCAGCGGGATGTGAGGCATTCCGTCAAAAGGAGGCAGGGACCTAGGGCTTTCTCTAAGGTCTCCACAGGGGCTTCAGACAACCCTTCATGTTGTGAGGTGAAAGACGAGCCTGTATTCAAGCCACTGCAAGGAAATCCGTCCTCCTTTCAAGTTAGGGCTTCTCGCTGTATATTCGCCTTGAGGCAGCAAACTCGGGGTCCCTCCCACATACCTATTGCTGAGAGAACCCTCCTCCTGAGGTGCATCTGGAAAGTTGGCATACGTCTTGAGACTAAGCCAGGGAATCAGCTCTCATCTCGAGACGATTTGGGGTACACGGAGCCTTCCTCGAGTTGCTGTGCTGAAGTTGGTGTTCCTCTAGACTTGGGACAGTGTTCTCGGGGCATCTCTGGAGTTGCCTGAAGGAAGTCGAGCCACCGGTCTTGTTGAATGGGGAACGGGGAATGGCTCTGGAATCAATGCAGGGGAATCAGGCCTCATCTCGGGTTGATTTGGGGCACATAGTTCTGCTTTGCATTGCTGGGTTGACCTCAGGTTCCGTCTAGACTGGTGACAGTGTTCTTGGGGACTGTCTCGAGACCCATTAAGCAAGTCGAAGCTCCTGAATTGTTTGAATGGGATCACGGAATAGCTCTGCATGCACTACAGGGGAATGGGGCCTCATCTCGCCACTAGGGGGAAGTCTCATGGTTTTTCTCAAGTTGCGGCGGGGACCTGGGGTATGTTCTCGACTTACGGCGGGGATGGCCCTTCAAAACACGAGTTTCTTCAGTGACGTCAGGACTCCTGTCTAGTAAAGAGGGACACATCAGGAATCTCTTCAAGGCTTGGCAGGGCAAAAGGGACGCTTCACGAGGTGAGGCAGGGAACCCAAGGACACTTTCCAGTAGCCACAGGGATTTGGGATTCCTATTAGTATTCAAGAGGAGTCAGGCATCATCACCATTTGAAGAAATGAACTCCGCGTGCCTCTCGAGGTGTCAGCGGGATGTGAGGCATTCCGTCAAAAGGAGGCAGGGACCTAGGGCTTTCTCTAAGGTCTACACAGGGCATTCAGACATCCCTTCATGTTGTGAGATGAAACACGAGCCTGTATTCAAGCCACTGCAAGGAAATCCGTCCTCCTTTCAAGTTAGGGCTTCTCGCTGTATATTCGCCTTGAGGCAGCAAACTCGGGGTCTCTCCCAATACCTATTGCTGAGAGAAGCCTCCTCCTGAGGTGCTTCTGGAAAGTTGGCATACGTCTTGAGCCTAAGCCAGGGAATCAGCTCTCATCTCGAGACGATTTGGGGTACACGGAGCATTCCTCGAGTTGCTGTGCTGAAGTTGGTGTTCCTCTAGACTTGGGACAGTGTTCTCGGGGCATCTCTGGAGTAGCCTGAAGGAAGTCGAGCCACCGGTCTTGTTGAATGGGGAACGGGGAATGGCTCTGGAGTCAATGCAGGGGAATCGGGCCTCATCTCGAGTTGATTTGGGGCACATGGAGCTGCTTTGCGTTGCTGGGGTAACCTCAGGATCCGTCTAGACTGGTGACAGTGTTCTTGGGGACTGTCTCGAGATCCATTAAGCAAGTCGAAGCTCCTGACTTGTTTGAATGGGATCACGGAATAGCTCTGCATGCACTGCAGGGGAATGGGGCCTCATCTCGCCTCTAGGGGGAAGTCTCATGGTTTTTCTCGAGTTGCGGCGGGGACCTGCGGTATGTTCTCGACTTACGGCGGGGATGGCCCTTCAAAACACGAGTTTCTTCAGTGACGTCAGGACTCCTGTCTAGTAACGAGGGACACCTCAGGAATCTCTTCGAGGCTTGGCAGGGCAAAAGGGACGCTTCTCGAGGTGAGGCAGGGAACCCAAGGACCCTTTCCAGTAGCCACAGGGATTTGGGATTCCTATTAGTATTCAAGAGGAGTCAGGCATCGTCACCATTTGAAGAAATGAACTCCGCGTGCCTCTCGAGGTGTCAGCGGGATGTGAGGCATTCCGTCAAAAGGAGGCAGGGACCTAGGGCTTTCTCTAAGGTCTCCACAGGGGATTCAGACATCCCTTCATGTTGTGAGATGAAAGAAGAGCCTGTATTCAAACCACTGCAAGGAAATCCGGCCTCCTTTTAAGTTAGGGCTTCTCGCTGTATATTCGCCTTGAGGCAGCAAACTTGGGGTCCCTCCGACATACCTATTGCTGAGAGAAGCCTCCTCCTGAGGTGCTTCAGGAAAGTTGGCACACGTCAAGAGACTAAGCCAGGGAATCAGCTCTCATCTCGAGACGATTAGGGGTATACGGAGCATTCCTCGAGTTGCTGTGCTGAAGTTGGTGTTCCTCTAGACTTGGGACAGTGTTCTCGGGGCATCTCTGGAGTTGCCTGAAGGAAGTCGAGCCACCGGTCGTGTTGAATGGGGAACGGGGAATGGCTCTGGAGTCAATGCAGGGGAATCAGGCCTCATCTCGGGTTGATTTGGGGCACATAGTTCTGCTTTGCGTTGCTGGGGTGACCTCAGGGTCCGTCTAGACTGGTGACAGTGTTCTTGGGGACTGTCTCGAGACCCATTAAGCAAGTCGAAGCTCCTGAATTGTTTGAATGGGATCACGGAATAGCTCTGCATGCACTGCAGGGGAATGGGGCCTCATCTCGCCACTAGGGGGAAGTCTCATGGTTTTTCTCAAGTTGCGGCGGGGACCTGGGGTATGTTCTCGACTTACGGCGGGGATGGCCCTTCAAAACACGAGTTTCTTCAGTGACGTCAGGACTCCTGTCTAGTAAAGAGGGACACCTCAGGAATCCCTTCGAGGCTTGGCAGGGCAAAAGGGACGCTTCTCGAGGTGAGGCAGGGAACCCAAGGACCCTTTCCAGTAGCCACAGGGATTTGGGATTCCTATTAGTATTCAAGAGGAGTCAGGCATCGTCACCTTTTGAAGCAATGAACTCCACGTGCCTCTCGAGGTGTCAGCGTGATGTGATTCATTCCGTCAAAAGGAGGCAGGGACCTAGGGCTTTCTCTAAGGTCTCCACAGAGGCTTCAGACATCCCTTCATGTTGTGAGGTGAAAGACGAGCCTGTACTCAAGCCACTGCAAGGAAATCCGGCCTCCTTTCAAGTTAGGGCTTCTCGCTGTATATTCCCCTTGAGGCAGCAAACTCGGGGTCCCTCCCACATACCTATTGCTGAGAGAAGCCTCCTCCTGAGGTGCTTCTGGAAAGTTGGCATACGTCTTGAGCCTAAGCCAGGGAATCAGCTCTCATCTCGAGACGATTTGGGGTACACGGAGCATTCCTCGAGTTGCTGTGCTGAAGTTGGTGTTCCTCTAGACTTGGGACAGTGTTCTCGGGGCATCTCTGGAGTTGCCTGAAGGAAGTCGAGCCATCGGTCGTGTTGAATGGGGAACGGGGAATGGCTCTGGAGTCAATGCAGGGGAATCGGGCCTCATCTCGAGTTGATTTGGGTCACATGGAGCTGCTTTGAGTTGCTGGGGTAACCTCAGGGTCCGTCTAGACTGGTGACAGTGTTCTTGGGGACTGTCTCGAGATCCATTAAGCAAGTCGAAGCTCCTGACTTGTTTGAATGGGATCACGGAATAGCTCTGCATGCACTGCAGGGGAATGGGGCCTCATCTCGCCTCTAGGGGGAAGTCTCATGGTTTTTCTCGAGTTGCGGCGGGGACCTGCGGTATGTTCTCGACTTACGGCGGGGATGGCCCTTCAAAACACGAGTTTCTTCAGTGACGTCAGGACTCCTGTCTAGTAATGAGGGACACCTCAGGAATCTCTTCGAGGCTTGGCAGGGCAAAAGGGACGCTTCTCGAGGTGAGGCAGGGAACCCAAGGACCCTTTCCAGTAACCACAGTGATTTGGGATTCCTATTAGTATTCAAGAGGAGTCAGGCATCGTCACCATTTGAAGAAATGAACTCCGCGTGCCTCTCGAGGTGTCAGCGGGATGTGAGGCATTCCGTCAAAATGAGGCAGGGACCTAGGGCTTTCTCTAAGGTCTCCACAGGGGATTCAGACATCCCTTCATGTTGTGAGATGAAAGAAGAGCCTGTATTCAAGCCACTGCAAGGAAATCCGGCCTCCTTTTAAGTTAGGGCTTCTCGCTGTATATTCGCCTTGAGGCAGCAAACTCGGGGTCACTCCCAATACCTATTGCTGAGAGAAGCCTCCTCCTGAGGTGCTTCTGGAAAGTTGGCATACGTCTTGAGCCTAAGCCAGGGAATCAGCTCTCATCTCGAGACGATTTGGGGTACACGGAGCATTCCTCGAGTTGCTGTGCTGAAGTTGGTGTTCCTCTAGACTTGGGACAGTGTTCTCGGGGCATCTCTGGAGTTGCCTGAAGGAAGTCGAGCCACCGGTCTTGTTGAATGGGGAACGGGGAATGGCTCTGGAGTCAATGCAGGGGAATCAGGCCTCATCTCGAGTTGATTTGGGGCACATGGAGCTGCTTTGCGTTGCTGGGGTAACCTCAGGATCCGTCTAGACTGGTGACAGTGTTCTTGGGGACTGTCTCGAGATCCATTAAGCAAGTCGAAGCTCCTGACTTGTTTGAATGGGATCACGGAATAGCTCTGCATGCACTGCAGGGGAATGGGGCCTCATCTCGCCTCTAGGGGGAAGTCTCATGGTTTTTCTCGAGTTGCGGCGGGGACCTGCGGTATGTTCTCGACTTACGGCGGGGATGGCCCTTCAAAACACGAGTTTCTTCAGTGACGTCAGGACTCCTGTCTAGTAACGAGGGACACCTCAGGAATCTCTTCGAGGCTTGGCAGGGCAAAAGGGACGCTTCTCGAGGTGAGGCAGGGAACCCAAGGACCCTTTCCAGTAGCCACAGGGATTTGGGATTCCTATTAGTATTGAAGAGGAGTCAGGCATCGTCACCATTTGAAGAAATGAACTCCGCGTGCCTCTCGAGGTGTCAGCGGGATGTCAGGCATTCCGTCAAAAGGAGGCAGGGACCTAGAGCTTTCTCTAAGGTCTCCACAGGGGATTCAGACATCCCTTCATGTTGTGAGATGAAAGAAGAGCCTGTATTCAAGCCACTGCAAGGAAATCCGGCCTCCTTTTAAGTTAGGGCTTCTCGCTGTATATTCGCCTTGAGGCAGCAAACTCGGGGTCCCTCCGACATACCTATTGCTGAGAGAAGCCTCCTCCTGAGGTGCTTCTGGAAAGTTGGCATACGTCTTGAGACTAAGCCAGGGAATCAGCACTCATCTCGAGACGATTTGGGGTACACGGAGCATTCCTCGAGTTGCTGTGCTGAAGTTGGTGTTCCTCTAGACTTGGGACAGTGTTCGCGGGGCATCTCTGGAGTTGCCTGAAGGAAGTCGAGCCACCGGTCGTGTTGAATGGGGAACGGGGAATGGCTCTGGAGTCAATGCAGGGGAATCAGGCCTCATCTTGGGTTGATTTGGGGCACATAGTTCTCCTTTGCGTTGCTGGGGTGACCTCAAGGTCCGTCTAGACTGGTGACAGTGTTCTTGGCGACTGTCTCGAGACCCATTAAGCAAGTCGAAGCTCCTGAATTGTTTGAATGTGATCACGGAATAGCTCTGCATGCACTACAGGGGAATGGGGCCTCATCTCGCCACTAGGGGGAAGTCTCATGGTTTTTCTCAAGTTGCGGCGGGGACCTGGGGTATGTTCTCAACTTACGGCGGGGATGGCCCTTCAAAACACGAGTTTCTTCAGTGACGTCAGGACTCCTGTCTAGTAAAGAGGGACACCTCAGGAATCTCTTCGAGGCTTGGCAGGGCAAAAGGGACGCTTCTCGAGGTGAGGCAGGGACCCCAAGGACCCTTTCCAGTAGCCACAGAGATTTGGGATTCCTATTAGTATTCAAGAGGAGTCAGGCATCGTCACCATTTGAAGAAATGAACTCCGCGTGCCTCTCGAGGTGTCAGCGGGATGTGAGGCATTCCGACACAATGAGGCAGGGACCTAGGGCTTTCTCTAAGGTCTCCACAGGGGATTCAGACATCCCTTCATGTTGTGAGATGAAAGACGAGCCTGTATTCAAGCCACTGCAAGGAAATCCGGCCTCCTTTCAAGTTAGGGTTTCTCGCTGTATATTCTCCTTGAGGCAGCAAACTCGGGGTAACTCCCACATACCTATTGCTGAGAGAAGCCTCCTCCTGAGGTGTTTCTGGAAAGTTGGCATACGTCTTGAGCCTAAGCCAGGGAATCAGCTCTCATCTCTAGACGATTTGGGGTACACGGAGCATTCCTCGAGTTGCTGTGCTGAAGTTGGTGTTCCTCTAGACTTGGGACAGTGTTCTCGGGGCATCTCTGGAGTTGCCTGAAGGAAGTCGAGCCACCGGTCGTGTTGAATGGGGAACGGGGAATGGCTCTGGAGTCAATGCAGGGGAATCAGGCTTCCTCTCGGGTTGATTTGAGGCACATAGTGCTGCTTTGCGTTGCTGGGGTGACCTCAGGGTCCGTCTAGACTGGTGACAGTGTTCTTGGGGACTGTCTCGAGACCCATTAAGGAAATCAAAGCTCCTGACTTGTTTGAATGAGATCACGGAATAGTTCTGCATGCACTGCAGGTGAATGGGGCCTCATCTCGCCACTAGGGGGAAGTCTCATGGTTTTTCTCGAGTTGCGGCGGGGACCTGGGGTATGTTCTCGACTTACGGCGGGGATGGCCCTTCAAAACACGAGTTTCTTCAGTGACGTCAGGACTCCTGTCTAGTAACGAGGGACACCTCAGGAATCTCTTCGAGGCTTGACAGGGCAAAAGGGACGCTTCTCGATGTGAGGCAGTGAACCCAAGGACCCTTTCCAGTAGCCACAGGGATTTTGGGATTCCTATCAGTATTCAAGAGGAGTCAGGCATCGTCACCTTTTGAAGCAATGAACTCCACGTGCCTCTCGAGGTGTCAGCGTGATGTGATTCATTCCGTCAAAAGGAGGCAGGGACCTAGGGCTTTCTCTAAGGTCTCCACAGAGGCTTCAGACATCCCTTCATGTTGTGAGGTGAAAGACGAGCCTGTACTCAAGCCACTGCAAGGAAATCCGGCCTCCTTTCAAGTTAGGGCTTCTCGCTGTATATTCCCCTTGAGGCAGCAAACTCGGGGTCCCTCCCACATACCTATTGCTGAGAGAAGCCTCCTCCTGAGGTGCTTCTGGAAAGTTGGCATACGTCTTGAGCCTAAGCCAGGGAATCAGCTCTCATCTCGAGACGATTTGGGGTACACGGAGCATTCCTCGAGTTGCTGTGCTGAGGTTGGTGTTCCTCTAGTCTTGGGTCAGTGTTCTCGGGGCATCTCTGGAGTTGCCTGAAAGACGTCAAGACGCCGGTCGTGTTGAATCGGGAATGGGGAATGGCTCTGGATTCAATGCAGGGGAATCGGGCCTTATCTTGAGTTGATTTGGGGCACATGGAGCTGCTTTGCGTTGCTGGGGTGACCTCAGGGTCCGTCTAGACTGGTGACAGTGTTTTTGGGGCCTGCCTCGAGATCCATTAAGCAAGTCGAAGCTCCTGACTTGATTGAATGGGATCACGGAATAGCTCTGCATGCACTGCAGGGGAATGGGGCCTCATCTCGCCTCTAGGGGGAAGTCTCATGGTTTTTCTCGAGTTGCGGCGGGGACCTGGGGTATGTTCTCGACTTACGGCGCGGATGGCCCTTCAAAACACGAGTTTCTTCAGTGACGTCAGGACTCCTGTCTAGTAACGAGGGACACCTCAGGAATCTCTCCGAGGCTTGGCAGGGCAAAAGGGACGCTTCTCGAGGTGAGGCAGGGAACCCAAGGACCCTTTCCAGTAGCCACAGGGATTTTGGGATTCCTATCAGTATTCAAGAGGAGTCAGGCATCATCACCTTTTGAAGCAATTAACTCCACGTGCCTCTCAAGGTGTCAGCGGGATGTGAGGCATTCCGTCAAAAGGAGGCAGGGACCTAGGTCTTTCTCTAAGGTATCCACAGGGGATTCAGACATCCCTTCATGTTGTGAGGTGAAAGACGAGCCTGTATTCAAACCACTGCAAGGAAATCCGGCCTCCTTTCACGTTAGGGCTTCTCGCTGTATATTCCCCTTGAGGCAGCAAACTCGGGGTCCCTCCCACATAGCTATTGCTGAGAGAAGCCTCCTCCTGAGGTGCTTCTGGAAAGTTGGCATACGTCTTGAGACTAAGCCAGGGAATCAGCTCTCATCTCGAGACGATTTGGGGTACACGGAGCATTCCTCGAGTTGCTGTGCTGAAGTTGGTGTTCCTCTAGACTTGGGACAGTGTTCTCGGGGCATGTCTGGAGTTGCCTGAAGGAAGTGGAGCCACCGGTCGTCTTGAATGGGGAACGGGGAATGGCTCTGGAGTCAACGCAGGGGAATCAGGCCTCATCTCGGGTTGATTTGGGGCACATAGTGCTGCTTTGCGTTGCTGGGGTGACCTCAGGGTCCTTCTAGACTGGTGACAGTGTTCTTGGGGACTGTCTCGAGACCCATTAAGCAAGTCAAAGCTCCTGACTTGTTTGAATGGGATCACGGAATAGCTCTGCATGCACTGCAGGGGAATGGGGCCTCATCTCGCCACTAGGGGGAAGTCTCATGGTTTTTCTCGAGTTGCGGCGGGAACCTGGGTTATGTTCTCGACTTACGGCGGGGATGGCCCTTCAAAACACGAGTTTCTCCAGTGACGTCAGGACTCCTGTCTAGTAACGAGGGACACCTCAGGAATCTCTTCGAGGCTTGGCAGGGCAAAAGGGAAGCTTCACGAGGTGAGGCAGGGCACCCAAGGACCCTTTCCAGTAGCCACAGGGATTTTGGGATTCCTATCAGTATTCAAGAGGAGTCAGGCATCGTTCCCTTTTGAAGCAATGAACTCCACGTGCCTCTCGATGTGTCAGCGGGATGTGAGGCATTCCGTCAAAAGGAGGCAGGGACCTAGGGCTTTCTCTAAGGTCTCCACAGGGGCTTCAGAAAACCCTTCATGTTCTGAGGTGAAAGACGAGCCTGTATTCAAGCCACTGCAAGGAAATCCGTCCTCCTTTCAAGTTAGGGCTTCTCGCTGTATATTCGCCTTGAGGCAGCAAACTCGGGGTCCCTCCCAATACCTATTGCTGAGAGAAGCCTCCTCCTGAGGTGCATCTGGAAAGTTGGCATACGTCTTGAGACTAAGCCAGGGAATCAGCTCTCATCTCGAGACGATTTGGGGTACACGGAGCATTCCTCGAGTTGCTGTGCTGAAGTTGGTGTTCCTCTAGACTTGGGACAGTGTTCTCGGGGCATCTCTGGAGTTGCCTGAAGGAAGTCGAGCCACCGGTCGTGTTGAATGGGGAACGGGGAATGGCTCTGGAGTCAATGAAGGGGAATCAGGCCTCATCTCGGGTTGATTTGGGGCACATAGTTCTGCTTTGCGTTGCTGGGGTGATCTCAGGTTCCGTCTAGACTGGTGACAGTGTTCTTGGGGACTGTCTCGAGACCCATTAAGCAAGTCGAAGCTCCTGAATTGTTTGAATGGGATCACGGAATAGCTCTGCATGCACTACAGGGGAATGGGGCCTCATCTCGCCACTAGGGGGAAGTCTCATGGTTTTTCTCAAGTTGCGGCGGGGACCTGGGGTATGTTCTCGACTTACGGCGGGGATGGCCCTTCAAAACACGAGTTTCTTCAGTGACGTCAGGACTCCTGTCTAGTAAAGAGGGACACATCAGGAATCTCTTCAAGGCTTGGCAGGGCAAAAGGGACGCTTCTCGAGGTGAGGCAGGGAACCCAAGGACCCTTTCCAGTAGCCACAGGGATTTGGGATTCCTATTAGTATTCAAGAGGAGTCAGGCATCATCACCATTTGAAGAAATGAACTCCGCGTGCCTCTCGAGGTGTCAGCGGTTTGTGAGGCATTCCGTCAAAAGGAGGCAGGGACCTAGGGCTTTCTCTAAGGTCTCCACAGGGGATTCAGATATCCCTTCATGTTGTGAGATGAAAGACGAGCTTGTATTCAAGCCACTGCAAGGAAATCCGGCCTCCTTTCAAATTAGGGTTTCTCTCTGTATATTCCCCTTGAGGCAGCAAACTCGGGGTCCCTCCCACATAGCTATTGCTGAGAGAAGCCTCCCCCTGAGGTGCTTCTGGAAAGTTGGCATACGTCTTGAGCCTAAGCCAGGGAATCAGCTCGCATCTCGAGACGATTTGGTGTACACGGAGCATTCCTCGAGTTGCTGTGCTGAAGTTGGTGTTCCTCTAGACTTGGGACAGTGTTCTCGGGGCATCTCTGGAGTTGCCTGAAGGAAGTCGAGCCACCGGTCGTGTTGAATGGGGAACGGGGAATGGCTCTGGAGTCAATGCAGGGGAATCGGTCTCATCTCGAGTTGATTTGGGTCACATGGAGCTGCTTTGAGTTGCTGGGGTAACCTCAGGGTCCGTCTAGACTGGTGACAGTGTTCTTGGGGACTGTCTCGAGATCCATTAAGCAAGTCGAAGCTCCTGACTTGTTTGAATGGGATCACGGAATAGCTCTGCATGCACTGCAGGGGAATGGGGCCTCATCTCGCCTCTAGGGGGAAGTCTCATGGTTTTTCTCGAGTTGCGGCGGGGACCTGGGGTATGTTCTCGACTTACGGTGGCGATGGCCCTTCAAAACACGAGTTTCTTCAGTGACGTCAAGACTCCTGTCTAGTAACGAGGGACACCTCAGGAATCTCTTCGAGGCTTGGCAGGGCAAAAGGGACGCTTCTCGAGGTGAGGCAGGGAAGCCAAGGACCCTTTCCAGTAGCCACAGGGATTTGGGATTCCTATTAGTATTCAAGAGGAGTCAGGCATCGTCACCATTTGAAGAAATTAACTCTGCGTGCCTCTCGAGGTGTCAGCAGGATGTGAGGCATTCCGTCAAAAGGAGGCAGGGACCTAGGGCTTTCTCTAAGGTCTCCACAGGGGATTCAGACATCCCTTCATGTTGTGAGATGAAAGAAGAGCCTGTATTCAAACCACTGCAAGGAAATCCGGCCTCCTTTTAAGTTAGGGCTTCTCGCTGTATATTCGCCTTGAGGCAGCAAACTCGGGGTCCCTCCGACATACCTATTGCTGAGAGAAGCCTCCTCCTGAGGTGCTTCTGGAAAGTTGGCATACGTCTTGAGACTAAGCCAGGGAATCAGCTCTCATCTCGAGACGATTTGGGGTATACGGAGCATTCCTCGAGTTGCTGTGCTGAAGTTGGTGTTCCTCTAGACTTGGGACAGTGTTCTCGGGGCATCTCTGGAGTTGCCTGAAGGAAGTCGAGCCACCGGTCGTGTTGAATGGGGAACGGGGAATGGCTCTGGAGTCAATGCAGGGGAATCAGGCCTCATCTCGGGTTGATTTGGGGCACATAGTTCTGCTTTGCGTTGCTGGGGTGACCTCAGGGTCCGTCTAGACTGGTGACAGTGTTCTTGGCGACTGTCTCGAGACCCATTAAGCAAGTCGAAGCTCCTGAATTGTTTGAATGTGATCACGGAATAGCTCTGCATGCACTACAGGGGAATGGGGCCTCATCTCGCCACTAGGGGGAAGTCTCATGGTTTTTCTCGAGTTGCGGCGGGGACCTGGGGTATGTTCTCGACTTACGGCGGCGATGGCCCTTCAAAACACGAGTTTCTTCAGTGACGTCAGGACTCCTGCCTAGTAACGAGGGACACCTCAGGAATCTCTTCGAGGCTTGGCAGGGCAAAAGGGACGCTTCTCGAGGTGAGGCAGGGAACCCAAGGACCCTTTCCAGTAGCCACAGAGATTTGGGATTCCTATTAGTATTCAAGAGGAGTCAGGCATCGTCACCATTTGAAGAAATGAACTCCGCGTGCCTCTCGAGGTGTCAGCGGGATGTGAGCATTCCGACACAATGAGGCAGGGACCTAGGGCTTTCTCTAAGGTCTCCACAGGGGATTCAGACATCCCTTCATGTTGTGAGATGAAAGACGAGCCTGTATTCAAGCCACTGCAAGGAAATCCGGCCTCCTTTCAAGTTAGGGTTTCTCGCTGTATATTCTCCTTGAGGCAACAAATTCGGGGTAACTCCCACATACCTATTGCTGAGAGAAGCCTCCGCCTGAGGTGCTTCTGGAAAGTTGGCATACGTCTTGAGACTAAGCCAGGGAATCAGCTCTCATCTCGAGACGATTTGGGGTACACGGAGCATTCCTCGAGTTGCTGTGCTGAAGTTGGTGTTCCTCTAGACTTGGGACAGTGTTCTCGGGGCATCTCTGGAGTTGCCTGAAGGAAGTCGAGCCACCGGTCTTGTTGAATGGGGAACGGGGAATGGCTCTGGAGTCAATGCAGGGGAATCGGGCCTCATCTCGAGTTGATTTGGGGCACATGGAGCTGCTTTGCGTTGCTGGGGTGACCTCAGGGTCCGTCTAGGCTGGTGACAGTGTTCTTGGGGACTGTCTCGAGATCCATTAAGCAAGTCGAAGCTCCTGACTTGTTTGAATGGGATCACGGAATAGCTCTGCATGCACTGCAGGGGAATGGGGCCTCATCTCGCCCTAGGGGGAAGTCTCATGGTTTTTCTCGTGTTGCGGCGGGGACCTGGGTTATGTTCTCGACTTATGGCGGGGATGGCCCTTCAAAACACGAGTTTCTTCAGTGACGTCAGGATTCCTGTCTAGTAACGAGGGACACCTCACGAATCTCTTCGAGGCTTGGCAGGGCAAAAGGGAGGCTTCTCGAGGTGAGGCAGGGCACCCAAGGACCCTTTCCAGTAGCCACAGGGATTTGGGATTCCTATTAGTATTCAAGAGGAGTTAGGCATCGTCATCATTTGAAGCAATGAAATTCGCGGGCCTCTCGAGGTGTCAGCGGGATGTGAGGCATTCCGTCAAAAGGAGACAGGGACCTAGGGCTTTCTCTAAGGTCTGCACAGGGGATTCAGACATCCCATCATGTTGTGAGATGAAAGACGAGCCTGTATTCAAGCCACTGCAAGGAAATCCGGCCTCCTTTCAAGTTAGGGCTTCTCGCTGTATATTCGCCTTGAGGCAGCAAACTCGGGGTCCCTCCCACATACCTATTGCTGAGAGAAGCCTCCTCCTGAGGTGTTTCTGGAAAGTTGGCATACGTCTTGAGCCTAAGCCAGGGAATCAGCTCTCATCTCGAGACGATTTGGGGTACACGGAGCATTCCTCGAGTTGCTGTGCTGAAGTTGGTGTTCCTCTAGACTTGGGACAGTGTTCTCGGGGCATGTCTGGAGTTGCCTGAAGGAAGTGGAGCCACCGGTCGTCTTGAATGGGGAACGGGGAATGGCTCTGGAGTCAATGCAGGGGAATCAGGCCTCATCTCGTTTTGATTTGGGGCACATAGTGCTGCTTTGCGTTGCTGGGGTGACCTCAGGGTCCTTCTAGACTGGTGACAGTGTTCTTGGGGACTGTCTCGAGACCCATTAAGCAAGTCAAAGCTCCTGACTTGTTTGAATGGGATCACGGAATAGCTCTGCATGCACTGCAGGGGAATGGGGCCTCATCTCGCCACTAGGGGGAAGTCTCATGGTTTTTCTCGAGTTGCGGCGGGAACCTGGGTTATGTTCTCGACTTACGGCGGGGATGGCCCTTCAAAACACGAGTTTCTCCAGTGACGTCAGGACTCCTGTCTAGTAACGAGGGACACCTCAGGAATCTCTTCGAGGCTTGGCAGGGCAAAAGGGACGCTTCTCGAGGTGAGGCAGGGCACCCAAGAACCCTTTCCAGTAGCCACAGGGATTTTGGGATTCCTATCAGTATTCAAGAGGAGTCAGGCATCGTTCCCTTTTGAAGCAATGAACTCCACGTGCCTCTCGAGGTGTCAGCGGGATGTGAGGCATTCCGTCAAAAGGAGGCAGGGACCTAGGGCTTTCTCTAAGGTCTCCACAGGGGCTTCAGAAAACCCTTCATGTTGTGAGGTGAAAGACGAGCCTGTATTCAAGCCACTGCAAGGAAATCCGTCCTCCTTTCAAGTTAGGGCTTCTCGCTGTATATTCGCCTTGAGGCAGCAAACTCGGGGTCCCTCCCAATACCTATTGCTGAGAGAAGCCTCCTCCTGAGGTGCATCTGGAAAGTTGGCAAACGTCTTGAGACTAAGCCAGGGAATCAGCTCTCATCTCGAGACGATTTGGGGTACACGGAGCATTCCTCGAGTTGCTGTGCTGAAGTTGGTGTTCCTCTAGACTTGGGACAGTGTTCTCGGGGCATCTCTGGAGTTGCCTGAAGGAAGTCGAGCCACCGGTCGTGTTGAATGGGGAACGGGGAATGGCTCTGGAGTCAATGCAGGGGAATCAGGCCTCATCTCGGGTTGATTTGGGGCACATAGTTCTGCTTTGCGTTGCTGGGGTGACCTCAGGTTCCGTCTAGACTGGTGACAGTGTTCTTGGGGACTGTCTCGAGACCCATTAAGCAAGTCGAAGCTACTGAATTGTTTGAATGGGATCACGGAATAGCTCTGCATGCACTACAGGGGAATGGGGCCTCATCTCGCCACTAGGGGGAAGTCTCATGGTTTTTCTCAAGTTGCGGCGGGGACCTGGGGTATGTTCTCGACTTACGGCGGGGATGGCCCTTCAAAACACGAGTTTCTTCAGTGACGTCAGGACTCCTGTCTAGTAAAGAGGGACACATCAGGAATCTCTTCAAGGCTTGGCAGGGCAAAAGGGACGCTTCTCGAGGTGAGGCAGGGAACCCAAGGACCCTTTCCAGTAGCCACAGGGATTTCGGATTCCTATTAGTATTCAAGAGGAGTCAGGCATCATCACCATTTGAAGAAATGAACTCCGCGTGCCTCTCGAGGTGTCAGCGGGATGTGAGGCATTCCGTCAAAAGGAGGCAGGGACCTAGGGCTTTCTCTAAGGTCTCCACAGGGGATTCAGATATCCCTTCATGTTGTGAGATGAAAGACGAGCTTGTATTCAAGCCACTGCAAGGAAATCCGGCCTCCTTTCAAATTAGGGTTTCTCTCTGTATATTCCCCTTGAGGCAGCAAACTCGGGGTCCCTCCCACATAGCTATTGCTGAGAGAAGCCTCCCCCTGAGGTGCTTCTGGAAAGTTGGCATACGTCTTGAGCCTAAGCCAGGGAATCAGCTCTCATCTCGAGACGATTTGGGGTACACGGAGCATTCCTCGAGTTGCTGTTCTGAAGTTGGTGTTCCTCTAGACTTGGGACAGTGTTCTCGGGGCATCTCTGGAGTTGCCTGAAGGAAGTCGAGCCACAGGTCGTGTTGAATGGGGAACGGGGAATGGCTCTGGAGTCAATGCAGGGGAATCGGGCCTCATCTCGAGTTGATTTGGGGCACATGGAGCTGCTTTGAGATGCTGGGGTAACCTCAGGGTCCGTCTAGACTGGTGACAGTGTTCTTGGGGACTGTCTCGAGATCCATTAAGCAAGTCGAAGCTCCTGACTTGTTTGAATGGGATCACGGAATAGCTCTGCATGCACTGCAGGGGAATGGGGCCTCATCTCGCCTCTAGGGGGAAGTCTCATGGTTTTTCTCGAGTTGCGGCGGGGACCTGGGGTATGTTCTCGACTTACGGTGGCGATGGCCCTTCAAAACACGAGTTTCTTCAGTGACGTCAAGACTCCTGTCTAGTAACGAGGGACACCTCAGGAATCTCTTCAAGGCTTGGCAGGGCAAAAGGGACGCTTCTCGAAGTGAGGCAGTGAACCCAAGGACCCTTTCCAGTAGCCACAGTGATTTGGGATTCCTATTAGTATTCAAGAGGAGTCAGGCATCGTCACCATTTGAAGAAATGAACTCCGCGTGCCTCTCGAGGTGTCAGCGGGATGTGAGGCATTCCGTCAAAATGAGGCAGGGACCTAGGGCTTTCTCTAAGGTCTCCACAGGGGATTCAGACATCCCTTCATGTTGTGAGATGAAAGAAGAGCCTGTATTCAAGCCACTGCAAGGAAATCCGGCTTCCTTTTAAGTTAGGGCTTCTCGCTGTATATTCGCCTTGAGGCAGCAAACTCGGGGTCTCTCCCAATACCTATTGCTGAGAGAAGCCTCCTCCTGAGGTGCTTCTGGAAAGTTGGCATACGTCTTGAGCCTAAGCCAGGGAATCAGCTCTCATCTCGAGACGATTTGGGGTACACGGAGCATTCCTCGAGTTGCTGTGCTGAAGTTGGTGTTCCTCTAGACTTGGGACAGTGTTCTCGGGGCATCTCTGGAGTTGCCTGAAGGAAGTCGAGCCACCGGTCTTGTTGAATGGGGAACGGGGAATGGCTCTGGAGTCAATGCAGGGGAATCGGGCCTCATCTCGAGTTGATTTGGGGCACATGGAGCTGCTTTGCGTTGCTGGGGTAACCTCAGGATCCGTCTAGACTGGTGACAGTGTTCTTGGGGACTGTCTCGAGATCCATTAAGCAAGTCTAAGCTCCTGACTTGTTTGAATGGGATCACGGAATAGCTCTGCATGCACTGCAAGGGAATGGGGCCTCATCTCGCCTCTAGGGGGAAGTCTCATGGTTTTTCTCGAGTTGCGGCGGGGACCTGCGGTATGTTCTCGACTTACGGCGGGGATGGCCCTTCAAAACACGAGTTTCTTCAGTGACGTCAGGACTCCTGTCTAGTAACGAGGGACACCTCAGGAATCTCTTCGAGGCTTGGCAGGGCAAAAGGGACGCTTCTCGAGGTGAGGCAGGGAAGCCAAGGACCCTTTCCAGTAGCCACAGGGATTTGGGATTCCTATTAGTATTCAAGAGGAGTCAGGCATCGTCACCATTTGAAGAAATGAACTCTGCGTGCCTCTCGAGGTGTCAGCAGGATGTGAGGCATTCCGTCAAAAGGAGGCAGGGACCTAGGGCTTTCTCTAAGGTCTCCACAGGGGATTCAGACATCCCTTCATGTTGTGAGATGAAAGAAGAGCCTGTATTCAAACCACTGCAAGGAAATCCGGCCTCCTTTTAAGTTAGGGCTTCTCGCTGTATATTCGCCTTGAGGCAGCAAACTCGGGGTCCCTCCGACATACCTATTGCTGAGAGAAGCCTCCTCCTGAGGTGCTTCTGGAAAGTTGGCATACGTCTTGAGACTAAGCCAGGGAATCAGCTCTCATCTCGAGACGATTTGGGGTATACGGAGCATTCCTCGAGTTGCTGTGCTGAAGTTGGTGTTCCTCTAGACTTGGGACAGTGTTCTCGGGGCATCTCTGGAGTTGCCTGAAGGAAGTCGAGCCACCGGTCGTGTTGAATGGGGAACGGGGAATGGCTCTGGAGTCAATGCAGGGGAATCAGGCCTCATCTCGGGTTGATTTGGGGCACATAGTTCTGCTTTGCGTTGCTGGGGTGACCTCAGGGTCCGTCTAGACTGGTGACAGTGTTCTTGGCGACTGTCTCGAGACCCATTAAGCAAGTCGAAGCTCCTGAATTGTTTGAATGTGATCACGGAATAGCTCTGCATGCACTACAGGGGAATGGGGCCTCATCTCGCCACTAGGGGGAAGTCTCATGGTTTTTCTCGAGTTGCGGCGGGGACCTGGGGTATGTTCTCGACTTACGGCGGCGATGGCCCTTCAAAACACGAGTTTCTTCAGTGACGTCAGGACTCCTGCCTAGTAACGAGGGACACCTCAGGAATCTCTTCGAGGCTTGGCAGGGCAAAAGGGACGCTTCTCGAGGTGAGGCAGGGAACCCAAGGACCCTTTCCAGTAGCCACAGAGATTTGGGATTCCTATTAGTATTCAAGAGGAGTCAGGCATCGTCACCATTTGAAGAAATGAACTCCGCGTGCCTCTCGAGGTGTCAGCGGGATGTGAGGCATTCCGACACAATGAGGCAGGGACCTAGGGCTTTCTCTAAGGTCTCCACAGGGGATTCAGACATCCCTTCATGTTGTGAGATGAAAGACGAGCCTGTATTCAAGCCACTGCAAGGAAATCCGGCCTCCTTTCAAGTTAGGGTTTCTCGCTGTATATTCTCCTTGAGGCAACAAATTCGGGGTAACTCCCACATACCTATTGCTGAGAGAAGCCTCCGCCTGAGGTGCTTCTGGAAAGTTGGCATACGTCTTGAGACTAAGCCAGGGAATCAGCTCTCATCTCGAGACGATTTGGGGTACACGGAGCATTCCTCGAGTTGCTGTGCTGAAGTTGGTGTTCCTCTAGACTTGGGACAGTGTTCTCGGGGCATCTCTGGAGTTGCCTGAAGGAAGTCGAGCCACCGGTCTTGTTGAATGGGGAACGGGGAATGGCTCTGGAGTCAATGCAGGGGAATCGGGCCTCATCTCGAGTTGATTTGGGGCACATGGAGCTGCTTTGCGTTGCTGGGGTGACCTCAGGGTCCGTCTAGGCTGGTGACAGTGTTCTTGGGGACTGTCTCGAGATCCATTAAGCAAGTCGAAGCTCCTGACTTGTTTGAATGGGATCACGGAATAGCTCTGCATGCACTGCAGGGGAATGGGGCCTCATCTCGCCCTAGGGGGAAGTCTCATGGTTTTTCTCGTGTTGCGGCGGGGACCTGGGTTATGTTCTCGACTTATGGCGGGGATGGCCCTTCAAAACACGAGTTTCTTCAGTGACGTCAGGATTCCTGTCTAGTAACGAGGGACACCTCAGGAATCTCTTCGAGGCTTGGCAGGGCAAAAGGGAGGCTTCTCGATGTGAGGCAGGGCACCCAAGGACCCTTTCCAGTAGCCACAGGGATTTGGGATTCCTATTAGTATTCAAGAGGAGTTAGGCATCGTCATCATTTGAAGCAATGAAATTCGCGGGCCTCTCGAGGTGTCAGCGGGATGTGAGGCATTCCGTCAAAAGGAGACAGGGACCTAGGGCTTTCTCTAAGGTCTGCACAGGGGATTCAGACATCCCATCATGTTGTGAGATGAAAGACGAGCCTGTATTCAAGCCACTGCAAGGAAATCCGGCCTCCTTTCAAGTTAGGGCTTCTCGCTGTATATTCGCCTTGAGGCAGCAAACTCGGGGTCCCTCCCACATACCTATTGCTGAGAGAAGCCTCCTCCTGAGGTGTTTCTGGAAAGTTGGCATACGTCTTGAGCCTAAGCCAGGGAATCAGCTCTCATCTCGAGACGATTTGGGGTACACGGAGCATTCCTCGAGTTGCTGTGCTGAAGTTGGTGTTCCTCTAGACTTGGGACAGTGTTCTCGGGGCATGTCTGGAGTTGCCTGAAGGAAGTGGAGCCACCGGTCGTCTTGAATGGGGAACGGGGAATGGCTCTGGAGTCAATGCAGGGGAATCAGGCCTCATCTCGTTTTGATTTGGGGCACATAGTGCTGCTTTGCGTTGCTGGGGTGACCTCAGGGTCCTTCTAGACTGGTGACAGTGTTCTTGGGGACTGTCTCGAGACCCATTAAGCAAGTCAAAGCTCCTGACTTGTTTGAATGGGATCACGGAATAGCTCTGCATGCACTGCAGGGGAATGGGGCCTCATCTCGCCACTAGGGGGAAGTCTCATGGTTTTTCTCGAGTTGCGGCGGGAACCTGGGTTATGTTCTCGACTTACGGCGGGGATGGCCCTTCAAAACACGAGTTTCTCCAGTGACGTCAGGACTCCTGTCTAGTAACGAGGGACACCTCAGGAATCTCTTCGAGGCTTGGCAGGGCAAAAGGGACGCTTCTCGAGGTGAGGCAGGGCACCCAAGAACCCTTTCCAGTAGCCACAGGGATTTTGGGATTCCTATCAGTATTCAAGAGGAGTCAGGCATCGTTCCCTTTTGAAGCAATGAACTCCACGTGCCTCTCGAGGTGTCAGCGGGATGTGAGGCATTCCGTCAAAAGGAGGCAGGGACCTAGGGCTTTCTCTAAGGTCTCCACAGGGGCTTCAGAAAACCCTTCATGTTGTGAGATGAAAGAAGAGCCTGTATTCAAGCCACTGCAAGGAAATCCGGCTTCCTTTTAAGTTAGGGCTTCTCGCTGTATATTCGCCTTGAGGCAGCAAACTCGGGGTCCCTCCCAATACCTATTGCTGAGAGAAGCCTCCTCCTGAGGTGCATCTGGAAAGTTGGCAAACGTCTTGAGACTAAGCCAGGGAATCAGCTCTCATCTCGAGACGATTTGGGGTACACGGAGCATTCCTCGAGTTGCTGTGCTGAAGTTGGTGTTCCTCTAGACTTGGGACAGTGTTCTCGGGGCATCTCTGGAGTTGCCTGAAGGAAGTCGAGCCACCGGTCGTGTTGAATGGGGAACGGGGAATGGCTCTGGAGTCAATGCAGGGGAATCAGGCCTCATCTCGGGTTGATTTGGGGCACATAGTTCTGCTTTGCGTTGCTGGGGTGACCTCAGGTTCCGTCTAGACTGGTGACAGTGTTCTTGGGGACTGTCTCGAGACCCATTAAGCAAGTCGAAGCTACTGAATTGTTTGAATGGGATCACGGAATAGCTCTGCATGCACTACAGGGGAATGGGGCCTCATCTCGCCACTAGGGGGAAGTCTCATGGTTTTTCTCAAGTTGCGGCGGGGACCTGGGGTATGTTCTCGACTTACGGCGGGGATGGCCCTTCAAAACACGAGTTTCTTCAGTGACGTCAGGACTCCTGTCTAGTAAAGAGGGACACATCAGGAATCTCTTCAAGGCTTGGCAGGGCAAAAGGGACGCTTCTCGAGGTGAGGCAGGGAACCCAAGGACCCTTTCCAGTAGCCACAGGGATTTGGGATTCCTATTAGTATTCAAGAGGAGTCAGGCATCATCACCATTTGAAGAAATGAACTCCGCGTGCCTCTCGAGGTGTCAGCGGGATGTGAGGCATTCCGTCAAAAGGAGGCAGGGACCTAGGGCTTTCTCTAAGGTCTCCACAGGGGATTCAGATATCCCTTCATGTTGTGAGATGAAAGACGAGCTTGTATTCAAGCCACTGCAAGGAAATCCGGCCTCCTTTCAAATTAGGGTTTCTCTCTGTATATTCCCCTTGAGGCAGCAAACTCGGGGTCCCTCCCACATAGCTATTGCTGAGAGAAGCCTCCCCCTGAGGTGCTTCTGGAAAGTTGGCATACGTCTTGAGCCTAAGCCAGGGAATCAGCTCTCATCTCGAGACGATTTGGGGTACACGGAGCATTCCTCGAGTTGCTGTTCTGAAGTTGGTGTTCCTCTAGACTTGGGACAGTGTTCTCGGGGCATCTCTGGAGTTGCCTGAAGGAAGTCGAGCCACAGGTCGTGTTGAATGGGGAACGGGGAATGGCTCTGGAGTCAATGCCGGGGAATCGGGCCTCATCTCGAGTTGATTTGGGGCACATGGAGCTGCTTTGAGATGCTGGGGTAACCTCAGGGTCCGTCTAGACTGGTGACAGTGTTCTTGGGGACTGTCTCGAGATCCATTAAGCAAGTCGAAGCTCCTGACTTGTTTGAATGGGATCACGGAATAGCTCTGCATGCACTGCAGGGGAATGGGGCCTCATCTCGCTTCTAGGGGGAAGTCTCATGGTTTTTCTCGAGTTGCGGCGGGGACCTGGGGTATGTTCTCGACTTACGGTGGCGATGGCCCTTCAAAACACGAGTTTCTTCAGTGACGTCAAGACTCCTGTCTAGTAACGAGGGACACCTCAGGAATCTCTTCAAGGCTTGGCAGGGCAAAAGGGACGCTTCTCGAAGTGAGGCAGTGAACCCAAGGACCCTTTACAGTAGCCACAGTGATTTGGGATTCCTATTAGTATTCAAGAGGAGTCAGGCATCGTCACCATTTGAAGAAATGAACTCCGCGTGCCTCTCGAGGTGTCAGCGGGATGTGAGGCATTCCGTCAAAATGAGGCAGGGACCTAGGGCTTTCTCTAAGGTCTCCACAGGGGATTCAGACATCCCTTCATGTTGTGAGATGAAAGAAGAGCCTGTATTCAAGCCACTGCAAGGAAATCCGTCTTCCTTTTAAGTTAGGGCTTCTCGCTGTATATTCGCCTTGAGGCAGCAAACTCGGGGTCTCTCCCAATACCTATTGCTGAGAGAAGCCTCCTCCTGAGGTGCTTCTGGAAAGTTGGCATACGTCTTGAGCCTAAGCCAGGGAATCAGCTCTCATCTCTAGACGATTTGGGGTACACGGAGCATTCCTCGAGTTGCTGTGCTGAAGTTGGTGTTCCTCTAGACTTGGGACAGTGTTCTCGGGGCATCTCTGGAGTTGCCTGAAGGAAGTCGAGCCACCGGTCTTGTTGAATGGGGAACGGGGAATGGCTCTGGAGTCAATGCAGGGGAATCGGGCCTCATCTCGAGTTGATTTGGGGCACATGAAGCTGCTTTGCGTTGCTGGGGTAACCTCAGGATCCGTCTAGACTGGTGACAGTGTTCTTGGGGACTGTCTCGAGATCCATTAAGCAAGTCGAAGCTCCTGACTTGTTTGAATGGGATCACGGAATAGCTCTGCATGCACTGCAGGGGAATGGGGCCTCATCTCGCCTCTAGGGGAAATCTCATGGTTTTTCTCGAGTTGCGGCGGGGACCTGCGGTATGTTCTCGACTTACGGCGGGGATGGCCCTTCAAAACACGAGTTTCTTCAGTGACGTCAGGACTCCTGTCTAGTAACGAGGGACACCTCAGGAATCTCTTCGAGGCTTGGCAGGGCAAAAGGGACGCTTCTCGAGGTGAGGCAGGGAACCCAAGGACCCTTTCCAGTAGCCACAGGGATTTGGGATTCCTATTAGTATTCAAGAGGAGTCAGGCATCGTCACCATTTTAAGAAATGAACTCCGCGTGCCTCTCGAGGTGTCAGCGGGATGTGAGGCATTCCGTCAAAAGGAGGCAGGGACCTAGGGCTTTCTCTAAGGTCTCCACAGGGGATTCAGACATCCCTTCATGTTGTGAGATGAAAGAAGAGCCTGTATTCAAACCACTGCAAGGAAATCCGGCCTCCTTTTAAGTTAGGGCTTCTCGCTGTATATTCGCCTTGAGGCAGCAAACTCGGGGTCCCTCCGACATACCTATTGCTGAGAGAAGCCTCCTCCTGAGGTGCTTCTGGAAAGTTGGCACACGTCTTGAGACTAAGCCAGGGAATCAGCTCTCATCTCGAGACGATTTGGGGTATACGGAGCATTCCTCGAGTTGCTGTGCTGAAGTTGGTGTTCCTCTAGACTTAGGACAGTGTTCTCGGGGCATCTCTGGAGTTGACTGAAGGAAGTCGAGCCACCGGTCGTGTTGAATGGGGAACGGGGAATGGCTCTGGAGTCAATGCAGGGGAATCAGGCCTCATCTCGGGTTGATTTGGGGCACATAGTTCTGCTTTGCGTTGCTGGGGTGACCTCAGGGTCCGTCTAGACTGGTGACAGTGTTCTTGGCGACTGTCTCGAGATCCATTAAGCAAGTCGAAGCTCCTGAATTGTTTGAATGTGATCACGGAATAGCTCTGCATGCACTACAGGGGAATGGGGCCTCATCTCGCCACTAGGGGGAAGTCTCATGGTTTTTCTCAAGTTGCGGCGGGGACCTGGGGTATGTTCTCGACTTACGGCGGGGATGGCCCTTCAAAACACGAGTTTCTTCAGTGACGTCAGGACTCCTGTCTATTAACGAGGGACACATCAGGAATCTCTTCGAGGCTTGGCAGGGCAAAAGGGACGCTTCTCGAGGTGAGGCAGGGAACCCAAGGACCCTTTCCAGTAGCCACAGAGATTTGGGATTCCTATTAGTATTCAAGAGGAGTCAGGCATCGTCACCATTTGAAGAAATGAACTCCGCGTGCCTCTCGAGGTGTCAGCGGAATGTGAGGCATTCCGACACAATGAGGCAGGGACCTAGGGCTTTCTCTAAGGTCTCCACAGGGGATTCAGACATCCCTTCATGTTGTGAGATGAAAGACGAGCCTGTATTCAAGCCACTGCAAGGAAATCCGGCCTCCTTTCAAGTTAGGGTTTCTCGCTGTATATTCTCCTTGAGGCAGCAAACACGGGGTAACTCCCACATACCTATTGCTGAGAGAATCCTCCTCCTGAGGTGCTTCTGGAAAGTTGGCATACGTCTTGAGACTAAGCCAGGGAATCAGCTCTCATCTCGAGACGATTTGGGGTACACGGAGCATTCCTCGAGTTGCTGTGCTGAAGTTGGTGTTCCTCTAGACTTGGGACAGTGTTCTCGGGGCATCTCTGGAGTTGCCTGAAGGAAGTCGAGCCACCGGTCTTGTTGAATGGGGAACGGGGAATGGCTCTGGAGTCAATGCCGGGGAATCGGGCCTCATCTCGAGTTGATTTGGGGCACATGGAGCTGCTTTGCGTTGCTGGGGTGACCTCAGGGTCCGTCTAGGCTGGTGACAGTGTTCTTGGGGACTGTCTCGAGATCCATTAAGCAAGTCGAAGCTCCTGACTTGTTTGAATGGGATCACGGAATAGCTCTGCATGCACTGCAGGGGAATGGGGCCTCATCTCGCCCTAGGGGGAAGTCTCATGGTTTTTCTCGTGTTGCGGCGGGGACCTGGGTTATGTTCTCGACTTATGGCGGGGATGGCCCTTCAAAACACGAGTTTCTTCAGTGACGTCAGGATTCCTGTCTAGTAACGAGGGACACCTCAGGAATCTCTTCGAGGCTTGGCAGGGCAAAAGGGAGGCTTCTCGAGGTGAGGCAGGGCACCCAAGGACCCTTTCCAGTAGCCACAGGGATTTGGGATTCCTATTAGTATTCAAGAGGAGTCAGGCATCGTCATCATTTGAAGCAATAAACTTCGCGGGCCTCTCGAGGTGTCAGCGGGATGTGAGGCATTCCGTCAAAAGGAGACAGGGACCTAGGGCTTTCTCTAAGGTCTGCACAGGGGATTCAGACATCCCATCATGTTGTGAGATGAAAGACGAGCCTGTATTCAAGCCACTGCAAGGAAATCCGGCCTCCTTTCAAGTTAGGGCTTCTCGCTGTATATTCGCCTTGAGGCAGCAAACTCGGGGTCCCTCCCACATACCTATTGCTGAGAGAAGCCTCCTCCTGAGGTGTTTCGGGAAAGTTGGCATACGTCTTGAGCCTAAGCCAGGGAATCAGCTCTCATCTCGAGACGATTTGGGGTACACGGAGCATTCCTCGAGGTGCTGTGCTGAAGTTGGTGTTCCTCTAGACTTGGGACAGTGTTCTCGGGGCATGTCTGGAGTTGCCTGAAGGAAGTGGAGCCACCGGTCGTCTTGAATGGGGAACGGGGAATGGCTCTGGAGTCAATGCAGGGGAATCAGGCCTCATCTCGGGTTGATTTGGGGCACATAGTGCTGCTTTGCGTTGCTGGGGTGACCTCAGGGTCCTTCTAGACTGGTGACAGTGTTCTTGGGGACTGTCTCGAGACCCATTAAGCAAGTCAAAGCTCCTGACTTGTTTGAATGGGATCACGGAATAGCTCTGCATGCACTACAGGGGAATGGGGCCTCATCTCGCCACTAGGGGGAAGTCTCATGGTTTTTCTCAAGTTGCGGCGGGGACCTGGGGTATGTTCTCGACTTACGGCGGGGATGGCCCTTCAAAACACGAGTTTCTTCAGTGACGTCAGGACTCCTGTCTAGTAACGAGGGACACCTCAGGAATCTCTTCGAGGCTTGGCAGGGCAAAAGGGACGCTTCTCGAGGTGAGGCAGGGAACCCAAGGACCCTTTCCAGTAGCCACAGAGATTTGGGATTCCTATTAGTATTCAAGAGGAGTCAGGCATCGTCACCATTTGAAGAAATGAACTCCGCGTGCCTCTCGAGGTGTCAGCGGGATGTGAAGCATTCCGACACAATGAGGCAGGGACCTAGGGCTTTCTCTAAGGTCTCCACAGGGGATTCAGACATCCCTTCATGTTGTGAGATGAAAGACGAGCCTGTATTCAAGCCACTGCAAGGAAATCCGGCCTCCTTTCAAGTTAGGGTTTCTCGCTGTATATTCTCCTTGAGGCAGCAAACTCGGGGTAACTCCCACATACCTATTGCTGAGAGAAGCCTCCGCCTGAGGTGCTTCTGGAAAGTTGGCATACGTCTTGAGACTAAGCCAGGGAATCAGCTCTCATCTCGAGACGATTTGGGGTACACGGAGCATTCCTCGAGTTGCTGTGCTGAAGTTGGTGTTCCTCTAGACTTGGGACAGTGTTCTCGGGGCATCTCTGGAGTTGCCTGAAGGAAGTCGAGCCACCGGTCTTGTTGAATGGGGAACGGGGAATGGCTCTGGAGTCAATGCAGGGGAATCGGGCCTCATCTCGAGTTGATTTGGGGCACATGGAGCTGCTTTGCGTTGCTGGGGTGACCTCAGGGTCCGTCTAGGCTGGTGACAGTGTTCTTGGGGACTGTCTCGAGATCCATTAAGCAAGTCGAAGCTCCTGACTTGTTTGAATGGGATCACGGAATAGCTCTGCATGCACTGCAGGGGAATGGGGCCTCATCTCGCCCTAGGGGGAAGTCTCATGGTTTTTCTCGTGTTGCGGCGGGGACCTGGGTTATGTTCTCGACTTATGGCGGGGATGGCCCTTCAAAACACGAGTTTCTTCAGTGACGTCAGGATTCCTGTCTAGTAACGAGGGACACCTCAGGAATCTCTTCGAGGCTTGGCAGGGCAAAAGGGAGGCTTCTAGAGGTGAGGCAGGGCACCCAAGGACCCTTTCCAGTAGCCACAGGGATTTGGGATTCCTATTAGTATTCAAGAGGAGTCAGGCATCGTCATCATTTGAAGCAATGAACTTCGCGGGCCTCTCGAGGTGTCAGCGGGATGTGAGGCATTCCGTCAAAAGGAGACAGGGACCTAGGGCTTTCTCTAAGGTCTGCACAGGGGATTCAGACATCCCATCATGTTGTGAGATGAAAGACGAGCCTGTATTCAAGCCACTGCAAGGAAATCCGGCCTCCTTTCAAGTTAGGGCTTCTCGCTGTATATTCGCCTTGAGGCAGCAAACTCGGGGTCCCTCCCACATACCTATTGCTGAGAGAAGCCTCCTCCTGAGGTGTTTCTGGAAAGTTGGCATACGTCTTGAGCCTAAGCCAGGGAATCAGCTCTCATCTCGAGACGATTTGGGGTACACGGAGCATTCCTCGAGTTGCTGTGCTGAAGTTGGTGTTCCTCTAGACTTGGGACAGTGTTCTCGGGGCATGTCTGGAGTTGCCTGAAGGAAGTGGAGCCACCGGTCGTCTTGAATGGGGAACGGGGAATGGCTCTAGAGTCAATGCAGGGGAATCAGGACTCATCTCGGGTTGATTTGGGGCACATAGTGCTGCTTTGCGTTGCTGGGGTGACCTCAGGGTCCTTCTAGACTGGTGACAGTGTTCTTGGGGACTGTCTCGAGACCCATTAAGCAAGTCAAAGCTCCTGACTTGTTTGAATGGGATCACGGAATAGCTCTGCATGCACTGCAGGGGAATGGGGCCTCATCTCGCCACTAGGGGGAAGTCTCATGGTTTTTCTCGAGTTGCGGCGGGAACCTGGGTTATGTTCTCGACTTACGGCGGGGATGGCCCTTCAAAACACGAGTTTCTCCAGTGACGTCAGGACTCCTGTCTAGTAACGAGGGACACCTCAGGAATCTCTTCGAGGCTTGGCAGGGCAAAAGGGACGCTTCTCGAGGTGAGGCAGGGCACCCAAGGAACCTTTCCAGTAGCCACAGGGATTTTGGGATTCCTATCAGTATTCAAGAGGAGTCAGGCATCGTTCCCTTTTGAAGCAATGAACTCCACGTGCCTCTCGAGGTGTCAGCGTGATGTGAGGCATTCCGTCAAAACGAGGCAGGGACCTAGGGCTTTCTCTAAGGTCTCCACAGGGGCTTCAGAAAACCCTTCATGTTGTGAGGTGAAAGACGAGCCTGTATTCAAGCCACTGCAAGGAAATCCGTCCTCCTTTCAAGTTAGGGCTTCTCGCTGTATATTCGCCTTGAGGCAGCAAACTCGGGGTCCCTCCCAATACCTATTGCTGAGAGAAGCCTCCTCCTGAGGTGCTTCTGGAAAGTTGGAATACGTCTTGAGACTAAGCCAGGGAATCAGCTCTCATCTCGAGACGATTTGGGGTATACGGAGCATTCCTCGAGTTGCTGTGCTGAAGTTGGTGTTCCTCTAGACTTGGGACAGTGTTCTCGGGGCATCTCTGGAGTTGCCTGAAGGAAGTCGAGCCACCGGTCGTGTTGAATGGGGAACGGGGAATGGCTCTGGAGTCAATGCAGGGGAATCAGGCCTCATCTCGGGTTGATTTGGGGCACATAGTTCTGCTTTTCGTTGCTGGGGTGACTTCAGGGTCCGTCTAGACTGGTGACAGTGTTCTTGGGGACTGTCTGGAGACCCATTAAGCAAGTCGAAGCTCCTGAATTGTTTGAATGGGATCACGGAATAGCTCTGCATGCACTACAGGGGAATGGGGCCTCATCTCGCCACTAGGGGGAAGTCTCATGGTTTTTCTCAAGTTGCGGCGGGGACCTGGGGTATGTTCTCGACTTACGGCGGGGATGGCCCTTCAAAACACGAGTTTCTTCAGTGACGTCAGGACTCCTGTCTAGTAAAGAGGGACAACTCAGGAATCCCTTCGAGGCTTGGCAGGGCAAAAGGGACGCTTCTCGAGGTGAGGCAGCTAACCCAAGGACCCTTTCCAGTAGCCACAGGGATTTGGGATTCCTATTAGTATTCAAGAGGAGTCAGGCATCATCACCATTTGAAGAAATGAACTCCGCGTGCCTCTCGAGGTGTCAGCGGGATGTGAGGCATTCCTTCAAAAGGAGGCAGGGACCTAGGGCTTTCTCTAAGGTCTCCACAGGGGATTCAGATATCCCTTCATGTTGTGAGATGAAAGACGAGCTTGTATTCAAGCCACTGCAAGGAAATCCGGCCTCCTTTCAAATTAGGGTTTCTCTCTGTATATTCCCCTTGAGGCAGCAAACTCGGGGTCCCTCCCACATACCTATTGCTGAGAGAAGCCTCCTCCTGAGGTGCTTCTGGAAAGTTGGCATACGTCTTGAGCCTAAGCCAGGGAATCAGCTCTCATCTCGAGACGATTTGGGGTACACGGAGCATTCCTCGAGTTGCTGTGCTGAAGTTGGTGTTCCTCTAGACTTGGGACAGTGTTCTCGGGGCATCTCTGGAGTTGCCTGAAGGAAGTCGAGTCACTGGTCGTGTTGAATGGGGAACGGGGAATGGCTCTGGAATCAATGCAGGGGAATCAGGCCTCATCTCGGGTTGATTTGGGGCACATGGAGCTGCTTTGCGTTGCTGGGGTGACCTCAGGGTCCGTCTAGACTGGTGACAGTGTTCTTGGGGACTGTCTCGAGACCCATTAAGCAAGTCGAAGCTCCTGACTTGTTTGAATGGGATCACGGAATAGCTCTGCATGCACTGCAGGGGAATGGGGCCTCATCTCGCCTCTAGGGTGAAGTCTCATGGTTTTTCTCGAGTTGCGGCGGGGACCTGGGTTATGTTCTCGACTTACGGCGGGGATGGCCCTTCAAAACACGAGTTTCTTCAGTGACGTCAGGACTCCTGTCTAGTAACGAGGGACACCTCAGGAATCTCTTCGAGGCTTGGCAGGGCAAAAGGGACGCTTCTCGAGGTGAGGCAGGGAACCCAAGGACCCTTTCCAGTAGCCACAGAGATTTGGGATTCCTATTAGTATTCAAGAGGAGTCAGGCATCGTCACCATTTGAAGAAATGAACTCCGTGTGCCTCTCGAGGTGTCAGCGGGATGTGAGGCATTCCGACACAATGAGGCAGGGACCTAGGGCTTTCTCTAAGGTCTCCACAGGGGATTCAGACATCCCGTCATGTTGTGAGAGGAAAGACGAGCCTGTATTGAAGCCACTGCAAGGAAATCCGGCCTACTTTCAAGTTAGGGTTTCTCGCTGTATATTCTCCTTGAGGCAGCAAACTCGGGGTAACTCCCACATACCTATTGCTGAGAGAAGCCTCCTCCTGAGGTGCTTCTGGAAAGTTGGCATACGTCTTGAGACTAAGCCAGGGAATCAGCTCTCATCTCGAGGCGATTTGAGGTAAACGGAGCATTCCTCGAGATGCTGTGCTGAAGTTGGTGTTCCTCTAGACTTGGGACAGTGTTCTCGGGGCAGCTCTGGAGTTGCCTGAAGGAAGTCGAGCCACAGGTCGTGTTGAATGCGGAACGGGGAATGGCTCTGGAGTCAATGCAGGGGAATCGGGCCTCATCTCGGGTTGATTTGGGGCACATGGAGCTGCTTTGCGTTGCTGGGGTGACCTCAGGGTCCGTCTAGACTGGTGACAGGGTTCTTGGGGACTGTCTCGAGACCCATTAAGCAAGTCGAAGCTCCTGACTTGTTTGAATGGGATCACGGAATAGCTCTGCATGCACTGCAGGGGAATGGGGCCTCATCTCGCCACTAGGGGGAAGTCTCATGGTTTTTCTCGAGTTGCGGCGGGGACCTGGTGTATGTTCTCGACTTACGGCGGCGATGGCCCCTCAAAACACGAGTTTCTTCAGTGACGTCAAGACTCCTATCTAGTAACGAGGGACACCTCAGGAATCTCTTTGAGGCTTGGCAGGGCAAAAGGGACGCTTCTCGAGGTGAGGCAGGGCACCCAAAGATCCTTTCCAGTAGCCACAGGGATTTTGGGATTCCTATCAGTATTCAAGAGGAGTCAGGCATCGTCACCTTTTGAAGCAATGAACTCCGCGTGCCTCTCGAGTTGTCAGCGGGATGTGAGGCATTCAGTCAAAAAGAGGCAGGGACCTAGGGCTTTCTCTAAGGTCTCCACAGGGGATTCAGATATCCCTTCATGTTGTGAGATGAAAGACGAGCCTGTATTCAAGCCACTGCAAGGAAATCCGGCCTCCTTTCAAGTTAGGGTTTCTCGCTGTATATTCTCCTTGAGGCAGCAAACTCGGGGTAACTCCCACATACCTATTGCTGAGAGAAGCCTCCTCCTGAGGTGCTTCTGGAAAGTTGGCATACGTCTTGAGCCTAAGCCAGGGAATCAGCTCTCATCTCGAGACGATTAGGGGTACACGGAGCATTCCTCGAGTTGCTGTGCTGAAGTTGGTGTTCCTCTAGACTTGGGACAGTGTTCTCGGGGCATCTCTGGAGTTGCCTGAAAGAAGTCGAGATGCCGGTTGTGTTGATTGGGGAAAGAGGAATGGCTCTGGAGTCAATGCAGGGGAATCGGGCCTTATCTCGAGTTGATTTGGGGCACATGGAGCTGCTTTGCGTTGCTGGGGTGACCGCAGGGTCCCTCTAGACTGGTGACAGTGATCTTGGGGACTGTCTCGAGATCCATTAAGCAAGTCGAAGCTCCTGACTTGTTTGAATGGGATCACGGAATAGCTCTGCATGCACTGCAGGGGAATGGGGCCTCATCTCGCCCTAGGGGGAAGTCTCATGGTTTTTCTCGTGTTGCGGCGGGGACCTGGGTTATGTTCTCGACTTATGGCGGGGATGGCCCTTCAAAACACGAGTTTCTTCAGTGACGTCAGGATTCCTGTCTAGTAACGAGGGACACCTCAGGAATCTCTTCGAGGCTTGGCAGGGCAAAAGGGACGCTTCTCGAGGTGAGGCAGGGCACCCAAGGACCCTTTCCAGTAGCCACAGGGATTTGGGATTCCTATTAGTATTCAAGAGGAGTCAGGCATCGTCATCATTTGAAGCAATGAACTTCGCGGGCCTCTCGAGGTGTCAGCGGGATGTGAGGCATTCCGTCAAAAGGAGACAGGGACCTAGGGCTTTCTCTAAGGTCTGCACAGGGGATTCAGACATCCCATCATGTTGTGAGATGAAAGACGAGACTGTATTCAAGCCACTGCAAGGAAATCCGGCCTCCTTTCAAGTTAGGGCTTCTCGCTGTATATTCGCCTTGAGGCAGCAAACTCGGGGTCCCTCCCACATACCTATTGCTGAGAGAAGCCTCCTCCTGAGGTGTTTCTGGAAAGTTGGCATACGTCTTGAGCCTAAGCCAGGGAATCAGCTCTCATCTCTAGACGATTTGGGGTACACGGAGCATTCCTCCAGTTGCTGTGCTGAAGTTGGTGTTCCTCTAGACTTGGGACAGTGTTCTCGGGGCATCTCTGGAGTTGCCTGAAGGAAGTCGAGCCACCGGTCGTGTTGAATGGGGAACGGGGAATGGCTCTGGAGTCAATGCAGGGGAATCAGGCCTCCTCTCGGGTTGATTTGAGGCACATAGTGCTGCTTTGCGTTGCTGGGGTGACCTCAGGGTCCGTCTAGACTGGTGACAGTGTTCTTGGGGACTGTCTCGAGACCCATTAAGGAAATCAAAGCTCCTGACTTGTTTGAATGAGATCACGGAATAGTTCTGCATGCACTGCAGGTGAATGGGGCCTCATCTCGCCACTAGGGGGAAGTCTCATGGTTTTTCTCGAGTTGCGGCGGGGACCTGGGGTATGTTCTCGACTTACGGCGGGGATGGCCCTTCAAAACACGAGTTTCTTCAGTGACGTCAGGACTCCTGTCTAGTAACGAGGGACACCTCAGGAATCTCTTCGAGGCTTGACAGGGCAAAAGGGACGCTTCTCGATGTGAGGCAGTGAACCCAAGGACCCTTTCCAGTAGCCACAGGGATTTTGGGATTCCTATCAGTATTCAAGAGGAGTCAGGCATCGTCACCTTTTGAAGCAATGAACTCCACGTGCCTCTCGAGGTGTCAGCGTGATGTGATTCATTCCGTCAAAAGGAGGCAGGGACCTAGGGCTTTCTCTAAGGTCTCCACAGAGGCTTCAGACATCCCTTCATGTTGTGAGGTGAAAGACGAGCCTGTACTCAAGCCACTGCAAGGAAATCCGGCCTCCTTTCAAGTTAGGGCTTCTCGCTGTATATTCCCCTTGAGGCAGCAAACTCGGGGTCCCTCCCACATACCTATTGCTGAGAGAAGCCTCCTCCTGAGGTGCTTCTGGAAAGTTGGCATACGTCTTGAGCCTAAGCCAGGGAATCAGCTCTCATCTCGAGACGATTTGGGGTACACGGAGCATTCCTCGAGTTGCTGTGCTGAGGTTGGTGTTCCTCTAGTCTTGGGTCAGTGTTCTCGGGGCATCTCTGGAGTTGCCTGAAAGACGTCAAGACGCCGGTCGTGTTGAATCGGGAATGGGGAATGGCTCTGGATTCAATGCAGGGGAATCGGGCCTTATCTTGAGTTGATTTGGGGCACATGGAGCTGCTTTGCGTTGCTGGGGTGACCGCAGGGTCCGTCTAGACTGGTGACAGTGTTTTTGGGGCCTGCCTCGAGATCCATTAAGCAAGTCGAAGCTCCTGACTTGATTGAATGGGATCACGGAATAGCTCTGCATGCACTGCAGGGGAATGGGGCCTCATCTCGCCTCTAGGGGGAAGTCTCATGGTTTTTCTCGAGTTGCGGCGGGGACCTGGGGTATGTTCTCGACTTACGGCGCGGATGGCCCTTCAAAACACGAGTTTCTTCAGTGACGTCAGGACTCCTGTCTAGTAACGAGGGACACCTCAGGAATCTCTCCGAGGCTTGGCAGGGCAAAAGGGACGCTTCTCGAGGTGAGGCAGGGAACCCAAGGACCCTTTCCAGTAGCCACAGGGATTTTGGGATTCCTATCAGTATTCAAGAGGAGTCAGGCATCATCACCTTTTGAAGCAATTAACTCCACGTGCCTCTCAAGGTGTCAGCGGGATGTGAGGCATTCCGTCAAAAGGAGGCAGGGACCTAGGTCTTTCTCTAAGGTATCCACAGGGGATTCAGACATCCCTTCATGTTGTGAGGTGAAAGACGAGCCTGTATTCAAACCACTGCAAGGAAATCCGGCCTCCTTTCACGTTAGGGCTTCTCGCTGTATATTCCCCTTGAGGCAGCAAACTCGGGGTCCCTCCCACATAGCTATTGCTGAGAGAAGCCTCCTCCTGAGGTGCTTCTGGAAAGTTGGCATACGTCTTGAGACTAAGCCAGGGAATCAGCTCTCATCTCGAGACGATTTGGGGTACACGGAGCATTCCTCGAGTTGCTGTGCTGAAGTTGGTGTTCCTCTAGACTTGGGACAGTGTTCTCGGGGCATGTCTGGAGTTGCCTGAAGGAAGTGGAGCCACCGGTCGTCTTGAATGGGGAACGGGGAATGGCTCTGGAGTCAACGCAGGGGAATCAGGCCTCATCTCGGGTTGATTTGGGGCACATAGTGCTGCTTTGCGTTGCTGGGGTGACCTCAGGGTCCTTCTAGACTGGTGACAGTGTTCTTGGGGACTGTCTCGAGACCCATTAAGCAAGTCAAAGCTCCTGACTTGTTTGAATGGGATCACGGAATAGCTCTGCATGCACTGCAGGGGAATGGGGCCTCATCTCGCCACTAGGGGGAAGTCTCATGGTTTTTCTCGAGTTGCGGCGGGAACCTGGGTTATGTTCTCGACTTACGGCGGGGATGGCCCTTCAAAACACGAGTTTCTCCAGTGACGTCAGGACTCCTGTCTAGTAACGAGGGACACCTCAGGAATCTCTTCGAGGCTTGGCAGGGCAAAAGGGAAGCTTCTCGAGGTGAGGCAGGGCACCCAAGGACCCTTTCCAGTAGCCACAGGGATTTTGGGATTCCTATCAGTATTCAAGAGGAGTCAGGCATCGTTCCCTTTTGAAGCAATGAACTCCACGTGCCTCTCGATGTGTCAGCGGGATGTGAGGCATTCCGTCAAAAGGAGGCAGGGACCTAGGGCTTTCTTTAAGGTCTCCACAGGGGCTTCAGAAAACCCTTCATGTTGTGAGGTGAAAGACGAGCCTGTATTCAAGCCACTGCAAGGAAATCCGTCCTCCTTTCAAGTTAGGGCTTCTCGCTGTATATTCGCCTTGAGGCAGCAAACTCGGGGTCCCTCCCAATACCTATTGCTGAGAGAAGCCTCCTCCTGAGGTGCATCTGGAAAGTTGGCATACGTCTTGAGACTAAGCCAGGGAATCAGCTCTCATCTCGAGACGATTTGGGGTACACGGAGCATTCCTCGAGTTGCTGTGCTGAAGTTGGTGTTCCTCTAGACTTGGGACAGTGTTCTCGGGGCATCTCTGGAGTTGCCTGAAGGAAGTCGAGCCACCGGTCGTGTTGAATGGGGAACGGGGAATGGCTCTGGAGTCAATGAAGGGGAATCAGGCCTCATCTCGGGTTGATTTGGGGCACATAGTTCTGCTTTGCGTTGCTGGGGTGATCTCAGGTTCCGTCTAGACTGGTGACAGTGTTCTTGGGGACTGTCTCGAGACCCATTAAGCAAGTCGAAGCTCCTGAATTGTTTGAATGGGATCACGGAATAGCTCTGCATGCACTACAGGGGAATGGGGCCTCATCTCGCCACTAGGGGGAAGTCTCATGGTTTTTCTCAAGTTGCGGCGGGGACCTGGGGTATGTTCTCGACTTACGGCGGGGATGGCCCTTCAAAACACGAGTTTCTTCAGTGACGTCAGGACTCCTGTCTAGTAAAGAGGGACACATCAGGAATCTCTTCAAGGCTTGGCAGGGCAAAAGGGACGCTTCTCGAGGTGAGGCAGGGAACCCAAGGACCCTTTCCAGTAGCCACAGGGATTTGGGATTCCTATTAGTATTCAAGAGGAGTCAGGCATCATCACCATTTGAAGAAATGAACTCCGCGTGCCTCTCGAGGTGTCAGCGGTTTGTGAGGCATTCCGTCAAAAGGAGGCAGGGACCTAGGGCTTTCTCTAAGGTCTCCACAGGGGATTCAGATATCCCTTCATGTTGTGAGATGAAAGACGAGCTTGTATTCAAGCCACTGCAAGGAAATCCGGCCTCCTTTCAAATTAGGGTTTCTCTCTGTATATTCCCCTTGAGGCAGCAAACTCGGGGTCCCTCCCACATAGCTATTGCTGAGAGAAGCCTCCCCCTGAGGTGCTTCTGGAAAGTTGGCATACGTCTTGAGCCTAAGCCAGGGAATCAGCTCGCATCTCGAGACGATTTGGTGTACACGGAGCATTCCTCGAGTTGCTGTGCTGAAGTTGGTGTTCCTCTAGACTTGGGACAGTGTTCTCGGGGCATCTCTGGAGTTGCCTGAAGGAAGTCGAGCCACCGGTCGTGTTGAATGGGGAACGGGGAATGGCTCTGGAGTCAATGCAGGGGAATCGGTCTCATCTCGAGTTGATTTGGGTCACATGGAGCTGCTTTGAGTTGCTGGGGTAACCTCAGGGTCCGTCTAGACTGGTGACAGTGTTCTTGGGGACTGTCTCGAGATCCATTAAGCAAGTCGAAGCTCCTGACTTGTTTGAATGGGATCACGGAATAGCTCTGCATGCACTGCAGGGGAATGGGGCCTCATCTCGCCTCTAGGGGGAAGTCTCATGGTTTTTCTCGAGTTGCGGCGGGGACCTGGGGTATGTTCTCGACTTACGGTGGCGATGGCCCTTCAAAACACGAGTTTCTTCAGTGACGTCAAGACTCCTGTCTAGTAACGAGGGACACCTCAGGAATCTCTTCGAGGCTTGGCAGGGCAAAAGGGACGCTTCTCGAGGTGAGGCAGTGAACCCAAGGACCCTTTCCAGTAGCCACAGTGATTTGGGATTCCTATTAGTATTCAAGAGGAGTCAGGCATCGTCACCATTTGAAGAAATGAACTCCGCGTGCCTCTCGAGGTGTCAGCGGGATGTGAGGCATTCCGTCAAAATGAGGCAGGGACCTAGGGCTTTCTCTAAGGTCTCCACAGGGGATTCAGACATCCCTTCATGTTGTGAGATGAAAGAAGAGCCTGTATTCAAGCCACTGCAAGGAAATCCGGCTTCCTTTTAAGTTAGGGCTTCTCGCTGTATATTCGCCTTGAGGCAGCAAACTCGGGGTCTCTCCCAATACCTATTGCTGAGAGAAGCCTCCTCCTGAGGTGCTTCTGGAAAGTTGGCATACGTCTTGAGCCTAAGCCAGGGAATCAGCTCTCATCTCGAGACGATTTGGGGTACACGGAGCATTCCTCGAGTTGCTGTGCTGAAGTTGGTGTTCCTCTAGACTTGGGACAGTGTTCTCGGGGCATCTCTGGAGTTGCCTGAAGGAAGTCGAGCCACCGGTCTTGTTGAATGGGGAACGGGGAATGGCTCTGGAGTCAATGCAGGGGAATCGGGCCTCATCTCGAGTTGATTTGGGGCACATGGAGCTGCTTTGCGTTGCTGGGGTAACCTCAGGATCCGTCTAGACTGGTGACAGTGTTCTTGGGGACTGTCTCGAGATCCATTAAGCAAGTCTAAGCTCCTGACTTGTTTGAATGGGATCACGGAATAGCTCTGCATGCACTGCAAGGGAATGGGGCCTCATCTCGCCTCTAGGGGGAAGTCTCATGGTTTTTCTCGAGTTGCGGCGGGGACCTGCGGTATGTTCTCGACTTACGGCGGGGATGGCCCTTCAAAACACGAGTTTCTTCAGTGACGTCAGGACTCCTGTCTAGTAACGAGGGACACCTCAGGAATCTCTTCGAGGCTTGGCAGGGCAAAAGGGACGCTTCTCGAGGTGAGGCAGGGAAGCCAAGGACCCTTTCCAGTAGCCACAGGGATTTGGGATTCCTATTAGTATTCAAGAGGAGTCAGGCATCGTCACCATTTGAAGAAATGAACTCTGCGTGCCTCTCGAGGTGTCAGCAGGATGTGAGGCATTCCGTCAAAAGGAGGCAGGGACCTAGGGCTTTCTCTAAGGTCTCCACAGGGGATTCAGACATCCCTTCATGTTGTGAGATGAAAGAAGAGCCTGTATTCAAACCACTGCAAGGAAATCCGGCCTCCTTTTAAGTTAGGGCTTCTCGCTGTATATTCGCCTTGAGGCAGCAAACTCGGGGTCCCTCCGACATACCTATTGCTGAGAGAAGCCTCCTCCTGAGGTGCTTCTGGAAAGTTGGCATACGTCTTGAGACTAAGCCAGGGAATCAGCTCTCATCTCGAGACGATTTGGGGTACACGGAGCATTCCTCGAGTTGCTGTGCTGAAGTTGGTGTTCCTCTAGACTTGGGACAATGTTCTCGGGGCATCTCTGGAGTTGCCTGAAGGAAGTCGAGCCACCGGTCGTGTTGAATGGGGAACGGGGAATGGCTCTGGAGTCAATGCAGGGGAATCAGGCCTCATCTCGGGTTGATTTGGGGCACATAGTTCTGCTTTGCGTTGCTGGGGTGACCTCAGGGTCCGTCTAGACTGGTGACAGTGTTCTTGGGGACTGTCTCGAGACCCATTAAGCAAGTCGAAGCTCCTGAATTGTTTGAATGGGATCACGGAATAGCTCTGCATGCACTACAGGGGAATGGGGCCTCATCTCGCCACTAGGGGGAAGTCTCATGGTTTTTCTCAAGTTGCGGCGGGGACCTGGGGTATGTTCTCGACTTACGGCGGGGATGGCCCTTCAAAACACGAGTTTCTTCAGTGACGTCAGGACTCCTGTCTAGTAAAGAGGCACACCTCAGGAATCCCTTCGAGGCTTGGCAGGGCAAAAGGGACGCTTCTCGAGGTGAGGCAGGGAACCCAAGGACCCTTTCCAGTAGCCACAGGGATTTGGGATTCCTATTAGTATTCAAGAGGAGTCAGGCATCATCACCATTTGAAGAAATGAACTCCGCGTGCCTCTCGAGGTGTCAGCGGGATGTGAGGCATTCCGTCAAAAGGAGGCAGGGACCTAGGGCTTTCTCTAAGGTCTCCACAGGGGATTCAGATATCCCTTCATGTTGTGAGATGAAAGACGAGCTTGTATTCAAGCCACTGCAAGGAAATCCGGCCTCCTTTCAAATTAGGGTTTCTCTCTGTATATTCCCCTTGAGGCAGCAAACTCGGGGTCCCTCCCACATACCTATTGCTGAGAGAAGCCTCCTCCTGAGGTGCTTCTGGAAAGTTGGCATACGTCTTGAGCCTAAGCCAGGGAATCAGCTCGCATCTCGAGACGATTTGGGGTACACGGAGCATTCCTCGAGTTGCTGTGCTGAAGTTGGTGTTCCTCTAGACTTGGGACAGTGTTCTCCGGGCATCTCTGGAGTTGCCTGAAGGAAGTCGAGTCACTGGTCGTGTTGAATGGGGAACGGGGAATGGCTCTGGAATCAATGCAGGGGAATCAGGCCTCATCTCGGGATGATTTGGGGCACATGGAGCTGCTTTGCGTTGCTGGGGTGACCTCAGGGTCCGTCTAGACTGGTGACAGTGTTCTTGGGGACTGTCTCGAGATCCATTAAGCAAGTCGAAGCTCCTGACTTGTTTGAATGGGATCACGGAATAGCTCTGCATGCACTGCAGGGGAATGGGGCCTCATCTCGCCTCTAGGGTGAAGTCTCATGGTTTTTCACGAGTTGCGGCGGGGACCTGGGTTATGTTCTCGACTTACGGCGGGGATGGCCCTTCAAAACACGAGTTTCTTCAGTGACGTCAGGACTCCTGTCTAGTAACGAGGGACACCTCAGGAATCTCTTCGAGGCTTGGCAGGGCAAAAGGGACGCTTCTCGAGGTGAGGCAGGGAACCCAAGGACCCTTTCCAGTAGCCACAGAGATTTGGGATTCCTATTAGTATTCAAGAGGAGTCAGGCATCGTCACCATTTGAAGAAATGAACTACGCGTGCCTCTCGAGGTGTCAGCGGGATGTGAGGCATTCCGACACAATGAGGCAGGGACCTAGGGCTTTCTCTAAGGTCTCCACAGGGGATTCAGACATCCCTTCATGTTGTGAGATGAAAGACGAGCCTGTATTCAAGCCACTGCAAGGAAATCCGGCCTCCTTTCAAGTTAGGGTTTCTCGCTGTATATTCTCCTTGAGGCAGCAAACTTGGGGTCCCTCCGACATACCTATTGCTGAGAGAAGCCTCCTCCTGAGGTGCTTCAGGAAAGTTGGCACACGTCTTGAGCCTAAGCCAGGGAATCAGCTCTCATCTCGAGACGATTAGGGGTATACGGAGCATTCCTCGAGTTGCTATGCTGAAGTTGGTGTTCCTCTAGACTTGGGACAGTGTTCTCGGGGCATCTCTGGAGTTGCCTGAAGGAAGTCGAGCCACCGGTCGTGTTGAATGGGGAACGGGGAATGGCTCTGGAGTCAATGAAGGGGAATCAGGCCTCATCTCGGGTTGATTTGGGGCACATAGTTCTGCTTTGCGTTGCTGGGGTGATCTCAGGTTCCGTCTAGACTGGTGACAGTGTTCTTGGGGACTGTCTCGAGACCCATTAAGCAAGTCGAAGCTCCTGAATTGTTTGAATGGGATCACGGAATAGCTCTGCATGCACTACAGGGGAATGGGGCCTCATCTCGCCACTAGGGGGAAGTCTCATGGTTTTTCTCAAGTTGCGGCGGGGACCTGGGGTATGTTCTCGACTTACGGCGGGGATGGCCCTTCAAAACACGAGTTTCTTCAGTGACGTCAGGACTCCTGTCTAGTAAAGAGGGACACATCAGGAATCTCTTCGAGGCTTGGCAGGGCAAAAGGGACGCTTCTCGAGGTGAGGCAGGGAACCCAAGGACCCTTTCCAGTAGCCACAGGGATTTGGGATTCCTATTAGTATTCAAGAGGAGTCAGGCATCGTCACCATTTGAAGAAATGAACTCCGCGTGCCTCTCGAGGTGTCAGCGGTTTGTGAGGCATTCCGTCAAAAGGAGGCAGGGACCTAGGGCTTTCTCTAAGGTCTCCACAGGGGATTCAGATATCCCTTCATGTTGTGAGATGAAAGACGAGCTTGTATTCAAGCCACTGCAAGGAAATCCGGCCTCCTTTCAAATTAGGGTTTCTCTCTGTATATTCCCCTTGAGGCAGCAAACTCGGGGTCCCTCCCACATAGCTATTGCTGAGAGAAGCCTCCCCCTGAGGTGCTTCTGGAAAGTTGGCATACGTCTTGAGCCTAAGCCAGGGAATCAGCTCGCATCTCGAGACGATTTGGTGTACACGGAGCATTCCTCGAGTTGCTGTGCTGAAGTTGGTGTTCCTCTAGACTTGGGACAGTGTTCTCGGGGCATCTCTGGAGTTGCCTGAAGGAAGTCGAGCCACCGGTCGTGTTGAATGGGGAACGGGGAATGGCTCTGGATTCAATGCAGGGGAATCGGTCTCATCTCGAGTTGATTTGGGTCACATGGAGCTGCTTTGAGTTGCTGGGGTAACCTCAGGGTCCGTCTAGACTGGTGACAGTGTTCTTGGGGACTGTCTCGAGATCCATTAAGCAAGTCGAAGCTCCTGACTTGTTTGAATGGGATCACGGAATAGCTCTGCATGCACTGCAGGGGAATGGGGCCTCATCTCGCCTCTAGGGGGAAGTCTCATGGTTTTTCTCGAGTTGCGGCGGGGACCTGGGGTATGTTCTCGACTTACGGTGGCGATGGCCCTTCAAAACACGAGTTTCTTCAGTGACGTCAAGACTCCTGTCTAGTAACGAGGGACACCTCAGGAATCTCTTCGAGGCTTGGCAGGGCAAAAGGGACGCTTCTCGAGGTGAGGCAGTGAACCCAAGGACCCTTTCCAGTAGCCACAGTGATTTGGGATTCCTATTAGTATTCAAGAGGAGTCAGGCATCGTCACCATTTGAAGAAATGAACTCTGCGTGCTTCTCGAGGTGTCAGCGGGATGTGAGGCATTCCGTCAAAATGAGGCAGGGACCTAGGGCTTTCTCTAAGGTCTCCACAGGGGATTCAGACATCCCTTCATGTTGTGAGATGAAAGAAGAGCCTGTATTCAAGCCACTGCAAGGAAATCCGGCTTCCTTTTAAGTTAGGGCTTCTCGCTGTATATTCGCCTTGAGGCAGCAAACTCGGGGTCTCTCCCAATACCTATTGCTGAGAGAAGCCTCCTCCTGAGGTGCTTCTGGAAAGTTGGCATACGTCTTGAGCCTAAGCCAGGGAATCAGCTCTCATCTCGAGACGATTTGGGGTACACGGAGCATTCCTCGAGTTGCTGTGCTGAAGTTGGTGTTCCTCTAGACTTGGGACAGTGTTCTCGGGGCATCTCTGGAGTTGCCTGAAGGAAGTCCAGCCACCGGTCTTGTTGAATGGGGAACGGGGAATGGCTCTGGAGTCAATGCAGGGGAATCGGGCCTCATCTCGAGTTGATTTGGGGCACATGGAGCTGCTTTGCGTTGCTGGGGTAACCTCAGGATCCGTCTAGACTGGTGACAGTGTTCTTGGGGACTGTCTCGAGATCCATTAAGCAAGTCTAAGCTCCTGACTTGTTTGAATGGGATCACGGAATAGCTCTGCATGCACTGCAAGGGAATGGGGCCTCATCTCGCCTCTAGGGGGAAGTCTCATGGTTTTTCTCGAGTTGCGGCGGGGACCTGCGGTATGTTCTCGACTTACGGCGGGGATGGCCCTTCAAAACACGAGTTTCTTCAGTGACGTCAGGACTCCTGTCTAGTAACGAGGGACACCTCAGGAATCTCTTCGAGGCTTGGCAGGGCAAAAGGGACGCTTCTCGAGGTGAGGCAGGGAAGCCAAGGACCCTTTCCAGTAGCCACAGGGATTTGGGATTCCTATTAGTATTCAAGAGGAGTCAGGCATCGTCACCATTTGAAGAAATGAACTCTGCGTGCCTCTCGAGGTGTCAGCAGGATGTGAGGCATTCCGTCAAAAGGAGGCAGGGACCTAGGGCTTTCTCTAAGGTCTCCACAGGGGATTCAGACATCCCTTCATGTTGTGAGATGAAAGAAGAGCCTGTATTCAAACCACTGCAAGGAAATCCGGCCTCCTTTTAAGTTAGGGCTTCTCGCTGTATATTCGCCTTGAGGCAGCAAACTCGGGGTCCCTCCGACATACCTATTGCTGAGAGAAGCCTCCTCCTGAGGTGCTTCTGGAAAGTTGGCATACGTCTTGAGACTAAGCCAGGGAATCAGCTCTCATCTCGAGACGATCTGGGGTATACGGAGCATTCCTCGAGTTGCTGTGCTGAAGTTGGTGTTCCTCTAGACTTGGGACAATGTTCTCGGGGCATCTCTGGAGTTGCCTGAAGGAAGTCGAGCCACCGGTCGTGTTGAATGGGGAACGGGGAATGGCTCTGGAGTCAATGCAGGGGAATCAGGCCTCATCTCGGGTTGATTTGGGGCACATAGTTCTGCTTTGCGTTGCTGGGGTGACCTCAGGGTCCGTCTAGACTGGTGACAGTGTTCTTGGGGACTGTCTCGAGACCCATTAAGCAAGTCGAAGCTCCTGAATTGTTTGAATGGGATCACGGAATAGCTCTGCATGCACTACAGGGGAATGGGGCCTCATCTCGCCACTAGGGGGAAGTCTCATGGTTTTTCTCAAGTTGCGGCGGGGACCTGGGGTATGTTCTCGACTTACGGCGGGGATGGCCCTTCAAAACACGAGTTTCTTCAGTGACGTCAGGACTCCTGTCTAGTAAAGAGGCACACCTCAGGAATCCCTTCGAGGCTTGGCAGGGCAAAAGGGACGCTTCTCGAGGTGAGGCAGGGAACCCAAGGACCCTTTCCAGTAGCCACAGGGATTTGGGATTCCTATTAGTATTCAAGAGGAGTCAGGCATCATCACCATTTGAAGAAATGAACTCCGCGTGCCTCTCGAGGTGTCAGCGGGATGTGAGGCATTCCGTCAAAAGGAGGCAGGGACCTAGGGCTTTCTCTAAGGTCTCCACAGGGGATTCAGACATCCGTTCATGTTGTGAGATGAAAGACGAGCTTGTATTCAAGCCACTGCAAGGAAATCCGGCCTCCTTTCAAATTAGGGTTTCTCTCTGTATATTCCCCTTGAGGCAGCAAACTCGGGGTCCCTCCCACATACCTATTGCTGAGAGAAGCCTCCTCCTGAGGTGCTTCTGGAAAGTTGGCATACGTCTTGAGCCTAAGCCAGGGAATCAGCTCTCATCTCGAGACGATTTGGGGTACACGGAGCATTCCTCGAGTTGCTGTGCTGAAGTTGGTGTTCCTCTAGACTTGGGACAGTGTTCTCGGGGCATCTCTGGAGTTGCCTGAAGGAAGTCGAGTCACTGGTCGTGTTGAATGGGGAACGGGGAATGGCTCTGGAATCAATGCAGGGGAATCAGGCCTCATCTCGGGATGATTTGGGGCACATGGAGCTGCTTTGCGTTGCTGGGGTGACCTCAGGGTCCGTCTAGACTGGTGACAGTGTTCTTGGGGACTGTCTCGAGATCCATTAAGCAAGTCGAAGCTCCTGACTTGTTTGAATGGGATCACGGAATAGCTCTGCATGCACTGCAGGGGAATGGGGCCTCATCTCGCCTCTAGGGTGAAGTCTCATGGTTTTTCACGAGTTGCGGCGGGGACCTGGGTTATGTTCTCGACTTACGGCGGGGATGGCCCTTCAAAACACGAGTTTCTTCAGTGACGTCAGGACTCCTGTCTAGTAACGAGGGACACCTCAGGAATCTCTTCGAGGCTTGGCAGGGCAAAAGGGACGCTTCTCGAGGTGAGGCAGGGAACCCAAGGACCCTTTCCAGTAGCCACAGAGATTTGGGATTCCTATTAGTATTCAAGAGGAGTCAGGCATCGTCACCATTTGAAGAAATGAACTCCGCGTGCCTCTCGAGGTGTCAGCGGGATGTGAGGCATTCCGACACAATGAGGCAGGGACCTAGGGCTTTCTCTAAGGTCTCCACAGGGGATTCAGACATCCCTTCATGTTGTGAGATGAAAGACGAGCCTGTATTCAAGCCACTGCAAGGAAATCCGGCCTCCTTTCAAGTTAGGGTTTCTCGCTGTATATTCTCCTTGAGGCAGCAAACTTGGGGTCCCTCCGACATACCTATTGCTGAGAGAAGCCTCCTCCTGAGGTGCTTCAGGAAAGTTGGCACACGTCTTGAGCCTAAGCCAGGGAATCAGCTCTCATCTCGAGACGATTAGGGGTATACGGAGCATTCCTCGAGTTGCTATGCTGAAGTTGGTGTTCCTCTAGACTTGGGACAGTGTTCTCGGGGCATCTCTGGAGTTGCCTGAAGGAAGTCGAGCCACCGGTCGTGTTGAATGGGGAACGGGGAATGGCTCTGGAGTCAATGCAGGGGAATCAGGCCTCATCTCGGGTTGATTTGGGGCACATAGTTCTGCTTTGCGTTGCTGGGGTGACCTCAGGGTCCGTCTAGACTGGTGACAGTGTTCTTGGGGACTGTCTCGAGACCCATTAAGCAAGTCGAAGCTCCTGAATTGTTTGAATGGGATCACGGAATAGCTCTGCATGCACTACAGGGGAATGGGGCCTCATCTCGCCACTAGGGGGAAGTCTCATGGTTTTTCTCAAGTTGCGGCGGGGACCTGGGGTATGTTCTCGACTTACGGCGGGGATGGCCCTTCAAAACACGAGTTTCTTCAGTGACGTCAGGACTCCTGTCTAGTAAAGAGGGACACCTCAGGAATCCCTTCGAGGCTTGGCAGGGCAAAAGGGACGCTTCTCGAGGTGAGGCAGGGAACCCAAGGACCCTTTCCAGTAGCCACAGGGATTTGGGATTCCTATTAGTATTCAAGAGGAGTCAGGCATCGTCACCTTTTGAAGCAATGAACTCCACGTGCCTCTCGAGGTGTCAGCGTGATGTGATTCATTCCGTCAAAAGGAGGCAGGGACCTAGGGCTTTCTCTAAGGTCTCCACAGAGGCTTCAGACATCCCTTCATGTTGTGAGGTGAAAGACGAGCCTGTACTCAAGCCACTGCAAGGAAATCCGGCCTCCTTTCAAGTTAGGGCTTCTCGCTGTATATTCCCCTTGAGGCAGCAAACTCGGGGTCCCTCCCACATACCTATTGCTGAGAGAAGCCTCCTCCTGAGGTGCTTCTGGAAAGTTGGCATACGTCTTGAGCCTAAGCCAGGGAATCAGCTCTCATCTCGAGATGATTTGGGGTACACGGAGCATTCCTCGAGTTGCTGTGCTGAAGTTGGTGTTCCTCTAGACTTGGGACAGTGTTCTCGGGGCATCTCTGGAGTTGCCTGAAGGAAGTCGAGTCACTGGTCGTGTTGAATGGGGAACGGGGAATGGCTCTGGAATCAATGCAGGGGAATCAGGCCTCATCTCGGGTTGATTTGGGGCACATGGAGCTGCTTTGCTTTGCTGGGGTGACCTCAGGGTCCGTCTAGACTGGTGACAGTGTTCTTGGGGACTGTCTCGAGATCCATTAAGCAAGTCGAAGCTTCTGACTTGTTTGAATGGGATCACGGAATAGCTCTGCATGCACTGCAGGGGAATGGGGCCTCATCTCGCCTCTAGGGTGAAGTCTCATGGTTTTTCTCGAGTTGCGGCGGGGACCTGGGTTATGTTCTCGACTTACGGCGGGGATGGCCCTTCAAAACACGAGTTTCTTCAGTGACGTCAGGACTCCTGTCTAGTAACGAGGGACACCTCAGGAATCTCTTCGAGGCTTGGCAGGGCAAAAGGGACGCTTCTCGAGGTGAGGCAGGGAACCCAAGGACCCTTTCCAGTAGCCACAGAGATTTGGGATTCCTATTAGTATTCAAGAGGAGTCAGGCATCATCACCATTTGAAGAAATGAACTCCGCGTGACTCTCGAGGTGTCAGCGGGATGTGAGGCATTCCGTCAAAAAGAGGCAGGGACCTAGGGCTTTCTCTAAGGTCTCCACAGGGGATTCAGTTATCCCTTCATGTTGTGAGATGAAAGACGAGCCTGTATTCAAGCCACTGCAAGGAAATCCGGCCTCCTTTCAAGTTAGGGCTTCTCTCTGTATATTCCCCTTGAGGCAGCAAACTCGGGGTCCCTCTCACATACATATTTCTGAGAGAAGCCTCCTCCTGAGGTGCTTCAGGAAAGTTGGCATACGTCTTGAGCCTAAGCCAGGGAATCAGCTCTCATCTCGAGACGATTTGGGGTACACGGAGCATTCCTCGAGTTGCTGTGCTGAAGTTGGTGTTCCTCTAGACTTGGGACAGTATTCTCGGGGCATCTCTGGAGTTGCCTGAAAGAAGTCGAGATGCCGGTCGTGTTGATTGGGGAAAGAGGAATGGCTCTGGAGTCAATGCAGGGGAATCGGGCCTTATCTCGAGTTGATTTGGGGCACATGGAGCTGCTTTGCGTTGCTGGGGTGACCGCAGGGTCCCTCTAGACTGGTGACAGTGATCTTGGGGACTGTCTCGAGATCCATTAAGCAAGTCGAAGCTCCTGACTTGTTTGAATGGGATCACGGAATAGCTCTGCATGCACTGCAGGGGAATGGGGCCTCATCTCTCCACTAGGGGGAAGTCTCATGGTTTTTCTCGAGTTGCGGCGGGAACCTGGGTTATGTTCTCGACTTACGGCGGGGACGGCCCTTCAAAACACGAGTTTCTCCAGTGACGTCAGGACTCCTGTCTAGTAACGAGGGACACCTCAGGAATCTCTTCGAGGCTTGGCAGGACAAAAGGGACGCTTCTCGAGGTGAGGCAGGGCACCCAAGGAACCTTTCAGTAGCCACAGGGATTTTGGGATTCCTATCAGTATTCAAGAGGAGTCAGGCATCGTCCCCTTTTGAAGCAATGAACCCCACGTGCCTCTCGAGGTGTCAGCGGGATGTGAGGCATTCCGTCAAAAGGAGGCAGGGACCTAGGGCTTTCTCTAAGGTCTCCACAGGGGCTTCAGAAAACCCTTCATGTTGTGAGGTGAAAGACGAGCCTGTATTCAAGCCACTGCAAGGAAATCCGTCCTCCTTTCAAGTTAGGGCTTCTCGCTGTATATTCGCCTTGAGGCAGCAAACTCGGGGTCCCTCCCAATACATATTGCTGAGAGAAGCCTCCTCCTGAGGTGCATCTGGAAAGTTGGCATACGTCTTGAGACTAAGCCAGGGAATCAGCTCTCATCTCGAGACGATTTGGGGTACACGGAGCCTTCCTCGAGTTGCTGTGCTGAAGTTGGTGTTCCTCTAGACTTGGGACAGTGTTCTCGGGGCATCTCTGGAGTTGCCTGAAGGAAGTCGAGCCACCGGTCTTGTTGAATGGGGAACGGGGAATGGCTCTGGAGTCAATGCAGGGGAATCAGGCCTCATCTCGGGTTGATTTGGGGCACATAGTTCTGCTTTGCGTTGCTGGGGTGACCTCAGGTTCCGTCGAGACTGGTGACAGTGTTCTTGGGGACTGTCTCGAGACCCATTAAGCAAGTCGAAGCTCCTGAATTGTTTGAATGGGATCACGGAATAGCTCTGCATGCACTACAGGGGAATGGGGCCTCATCTCGCCACTAGGGGGAAGTCTCATGGTTTTTCTCAAGTTGCGGCGGGGACCTGGGGTATGTTCTCGACTTACGGCGGGGATGGCCCTTCAAAACACGAGTTTCTTCAGTGACGTCAGGACTCCTGTCTAGTAAAGAGGGACACATCAGGAATCTCTTCAAGGCTTGGCAGGGCAAAAGGGACGCTTCACGAGGTGAGGCAGGGAACCCAAGGACCCTTTCCAGTAGCCACAGGGATTTGGGATTCCTATTAGTATTCAAGAGGAGTCAGGCATCATCACCATTTGAAGAAATGAACTCCGCGTGCCTCTCGAGGTGTCAGCGGGATGTGAGGCATTCCGTCAAAAGGAGGCAGGGACCTAGGGCTTTCTCTAAGGTCTCCACAGGGGATTCAGATATCCCTTCATGTTGTGAGATGAAAGACGAGCTTGTATTCAAGCCACTGCAAGGAAATCCGGCCTCCTTTCAAATTAGGGTTTCTCTCTGTATATTCCCCTTGAGGCAGCAAACTCGGGGTCCCTCCCACATAGCTATTGCTGAGAGAAGCCTCCTCCTGAGGTGCTTCTGGAAAGTTGGCATACGTCTTGAGCCTAAGCCAGGGAATCAGCTCTCATCTCGAGACGATTAGGGGTACACGGAGCATTCCTCGAGTTGCTGTGCTGAAGTTGGTGTTCCTCTAGACTTGGGACAGTGTTCTCGGGGCATCTCTGGAGTTGCCTGAAAGAAGTCGAGATGCCGGTCGTGTTGATTGGGGAAAGAGGAATGGCTCTGGAGTCAATGCAGGGGAATCGGGCCTTATCTCGAGTTGATTTGGGGCACATGGAGCTTCTTTGCGTTGCTGGGGTGACCGCAGGGTCCCTCTAGACTGGTGACAGTGATCTTGGGGACTGTCTCGAGATCCATTAAGCAAGTCGAAGCTCCTGACTTGTTTGAATGGGATCACGGAATAGCTCTGCATGCACTGCAGGGGAATGGGGCCTCATCTCGCCACTAGGGGGAAGTGTCATGGTTTTTCTCGAGTTGCGGCGGGAACCTGGGTTATGTTCTCGACTTACGGCGGGGATGGCCCTTCAAAACACGAGTTTCTCCAGTGACGTCAGGACTCCTGTCTAGTAACGAGGGACACCTCAGGAATCTCTTCGAGGCTTGGCAGGACAAAAGGGACGCTTCTCGAGGTGAGGCAGGGCACCCAAGGACCCTTTCAGTAGCCACAGGGATTTTGGGATTCCTATCAGTATTCAAGAGGAGTCAGGCATCGTCCCCTTTTGAAGCAATGAACTCCACGTGCCTCTCGAGGTGTCAGCGGGATGTGAGGCATTCCGTCAAAAGGAGGCAGGGACCTAGGGCTTTCTCTAAGGTCTCCACAGGGGCTTCAGACAACCCTTCATGTTGTGAGGTGAAAGACGAGCCTGTATTCAAGCCACTGCAAGGAAATCCGTCCTCCTTTCAAGTTAGGGCTTCTCGCTGTATATTCGCCTTGAGGCAGCAAACTCGGGGTCCCTCCCACATACCTATTGCTGAGAGAAGCCTCCTCCTGAGGTGCATCTGGAAAGTTGGCATACGTCTTGAGACTAAGCCAGGGAATCAGCTCTCATCTCGAGACGATTTGGGGTACACGGAGCCTTCCTCGAGTTGCTGTGCTGAAGTTGGTGTTCCTCTAGACTTGGGACAGTGTTCTCGGGGCATCTCTGGAGTTGCCTGAAGGAAGTCGAGCCACCGGTCGTGTTGAATGGGGAACGGGGAATGGCTCTGGAGTCAATGCAGGGGAATCAGGCCTCATCTCGGGTTGATTTGGGGCACATAGTTCTGCTTTGCGTTGCTGGGGTGACCTCAGGTTCCGTCTAGACTGGTGACAGTGTTCTTGGGGACTGTCTCGAGACCCATTAAGCAAGTCGAAGCTCCTGAATTGTTTGAATGGGATCACGGAATAGCTCTGCATGCACTACAGGGGAATGGGGCCTCATCTCGCCACTAGGGGGAAGTCTCATGGTTTTTCTCAAGTTGCGGCGGGGACCTGGGGTATGTTCTCGACTTACGGCGGGGATGGCCCTTCAAAACACGAGTTTCTTCAGTGACGTCAGGACTCCTGTCTAGTAAAGAGGGACACATCAGGAATCTCTTCAAGGCTTGGCAGGGCAAAAGGGACGCTTCACGAGGTGAGGCAGGGTACCCAAGGACCCTTTCCAGTAGCCACAGGGATTTGGGATTCCTATTAGTATTCAAGAGGAGTCAGGCATCATCACCATTTGAAGAAATGAACTCCGCGTGCCTCTCGAGGTGTCAGCGGGATGTGAGGCATTCCGTCAAAAGGAGGCAGGGACCTAGGGCTTTCTCTAAGGTCTACACAGGGCATTCAGACATCCCTTCATGTTGTGAGATGAAACACGAGCCTGTATTCAAGCCACTGCAAGGAAATCCGTCCTCCTTTCAAGTTAGGGCTTCTCGCTGTATATTCGCCTTGAGGCAGCAAACTCGGGGTCTCTCCCAATACCTATTGCTGAGAGAAGCCTCCTCCTGAGGTGCTTCTGGAAAGTTGGCATACGTCTTGAGCCTAAGCCAGGGAATCAGCTCTCATCTCGAGACGATTTGGGGTACACGGAGCATTCCTCGAGTTGCTGTGCTGAAGTTGGTGTTCCTCTAGACTTGGGACAGTGTTCTCGGGGCATCTCTGGAGTTGCCTGAAGGAAGTCGAGCCACCGGTCTTGTTGAATGGGGAACGGGGAATGGCTCTGGAGTCAATGCAGGGGAATCGGGCCTCATCTCGAGTTGATTTGGGGCACATGGAGCTGCTTTGCGTTGCTGGGGTAACCTCAGGATCCGTCTAGACTGGTGACAGTGTTCTTGGGGACTGTCTCGAGATCCATTAAGCAAGTCGAAGCTCCTGACTTGTTTGAATGGGATCACGGAATAGCTCTGCATGCACTGCAGGGGAATGGGGCCTCATCTCGCCTCTAGGGGGAAGTCTCATGGTTTTTCTCGAGTTGCGGCGGGGACCTGCGGTATGTTCTCGACTTACGGCGGGGATGGCCCTTCAAAACACGAGTTTCTTCAGTGACGTCAGGACTCCTGTCTAGTAACGAGGGACACCTCAGGAATCTCTTCGAGGCTTGGCAGGGCAAAAAGGACGCTTCTCGAGGTGAGGCAGGGAACCCAAGGACCCTTTCCAGTAGCCACAGGGATTTGGGATTCCTATTAGTATTCAAGAGGAGTCAGGCATCGTCACCATTTGAAGAAATGAACTCCGCGTGCCTCTCGAGGTGTCAGCGGGATGTGAGGCATTTTGTCAAAAGGAGGCAGGGACCTAGGGCTTTCTCTAAGGTCTCCACAGGGGATTCAGACATCCCTTCATGTTGTGAGATGAAAGAAGAGCCTGTATTCAAACCACTGCAAGGAAATCCGGCCTCCTTTTAAGTTAGGGCTTCTCGCTGTATATTCGCCTTGAGGCAGCAAACTTGGGGTCCCTCCGACATACCTATTGCTGAGAGAAGCCTCCTCCTGAGGTGCTTCAGGAAAGTTGGCACACGTCAAGAGACTAAGCCAGGGAATCAGCTCTCATCTCGAGACGATTAGGGGTATACGGAGCATTCCTCGAGTTGCTGTGCTGAAGTTGGTGTTCCTCTAGACTTGGGACAGTGTTCTCGGGGCATCTCTGGAGTTGCCTGAAAGAAGTCGAGATGCCGGTCGTGTTGATTGGGGAAAGAGGAATGGCTCTGGAGTCAATGCAGGGGAATCGGGCCTTATCTCGAGTTGATTTGGGGCACATGGAGCTGCTTTGCGTTGCTGGGGTGACCGCAGGGTCCCTCTAGACTGGTGACAGTGATCTTGGGGACTGTCTCGAGATCCATTAAGCAAGTCGAAGCTCCTGACTTGTTTGAATGGGATCACGGAATAGCTCTGCATGCACTGCAGGGGAATGGGGCCTCATCTCGCCACTAGGGGGAAGTCTCATGGTTTTTCTCGAGTTGCGGCGGGAACCTGGGTTATGTTCTCGACTTACGGCGGGGATGGCCCTTCAAAACACGAGTTTCTCCAGTGACGTCAGGACTCCTGTCTAGTAACGAGGGACACCTCAGGAATCTCTTCGAGGCTTGGCAGGACAAAAGGGACGCTTCTCGAGGTGAGGCAGGGCACCCAAGGACCCTTTCAGTAGCCACAGGGATTTTGGGATTCCTATCAGTATTCAAGAGGAGTCAGGCATCGTCCCCTTTTGAAGCAATGAACTCCACGTGCCTCTCGAGGTGTCAGCGGGATGTGAGGCATTCCGTCAAAAGGAGGCAGGGACCTAGGGCTTTCTCTAAGGTCTCCACAGGGGCTTCAGACAACCCTTCATGTTGTGAGGTGAAAGACGAGCCTGTATTCAAGCCACTGCAAGGAAATCCGTCCTCCTTTCAAGTTAGGGCTTCTCGCTGTATATTCGCCTTGAGGCAGCAAACTCGGGGTCCCTCCCACATACCTATTGCTGAGAGAACCCTCCTCCTGAGGTGCATCTGGAAAGTTGGCATACGTCTTGAGACTAAGCCAGGGAATCAGCTCTCATCTCGAGACGATTTGGGGTACACGGAGCCTTCCTCGAGTTGCTGTGCTGAAGTTGGTGTTCCTCTAGACTTGGGACAGTGTTCTCGGGGCATCTCTGGAGTTGCCTGAAGGAAGTCGAGCCACCGGTCTTGTTGAATGGGGAACGGGGAATGGCTCTGGAATCAATGCAGGGGAATCAGGCCTCATCTCGGGTTGATTTGGGGCACATAGTTCTGCTTTGCGTTGCTGGGGTGACCTCAGGTTCCGTCTAGACTGGTGACAGTGTTCTTGGGGACTGTCTCGAGACCCATTAAGCAAGTCGAAGCTCCTGAATTGTTTGAATGGGATCACGGAATAGCTCTGCATGCACTACAGGGGAATGGGGCCTCATCTCGCCACTAGGGGGAAGTCTCATGGTTTTTCTCAAGTTGCGGCGGGGACCTGGGGTATGTTCTCGACTTACGGCGGGGATGGCCCTTCAAAACACGAGTTTCTTCAGTGACGTCAGGACTCCTGTCTAGTAAAGAGGGACACATCAGGAATCTCTTCAAGGCTTGGCAGGGCAAAAGGGACGCTTCACGAGGTGAGGCAGGGAACCCAAGGACACTTTCCAGTAGCCACAGGGATTTGGGATTCCTATTAGTATTCAAGAGGAGTCAGGCATCATCACCATTTGAAGAAATGAACTCCGCGTGCCTCTCGAGGTGTCAGCGGGATGTGAGGCATTCCGTCAAAAGGAGGCAGGGACCTAGGGCTTTCTCTAAGGTCTACACAGGGCATTCAGACATCCCTTCATGTTGTGAGATGAAACACGAGCCTGTATTCAAGCCACTGCAAGGAAATCCGTCCTCCTTTCAAGTTAGGGCTTCTCGCTGTATATTCGCCTTGAGGCAGCAAACTCGGGGTCTCTCCCAATACCTATTGCTGAGAGAAGCCTCCTCCTGAGGTGCTTCTGGAAAGTTGGCATACGTCTTGAGCCTAAGCCAGGGAATCAGCTCTCATCTCGAGACGATTTGGGGTACACGGAGCATTCCTCGAGTTGCTGTGCTGAAGTTGGTGTTCCTCTAGACTTGGGACAGTGTTCTCGGGGCATCTCTGGAGTAGCCTGAAGGAAGTCGAGCCACCGGTCTTGTTGAATGGGGAACGGGGAATGGCTCTGGAGTCAATGCAGGGGAATCGGGCCTCATCTCGAGTTGATTTGGGGCACATGGAGCTGCTTTGCGTTGCTGGGGTAACCTCAGGATCTGTCTAGACTGGTGACAGTGTTCTTGGGGACTGTCTCGAGATCCATTAAGCAAGTCGAAGCTCCTGACTTGTTTGAATGGGATCACGGAATAGCTCTGCATGCACTGCAGGGGAATGGGGCCTCATCTCGCCTCTAGGGGGAAGTCTCATGGTTTTTCTCGAGTTGCGGCGGGGACCTGCGGTATGTTCTCGACTTACGGCGGGGATGGCCCTTCAAAACACGAGTTTCTTCAGTGACGTCAGGACTCCTGTCTAGTAACGAGGGACACCTCAGGAATCTCTTCGAGGCTTGGCAGGGCAAAAGGGACGCTTCTCGAGGTGAGGCAGGGAACCCAAGGACCCTTTCCAGTAGCCACAGGGATTTGGGATTCCTATTAGTATTCAAGAGGAGTCAGGCATCGTCACCATTTGAAGAAATGAACTCCGCGTGCCTCTCGAGGTGTCAGCGGGATGTGAGGCATTCCGTCAAAAGGAGGCAGGGACCTAGGGCTTTCTCTAAGGTCTCCACAGGGGATTCAGACATCCCTTCATGTTGTGAGATGAAAGAAGAGCCTGTATTCAAACCACTGCAAGGAAATCCGGCCTCCTTTTAAGTTAGGGCTTCTCGCTGTATATTCGCCTTGAGGCAGCAAACTTGGGGTCCCTCCGACATACCTATTGCTGAGAGAAGCCTCCTCCTGAGGTGCTTCAGGAAAGTTGGCACACGTCAAGAGACTAAGCCAGGGAATCAGCTCTCATCTCGAGACGATTAGGGGTATACGGAGCATTCCTCGAGTTGCTATGCTGAAGTTGGTGTTCCTCTAGACTTGGGACAGTGTTCTCGGGGCATCTCTGGAGTTGCCTGAAGGAAGTCGAGCCACCGGTCGTGTTGAATGGGGAACGGGGAATGGCTCTGGAGTCAATGCAGGGGAATCAGGCCTCATCTCGGGTTGATTTGGGGCACATAGTTCTGCTTTGCGTTGCTGGGGTGACCTCAGGGTCCGTCTAGACTGGTGACAGTGTTCTTGGGGACTGTCTCGAGACCCATTAAGCAAGTCGAAGCTCCTGAATTGTTTGAATGGGATCACGGAATAGCTCTGCATGCACTGCAGGGGAATGGGGCCTCATCTCGCCACTAGGGGGAAGTCTCATGGTTTTTCTCAAGTTGCGGCGGGGACCTGGGGTATGTTCTCGACTTACGGCGGGGATGGCCCTTCAAAACACGAGTTTCTTCAGTGACGTCAGGACTCCTGTCTAGTAAAGAGGGACACCTCAGGAATCCCTTCGAGGCTTGGCAGGGCAAAAGGGACGCTTCTCGAGGTGAGGCAGGGAACCCAAGGACCCTTTCCAGTAGCCACAGGGATTTGGGATTCCTATTAGTATTCAAGAGGAGTCAGGCATCGTCACCTTTTGAAGCAATGAACTCCACGTGCCTCTCGAGGTGTCAGCGTGATGTGATTCATTCCGTCAAAAGGAGGCAGGGACCTAGGGCTTTCTCTAAGGTCTCCACAGAGGCTTCAGACATCCCTTCATGTTGTGAGGTGAAAGACGAGCCTGTACTCAAGCCACTGCAAGGAAATCCGGCCTCCTTTCAAGTTAGGGCTTCTCGCTGTATATTCCCCTTGAGGCAGCAAACTCGGGGTCCCTCCCACATACCTATTGCTGAGAGAAGCCTCCTCCTGAGGTGCTTCTGGAAAGTTGGCATACGTCTTGAGCCTAAGCCAGGGAATCAGCTCTCATCTCGAGACGATTTGGGGTACACGGAGCATTCCTCGAGTTGCTGTGCTGAAGTTGGTGTTCCTCTAGACTTGGGACAGTGTTCTCGGGGCATCTCTGGAGTTGCCTGAAGGAAGTCGAGCCATCGGTCGTGTTGAATGGGGAACGGGGAATGGCTCTGGGGTCAATGCAGGGGAATCGGGCCTCATCTCGAGTTGATTTGGGTCACATGGAGCTGCTTTGAGTTGCTGGGGTAACCTCAGGGTCCGTCTAGACTGGTGACAGTGTTCTTGGGGACTGTCTCGAGATCCATTAAGCAAGTCGAAGCTCCTGACTTGTTTGAATGGGATCACGGAATAGCTCTGCATGCACTGCAGGGGAATGGGGCCTCATCTCGCCTCTAGGGGGAAGTCTCATGGTTTTTCTCGAGTTGCGGCGGGGACCTGGGGTATGTTCTCGACTTACGGCGGCGATGGCCCTTCAAAACACGAGTTTCTTCAGTGACGTCAGGACTCCTGTCTAGTAATGAGGGACACCTCAGGAATCTCTTCGAGGCTTGGCAGGGCAAAAGGGACGCTTCTCGAGGTGAGGCAGGGAACCCAAGGACCCTTTCCAGTAACCACAGTGATTTGGGATTCCTATTAGTATTCAAGAGGAGTCAGGCATCGTCACCATTTGAAGAAATGAACTCCGCGTGCCTCTCGAGGTGTCAGCGGGATGTGAGGCATTCCGTCAAAATGAGGCAGGGACCTAGGGCTTTCTCTAAGGTCTCCACAGGGGATTCAGACATCCCTTCATGTTGTGAGATGAAAGAAGAGCCTGTATTCAAGCCACTGCAAGGAAATCCGGCCTCCTTTTAAGTTAGGGCTTCTCGCTGTATATTCGCCTTGAGGCAGCAAACTCGGGGTCACTCCCAATACCTATTGCTGAGAGAAGCCTCCTCCTGAGGTGCTTCTGGAAAGTTGGCATACGTCTTGAGCCTAAGCCAGGGAATCAGCTCTCATCTCGAGACGATTTGGGGTACACGGAGCATTCCTCGAGTTGCTGTGCTGAAGTTGGTGTTCCTCTAGACTTGGGACAGTGTTCTCGGGGCATCTCTGGAGTTGCCTGAAGGAAGTCGAGCCACCGGTCTTGTTGAATGGGGAACGGGGAATGGCTCTGGAGTCAATGCAGGGGAATCAGGCCTCATCTCGAGTTGATTTGGGGCACATGGAGCTGCTTTGCGTTGCTGGGGTAACCTCAGGATCCGTCTAGACTGGTGACAGTGTTCTTGGGGACTGTCTCGAGATCCATTAAGCAAGTCGAAGCTCCTGACTTGTTTGAATGGGATCACGGAATAGCTCTGCATGCACTGCAGGGGAATGGGGCCTCATCTCGCCTCTAGGGGGAAGTCTCATGGTTTTTCTCGAGTTGCGGCGGGGACCTGCGGTATGTTCTCGACTTACGGCGGGGATGGCCCTTCAAAACACGAGTTTCTTCAGTGACGTCAGGACTCCTGTCTAGTAACGAGGGACACCTCAGGAATCTCTTCGAGGCTTGGCAGGGCAAAAGGGACGCTTCTCGAGGTGAGGCAGGGAACCCAAGGACCCTTTCCAGTAGCCACAGGGATTTGGGATTCCTATTAGTATTGAAGAGGAGTCAGGCATCGTCACCATTTGAAGAAATGAACTCCGCGTGCCTCTCGAGGTGTCAGCGGGATGTGAGGCATTCCGTCAAAATGAGGCAGGGACCTAGGGCTTTCTCTAAGGTCTCCACAGGGGATTCAGACATCCCTTCATGTTGTGAGATGAAAGAAGAGCCTGTATTCAAGCCACTGCAAGGAAATCCGGCCTCCTTTTAAGTTAGGGCTTCTCGCTGTATATTCGCCTTGAGGCAGCAAACTCGGGGTCACTCCCAATACCTATTGCTGAGAGAAGCCTCCTCCTGAGGTGCTTCTGGAAAGTTGGCATACGTCTTGAGCCTAAGCCAGGGAATCAGCTCTCATCTCGAGACGATTTGGGGTACACGGAGCATTCCTCTAGTTGCTGTGCTGAAGTTGGTGTTCCTCTAGACTTGGGACAGTGTTCTCGGGGCATCTCTGGAGTTGCCTGAAGGAAGTCGAGCCACCGGTCTTGTTGAATGGGGAACGGGGAATGGCTCTGGAGTCAATGCAGGGGAATCGGGCCTCATCTCGAGTTGATTTGGGGCACATGGAGCTGCTTTGCGTTGCTGGGGTAACCTCAGGATCCGTCTAGACTGGTGACAGTGTTCTTGGGGACTGTCTCGAGATCCATTAAGCAAGTCGAAGCTCCTGACTTGTTTGAATGGGATCACGGAATAGCTCTGCATGCACTGCAGGGGAATGGGGCCTCATCTCGCCTCTAGGGGGAAGTCTCATGGTTTTTCTCGAGTTGCGGCGGGGACCTGCGGTATGTTCTCGACTTACGGCGGGGATGGCCCTTCAAAACACGAGTTTCTTCAGTGACGTCAGGACTCCTGTCTAGTAACGAGGGACACCTCAGGAATCTCTTCGAGGCTTGGCAGGGCAAAAAGGACGCTTCTCGAGGTGAGGCAGGGAACCCAAGGACCCTTTCCAGTAGCCACAGGGATTTGGGATTCCTATTAGTATTCAAGAGGAGTCAGGCATCGTCACCATTTGAAGAAATGAACTCCGCGTGCCTCTCGAGGTGTCAGCGGGATGTGAGGCATTTTGTCAAAAGGAGGCAGGGACCTAGGGCTTTCTCTAAGGTCTCCACAGGGGATTCAGACATCCCTTCATGTTGTGAGATGAAAGAAGAGCCTGTATTCAAACCACTGCAAGGAAATCCGGCCTCCTTTTAAGTTAGGGCTTCTCGCTGTATATTCGCCTTGAGGCAGCAAACTTGGGGTCCCTCCGACATACCTATTGCTGAGAGAAGCCTCCTCCTGAGGTGCTTCAGGAAAGTTGGCACACGTCAAGAGACTAAGCCAGGGAATCAGCTCTCATCTCGAGACGATTAGGGGTATACGGAGCATTCCTCGAGTTGCTGTGCTGAAGTTGGTGTTCCTCTAGACTTGGGACAGTGTTCTCGGGGCATCTCTGGAGTTGCCTGAAAGAAGTCGAGATGCCGGTCGTGTTGATTGGGGAAAGAGGAATGGCTCTGGAGTCAATGCAGGGGAATCGGGCCTTATCTCGAGTTGATTTGGGGCACATGGAGCTGCTTTGCGTTGCTGGGGTGACCGCAGGGTCCCTCTAGACTGGTGACAGTGATCTTGGGGACTGTCTCGAGATCCATTAAGCAAGTCGAAGCTCCTGACTTGTTTGAATGGGATCACGGAATAGCTCTGCATGCACTGCAGGGGAATGGGGCCTCATCTCGCCACTAGGGGGAAGTCTCATGGTTTTTCTCGAGTTGCGGCGGGAACCTGGGTTATGTTCTCGACTTACGGCGGGGATGGCCCTTCAAAACACGAGTTTCTCCAGTGACGTCAGGACTCCTGTCTAGTAACGAGGGACACCTCAGGAATCTCTTCGAGGCTTGGCAGGACAAAAGGGACGCTTCTCGAGGTGAGGCAGGGCACCCAAGGACCCTTTCAGTAGCCACAGGGATTTTGGGATTCCTATCAGTATTCAAGAGGAGTCAGGCATCGTCCCCTTTTGAAGCAATGAACTCCACGTGCCTCTCGAGGTGTCAGCGGGATGTGAGGCATTCCGTCAAAAGGAGGCAGGGACCTAGGGCTTTCTCTAAGGTCTCCACAGGGGCTTCAGACAACCCTTCATGTTGTGAGGTGAAAGACGAGCCTGTATTCAAGCCACTGCAAGGAAATCCGTCCTCCTTTCAAGTTAGGGCTTCTCGCTGTATATTCGCCTTGAGGCAGCAAACTCGGGGTCCCTCCCACATACCTATTGCTGAGAGAACCCTCCTCCTGAGGTGCATCTGGAAAGTTGGCATACGTCTTGAGACTAAGCCAGGGAATCAGCTCTCATCTCGAGACGATTTGGGGTACACGGAGCCTTCCTCGAGTTGCTGTGCTGAAGTTGGTGTTCCTCTAGACTTGGGACAGTGTTCTCGGGGCATCTCTGGAGTTGCCTGAAGGAAGTCGAGCCACCGGTCTTGTTGAATGGGGAACGGGGAATGGCTCTGGAATCAATGCAGGGGAATCAGGCCTCATCTCGGGTTGATTTGGGGCACATAGTTCTGCTTTGCGTTGCTGGGGTGACCTCAGGTTCCGTCTAGACTGGTGACAGTGTTCTTGGGGACTGTCTCGAGACCCATTAAGCAAGTCGAAGCTCCTGAATTGTTTGAATGGGATCACGGAATAGCTCTGCATGCACTACAGGGGAATGGGGCCTCATCTCGCCACTAGGGGGAAGTCTCATGGTTTTTCTCAAGTTGCGGCGGGGACCTGGGGTATGTTCTCGACTTACGGCGGGGATGGCCCTTCAAAACACGAGTTTCTTCAGTGACGTCAGGACTCCTGTCTAGTAAAGAGGGACACATCAGGAATCTCTTCAAGGCTTGGCAGGGCAAAAGGGACGCTTCACGAGGTGAGGCAGGGAACCCAAGGACACTTTCCAGTAGCCACAGGGATTTGGGATTCCTATTAGTATTCAAGAGGAGTCAGGCATCATCACCATTTGAAGAAATGAACTCCGCGTGCCTCTCGAGGTGTCAGCGGGATGTGAGGCATTCCGTCAAAAGGAGGCAGGGACCTAGGGCTTTCTCTAAGGTCTACACAGGGCATTCAGACATCCCTTCATGTTGTGAGATGAAACACGAGCCTGTATTCAAGCCACTGCAAGGAAATCCGTCCTCCTTTCAAGTTAGGGCTTCTCGCTGTATATTCGCCTTGAGGCAGCAAACTCGGGGTCTCTCCCAATACCTATTGCTGAGAGAAGCCTCCTCCTGAGGTGCTTCTGGAAAGTTGGCATACGTCTTGAGCCTAAGCCAGGGAATCAGCTCTCATCTCGAGACGATTTGGGGTACACGGAGCATTCCTCGAGTTGCTGTGCTGAAGTTGGTGTTCCTCTAGACTTGGGACAGTGTTCTCGGGGCATCTCTGGAGTAGCCTGAAGGAAGTCGAGCCACCGGTCTTGTTGAATGGGGAACGGGGAATGGCTCTGGAGTCAATGCAGGGGAATCGGGCCTCATCTCGAGTTGATTTGGGGCACATGGAGCTGCTTTGCGTTGCTGGGGTAACCTCAGGATCTGTCTAGACTGGTGACAGTGTTCTTGGGGACTGTCTCGAGATCCATTAAGCAAGTCGAAGCTCCTGACTTGTTTGAATGGGATCACGGAATAGCTCTGCATGCACTGCAGGGGAATGGGGCCTCATCTCGCCTCTAGGGGGAAGTCTCATGGTTTTTCTCGAGTTGCGGCGGGGACCTGCGGTATGTTCTCGACTTACGGCGGGGATGGCCCTTCAAAACACGAGTTTCTTCAGTGACGTCAGGACTCCTGTCTAGTAACGAGGGACACCTCAGGAATCTCTTCGAGGCTTGGCAGGGCAAAAGGGACGCTTCTCGAGGTGAGGCAGGGAACCCAAGGACCCTTTCCAGTAGCCACAGGGATTTGGGATTCCTATTAGTATTCAAGAGGAGTCAGGCATCGTCACCATTTGAAGAAATGAACTCCGCGTGCCTCTCGAGGTGTCAGCGGGATGTGAGGCATTCCGTCAAAAGGAGGCAGGGACCTAGGGCTTTCTCTAAGGTCTCCACAGGGGATTCAGACATCCCTTCATGTTGTGAGATGAAAGAAGAGCCTGTATTCAAACCACTGCAAGGAAATCCGGCCTCCTTTTAAGTTAGGGCTTCTCGCTGTATATTCGCCTTGAGGCAGCAAACTTGGGGTCCCTCCGACATACCTATTGCTGAGAGAAGCCTCCTCCTGAGGTGCTTCAGGAAAGTTGGCACACGTCAAGAGACTAAGCCAGGGAATCAGCTCTCATCTCGAGACGATTAGGGGTATACGGAGCATTCCTCGAGTTGCTATGCTGAAGTTGGTGTTCCTCTAGACTTGGGACAGTGTTCTCGGGGCATCTCTGGAGTTGCCTGAAGGAAGTCGAGCCACCGGTCGTGTTGAATGGGGAACGGGGAATGGCTCTGGAGTCAATGCAGGGGAATCAGGCCTCATCTCGGGTTGATTTGGGGCACATAGTTCTGCTTTGCGTTGCTGGGGTGACCTCAGGGTCCGTCTAGACTGGTGACAGTGTTCTTGGGGACTGTCTCGAGACCCATTAAGCAAGTCGAAGCTCCTGAATTGTTTGAATGGGATCACGGAATAGCTCTGCATGCACTGCAGGGGAATGGGGCCTCATCTCGCCACTAGGGGGAAGTCTCATGGTTTTTCTCAAGTTGCGGCGGGGACCTGGGGTATGTTCTCGACTTACGGCGGGGATGGCCCTTCAAAACACGAGTTTCTTCAGTGACGTCAGGACTCCTGTCTAGTAAAGAGGGACACCTCAGGAATCCCTTCGAGGCTTGGCAGGGCAAAAGGGACGCTTCTCGAGGTGAGGCAGGGAACCCAAGGACCCTTTCCAGTAGCCACAGGGATTTGGGATTCCTATTAGTATTCAAGAGGAGTCAGGCATCGTCACCTTTTGAAGCAATGAACTCCACGTGCCTCTCGAGGTGTCAGCGTGATGTGATTCATTCCGTCAAAAGGAGGCAGGGACCTAGGGCTTTCTCTAAGGTCTCCACAGAGGCTTCAGACATCCCTTCATGTTGTGAGGTGAAAGACGAGCCTGTACTCAAGCCACTGCAAGGAAATCCGGCCTCCTTTCAAGTTAGGGCTTCTCGCTGTATATTCCCCTTGAGGCAGCAAACTCGGGGTCCCTCCCACATACCTATTGCTGAGAGAAGCCTCCTCCTGAGGTGCTTCTGGAAAGTTGGCATACGTCTTGAGCCTAAGCCAGGGAATCAGCTCTCATCTCGAGACGATTTGGGGTACACGGAGCATTCCTCGAGTTGCTGTGCTGAAGTTGGTGTTCCTCTAGACTTGGGACAGTGTTCTCGGGGCATCTCTGGAGTTGCCTGAAGGAAGTCGAGCCATCGGTCGTGTTGAATGGGGAACGGGGAATGGCTCTGGGGTCAATGCAGGGGAATCGGGCCTCATCTCGAGTTGATTTGGGTCACATGGAGCTGCTTTGAGTTGCTGGGGTAACCTCAGGGTCCGTCTAGACTGGTGACAGTGTTCTTGGGGACTGTCTCGAGATCCATTAAGCAAGTCGAAGCTCCTGACTTGTTTGAATGGGATCACGGAATAGCTCTGCATGCACTGCAGGGGAATGGGGCCTCATCTCGCCTCTAGGGGGAAGTCTCATGGTTTTTCTCGAGTTGCGGCGGGGACCTGGGGTATGTTCTCGACTTACGGCGGCGATGGCCCTTCAAAACACGAGTTTCTTCAGTGACGTCAGGACTCCTGTCTAGTAATGAGGGACACCTCAGGAATCTCTTCGAGGCTTGGCAGGGCAAAAGGGACGCTTCTCGAGGTGAGGCAGGGAACCCAAGGACCCTTTCCAGTAACCACAGTGATTTGGGATTCCTATTAGTATTCAAGAGGAGTCAGGCATCGTCACCATTTGAAGAAATGAACTCCGCGTGCCTCTCGAGGTGTCAGCGGGATGTGAGGCATTCCGTCAAAATGAGGCAGGGACCTAGGGCTTTCTCTAAGGTCTCCACAGGGGATTCAGACATCCCTTCATGTTGTGAGATGAAAGAAGAGCCTGTATTCAAGCCACTGCAAGGAAATCCGGCCTCCTTTTAAGTTAGGGCTTCTCGCTGTATATTCGCCTTGAGGCAGCAAACTCGGGGTCACTCCCAATACCTATTGCTGAGAGAAGCCTCCTCCTGAGGTGCTTCTGGAAAGTTGGCATACGTCTTGAGCCTAAGCCAGGGAATCAGCTCTCATCTCGAGACGATTTGGGGTACACGGAGCATTCCTCGAGTTGCTGTGCTGAAGTTGGTGTTCCTCTAGACTTGGGACAGTGTTCTCGGGGCATCTCTGGAGTTGCCTGAAGGAAGTCGAGCCACCGGTCTTGTTGAATGGGGAACGGGGAATGGCTCTGGAGTCAATGCAGGGGAATCAGGCCTCATCTCGAGTTGATTTGGGGCACATGGAGCTGCTTTGCGTTGCTGGGGTAACCTCAGGATCCGTCTAGACTGGTGACAGTGTTCTTGGGGACTGTCTCGAGATCCATTAAGCAAGTCGAAGCTCCTGACTTGTTTGAATGGGATCACGGAATAGCTCTGCATGCACTGCAGGGGAATGGGGCCTCATCTCGCCTCTAGGGGGAAGTCTCATGGTTTTTCTCGAGTTGCGGCGGGGACCTGCGGTATGTTCTCGACTTACGGCGGGGATGGCCCTTCAAAACACGAGTTTCTTCAGTGACGTCAGGACTCCTGTCTAGTAACGAGGGACACCTCAGGAATCTCTTCGAGGCTTGGCAGGGCAAAAGGGACGCTTCTCGAGGTGAGGCAGGGAACCCAAGGACCCTTTCCAGTAGCCACAGGGATTTGGGATTCCTATTAGTATTGAAGAGGAGTCAGGCATCGTCACCATTTGAAGAAATGAACTCCGCGTGCCTCTCGAGGTGTCAGCGGGATGTGAGGCATTCCGTCAAAATGAGGCAGGGACCTAGGGCTTTCTCTAAGGTCTCCACAGGGGATTCAGACATCCCTTCATGTTGTGAGATGAAAGAAGAGCCTGTATTCAAGCCACTGCAAGGAAATCCGGCCTCCTTTTAAGTTAGGGCTTCTCGCTGTATATTCGCCTTGAGGCAGCAAACTCGGGGTCACTCCCAATACCTATTGCTGAGAGAAGCCTCCTCCTGAGGTGCTTCTGGAAAGTTGGCATACGTCTTGAGCCTAAGCCAGGGAATCAGCTCTCATCTCGAGACGATTTGGGGTACACGGAGCATTCCTCTAGTTGCTGTGCTGAAGTTGGTGTTCCTCTAGACTTGGGACAGTGTTCTCGGGGCATCTCTGGAGTTGCCTGAAGGAAGTCGAGCCACCGGTCTTGTTGAATGGGGAACGGGGAATGGCTCTGGAGTCAATGCAGGGGAATCGGGCCTCATCTCGAGTTGATTTGGGGCACATGGAGCTGCTTTGCGTTGCTGGGGTAACCTCAGGATCCGTCTAGACTGGTGACAGTGTTCTTGGGGACTGTCTCGAGATCCATTAAGCAAGTCGAAGCTCCTGACTTGTTTGAATGGGATCACGGAATAGCTCTGCATGCACTGCAGGGGAATGGGGCCTCATCTCGCCTCTAGGGGGAAGTCTCATGGTTTTTCTCGAGTTGCGGCGGGGACCTGCGGTATGTTCTCGACTTACGGCGGGGATGGCCCTTCAAAACACGAGTTTCTTCAGTGACGTCAGGACTGCTGTCTAGTAACGAGGGACACCTCAGGAATCTCTTCGAGGCTTGGCAGGGCAAAAGGGACGCTTCTCGAGGTGAGGCAGGGAACCCAAGGACCCTTTCCAGTAGCCACAGGGATTTGGGATTCCTATTAGTATTCAAGAGGAGTCAGGCATCGTCACCATTTGAAGAAATGAACTCCGCGTGCCTCTCGAGGTGTCAGCGGGATGTCAGGCATTCCGTCAAAAGGAGGCAGGGACCTAGGGCTTTCTCTAAGGTCTCCACAGGGGATTCAGACATCCCTTCATGTTGTGAGATGAAAGAAGAGCCTGTATTCAAACCACTGCAAGGAAATCCGGCCTCCTTTTAAGTTAGGGCTTCTCGCTGTATATTCGCCTTGAGGCAGCAAACTCGGGGTCCCTCCGACATAGCTATTGCTGAGAGAAGCCTCCTCCTGAGGTGCTTCTGGAAAGTTGGCATACGTCTTGAGACTAAGCCAGGGAATCAGCACTCATCTCGAGACGATTTGGGGTACACGGAGCATTCCTCGAGTTGCTGTGCTGAAGTTGGTGTTCCTCTAGACTTGGGACAGTGTTCTCGGGGCATCTCTGGAGTTGCCTGAAGGAAGTCGAGCCACCGGTCGTGTTGAATGGGGAACGGGGAATGGCTCTGGAGTCAATGCAGGGGAATCAGGCCTCATCTCGGGTTGATTTGGGGCACATAGTTCTCCTTTGCGTTGCTGGGGTGACCTCAGGGTCCGTCTAGACTGGTGACAGTGTTCTTGGCGACTGTCTCGAGACCCATTAAGCAAGTCGAAGCTCCTGAATTGTTTGAATGTGATCACGGAATAGCTCTGCATGCACTACAGGGGAATGGGGCCTCATCTCGCCACTAGGGGGAAGTCTCATGGTTTTTCTCAAGTTGCGGCGGGGACCTGGGGTATGTTCTCGACTTACGGCGGGGATGGCCCTTCAAAACACGAGTTTCTTCAGTGACGTCAGGACTCCTGTCTAGTAACGAGGGACACCTCAGGAATCTCTTCGAGGCTTGGCAGGGCAAAAGGGACGCTTCTCGAGGTGAGGCAGGGACCCCAAGGACCCTTTCCAGTAGCCACAGAGATTTGGGATTCCTATTAGTATTCAAGAGGAGTCAGGCATCGTCACCATTTGAAGAAATGAACTCCGCGTGCCTCTCGAGGTGTCAGCGGGATGTGAGGCATTCCGACACAATGAGGCAGGGACCTAGGGCTTTCTCTAAGGTCTCCACAGGGGATTCAGACATCCCTTCATGTTGTGAGATGAAAGACGAGCCTGTATTCAAGCCACTGCAAGGAAATCCGGCCTCCTTTCAAGTTAGGGTTTCTCGCTGTATATTCTCCTTGAGGCAGCAAACTCGGGGTAACTCCCACATACCTATTGCTGAGAGAAGCCTCCGCCTGAGGTGCTTCTGGAAAGTTGGCATACGTCTTGAGACTAAGCCAGGGAATCAGCTCTCATCTCGAGACGATTTGGGGTACACGGAGCATTCCTCGAGTTGCTGTGCTGAAGTTGGTGTTCCTCTAGACTTGGGACAGTGTTCTCGGGGCATCTCTGGAGTTGCCTGAAGGAAGTCGAGCCACCGGTCTTGTTGAATGGGGAACGGGGAATGGCTCTGGAGTCAATGCAGGGGAATCGGGCCTCATCTCGAGTTGATTTGGGGCACATGGAGCTGCTTTGCGTTGCTGGGGTGACCTCAGGGTCCGTCTAGGCTGGTGACAGTGTTCTTGGGGCCTGTCTCGAGATCCATTAAGCAAGTCGAAGCTCCTGACTTGTTTGAATGGGATCACGGAATAGCTCTGCATGCACTGCAGGGGAATGGGGCCTCATCTCGCCCTAGGGGGAAGTCTCATGGTTTTTCTCGTGTTGCGGAGGGGACCTGGGTTATGTTCTCGACTTATGGCGGGGATGGCCCTTCAAAACACGAGTTTCTCCAGTGACGTCAGGATTCCTGTCTAGTAACGAGGGACACCTCAGGAATCTCTTCGAGGCTTGGCAGGGCAAAAGGGAGGCTTCTCGAGGTGAGGCAGGGCACCCAAGGACACTTTCCAGTAGCCACAGGGATTTGGGATTCCTATTAGTATTCAAGAGGAGTCAGGCATCGTCATCATTTGAAGCAATGAACTCCGCGTGCCTCTCCAGGTGTCAGCGGGATGTGAGGCATTCCGTCAAAAGGAGGCAGGGACCTAGGGCTTTCTCTAAGGTCTCCACAGGGGATTCAGATATCCCTTCATGTTGTGAGATGAAAGACGAGCTTGTATTCAAGCCACTGCAAGGAAATCCGGCCTCCTTTCAAATTAGGGTTTCTCTCTGTATATTCCCCTTGAGGCAGCAAACTCGGGGTCCCTCCCACATACCTATTGCTGAGAGAAGCCTCCTCCTGAGGTGCTTCTGGAAAGTTGGCATACGTCTTGAGCCTAAGCCAGGGAATCAGCTCTCATCTCGAGACGATTTGGGGTACACGGAGCATTCCTCGAGTTGCTGTGCTGAAGTTGGTGTTCCTCTAGACTTGGGACAGTGTTCTCGGGGCATCTCTGGAGTTGCCTGAAGGAAGTCGAGCCACCGGTCTTGTTGAATGGGGAACGGGGAATGGCTCTGGAGTGAATGCAGGGGAATCGGGCCTCATATTGAGTTGATTTGGGGTACATGGAGCTGCTTTGCGTTGCTGGGGTAACCTCAGGGTCCGTCTAGACTGGTGACAGTGTTCTTGGGGACTGCCTCGAGATCCATTAAGCAAGTCGAAGCTCCTGACTTGTTTGAATGGGATCACGGAATAGCTCTGCATGCACTGCAGGGGAATGGGGCCTCATCTCGCCTCTAGGGGGAAGTCTCATGGTTTTTCTCGAGCTTGCGGCGGGGACCTGGGGTATGTTCTCGACTTACGGCGGGGATGGCCCTTCAAAACACGAGTTTCTTCAGTGACGTCAGGACTCCTGTCTAGTAACGAGGGACACCTCAGGAATCTCTTCGAGGCTTGGCAGGGCAAAAGGGACGCTTCTCGAGGTGAGGCAGGGAACCCAAGGACCCTTTCCAGTAGCCACAGGGATTTGGGATTCCTATTAGTATTTAAGAGGAGTTAGGCATCGTCATCATTTGAAGCAATGAAATTCGCGGGCCTCTCGAGGTGTCAGCGGGATGTGAGGCATTCCGTCAAAAGGAGGCAGGGACCTAGGGCTTTCTCTAAGGTCTCCACAGAGGCTTCAGACATCCCTTCATGTTGTGAGGTGAAAGACGAGCCTGTACTCAAGCCACTGCAAGGAAATCCGGCCTCCTTTCAAGTTAGGGCTTCTCGCTCTATATTCCCCTTGAGGCAGCAAACTCGGGGTCCCTCCCACATACCTATTGCTGAGAGAAGCCTCCTCCTGAGGTGCTTCTGGAAAGTTGGCATACGTCTTGAGACTAAGCCAGGGAATCAGCTCTCATCTCGAGACGATTTGGGGTACACGGAGCATTCCTCGAGTTGCTGTGCTGAAGTTGGTGTTCCTCTAGACTTGGGACAGTGTTCTCGGGGCATGTCTGGAGTTGCCTGAAGGAAGTGGAGCCACCAGTCGTGTTGAATGGGGAACGGGGAATGGCTCTGGTGTCAATGCAGGGGAATCAGGCCTCATCTCGGGTTGATTTGGGGCACATAGTGCTGCTTTGCGTTGCTTTGGTGACCTCAGGGTCCTTCTAGACTGGTGACAGTGTTCTTGGGGACTGTCTCGAGAACCATTAAGCAAGTCAAAGCTCCTGACTTGTTTGAATGGGATCACGGAATAGCTCTGCATGCACTGCAGGGGAATGGGGCCTCATCTCGCCACTAGGGGGAAGTCTCATGGTTTTTCTCGAGTTGCGGCGGGAACCTGGGTTATGTTCTCGACTTACGGCGGGGATGGCCCTTCAAAACACAAGTTTCTCCAGTGACGTCAGGACTCCTGTCTAGTAACGAGGGACACCTCAGGAATCTCTTCGAGGCTTGGCAGGGCAAAAGGGACGCTTCTCGAGGTGAGGCAGGGCACCCAAGGACCCTTTCCAGTAGCCACAGGGATTTTGGGATTCCTATCAGTATTCAAGAGGAGTCAGGCATCGTCCTCTTTTGAAACAATGAACTCCACGTGCCTCTCGAGGTGTCAGCGGGATGTGAGGCATTCCGTCAAAAGGAGGCAGGGACCTAGGGCTTTCTCTAAGGTCTCCACAGGGGCTTCAGACAACCCTTCATGTTGTGAGGTGAAAGACGAGCCTGTATTCAAGCCACTGCAAGGAAATCCGTCCTCCTTTCAAGTTAGGGCTTCTCGCTGTATATTCGCCTTGAGGCAGCAAACTCGGGGTCCCTCCCAATACCTATTGCTGAGAGAAGCCTCCTCCTGAGGTGCATCTGGAAAGTTGGCATACGTCTTGAGACTAAGCCAGGGAATCATCTCTCATCTCGAGACGATTTGGGGTACACGGAGCCTTCCTCGAGTTGCTGTGCTGATGTTGGTGTTCCTCTAGACTTGGGACAGTGTTCTCGGGGCATCTCTGGAGTTGCCTGAAGGAAGTCGAGCCACCGGTCGTGTTGAATGGGGAACGGGGAATGGCTCTGGAGTCAATGCAGGGGAATCAGGCCTCATCTCGGGTTGATTTGGGGCACATAGTTCTGCTTTGCGTTGCTGGGGTGACCTCAGGTTCCGTCTAGACTGGTGACAGTGTTCTTGGGGACTGTCTCGAGGCCCATTAAGCAAGTCGAAGCTCCTGAATTGTTTGAATGGGATCACGGAATAGCTCTGCATGCACTACAGGGGAATGGGGCCTCATCTCGCCACTAGGGGGAAGTCTCATGGTTTTTCTCAAGTTGCGGCGGGGACCTGGGGTATGTTCTCGACTTACGGCGGGGATGGCCCTTCAAAACACGAGTTTCTTCAGTGACGTCAGGACTCCAGTCTAGTAAAGAGGGACACATCAGGAATCTCTTCAAGGCTTGGCAGGGCAAAAGGGACGCTTCTCGAGGTGAGGCAGGGAACCCAAGGACCCTTTCCAGTAGCCACAGGGATTTGGGATTCCTATTAGTATTCAAGAGGAGTCAGGCATCATCACCATTTGAAGAAATGAACTCCGCGTGCCTCTCGAGGTGTCAGCGGGATGTGAGGCATTCCGTCAAAAGGAGGCAGGGACCTAGGGCTTTCTCTAAGGTCTCCACAGGGGATTCAGATATCCCTTCATGTTGTGAGATGAAAGACGAGCCTGTATTCAAGCCACTGCAAGGAAATCCGGCCTCCTTTCTAGTTAGGGCTTCTCTCTGTATATTCCCCTTGAGGCAGCAAACTCGGGGTCCCTCCCACATACCAATTGCTGAGAGAAGCCTCCTCCTGAGGTGCTTCTGGGAAGTTGGCATACGTCTTGAGCCTAAGCCAGGGAATCAGCTCGCATCTCGAGACGATTTGGGGTACACGGAGCATTCCTCGAGTTGCTGTGCTGAAGTTGGTGTTCCTCTAGACTTGGGACAGTGTTCTCAGGGCATCTCTGGAGTTGCCTGAAGGAAGTCGAGCCACCGGTCGTGTTGAATGGGGAACGGGGAATGGCTCTAGAGTCAGTGCAGGGGAATCGGGCCTCATCTCGAGTTGATTTGGGGCACATGGAGCTGCTTTGCGTTGCTGGGGTGACCTCAGGGTCCGTCTAGACTGGTGACAGTGTTCTTGGGGACTGTCTCGAGATCAATTAAGCAAGTCGAAGCTCCTGACTTGTTTGAATGGGGTCACGGAATAGCTCTGCATGCACTGCAGGGGAATGGGGCCTCATCTCGCCTCTAGGGGGAAGTCTCATGGTTTTTCTCGAGTTGCGGCGGGGACCTGGGGTATGTTCTCGACTTACGGCGGGGATGGCCCTTCAAAACACGAGTTTCTTCAGTGACGTCAGGACTCCTGTCTAGTAACGAGGGACACCTCAGGAATCTCTTCGAGGCTTGGCAGGGCCAAAGGGACGCTTCTCGAGGTGAGGCAGGGCACCCAAGGACCCTTTCCAGTAGCCACAGGGATTTTGGGATTCCTATCAGTATTCAAGAGGAGTCAGGCATCGTCACCTTTTGAAGCAATGAACTCCGCGTGCCTCTCGAGGTGTCAGCGGGATGTGAGGCATTCCGTCAAAATGAGGCAGGGACCTAGGGCTTTCTCTAAGGTCTCCACAGGGGATTCAGACATCCCTTCATGTTGTGAGATGAAAGACGAGCCTGTATTCAAGCCACTGCAAGAAAATCCGGCCTCCTTTCAAGTTAGGGCTTCTCGCTGTATATTGCCCTTGAGGCAGCAAACTCGGGGTCCCTCCCACATACCTATTGCTGAGAGAAGCCTCCTCCTGAGGTGCTTCTGGGAAGTTGGCATACGTCTTGAGCCTAAGCCAGGGAATCAGCTCGCATCTCGAGACGATTTGGGGTACACGGAGCATTCCTCGAGTTGCTGTGCTGAAGTTGGTGTTTCTCTAGACTTGGGACAGTGTTCTCGGGGCATCTCTGGAGTTGCCTGAAGGAAGTCGAGCCACCGGTCGTGTTGAATGGGGAACGGGGAATGGCTCTGGAGTCAATTCAGGGGAATCGGGCCTCATCTCGAGATGATTTGGGGCACATGGAGCTGCTTTGCGTTGCTGGGGTGACCTCAGGGTCCGTCTAGACTGGTGACAGTGTTCTTGGGGACTGTCTCGAGATCCATTAAGCAAGTCGAAGCTCCTGACTTGTTTGAATGGGATCACGGAATAGCTCTGCATGCACTGCAGGGGAATGGGGCCTCATCTCGCCTCTAGGGGGAAGTCTCATGGTTTTTCTCGAGTTGCGGCGGGGACCTGGGGTATGTTCTCGACTTACGGCGGGGATGGCCCTTCAAAACACGAGTTTCTTCAGTGACGTCAGGACTCCTGTCTAGTAACGAGGGACACCTCAGGAACCTCTTCGAGGCTTGGCAGGGCCAAAGGGACGCTTCTCGAGGTGAGGCAGGGCACCCAAGGACCCTTTCCAGTAGCCACAGGGATTTTGGGATTCCTATCAGTATTCAAGAGGAGTCAGGCATCGTCACCTTTTGAAGCAATGAACTCCGCGTGCCTCTCGAGGTGTCAGCGGGATGTGAGGCATTCCGTCAAAATGAGGCAGGGACCTAGGGCTTTCTCTAAGGTCTCCACAGGGGATTCAGACATCCCTTCATGTTGTGAGATGAAAGACGAGCCTGTATTCAAGCCACTGCAAGGAAATCCGGCCTCCTTTCAAGTTAGGGCTTCTGGCTCTATATTCCCCTTGAGGCAGCAAACTCGGGGTCCCTCCCACATACTTATTGCTGAGAGAAGGCTCCTCCTGAGGTGCTTCTGGGAAGTTGGCATACGTCTTGAGCCTAAGCCAGGGAATCAGCTCGCATCTCGAGACGATTTGGGGTACACGGAGCATTCCTCGAGTTGCTGTGCTGAAGTTGGTGTTCCTCTAGACTTGGGACAGTGTTCTCGGGGCATCTCTGGAGTTGCCTGAAGGAAGTCGAGCCACCGGTCGTGTTGAATGGGGAACGGGGAATGGCTCTGGAGTCAATGCAGGGGAATCGGGCCTCATCTCGAGTTGATTTGGGGCACATGGAGCTGCTTTGCGTTGCTGGGGTGACCTCAGGGTCCGTCTAGACTGGTGACAGTGTTCTTGGGGACTGTCTCGAGATCCATTAAGCAAGTCGAAGCTCCTGACTTGTTTGAATGGGGTCACGGAATAGCTCTGCATGCACTGCAGGGGAATGGGGCCTCATCTCGCCTCTAGGGGGAAGTCTCATGGTTTTTCTCGAGTTGCGGCGGGGACCTGGGGTATGTTCTCGACTTACGGCGGGGATGGCCCTTCAAAACACGAGTTTCTTCAGTGATGTCAGGACTCCTGTCTAGTAACGAGGGACACCTCGGGAATCTCTTCGAGGCTTGGCAGGGCCAAAGGGACGCTTCTCGAGGTGAGGCAGGGCACCCAAGGACCCTTTCCAGTAGCCACAGGGATTTTGGGATTCCTATCAGTATTCAAGAGGAGTCAGGCATCGTCACCTTTTGAAGCAATGAACTCCGCGTGCCTCTCGAGGTGTCAGCGGGATGTGAGGCATTCCGTCAAAATGAGGCAGGGACCTAGGGCTTTCTCTAAGGTCTCCACAGGGGATTCAGACATCCCTTCATGTTGTGAGATGAAAGACGAGCCTGTATTCAAGCCACTGCAAGGAAATCCGGCCTCCTTTCTAGTTAGGGCTTCTCTCTGTATATTCCCCTTGAGGCAGCAAACTCGGGGTCCCTCCCACATACCAATTGCTGAGAGAAGCCTCCTCCTGAGGTGCTTCTGGGAAGTTGGCATACGTCTTGAGCCTAAGCCAGGGAATCAGCTCGCATCTCGAGACGATTTGGGGTACACGGAGCATTCCTCGAGTTGCTGTGCTGAAGTTGGTGTTCCTCTAGACTTGGGACAGTGTTCTCAGGGCATCTCTGGAGTTGCCTGAAGGAAGTCGAGCCACCGGTCGTGTTGAATGGGGAACGGGGAATGGCTCTAGAGTCAGTGCAGGGGAATCGGGCCTCATCTCGAGTTGATTTGGGGCACATGGAGCTGCTTTGCGTTGCTGGGGTGACCTCAGGGTCCGTCTAGACTGGTGACAGTGTTCTTGGGGACTGTCTCGAGATCAATTAAGCAAGTCGAAGCTCCTGACTTGTTTGAATGGGGTCACGGAATAGCTCTGCATGCACTGCAGGGGAATGGGGCCTCATCTCGCCTCTAGGGGGAAGTCTCATGGTTTTTCTCGAGTTGCGGCGGGGACCTGGGGTATGTTCTCGACTTACGGCGGGGATGGCCCTTCAAAACACGAGTTTCTTCAGTGACGTCAGGACTCCTGTCTAGTAACGAGGGACACCTCAGGAATCTCTTCGAGGCTTGGCAGGGCCAAAGGGACGCTTCTCGAGGTGAGGCAGGGCACCCAAAGACCCTTTCCAGTAGCCACAGGGATTTTGGGATTCCTATCAGTATTCAAGAGGAGTCAGGCATCGTCACCTTTTGAAGCAATGAACTCCGCGTGCCTCTCGAGGTGTCAGCGGGATGTGAGGCATTCCGTCAAAATGAGGCAGGGACCTAGGGCTTTCTCTAAGGTCTCCACAGGGGATTCAGACATCCCTTCATGTTGTGAGATGAAAGACGAGCCTGTATTCAAGCCACTGCAAGGAAATCCGGCCTCCTTTCAAGTTAGGGCTTCTCGCTGTATATTCCCCTTGAGGCAGCAAACTCGGGGTCCCTCCCACATACCTATTGCTGAGAGAAGCCTCCTCCTGAGGTGCTTCTGGGAAGTTGGCATACGTCTTGAGCCTAAGCCAGGGAATCAGCTCGCATCTCGAGACGATTTGGGGTACACGGAGCATTCCTCGAGTTGCTGGGCTGAAGTTGGTGTTCCTCTAGACTTGGGACAGTGTTCTCGGGGCATCTCTGGAGTTGCCTAAAGGAAGTCGAGCCACCGGTCGTGTTGAATGGGGAACGAGGAATGGCTCTGGAGTCAATGCAGGGGAATCGGGCCTCATCTCGAGTTGATTTGGGGCACATGGAGCTGCTTTGCGTTGCTGGGGTGACCTCAGGGTCCGTCTAGACTGGTGACAGTGTTCTTGGGGACTGTCTCGAGATCCATTAAGCAAGTCGAAGCTCCTGACTTGTTTGAATGGGGTCACGGAATAGCTCTGCATGCACTGCAGGGGAATGGGGCCTCATCTCGCCTCTAGGGGGAAGTCTCATGGTTTTTCTCGAGTTGCGGCGGGGACCTGGGGTATGTTCTCGACTTACGGCGGGGATGGCCCTTCAAAACACGAGTTTCTTCAGTGACGTCAGGACTCCTGTCTAGTAACGAGGGACACCTCAGGAATCTCTTCGAGGCTTGGCAGGGCCAAAGGGACGCTTCTCGAGGTGAGGCAGGGCACCCAAGGACCCTTTCCAGTAGCCACAGGGATTTTGGGATTCCTATCAGTATTCAAGAGGAGTCAGGCATCGTCACCTTTTGAAGCAATGAACTCCGCGTGCCTCTCGAGGTGTCAGCGGGATGTGAGGCATTCCGTCAAAATGAGGCAGGGACCTAGGGCTTTCTCTAAGGTCTCCACAGGGGATTCAGACATCCCTTCATGTTGTGAGATGAAAGACGAGCCTGTATTCAAGCCACTGCAAGGAAATCCGGCCTCCTTTCAAGTTAGGGCTTCTCGCTGTATATTCCCCTTGAGGCAGCAAACTCGGGGTCCCTCCCACATACCTATTGCTGAGAGAAGCCTCCTCCTGAGGTGCTTCTGGGAAGTTGGCATACGTCTTGAGCCTAAGCCAGGGAATCAGCTCGCATCTCGAGACGATTTGGGGTGCACGGAGCATTCCTCGAGTTGCTGTGCTGAAGTTGGTGTTCCTCTAGACTTGGGACAGTGTTCTCGGGGCATCTCTGGAGTTGCCTGAAGGAAGTCGAGCCACCGGTCGTGTTGAATGGGGAACGGGGAATGGCTCTGGAGTCAGTGCAGGGGAATCGGGCCTCATCTCGAGTTGATTTGGGGCACATGGAGCTGCTTTGCGTTGCTGGGGTGACCTCAGGGTCCGTCTAGACTGGTGACAGTGTTCTTGGGGACTGTCTCGAGATCCATTAAGCAAGTCGAAGCTCCTGACTTGTTTGAATGGGGTCACGGAATAGCTCTGCATGCACTGCAGGGGAATGGGGCCTCATCTCGCCTCTAGGGGGAAGTCTCATGGTTTTTCTCGAGTTGCGGCGGGGACCTGGGGTATGTTCTCGACTTACGGCGGGGATGGCCCTTCAAAACACGAGTTTCTTCAGTGACGTCAGGACTCCTGTCTAGTAACGAGGGACACCTCAGGAATCTCTTCGAGGCTTGGCAGGGCCAAAGGGACGCTTCTCGAGGTGAGGCAGGGCACCCAAGGACCCTTTCCAGTATCCACAGGGATTTTGGGATTCCTATCAGTATTCAAGAGGAGTCAGGCATCGTCACCTTTTGAAGCAATGAACTCCGCGTGCCTCTCGAGGTGTCAGCGGGATGTGAGGCATTCCGTCAAAATGAGGCAGGGACCTAGGGCTTTCTCTAAGGTCTCCACAGGGGATTCAGACATCCCTTCATGTTGTGAGATGAAAGACGAGCCTGTATTCAAGCCACTGCAAGGAAATCCGGCCTCCTTTCAAGTTAGGGCTTCTCGCTGTATATTCCCCTTGAGGCAGCAAACTCGGGGTCCCTCCCACATACCTATTGCTGAGAGAAGCCTCCTCCTGAGGTGCTTCTGGGAAGTTGGCATACGTCTTGAGCCTAAGCCAGGGAATCAGCTCGCATCTCGAGACGATTTGGGGTACACGGAGCATTCCTCGAGTTGCTGTGCTGAAGTTGGTGTTCCTCTAGACTTGGGACAGTGTTCTCGGGGCATCTCTGGAGTTGCCTGAAGGAAGTCGAGCCACCGGTCTTGTTGAATGGGGAACGGGGAATGGCTCTGGAGTCAGTGCAGGGGAATCGGGCCTCATCTCGAGTTGATTTGGGGCACATGGAGCTGCTTTGCGTTGCTGGGGTGACCTCAGGGTCCGTCTAGACTGGTGACAGTGTTCTTGGGGACTGTCTCGAGATCCATTAAGCAAGTCGAAGCTCCTGACTTGTTTGAATGGGGTCACGGAATAGCTCTGCATGCACTGCAGGGGAATGGGGCCTCATCTCGCCTCTAGGGGGAAGTCTCATGGTTTTTCTCGAGTTGCGGCGGGGACCTGGGGTATGTTCTCGACTTACGGCGGGGATGGCCCTTCAAAACACGAGTTTCTTCAGTGACGTCAGGACTCCTGTCTAGTAACGAGGGACACCTCAGGAATCTCTTCGAGGCTTGGCAGGGCCAAAGGGACGCTTCTCGAGGTGAGGCAGGGCACCCAAAGACCCTTTCCAGTAGCCACAGGGATTTTGGGATTCCTATCAGTATTCAAGAGGAGTCAGGCATCGTCACCTTTTGAAGCAATGAACTCCGCGTGCCTCTCGAGGTGTCAGCGGGATGTGAGGCATTCCGTCAAAATGAGGCAGGGACCTAGGGCTTTCTCTAAGGTCTCCACAGGGGATTCAGACATCCCTTCATGTTGTGAGATGAAAGACGAGCCTGTATTCAAGCCACTGCAAGGAAATCCGGCCTCCTTTCAAGTTAGGGCTTCTCGCTGTATATTCCCCTTGAGGCAGCAAACTCGGGGTCCCTCCCACATACCTATTGCTGAGAGAAGCCTCCTCCTGAGGTGCTTCTGGGAAGTTGGCATACGTCTTGAGCCTAAGCCAGGGAATCAGCTCGCATCTCGAGACGATTTGGGGTGCACGGAGCATTCCTCGAGTTGCTGTGCTGAAGTTGGTGTTCCTCTAGACTTGGGACAGTGTTCTCGGGGCATCTCTGGAGTTGCCTGAAGGAAGTCGAGCCACCGGTCGTGTTGAATGGGGAACGGGGAATGGCTCTGGAGTCAATGCAGGGGAATCGGGCCTCATCTCGAGTTGATTTGGGGCACATGGAGCTGCTTTGCGTTGCTGGGGTGACCTCAGGGTCCGTCTAGACTGGTGACAGTGTTCTTGGGGACTGTCTCGAGATCCATTAAGCAAGTCGAAGCTCCTGACTTGTTTGAATGGGATCACGGAATAGCTCTGCATGCACTGCAGGGGAATGGGGCCTCATCTCGCCTCTAGGGGGAAGTCTCATGGTTTTTCTCGAGTTGCGGCGGGGACCTGGGGTATGTTCTCGACTTACGGCGGGGATGGCCCTTCAAAACACGAGTTTCTTCAGTGACGTCAGGACTCCTGTCTAGTAACGAGGGACACCTCAGGAATCTCTTCGAGGCTTGGCAGGGCCAAAGGGACGCTTCTCGAGGTGAGGCAGGGCACCCAAGGACCCTTTCCAGTAGCCACAGGGATTTTGGGATTCCTATCAGTATTCAAGAGGAGTCAGGCATCGTCACCTTTTGAAGCAATGAACTCCGCGTGCCTCTCGAGGTGTCAGCGGGATGTGAGGCATTCCGTCAAAATGAGGCAGGGACCTAGGGCTTTCTCTAAGGTCTCCACAGGGGATTCAGACATCCCTTCATGTTGTGAGATGAAAGACGAGCCTGTATTCAAGCCACTGCAAGAAAATCCGGCCTCCTTTCAAGTTAGGGCTTCTCGCTGTATATTGCCCTTGAGGCAGCAAACTCGGGGTCCCTCCCACATACCTATTGCTGAGAGAAGCCTCCTCCTGAGGTGCTTCTGGGAAGTTGGCATACGTCTTGAGCCTAAGCCAGGGAATCAGCTCGCATCTCGAGACGATTTGGGGTACACGGAGCATTCCTCGAGTTGCTGTGCTGAAGTTGGTGTTCCTCTAGACTTGGGACAGTGTTCTCGGGGCATCTCTGGAGTTGCCTGAAGGAAGTCGAGCCACCGGTCGTGTTGAATGGGGAACGGGGAATGGCTCTGGAGTCAATGCAGGGGAATCGGGCCTCATCTCGAGTTGATTTGGGGCACATGGAGCTGCTTTGCGTTGCTGGGGTGACCTCAGGGTCCGTCTAGACTGGTGACAGTGTTCTTGGGGACTGTCTCGAGATCCATTAAGCAAGTCGAAGCTCCTGACTTGTTTGAATGGGATCACGGAATAGCTCTGCATGCACTGCAGGGGAATGGGGCCTCATCTCGCCTCTAGGGGGAAGTCTCATGGTTTTTCTCGAGTTGCGGCGGGGACCTGGGGTATGTTCTCGACTTACGGCGGGGATGGCCCTTCAAAACACGAGTTTCTTCAGTGACGTCAGGACTCCTGTCTAGTAACGAGGGACACCTCAGGAACCTCTTCGAGGCTTGGCAGGGCCAAAGGGACGCTTCTCGAGGTGAGGCAGGGCACCCAAGGACCCTTTCCAGTAGCCACAGGGATTTTGGGATTCCTATCAGTATTCAAGAGGAGTCAGGCATCGTCACCTTTTGAAGCAATGAACTCCGCGTGCCTCTCGAGGTGTCAGCGGGATGTGAGGCATTCCGTCAAAATGAGGCAGGGACCTTGGGCTTTCTCTAAGGTCTCCACAGGGGATTCAGACATCCCTTCATGTTGTGAGATGAAAGACGAGCCTGTATTCAAGCCACTGCAAGGAAATCCGGCCTCCTTTCAAGTTAGGGCTTCTGGCTCTATATTCCCCTTGAGGCAGCAAACTCGGGGTCCCTCCCACATACCTATTGCTGAGAGAAGCCTCCTCCTGAGGTGCTTCTGGGAAGTTGGCATACGTCTTGAGCCTAAGCCAGGGAATCAGCTCGCATCTCGAGACGATTTGGGGTACACGGAGCATTCCTCGAGTTGCTGGGCTGAAGTTGGTGTTCCTCTAGACTTGGGACAGTGTTCTCGGGGCATCTCTGGAGTTTCCTAAAGGAAGTCGAGCCACCGGTCGTGTTGAATGGGGAACGAGGAATGGCTCTGGAGTCAATGCAGGGGAATCGGGCCTCATCTCGAGTTGATTTGGGGCACATGGAGCTGCTTTGCGTTGCTGGGGTGACCTCAGGGTCCGTCTAGACTGGTGACAGTGTTCTTGGGGACTGTCTCGAGATCCATTAAGCAAGTCGAAGCTCCTGACTTGTTTGAATGGGATCACGGAATAGCTCTGCATGCACTGCAGGGGAATGGGGCCTCATCTCGCCTCTAGGGGGAAGTCTCATGGTTTTTCTCGAGTTGCGGCGGGGACCTGGGGTATGTTCTCGACTTACGGCGGGGATGGCCCTTCAAAACACGAGTTTCTTCAGTGACGTCAGGACTCCTGTCTAGTAACGAGGGACACCTCAGGAATCGCTTCGAAGCTTGGCAGGGCCAAAGGGACGCTTCTCGAGCTGAGGCAGGGCACCCAAGGACCCTTTCCAGTAGCCACAGGGATTTTGGGATTCCTATCAGTATTCAAGAGGAGTCAGGCATCGTCACCTTTTGAAGCAATGAACTCCGCGTGCCTCTCGAGGTGTCAGCGGGATGTGAGGCATTCCGTCAAAATGAGGCAGGGACCTAGGGCTTTCTCTAAGGTCTCCACAGGGGATTCAGACATCCCTTCATGTTGTGAGATGAAAGACGAGCCTGTATTCAAGCCACTGCAAGGAAATCCGGCCTCCTTTCAAGTTAGGGCTTCTCGCTGTATATTCCCCTTGAGGCAGAAAACTCGGGGTCCCTCCCACATACCTATTGCTGAGAGAAGCCTCCTCCTGAGGTGCTTCTGGGAAGTTGGCATACGTCTTGAGCCTAAGCCAGGGAATCAGCTCGCATCTCGAGACGATTTGGGGTGCACGGAGCATTCCTCGAGTTGCTGTGCTGAAGTTGGTGTTCCTCTAGACTTGGGACAGTGTTCTCGGGGCATCTCTGGAGTTGCCTGAAGGAAGTCGAGCCACCGGTCGTGTTGAATGGGGAACGGGGAATGGCTCTGGAGTCAATGCAGGGGAATCGGGCCTCATCTCGAGTTGATTTGGGGCACATGGAGCTGCTTTGCGTTGCTGGGGTGACCTCAGGGTCCGTCTAGACTGGTGACAGTGTTCTTGGGGACTGTCTCGAGATCCATTAAGCAAGTCGAAGCTCCTGACTTGTTTGAATGGGGTCACGGAATAGCTCTGCATGCACTGCAGGGGAATGGGGCCTCATCTCGCCTCTAGGGGGAAGTCTCATGGTTTTTCTCGAGTTGCGGCGGGGACCTGGGGTATGTTCTCGACTTACGGCGGGGATGGCCCTTCAAAACACGAGTTTCTTCAGTGACGTCAGGACTCCTGTCTAGTAACGAGGGACACCTCAGGAATCTCTTCGAGGCTTGGCAGGGCCAAAGGGACGCTTCTCGAGGTGAGGCAGGGCACCCAAGGACCCTTTCCAGTATCCACAGGGATTTTGGGATTCCTATCAGTATTCAAGAGGAGTCAGGCATCGTCACCTTTTGAAGCAATGAACTCCGCGTGCCTCTCGAGGTGTCAGCGGGATGTGAGGCATTCCGTCAAAATGAGGCAGGGACCTAGGGCTTTCTCTAAGGTCTCCACAGGGGATTCAGACATCCCTTCATGTTGTGAGATGAAAGACGAGCCTGTATTCAAGCCACTGCAAGGAAATCCGGCCTCCTTTCAAGTTAGGGCTTCTCGCTGTATATTCCCCTTGAGGCAGCAAACTCGGGGTCCCTCCCACATACCTATTGCTGAGAGAAGCCTCCTCCTGAGGTGCTTCTGGGAAGTTGGCATACGTCTTGAGCCTAAGCCAGGGAATCAGCTCGCATCTCGAGACGATTTGGGGTACACGGAGCATTCCTCGAGTTGCTGTGCTGAAGTTGGTGTTCCTCTAGACTTGGGACAGTGTTCTCGGGGCATCTCTGGAGTTGCCTGAAGGAAGTCGAGCCACCGGTCTTGTTGAATGGGGAACGGGGAATGGCTCTGGAGTCAGTGCAGGGGAATCGGGCCTCATCTCGAGTTGATTTGGGGCACATGGAGCTGCTTTGCGTTGCTGGGGTGACCTCAGGGTCCGTCTAGACTGGTGACAGTGTTCTTGGGGACTGTCTCGAGATCCATTAAGCAAGTCGAAGCTCCTGACTTGTTTGAATGGGGTCACGGAATAGCTCTGCATGCACTGCAGGGGAATGGGGCCTCATCTCGCCTCTAGGGGGAAGTCTCATGGTTTTTCTCGAGTTGCGGCGGGGACCTGGGGTATGTTCTCGACTTACGGCGGGGATGGCCCTTCAAAACACGAGTTTCTTCAGTGACGTCAGGACTCCTGTCTAGTAACGAGGGACACCTCAGGAATCTCTTCGAGGCTTGGCAGGGCCAAAGGGACGCTTCTCGAGGTGAGGCAGGGCACCCAAGGACCCTTTCCAGTAGCCACAGGGATTTTGGGATTCCTATCAGTATTCAAGAGGAGTCAGGCATCGTCACCTTTTGAAGCAATGAACTCCGCGTGCCTCTCGAGGTGTCAGCGGGATGTGAGGCATTCCGTCAAAATGAGGCAGGGACCTAGGGCTTTCTCTAAGGTCTCCACAGGGGATTCAGACATCCCTTCATGTTGTGAGATGAAAGACGAGCCTGTATTCAAGCCACTGCAAGGAAATCCGGCCTCCTTTCAAGTTAGGGCTTCTCGCTGTATATTCCCCTTGAGGCAGCAAACTCGGGGTCCCTCCCACATACCTATTGCTGAGAGAAGCCTCCTCCTGAGGTGCTTCTGGGAAGTTGGCATACGTCTTGAGCCTAAGCCAGGGAATCAGCTCGCATCTCGAGACGATTTGGGGTGCACGGAGCATTCCTCGAGTTGCTGTGCTGAAGTTGGTGTTCCTCTAGACTTGGGACAGTGTTCTCGGGGCATCTCTGGAGTTGCCTGAAGGAAGTCGAGCCACCGGTCGTGTTGAATGGGGAACGGGGAATGGCTCTGGAGTCAATGCAGGGGAATCGGGCCTCATCTCGAGTTGATTTGGGGCACATGGAGCTGCTTTGCGTTGCTGGGGTGACCTCAGGGTCCGTCTAGACTGGTGACAGTGTTCTTGGGGACTGTCTCGAGATCCATTAAGCAAGTCGAAGCTCCTGACTTGTTTGAATGGGATCACGGAATAGCTCTGCATGCACTGCAGTGGAATGGGGCCTCATCTCGCCTCTAGGGGGAAGTCTCATGGTTTTTCTCGAGTTGCGGCGGGGACCTGGGGTATGTTCTCGACTTACGGCGGGGATGCCCCTTCAAAACACGAGTTTCTTCAGTGACGTCAGGACTCCTGTCTAGTAACGAGGGACACCTCAGGAATCTCTTCGAGGCTTGGCAGGGCCAAAGGGACGCTTCTCGAGGTGAGGCAGGGCACCCAAGGACCCTTTCCAGTAGCCACAGGGATTTTGGGATTCCTATCAGTATTCAAGAGGAGTCAGGCATCGTCACCTTTTGAAGCAATGAACTCCGCGTGCCTCTCGAGGTGTCAGCGGGATGTGAGGCATTCCGTCAAAATGAGGCAGGGACCTAGGGCTTTCTCTAAGGTCTCCACAGGGGATTCAGACATCCCTTCATGTTGTGAGATGAAAGACGAGCCTGTATTCAAGCCACTGCAAGAAAATCCGGCCTCCTTTCAAGTTAGGGCTTCTCGCTGTATATTGCCCTTGAGGCAGCAAACTCGGGGTCCCTCCCACATACCTATTGCTGAGAGAAGCCTCCTCCTGAGGTGCTTCTGGGAAGTTGGCATACGTCTTGAGCCTAAGCCAGGGAATCAGCTCGCATCTCGAGACGATTTGGGGTACACGGAGCATTCCTCGAGTTGCTGTGCTGAAGTTGGTGTTCCTCTAGACTTGGGACAGTGTTCTCGGGGCATCTCTGGAGTTGCCTGAAGGAAGTCGAGCCACCGGTCGTGTTGAATGGGGAACGGGGAATGGCTCTGGAGTCAATGCAGGGGAATCGGGCCTCATCTCGAGTTGATTTGGGGCACATGGAGCTGCTTTGCGTTGCTGGGGTGACCTCAGGGTCCGTCTAGACTGGTGACAGTGTTCTTGGGGACTGTCTCGAGATCCATTAAGCAAGTCGAAGCTCCTGACTTGTTTGAATGGGATCACGGAATAGCTCTGCATGCACTGCAGGGGAATGGGGCCTCATCTCGCCTCTAGGGGGAAGTCTCATGGTTTTTCTCGAGTTGCGGCGGGTACCTGGGGTATGTTCTCGACTTACGGCGGGGATGCCCCTTCAAAACACGAGTTTCTTCAGTGACGTCAGGACTCCTGTCTAGTAACGAGGGACACCTCAGGAATCTCTTCGAGGCTTGGCAGGGCCAAAGGGACGCTTCTCGAGGTGAGGCAGGGCACCCAAGGACCCTTTCCAGTAGCCACAGGGATTTTGGGATTCCTATCAGTATTCAAGAGGAGTCAGGCATCGTCACCTTTTGAAGCAATGAACTCCGCGTGCCTCTCGAGGTGTCAGCGGGATGTGAGGCATTCCGTCAAAATGAGGCAGGGACCTAGGGCTTTCTCTAAGGTCTCCACAGGGGATTCAGACATCCCCTCATGTTGTGAGATGAAAGACGAGCCTGTATTCAAGCCACTGCAAGAAAATCCGGCCTCCTTTCAAGTTAGGGCTTCTCGCTGTATATTGCCCTTGAGGCAGCAAACTCGGGGTCCCTCCCACATACCTATTGCTGAGAGAAGCCTCCTCCTGAGGTGCTTCCGGGAAGTTGGCATACGTCTTGAGCCTAAGCCAGGGAATCAGCTCGCATCTCGAGACGATTTGGGGTACACGGAGCATTCCTCGAGTTGCTGTGCTGAAGTTGGTGTTCCTCTAGACTTGGGACAGTGTTCTCGGGGCATCTCTGGAGTTGCCTGAAGGAAGTCGAGCCACCGGTCGTGTTGAATGGGGAACGGGGAATGGCTCTGGAGTCAATGCAGGGGAATCGGGCCTCATCTCGAGTTGATTTGGGGCACATGGAGCTGCTTTGCGTTGCTGGGGTGACCTCAGGGTCCGTCTAGACTGGTGACAGTGTTCTTGGGGACTGTCTCGAGATCCATTAAGCAAGTCGAAGCTCCTGACTTGTTTGAATGGGATCACGGAATAGCTCTGCATGCACTGCAGGGGAATGGGGCCTCATCTCGCCTCTAGGGGGAAGTCTCATGGTTTTTCTCGAGTTGCGGCGGGGACCTGGGGTATGTTCTCGACTTACGGCGGGGATGGCCCTTCAAAACACGAGTTTCTTCAGTGACGTCAGGACTCCTGTCTAGTAACGAGGGACACCTCAGGAAGCTCTTCGAGGCTTGGCAGGGCCAAAGGGACGCTTCTCGAGGTGAGGCAGGGCACCCAAGGACCCTTTCCAGTAGCCACAGGGATTTTGGGATTCCTATCAGTATTCAAGAGGAGTCAGGCATCGTCACCTTTTGAAGCAATGAACTCCGCGTGACTCTCGAGGTGTCAGCGGGATGTGAGGCATTCCGTCAAAATGAGGCAGGGACCTAGGGCTTTCTCTAAGGTCTCCACAGGGGATTCAGACATCCCTTCATGTTGTGAGATGAAAGACGAGCCTGTATTCAAGCCACTGCAAGGAAATCCGGCCTCCTTTCAAGTTAGGGCTTCTGGCTCTATATTCCCCTTGAGGCAGCAAACTCGGGGTCCCTCCCACATACCTATTGCTGAGAGAAGCCTCCTCCTGAGGTGCTTCTGGGAAGTTGGCATACGTCTTGAGCCTAAGACAGGGAATCAGCTCGCATCTCGAGACGATTTGGGGTACACGGAGCATTCCTCGAGTTGCTGGGCTGAAGTTGGTGTTCCTCTAGACTTGGGACAGTGTTCTCGGGGCATCTCTGGAGTTGCCTAAAGGAAGTCGAGCCACCGGTCGTGTTGAATGGGGAACGAGGAATGGCTCTGGAGTCAATGCAGGGGAATCGGGCCTCATCTCGAGTTGATTTGGGGCACATGGAGCTGCTTTGCGTTGCTGGGGTGACCTCAGGGTCCGTCTAGACTGGTGACAGTGTTCTTGGGGACTGTCTCGAGATCCATTAAGCAAGTCGAAGCTCCTGACTTGTTTGAATGGGATCACGGAATAGCTCTGCATGCACTGCAGGGGAATGGGGCCTCATCTCGCCTCTAGGGGGAAGTCTCATGGTTTTTCTCGAGTTGCGGCGGTGACCTGGGGTATGTTCTCGACTTACGGCGGGGATGGCCCTTCAAAACACGAGTTTCTTCAGTGACGTAAGGACTCCTGTCTAGTAACGAGGGACACCTCAGGAATCTCTTCGAGGCTTGGCAGGGCCAAAGGGACGCTTCTCGAGGTGAGGCAGGGCACCCAAGGACCCTTTCCAGTAGCCACAGGGATTTTGGGATTCCTATCAGTATTCAAGAGGAGTCAGGCATCGTCACCTTTTGAAGCAATGAACTCCGCGTGCCTCTCGAGGTGTCAGCGGGATGTGAGGCATTCCGTCAAAATGAGGCAGGGACCTAGGGCTTTCTCTAAGGTCTCCACAGGGGATTCAGACATCCCTTCATGTTGTGAGATGAAAGACGAGCCTGTATTCAAGCCACTGCAAGGAAATCCGGCCTCCTTTCAAGTTAGGGCTTCTCGCTGTATATTCCCCTTGAGGCAGCAAACTCGGGGTCCCTCCCACATACCTATTGCTGAGAGAAGCCTCCTCCTGAGGTGCTTCTGGGAAGTTGGCATACGTCTTGAGCCTAAGCCAGGGAATCAGCTCGCATCTCGAGACGATTTGGGGTGCACGGAGCATTCCTCGAGTTGCTGTGCTGAAGTTGGTGTTCCTCTAGACTTGGGACAGTGTTCTCGGGGCATCTCTGGAGTTGCCTGAAGGAAGTCGAGCCACCGGTCGTGTTGAATGGGGAACGGGGAATGGCTCTGGAGTCAATGCAGGGGAATCGGGCCTCATCTCGAGTTGATTTGGGGCACATGGAGCTGCTTTGCGTTGCTGGGGTGACCTCAGGGTCCGTCTAGACTGGTGACAGTGTTCTTGGGGACTGTCTCGAGATCCATTAAGCAAGTCGAAGCTCCTGACTTGTTTGAATGGGATCACGGAATAGCTCTGCATGCACTGCAGGGGAATGGGGCCTCATCTCGCCTCTAGGGGGAAGTCTCATGGTTTTTCTCGAGTTGCGGCGGGGACCTGGGGTATGTTCTCGACTTACGGCGGGGATGGCCCTTCAAAACACGAGTTTCTTCAGTGACGTCAGGACTCCTGTCTAGTAACGAGGGACACCTCAGGAATCTCTTCGAGGCTTGGCAGGGCCAAAGGGACGCTTCTCGAGGTGAGGCAGGGCACCCAAGGACCCTTTCCAGTAGCCACAGGGATTTTGGGATTCCTAACAGTATTCAAGAGGAGTCAGGCATCGTCACCTTTTGAAGCAATGAACTCCGCGTGCCTCTCGAGGTGTCAGCGGGATGTGAGGCATTCCGTCAAAATGAGGCAGGGACCTAGGGCTTTCTCTAAGGTCTCCACAGGGGATTCAGACATCCCTTCATGTTGTGAGATGAAAGACGAGCCTGTATTCAAGCCACTGCAAGGAAATCCGGCCTCCTTTCAAGTTAGGGCTTCTCGCTGTATATTCCCCTTGAGGCAGCAAACTCGGGGTCCCTCCCACATACCTATTGCTGAGAGAAGCCTCCTCCTGAGGTGCTTCTGGGAAGTTGGCATACGTCTTGAGCCTAAGCCAGGGAATCAGCTCGCATCTCGAGACGATTTGGGGTACACGGAGCATTCCTCGAGTTGCTGTGCTGAAGTTGGTGTTCCTCTAGACTTGGGACAGTGTTCTCGGGGCATCTCTGGAGTTGCCTGAAGGAAGTCGAGCCACCGGTCGTGTTGAATGGGGAACGGGGAATGGCTCTGGAGTCAATGCAGGGGAATCGGGCCTCATCTCGAGTTGATTTGGGGCACATGGAGCTGCTTTGCGTTGCTGGGGTGACCTCAGGGTCCGTCTAGACTGGTGACAGTGTTCTTGGGGACTGTCTCGAGATCCATTAAGCAAGTCGAAGCTCCTGACTTGTTTGAATGGGATCACGGAATAGCTCTGCATGCACTGCAGGGGAATGGAGCCTCATTTCGCCTCTAGGGGGAAGTCTCATGGTTTTTCTCGAGTTGCGGCGGGGACCTGGGGTATGTTCTCGACTTACGGCGGGGATGGCCCTTCAAAACACGAGTTTCTTCAGTGACGTCAGGACTCCTGTCTAGTAACGAGGGACACCTCAGGAATCGTTTCGACGCTTGGCAGGGCCAAAGGGACGCTTCTCGAGCTGAGGCAGGGCACCCAAGGACCCTTTCCAGTAGCCACAGGGATTTTGGGATTCCTATCAGTATTCAAGAGGAGTCAGGCATCGTCACCTTTTGAAGCAATGAACTCCGCGTGCCTCTCGAGGTGTCAGCGGGATGTGAGGCATTCCGTCAAAATGAGGCAGGGACCTAGGGCTTTCTCTAAGGTCTCCACAGGGGATTCAGACATCCCTTCATGTTGTGAGATGAAAGACGAGCCTGTATTCAAGCCACTGCAAGGAAATCCGGCCTCCTTTCAAGTTAGGGCTTCTCGCTGTATATTCCCCTTGAGGCAGCAAACTCGGGGTCCCTCCCACATACCTATTGCTGAGAGAAGCCTCCTCCTGAGGTGCTTCTGGGAAGTTGGCATACGTCTTGAGCCTAAGCCAGGGAATCAGCTCGCATCTCGAGACGATTTGGGGTACACGGAGCATTCCTCGAGTTGCTGTGCTGAAGTTGGTGTTCCTCTAGACTTGGGACAGTGTTCTCGGGGCATCTCTGGAGTTGCCTGAAGGAAGTCGAGCCACCGGTCGTGTTGAATGGGGAACGGGGAATGGCTCTGGAGTCAATGCAGGGGAATCGGGCCTCATCTCGAGTTGATTTGGGGCACATGGAGCTGCTTTGCGTTGCTGGGGTGACCTCAGGGTCCGTCTAGACTGGTGACAGTGTTCTTGGGGACTGTCTCGAGATCCATTAAGCAAGTCGAAGCTCCTGACTTGTTTGAATGGGATCACGGAATAGCTCTGCATGCACTGCAGTGGAATGGGGCCTCATCTCGCCTCTAGGGGGAAGTCTCATGGTTTTTCTCGAGTTGCGGCGGGGACCTGGGGTATGTTCTCGACTTACGGCGGGGATGCCCCTTCAAAACACGAGTTTCTTCAGTGACGTCAGGACTCCTGTCTAGTAACGAGGGACACCTCAGGAATCTCTTCGAGGCTTGGCAGGGCCAAAGGGACGCTTCTCGAGGTGAGGCAGGGCACCCAAGGACCCTTTCCAGTAGCCACAGGGATTTTGGGATTCCTATCAGTATTCAAGAGGAGTCAGGCATCGTCACCTTTTGAAGCAATGAACTCCGCGTGCCTCTCGAGGTGTCAGCGGGATGTGAGGCATTCCGTCAAAATGAGGCAGGGACCTAGGGCTTTCTCTAAGGTCTCCACAGGGGATTCAGACATCCCTTCATGTTGTGAGATGAAAGACGAGCCTGTATTCAAGCCACTGCAAGAAAATCCGGCCTCCTTTCAAGTTAGGGCTTCTCGCTGTATATTGCCCTTGAGGCAGCAAACTCGGGGTCCCTCCCACATACCTATTGCTGAGAGAAGCCTCCTCCTGAGGTGCTTCTGGGAAGTTGGCATACGTCTTGAGCCTAAGCCAGGGAATCAGCTCGCATCTCGAGACGATTTGGGGTACACGGAGCATTCCTCGAGTTGCTGTGCTGAAGTTGGTGTTCCTCTAGACTTGGGACAGTGTTCTCGGGGCATCTCTGGAGTTGCCTGAAGGAAGTCGAGCCACCGGTCGTGTTGAATGGGGAACGGGGAATGGCTCTGGAGTCAATGCAGGGGAATCGGGCCTCATCTCGAGTTGATTTGGGGCACATGGAGCTGCTTTGCGTTGCTGGGGTGACCTCAGGGTCCGTCTAGACTGGTGACAGTGTTCTTGGGGACTGTCTCGAGATCCATTAAGCAAGTCGAAGCTCCTGACTTGTTTGAATGGGATCACGGAATAGCTCTGCATGCACTGCAGGGGAATGGGGCCTCATCTCGCCTCTAGGGGGAAGTCTCATGGTTTTTCTCGAGTTGCGGCGGGTACCTGGGGTATGTTCTCGACTTACGGCGGGGATGCCCCTTCAAAACACGAGTTTCTTCAGTGACGTCAGGACTCCTGTCTAGTAACGAGGGACACCTCAGGAATCTCTTCGAGGCTTGGCAGGGCCAAAGGGACGCTTCTCGAGGTGAGGCAGGGCACCCAAGGACCCTTTCCAGTAGCCACAGGGATTTTGGGATTCCTATCAGTATTCAAGAGGAGTCAGGCATCGTCACCTTTTGAAGCAATGAACTCCGCGTGCCTCTCGAGGTGTCAGCGGGATGTGAGGCATTCCGTCAAAATGAGGCAGGGACCTAGGGCTTTCTCTAAGGTCTCCACAGGGGATTCAGACATCCCCTCATGTTGTGAGATGAAAGACGAGCCTGTATTCAAGCCACTGCAAGAAAATCCGGCCTCCTTTCAAGTTAGGGCTTCTCGCTGTATATTGCCCTTGAGGCAGCAAACTCGGGGTCCCTCCCACATACCTATTGCTGAGAGAAGCCTCCTCCTGAGGTGCTTCCGGGAAGTTGGCATACGTCTTGAGCCTAAGCCAGGGAATCAGCTCGCATCTCGAGACGATTTGGGGTACACGGAGCATTCCTCGAGTTGCTGTGCTGAAGTTGGTGTTCCTCTAGACTTGGGACAGTGTTCTCGGGGCATCTCTGGAGTTGCCTGAAGGAAGTCGAGCCACCGGTCGTGTTGAATGGGGAACGGGGAATGGCTCTGGAGTCAATGCAGGGGAATCGGGCCTCATCTCGAGTTGATTTGGGGCACATGGAGCTGCTTTGCGTTGCTGGGGTGACCTCAGGGTCCGTCTAGACTGGTGACAGTGTTCTTGGGGACTGTCTCGAGATCCATTAAGCAAGTCGAAGCTCCTGACTTGTTTGAATGGGATCACGGAATAGCTCTGCATGCACTGCAGGGGAATGGGGCCTCATCTCGCCTCTAGGGGGAAGTCTCATGGTTTTTCTCGAGTTGCGGCGGGGACCTGGGGTATGTTCTCGACTTACGGCGGGGATGGCCCTTCAAAACACGAGTTTCTTCAGTGACGTCAGGACTCCTGTCTAGTAACGAGGGACACCTCAGGAAGCTCTTCGAGGCTTGGCAGGGCCAAAGGGACGCTTCTCGAGGTGAGGCAGGGCACCCAAGGACCCTTTCCAGTAGCCACAGGGATTTTGGGATTCCTATCAGTATTCAAGAGGAGTCAGGCATCGTCACCTTTTGAAGCAATGAACTCCGCGTGACTCTCGAGGTGTCAGCGGGATGTGAGGCATTCCGTCAAAATGAGGCAGGGACCTAGGGCTTTCTCTAAGGTCTCCACAGGGGATTCAGACATCCCTTCATGTTGTGAGATGAAAGACGAGCCTGTATTCAAGCCACTGCAAGGAAATCCGGCCTCCTTTCAAGTTAGGGCTTCTGGCTCTATATTCCCCTTGAGGCAGCAAACTCGGGGTCCCTCCCACATACCTATTGCTGAGAGAAGCCTCCTCCTGAGGTGCTTCTGGGAAGTTGGCATACGTCTTGAGCCTAAGCCAGGGAATCAGCTCGCATCTCGAGACGATTTGGGGTACACGGAGCATTCCTCGAGTTGCTGGGCTGAAGTTGGTGTTCCTCTAGACTTGGGACAGTGTTCTCGGGGCATCTCTGGAGTTGCCTAAAGGAAGTCGAGCCACCGGTCGTGTTGAATGGGGAACGAGGAATGGCTCTGGAGTCAATGCAGGGGAATCGGGCCTCATCTCGAGTTGATTTGGGGCACATGGAGCTGCTTTGCGTTGCTGGGGTGACCTCAGGGTCCGTCTAGACTGGTGACAGTGTTCTTGGGGACTGTCTCGAGATCCATTAAGCAAGTCGAAGCTCCTGACTTGTTTGAATGGGATCACGGAATAGCTCTGCATGCACTGCAGGGGAATGGGGCCTCATCTCGCCTCTAGGGGGAAGTCTCATGGTTTTTCTCGAGTTGCGGCGGTGACCTGGGGTATGTTCTCGACTTACGGCGGGGATGGCCCTTCAAAACACGAGTTTCTTCAGTGACGTAAGGACTCCTGTCTAGTAACGAGGGACACCTCAGGAATCTCTTCGAGGCTTGGCAGGGCCAAAGGGACGCTTCTCGAGGTGAGGCAGGGCACCCAAGGACCCTTTCCAGTAGCCACAGGGATTTTGGGATTCCTATCAGTATTCAAGAGGAGTCAGGCATCGTCACCTTTTGAAGCAATGAACTCCGCGTGCCTCTCGAGGTGTCAGCGGGATGTGAGGCATTCCGTCAAAATGAGGCAGGGACCTAGGGCTTTCTCTAAGGTCTCCACAGGGGATTCAGACATCCCTTCATGTTGTGAGATGAAAGACGAGCCTGTATTCAAGCCACTGCAAGGAAATCCGGCCTCCTTTCAAGTTAGGGCTTCTCGCTGTATATTCCCCTTGAGGCAGCAAACTCGGGGTCCCTCCCACATACCTATTGCTGAGAGAAGCCTCCTCCTGAGGTGCTTCTGGGAAGTTGGCATACGTCTTGAGCCTAAGCCAGGGAATCAGCTCGCATCTCGAGACGATTTGGGGTGCACGGAGCATTCCTCGAGTTGCTGTGCTGAAGTTGGTGTTCCTCTAGACTTGGGACAGTGTTCTCGGGGCATCTCTGGAGTTGCCTGAAGGAAGTCGAGCCACCGGTCGTGTTGAATGGGGAACGGGGAATGGCTCTGGAGTCAATGCAGGGGAATCGGGCCTCATCTCGAGTTGATTTGGGGCACATGGAGCTGCTTTGCGTTGCTGGGGTGACCTCAGGGTCCGTCTAGACTGGTGACAGTGTTCTTGGGGACTGTCTCGAGATCCATTAAGCAAGTCGAAGCTCCTGACTTGTTTGAATGGGATCACGGAATAGCTCTGCATGCACTGCAGGGGAATGGGGCCTCATCTCGCCTCTAGGGGGAAGTCTCATGGTTTTTCTCGAGTTGCGGCGGGGACCTGGGGTATGTTCTCGACTTACGGCGGGGATGGCCCTTCAAAACACGAGTTTCTTCAGTGACGTCAGGACTCCTGTCTAGTAACGAGGGACACCTCAGGAATCTCTTCGAGGCTTGGCAGGGCCAAAGGGACGCTTCTCGAGGTGAGGCAGGGCACCCAAGGACCCTTTCCAGTAGCCACAGGGATTTTGGGATTCCTAACAGTATTCAAGAGGAGTCAGGCATCGTCACCTTTTGAAGCAATGAACTCCGCGTGCCTCTCGAGGTGTCAGCGGGATGTGAGGCATTCCGTCAAAATGAGGCAGGGACCTAGGGCTTTCTCTAAGGTCTCCACAGGGGATTCAGACATCCCTTCATGTTGTGAGATGAAAGACGAGCCTGTATTCAAGCCACTGCAAGGAAATCCGGCCTCCTTTCAAGTTAGGGCTTCTCGCTGTATATTCCCCTTGAGGCAGCAAACTCGGGGTCCCTCCCACATACCTATTGCTGAGAGAAGCCTCCTCCTGAGGTGCTTCTGGGAAGTTGGCATACGTCTTGAGCCTAAGCCAGGGAATCAGCTCGCATCTCGAGACGATTTGGGGTACACGGAGCATTCCTCGAGTTGCTGTGCTGAAGTTGGTGTTCCTCTAGACTTGGGACAGTGTTCTCGGGGCATCTCTGGAGTTGCCTGAAGGAAGTCGAGCCACCGGTCGTGTTGAATGGGGAACGGGGAATGGCTCTGGAGTCAATGCAGGGGAATCGGGCCTCATCTCGAGTTGATTTGGGGCACATGGAGCTGCTTTGCGTTGCTGGGGTGACCTCAGGGTCCGTCTAGACTGGTGACAGTGTTCTTGGGGACTGTCTCGAGATCCATTAAGCAAGTCGAAGCTCCTGACTTGTTTGAATGGGATCACGGAATAGCTCTGCATGCACTGCAGGGGAATGGAGCCTCATTTCGCCTCTAGGGGGAAGTCTCATGGTTTTTCTCGAGTTGCGGCGGGGACCTGGGGTATGTTCTCGACTTACGGCGGGGATGGCCCTTCAAAACACGAGTTTCTTCAGTGACGTCAGGACTCCTGTCTAGTAACGAGGGACACCTCAGGAATCGTTTCGACGCTTGGCAGGGCCAAAGGGACGCTTCTCGAGCTGAGGCAGGGCACCCAAGGACCCTTTCCAGTAGCCACAGGGATTTTGGGATTCCTATCAGTATTCAAGAGGAGTCAGGCATCGTCACCTTTTGAAGCAATGAACTCCGCGTGCCTCTCGAGGTGTCAGCGGGATGTGAGGCATTCCGTCAAAATGAGGCAGGGACCTAGGGCTTTCTCTAAGGTCTCCACAGGGGATTCAGACATCCCTTCATGTTGTGAGATGAAAGACGAGCCTGTATTCAAGCCACTGCAAGGAAATCCGGCCTCCTTTCAAGTTAGGGCTTCTCGCTGTATATTCCCCTTGAGGCAGCAAACTCGGGGTCCCTCCCACATACCTATTGCTGAGAGAAGCCTCCTCCTGAGGTGCTTCTGGGAAGTTGGCATACGTCTTGAGCCTAAGCCAGGGAATCAGCTCGCATCTCGAGACGATTTGGGGTACACGGAGCATTCCTCGAGTTGCTGTGCTGAAGTTGGTGTTCCTCTAGACTTGGGACAGTGTTCTCGGGGCATCTCTGGAGTTGCCTGAAGGAAGTCGAGCCACCGGTCGTGTTGAATGGGGAACGGGGAATGGCTCTGGAGTCAATGCAGGGGAATCGGGCCTCATCTCGAGTTGATTTGGGGCAAATGGAGCTGCTTTGCGTTGCTGGGGTGACCTCAGGGTCCGTCTAGACTGGTGACAGTGTTCTTGGGGACTGTCTCGAGATCCATTAAGCAAGTCGAAGCTCCTGACTTGTTTGAATGGGGTCACGGAATAGCTCTGCATGCACTGCAGGGGAATGGGGCCTCATCTCGCCTCTAGGGGGAAGTTTCATGGTTTTTCTCGAGTTGCGGCGGGGACCTGGGGTATGTTCTCGACTTACGGCGGGGATGGCCCTTCAAAACACGAGTTTCTTCAGTGACGTCAGGACTCCTGTCTAGTAACGAGGGACACCTCAGGAATCTCTTCGAGGCTTGGCAGGGCCAAAGGGACGCTTCTCGAGGTGAGGCAGGGCACCCAAGGACCCTTTCCAGTAGCCACAGGGATTTTGGGATTCCTATCAGTATTCAAGAGGAGTCAGGCATCGTCACCTTTTGAAGCAATGAACTCCGCTTGCCTCTCGAGGTGTCAGCGGGATGTGAGGCATTCCGTCAAAATGAGGCAGGGACCTAGGGCTTTCTCTAAGGTCTCCACAGGGGATTCAGACATCCCTTCATGTTGTGAGATGAAAGACGAGCCTGTATTCAAGCCACTGCAAGGAAATCCGGCCTCCTTTCAAGTTAGGGCTTCTCGCTGTATATTCCCCTTGAGGCAGCAAACTCGGGGTCCCTCCCACATACCTATTGCTGAGAGAAGCCTCCTCCTGAGGTGCTTCTGGGAAGTTGGCATACGTCTTGAGCCTAAGCCAGGGAATCAGCTCGCATCTCGAGACGATTTGGGGTACACGGAGCATTCCTCGAGTTGCTGTGCTGAAGTTGGTGTTCCTCTAGACTTGGGACAGTGTTCTCGGGGCATCTCTGGAGTTGCCTGAAGGAAGTCGAGCCACCGGTCGTGTTGAATGGGGAACGGGGAATGGCTCTGGAGTCAATGCAGGGGAATCGGGCCTCATCTCGAGTTGATTTGGGGCACATGGAGCTGCTTTGCGTTGCTGGGGTGACCTCAGGGTCCGTCTAGACTGGTGACAGTGTTCTTGGGGACTGTCTCGAGATCCATTAAGCAAGTCGAAGCTCCTGACTTGTTTGAATGGGATCACGGAATAGCTCTGCATGCACTGCAGGGGAATGGAGCCTCATCTCGCCTCTAGGGGGAAGTCTCATGGTTTTTCTCGAGTTGCGGCGGGGACCTGGGGTATGTTCTCGACTTACGGCGGGGATGGCCCTTCAAAACACGAGTTTCTTCAGTGACGTCAGGACTCCTGTCTAGTAACGAGGGACACCTCAGGAATCGCTTCGAGGCTTGGCAGGGCCAAAGGGACGCTTCTCGAGCTGAGGCAGGGCACCCAAGGACCCTTTCCAGTAGCCACAGGGATTTTGGGATTCCTATCAGTATTCAAGAGGAGTCAGGCATCGTCACCTTTTGAAGCAATGAACTCCGCGTGCCTCTCGAGGTGTCAGCGGGATGTGAGGCATTCCGTCAAAATGAGGCAGGGACCTAGGGCTTTCTCTAAGTTCTCCACAGGGGATTCAGACATCCCTTCATGTTGTGAGATGAAAGACGAGCCTGTATTCAAGCCACTGCAAGGAAATCCGGCCTCCTTTCAAGTTAGGGCTTCTCGCTGTATATTCCCCTTGAGGCAGCAAACTCGGGGTCCCTCCCACATACCTATTGCTGAGAGAAGCCCCCTCCTGAGGTGCTTCTGGGAAGTTGGCATACGTCTTGAGCCTAAGCCAGGGAATCAGCTCGCATCTCGAGACGATTTGGGGTACACGGAGCATTCCTCGAGTTGCTGTGCTGAAGTTGGTGTTCCTCTAGACTTGGGACAGTGTTCTCGGGGCATCTCTGGAGTTGCCTGAAGGAAGTCGAGCCACCGGTCGTGTTGAATGGGGAACGGGGAATGGCTCTGGAGTCAGTGCAGGGGAATCGGGCCTCATCTCGAGTTGATTTGGGGCACATGGAGCTGCTTTGCGTTGCTGGGGTGACCTCAGGGTCCGTCTAGACTGGTGACAGTGTTCTTGGGGACTGTCTCGAGATCCATTAAGCAAGTCGAAGCTCCTGACTTGTTTGAATGGGGTCACGGAGTAGCTCTGCATGCACTGCAGGGGAATGGGGCCTCATCTCGCCTCTAGGGGGAAGTCTCATGGTTTTTCTCGAGTTGCGGCGGGGACCTGGGGTATGTTCTCGACTTACGGCGGGGATGGCCCTTCAAAACACGAGTTTCTTCAGTGACGTCAGGACCCCTGTCTAGTAACGAGGGACACCTCAGGAATCTCTTCGAGGCTTGGCATGGCCAAAGGGACGCTTCTCGAGGTGAGGCAGGGCACCCAAGGACCCTTTCCAGTAGCCACAGGGATTTTGGGATTCCTATCAGTATTCAAGAGGAGTCAGGCATCGTCACCTTTTGAAGCAATGAACTCCGCGTGCCTCTCGAGGTGTCAGCGGGATGTGAGGCATTCCGTCAAAATGAGGCAGGGACCTAGGGCTTTCTCTAAGGTCTCCACAGGGGATTCAGACATCCCTTCATGTTGTGAGATGAAAGACGAGCCTGTATTCAAGCCACTGCAAGGAAATCCAGCCTCCTTTCTAGTTAGGGCTTCTCGCTGTATATTCCCCTTGAGGCAGCAAACTCGGGGTCCCTCCCACATACCTATTGCTGAGAGAAGCCTCCTCCTGAGGTGCTTCTGGGAAGTTGGCATACGTCTTGAGCCTAAGCCAGGGAATCAGCTCGCATCTCGAGATGATTTGGGGTACACGGAGCATTCCTCGAGTTGCTGTGCTGAAGTTGGTGTTCCTCTAGACTTGGGACAGTGTTCTCGGGGCATCTCTGGAGTTGCCTGAAGGAAGTCGAGCCACCGGTCGTGTTGAATGGGGAACGGGGAATGGCTCTGGAGTCAATGCAGGGGAATCGGGCCTCATCTCGAGTTGATTTGGGGCACATGGAGCTGCTTTGCGTTGCTGGGGTGACCTCAGGGTCCGTCTAGACTGGTGACAGTGTTCTTGGGGACTGTCTCGAGATCCATTAAGCAAGTCGAAGCTCCTGACTTGTTTGAATGGGGTCACGGAATAGCTCTGCATGCACTGCAGGGGAATGGGGCCTCATCTCGCCTCTAGGGGGAAGTCTCATGGTTTTTCTCGAGTTGCGGCGGGGACCTGGGGTATGTTCTCGACTTACGGCGGGGATGGCCCTTCAAAACACGAGTTTCTTCAGTGACGTCAGGACTCCTGTCTAGTAACGAGGGACACCTCGGGAATCTCTTCGAGGCTTGGCAGGGCCAAAGGGACGCTTCTCGAGGTGAGGCAGGGCACCCAAGGACCCTTTCCAGTAGCCACAGGGATTTTGGGATTCCTATCAGTATTCAAGAGGAGTCAGGCATCGTCACCTTTTGAAGCAATGAACTCCGCGTGCCTCTCGAGTTGTCAGCGGGATGTGAGGCATTCCGTCAAAATGAGGCAGGGACCTAGGGCTTTCTCTAAGGTCTCCACAGGGGATTCAGACATCCCTTCATGTTGTGAGATGAAAGACGAGCCTGTATTCAAGCCACTGCAAGGAAATCCGGCCTACTTTCAAGTTAGGGCTTCTCGCTGTATATTCCCCTTGAGGCAGCAAACTCGGGGTCCCTCCCACATACCTATTGCTGAGAGAAGCCTCCTCCTGAGGTGCTTCTTCGAAGTTGGCATACGTCTTGAGCCTAAGCCAGGGAATCTGCTCGCATCTCGAGACGATTTGGGGTACACGGAGCATTCCTCGAGTTGCTGGGCTGAAGTTGGTGTTCCTCTAGACTTGGGACAGTGTTCTCGGGGCATCTCTGGAGTTGCCTGAAGGAAGTCGAGCCACCGGTCGTGTTGAATGGGGAACGGGGAATGGCTCTGGAGTCAGTGCAGGGGAATCGGGCCTCATCTCGAGTTGATTTGGGGCACATGGAGCTGCTTTGCGTTGCTGGGGTGACCTCAGGGTCCGTCTAGACTGGTGACAGTGTTCTTGGGGACTGTCTCGAGATCCATTAAGCAAGTCGAAGCTCCTGACTTGTTTGAATGGGGTCACGGAATAGCTCTGCATGCACTGCAGGGGAATGGGGCCTCATCTCGCCTCTAGGGGGAAGTCTCATGGTTTTTCTCGAGTTGCGGCGGGGACCTGGGGTATGTTCTCGACTTACGGCGGGGATGGCCCTTCAAAACACGAGTTTCTTCAGTGACGTCAGGACTCCTGTCTAGTAACGAGGGACACCTCAGGAATCTCTTCGAGGCTTGGCAGGGCCAAAGGGACGCTTCTCGAGGTGAGGCAGGGCACCCAAGGACCCTTTCCAGTAGCCACAGGGATTTTGGGATTCCTATCAGTATTCAAGAGGAGTCAGGCATCGTCACCTTTTGAAGCAATGAACTCCGCGTGCCTCTCGAGGTGTCAGCGGGATGTGAGGCATTCCGTCAAAATGAGGCAGGGACCTAGGGCTTTCTCTAAGTTCTCCACAGGGGATTCAGACATCCCTTCATGTTGTGAGATGAAAGACGAGCCTGTATTCAAGCCACTGCAAGGAAATCCGGCCTCCTTTCAAGTTAGGGCTTCTCGCTGTATATTCCCCTTGAGGCAGCAAACTCGGGGTCCCTCCCACATACCTATTGCTGAGAGAAGCCCCCTCCTGAGGTGCTTCTGGGAAGTTGGCATACGTCTTGAGCCTAAGCCAGGGAATCAGCTCGCATCTCGAGACGATTTGGGGTACACGGAGCATTCCTCGAGTTGCTGTGCTGAAGTTGGTGTTCCTCTAGACTTGGGACAGTGTTCTCGGGGCATCTCTGGAGTTGCCTGAAGGAAGTCGAGCCACCGGTCGTGTTGAATGGGGAACGGGGAATGGCTCTGGAGTCAGTGCAGGGGAATCGGGCCTCATCTCGAGTTGATTTGGGGCACATGGAGCTGCTTTGCGTTGCTGGGGTGACCTCAGGGTCCGTCTAGACTGGTGACAGTGTTCTTGGGGACTGTCTCGAGATCCATTAAGCAAGTCGAAGCTCCTGACTTGTTTGAATGGGGTCACGGAGTAGCTCTGCATGCACTCCAGGGGAATGGGGCCTCATCTCGCCTCTAGGGGGAAGTCTCATGGTTTTTCTCGAGTTGCGGCGGGGACCTGGGGTATGTTCTCGACTTACGGCGGGGATGGCCCTTCAAAACACGAGTTTCTTCAGTGACGTCAGGACCCCTGTCTAGTAACGAGGGACACCTCAGGAATCTCTTCGAGGCTTGGCATGGCCAAAGGGACGCTTCTCGAGGTGAGGCAGGGCACCCAAGGACCCTTTCCAGTAGCCACAGGGATTTTGGGATTCCTATCAGTATTCAAGAGGAGTCAGGCATCGTCACCTTTTGAAGCAATGAACTCCGCGTGCCTCTCGAGGTGTCAGCGGGATGTGAGGCATTCCGTCAAAATGAGGCAGGGACCTAGGGCTTTCTCTAAGGTCTCCACAGGGGATTCAGACATCCCTTCATGTTGTGAGATGAAAGACGAGCCTGTATTCAAGCCACTGCAAGGAAATCCAGCCTCCTTTCTAGTTAGGGCTTCTCGCTGTATATTCCCCTTGAGGCAGCAAACTCGGGGTCCCTCACTCATACCTATTGCTGAGAGAAGCCTCCTCCTGAGGTGCTTCTGGGAAGTTGGCATACGTCTTGAGCCTAAGCCAGGGAATCAGCTCGCATCTCGAGATGATTTGGGGTACACGGAGCATTCCTCGAGTTGCTGTGCTGAAGTTGGTGTTCCTCTAGACTTGGGACAGTGTTCTCGGGGCATCTCTGGAGTTGCCTGAAGGAAGTCGAGCCACCGGTCGTGTTGAATGGGGAACGGGGAATGGCTCTGGAGTCAATGCAGGGGAATCGGGCCTCATCTCGAGTTGATTTGGGGCACATGGAGCTGCTTTGCGTTGCTGGGGTGACCTCAGGGTCCGTCTAGACTGGTGACAGTGTTCTTGGGGACTGTCTCGAGATCCATTAAGCAAGTCGAAGCTCCTGACTTGTTTGAATGGGGTCACGGAATAGCTCTGCATGCACTGCAGGGGAATGGGGCCTCATCTCGCCTCTAGGGGGAAGTCTCATGGTTTTTCTCGAGTTGCGGCGGGGACCTGGGGTATGTTCTCGACTTACGGCGGGGATGGCCCTTCAAAACACGAGTTTCTTCAGTGACGTCAGGACTCCTGTCTAGTAACGAGGGACACCTCGGGAATCTCTTCGAGGCTTGGCAGGGCCAAAGGGACGCTTCTCGAGGTGAGGCAGGGCACCCAAGGACCCTTTCCAGTAGCCACAGGGATTTTGGGATTCCTATCAGTATTCAAGAGGAGTCAGGCATCGTCACCTTTTGAAGCAATGAACTCCGCGTGCCTCTCGAGGTGTCAGCGGGATGTGAGGCATTCCGTCAAAATGAGGCAGGGACCTAGGGCTTTCTCTAAGGTCTCCACAGGGGATTCAGACATCCCTTCATGTTGTGAGATGAAAGACGAGCCTGTATTCAAGCCACTGCAAGGAAATCCGGCCTCCTTTCAAGTTAGGGCTTCTCGCTGTATATTCCCCTTGAGGCAGCAAACTCGGGGTCCCTCCCACATACCTATTGCTGAGAGAAGCCTCCTCCTGAGGTGCTTCTGGGAAGTTGGCATACGTCTTGAGCCTAAGCCAGGGAATCAGCTCGCATCTCGAGACGATTTGGGGTACACGGAGCATTCCTCGAGTTGCTGTGCTGAAGTTGGTGTTCCTCTAGACTTGGGACAGTGTTCTCGGGGCATCTCTGGAGTTGCCTGAAGGAAGTCGAGCCACCGGTCGTGTTGAATGGGGAACGGGGAATGGCTCTGGAGTCAGTGCAGGGGAATCGGGCCTCATCTCGAGTTGATTTGGGGCACATGGAGCTGCTTTGCGTTGCTGGGGTGACCTCAGGGTCCGTCTAGACTGGTGACAGTGTTCTTGGGGACTGTCTCGAGATCCATTAAGCAAGTCGAAGCTCCTGACTTGTTTGAATGGGGTCACGGAATAGCTCTGCATGCACTGCAGGGGAATGGGGCCTCATCTCGCCTCTAGGGGGAAGTCTCATGGTTTTTCTCGAGTTGCGGCGGGGACCTGGGGTATGTTCTCGACTTACGGCGGGGATGGCCCTTCAAAACACGAGTTTCTTCAGTGACGTCAGGACTCCTGTCTAGTAACGAGGGACACCTCGGGAATCTCTTCGAGGCTTGGCAGGGCCAAAGGGACGCTTCTCGAGGTGAGGCAGGGCACCCAAGGACCCTTTCCAGTAGCCACAGGGATTTTGGGATTCCTATCAGTATTCAAGAGGAGTCAGGCATCGTCACCTTTTGAAGCAATGAACTCCGCGTGCCTCTCGAGGTGTCAGCGGGATGTGAGGCATTCCGTCAAAATGAGGCAGGGACCTAGGGCTTTCTCTAAGGTCTCCACAGGGGATTCAGACATCCCTTCATGTTGTGAGATGAAAGACGAGCCTGTATTCAAGCCACTGCAAGGAAATCCGGCCTCCTTTCAAGTTAGGGCTTCTCGCTGTATATTCCCCTTGAGGCAGCAAACTCGGGGTCCCTCCCACATACCTATTGCTGAGAGAAGCCTCCTCCTGAGGTGCTTCTGGGAAGTTGGCATACGTCTTGAGCCTAAGCCAGGGAATCAGCTCGCATCTCGAGACGATTTGGGGTGCACGGAGCATTCCTCGAGTTGCTGTGCTGAAGTTGGTGTTCCTCTAGACTTGGGACAGTGTTCTCGGGGCATCTCTGGAGTTGCCTGAAGGAAGTCGAGCCACCGGTCGTGTTGAATGGGGAACGGGGAATGGCTCTGGAGTCAATGCAGGGGAATCGGGCCTCATCTCGAGTTGATTTGGGGCACATGGAGCTGCTTTGCGTTGCTGGGGTGACCTCAGGGTCCGTCTAGACTGGTGACAGTGTTCTTGGGGACTGTCTCGAGATCCATTAAGCAAGTCGAAGCTCCTGACTTGTTTGAATGGGATCACGGAATAGCTCTGCATGCACTGCAGGGGAATGGAGCCTCATTTCGCCTCTAGGGGGAAGTCTCATGGTTTTTCTCGAGTTGCGGCGGGGACCTGGGGTATGTTCTCGACTTACGGCGGGGATGGCCCTTCAAAACACGAGTTTCTTCAGTGACGTCAGGACTCCTGTCTAGTAACGAGGGACACCTCAGGAATCGCTTCGACGCTTGGCAGGGCCAAAGGGACGCTTCTCGAGCTGAGGCAGGGCACCCAAGGACCCTTTCCAGTAGCCACAGGGATTTTGGGATTCCTATCAGTATTCAAGAGGAGTCAGGCATCGTCACCTTTTGAAGCAATGAACTCCGCGTGCCTCTCGAGGTGTCAGCGGGATGTGAGGCATTCCGTCAAAATGAGGCAGGGACCTAGGGCTTTCTCTAAGGTCTCCACAGGGGATTCAGACATCCCTTCATGTTGTGAGATGAAAGACGAGCCTGTATTCAAGCCACTGCAAGGAAATCCGGCCTCCTTTCAAGTTAGGGCTTCTCGCTGTATATTCCCCTTGAGGCAGCAAACTCGGGGTCCCTCCCACATACCTATTGCTGAGAGAAGCCTCCTCCTGAGGTGCTTCTGGGAAGTTGGCATACGTCTTGAGCCTAAGCCAGGGAATCAGCTCGCATCTCGAGACGATTTGGGGTACACGGAGCATTCCTCGAGTTGCTGTGCTGAAGTTGGTGTTCCTCTAGACTTGGGACAGTGTTCTCGGGGCATCTCTGGAGTTGCCTGAAGGAAGTCGAGCCACCGGTCTTGTTGAATGGGGAACGGGGAATGGCTCTGGAGTCAGTGCAGGGGAATCGGGCCTCATCTCGAGTTGATTTGGGGCACATGGAGCTGCTTTGCGTTGCTGGGGTGACCTCAGGGTCCGTCTAGACTGGTGACAGTGTTCTTGGGGACTGTCTCGAGATCCATTAAGCAAGTCGAAGCTCCTGACTTGTTTGAATGGGGTCACGGAATAGCTCTGCATGCACTGCAGGGGAATGGGGCCTCATCTCGCCTCTAGGGGGAAGTCTCATGGTTTTTCTCGAGTTGCGGCGGGGACCTGGGGTATGTTCTCGACTTACGGCGGGGATGGCCCTTCAAAACACGAGTTTCTTCAGTGACGTCAGGACTCCTGTCTAGTAACGAGGGACACCTCAGGAATCTCTTCGAGGCTTGGCAGGGCCAAAGGGACGCTTCTCGAGGTGAGGCAGGGCACCCAAGGACCCTTTCCAGTAGCCACAGGGATTTTGGGATTCCTATCAGTATTCAAGAGGAGTCAGGCATCGTCACCTTTTGAAGCAATGAACTCCGCGTGCCTCTCGAGGTGTCAGCGGGATGTGAGGCATTCCGTCAAAATGAGGCAGGGACCTAGGGCTTTCTCTAAGGTCTCCACAGGGGATTCAGACATCCCTTCATGTTGTGAGATGAAAGACGAGCCTGTATTCAAGCCACTGCAAGGAAATCCGGCCTCCTTTCAAGTTAGGGCTTCTCGCTGTATATTCCCCTTGAGGCAGCAAACTCGGGGTCCCTCCCACATACCTATTGCTGAGAGAAGCCTCCTCCTGAGGTGCTTCTGGGAAGTTGGCATACGTGTTGAGCCTAAGCCAGGGAATCAGCTCGCATCTCGAGACGATTTGGGGTGCACGGAGCATTCCTCGAGTTGCTGTGCTGAAGTTGGTGTTCCTCTAGACTTGGGACAGTGTTCTCGGGGCATCTCTGGAGTTGCCTGAAGGAAGTCGAGCCACCGGTCGTGTTGAATGGGGAACGGGGAATGGCTCTGGAGTCAATGCAGGGGAATCGGGCCTCATCTCGAGTTGATTTGGGGCACATGGAGCTGCTTTGCGTTGCTGGGGTGACCTCAGGGTCCGTCTAGACTGGTGACAGTGTTCTTGGGGACTGTCTCGAGATCCATTAAGCAAGTCGAAGCTCCTGACTTGTTTGAATGGGATCACGGAATAGCTCTGCATGCACTGCAGGGGAATGGGGCCTCATCTCGCCTCTAGGGGGAAGTCTCATGGTTTTTCTCGAGTTGCGGCGGGGACCTGGGGTATGTTCTCGACTTACGGCGGGGATGGCCCTTCAAAACACGAGTTTCTTCAGTGACGTCAGGACTCCTGTCTAGTAACGAGGGACACCTCAGGAACCTCTTCGAGGCTTGGCAGGGCCAAAGGGACGCTTCTCGAGGTGAGGCAGGGCACCCAAGGACCCTTTCCAGTAGCCACAAGGATTTTGGGATTCCTATCAGTATTCAAGAGGAGTCAGGCATCGTCACCTTTTGAAGCAATGAACTCCACGTGACTCTCGAGGTGTCAGCGGGATGTGAGGCATTCCGTCAAAATGAGGCAGGGACCTAGGGCTTTCTCTAAGGTCTCCACAGGGGATTCAGACATCCCTTCATGTTGTGAGATGAAAGACGAGCCTGTATTCAAGCCACTGCAAGGAAATCCGGCCTCCTTTCAAGTTAGGGCTTCTGGCTCTATATTCCCCTTGAGGCAGCAAACTCGGGGTCCCTCCCACATACCTATTGCTGAGAGAAGCCTCCTCCTGAGGTGCTTCTGGGAAGTTGGCATACGTCTTGAGCCTAAGCCAGGGAATCAGCTCGCATCTCGAGACGATTTGGGGTACACGGAGCATTCCTCGAGTTGCTGGGCTGAAGTTGGTGTTCCTCTAGACTTGGGACAGTGTTCTCGGGGCATCTCTGGAGTTGCCTAAAGGAAGTCGAGCCACCGGTCGTGTTGAATGGGGAACGAGGAATGGCTCTGGAGTCAATGCAGGGGAATAGGGCCTCATCTCGAGTTGATTTGGGGCACATGGAGCTGCTTTGCGTTGCTGGGGTGACCTCAGGGTCCGTCTAGACTGGTGACAGTGTTCTTGGGGACTGTCTCGAGATCCATTAAGCAAGTCGAAGCTCCTGACTTGTTTGAATGGGATCACGGAATAGCTCTGCATGCACTGCAGGGGAATGGGGCCTCATCTCGCCTCTAGGGGGAAGTCTCATGGTTTTTCTCGAGTTGCGGCGGGGACCTGGGGTATGTTCTCGACTTACGGCGGGGATGGCCCTTCAAAACACGAGTTTCTTCAGTGACGTCAGGACTCCTGTCTAGTAACGAGGGACACCTCAGGAATCTCTTCGAGGCTTGGCAGGGCCAAAGGGACGCTTCTCGAGGTGAGGCAGGGCACCCAAGGACCCTTTCCAGTAGCCACAGGGATTTTGGGATTCCTATCAGTATTCAAGAGGAGTCAGGCATCGTCACCTTTTGAAGCAATGAACTCCGCGTGCCTCTCGAGGTGTCAGCGGGATGTGAGGCATTCCGTCAAAATGAGGCAGGGACCTAGGGCTTTCTCTAAGGTCTCCACAGGGGATTCAGACATCCCTTCATGTTGTGAGATGAAAGACGAGCCTGTATTCAAGCCACTGCAAGGAAATCCGGCCTCCTTTCAAGTTAGGGCTTCTCGCTGTATATTCCCCTTGAGGCAGCAAACTCGGGGTCCCTCCCACATACCTATTGCTGAGAGAAGCCTCCTCCTGAGGTGCTTCTGGGAAGTTGGCATACGTCTTGAGCCTAAGCCAGGGAATCAGCTCGCATCTCGAGACGATTTGGGGTGCACGGAGCATTCCTCGAGTTGCTGTGCTGAAGTTGGTGTTCCTCTAGACTTGGGACAGTGTTCTCGGGGCATCTCTGGAGTTGCCTGAAGGAAGTCGAGCCACCGGTCGTGTTGAATGGGGAACGGGGAATGGCTCTGGAGTCAATGCAGGGGAATCGGGCCTCATCTCGAGTTGATTTGGGGCACATGGAGCTGCTTTGCGTTGCTGGGGTGACCTCAGGGTCCGTCTAGACTGGTGACAGTGTTCTTGGGGACTGTCTCGAGATCCATTAAGCAAGTCGAAGCTCCTGACTTGTTTGAATGGGATCACGGAATAGCTCTGCATGCACTGCAGGGGAATGGAGCCTCATTTCGCCTCTAGGGGGAAGTCTCATGGTTTTTCTCGAGTTGCGGCGGGGACCTGGGGTATGTTCTCGACTTACGGCGGGGATGGCCCTTCAAAACACGAGTTTCTTCAGTGACGTCAGGACTCCTGTCTAGTAACGAGGGACACCTCAGGAATCTCTTCGAGGCTTGGCAGGGCCAAAGGGACGCTTCTCGAGGTGAGGCAGGGCACCCAAGGACCCTTTCCAGTAGCCACAGGGATTTTGGGATTCCTATCAGTATTCAAGAGGAGTCAGGCATCGTCACCTTTTGAAGCAATGAACTCCGCGTGCCTCTCGAGGTGTCAGCGGGATGTGAGGCATTCCGTCAAAATGAGGCAGGGACCTAGGGCTTTCTCTAAGGTCTCCACAGGGGATTCAGACATCCCTTCATGTTGTGAGATGAAAGACGAGCCTGTATTCAAGCCACTGCAAGGAAATCCGGCCTCCTTTCAAGTTAGGGCTTCTCGCTGTATATTCCCCTTGAGGCAGCAAACTCGGGGTCCCTCCCACATACCTATTGCTGAGAGAAGCCTCCTCCTGAGGTGCTTCTGGGAAGTTGGCATACGTCTTGAGCCTAAGCCAGGGAATCAGCTCGCATCTCGAGACGATTTGGGGTACACGGAGCATTCCTCGAGTTGCTGTGCTGAAGTTGGTGTTCCTCTAGACTTGGGACAGTGTTCTCGGGGCATCTCTGGAGTTGCCTGAAGGAAGTCGAGCCACCGGTCGTGTTGAATGGGGAACGGGGAATGGCTCTGGAGTCAATGCAGGGGAATCGGGCCTCATCTCGATTTGATTTGGGGCACATGGAGCTGCTTTGCGTTGCTGGGGTGACCTCAGGGTCCGTCTAGACTGGTGACAGTGTTCTTGGGGACTGTCTCGAGATCCATTAAGCAAGTCGAAGCTCCTGACTTGTTTGAATGGGATCACGGAATAGCTCTGCATGCACTGCAGGGGAATGGAGCCTCATCTCGCCTCTAGGGGGAAGTCTCATGGTTTTTCTCGAGTTGCGGCGGGGACCTGGGGTATGTTCTCGACTTACGGCGGGGATGGCCCTTCAAAACACGAGTTTCTTCAGTGACGTCAGGACTCCTGTCTAGTAACGAGGGACACCTCAGGAATCGCTTCGAGGCTTGGCAGGGCCAAAGGGACGCTTCTCGAGCTGAGGCAGGGCACCCAAGACCCTTTCCAGTAGCCACAGGGATTTTGGGATTCCTATCAGTATTCAAGAGGAGTCAGGCATCGTCACCTTTTGAAGCAATGAATTCCGCGTGCCTCTCGAGGTGTCAGCGGGATGTGAGGCATTCCGTCAAAATGAGGCAGGGACCTAGGGCTTTCTCTAAGGTCTCCACAGGGGATTCAGACATCCCTTCATGTTGTGAGATGAAAGACGAGCCTGTATTCAAGCCACTGCAAGGAAATCCGGCCTCCTTTCAAGTTAGGGCTTCTCGCTGTATATTCCCCTTGAGGCAGCAAACTCGGGGTCCCTCCCACATACCTATTGCTGAGAGAAGCCTCCTCCTGAGGTGCTTCTGGGAAGTTGGCATACGTCTTGAGCCTAAGCCAGGGAATCAGCTCGCATCTCGAGACGATTTGGGGTACACGGAGCATTCCTCGAGTTGCTGTGCTGAAGTTGGTGTTCCTCTAGACTTGGGACAGTGTTCTCGGGGCATCTCTGGAGTTGCCTGAAGGAAGTCGAGCCACCGGTCGTGTTGAATGGGGAACGGGGAATGGCTCTGGAGTCAATGCAGGGGAATCGGGCCTCATCTCGAGTTGATTTGGGGCACATGGAGCTGCTTTGCGTTGCTGGGGTGACCTCAGGGTCCGTCTAGACTGGTGACAGTGTTCTTGGGGACTGTCTCGAGATCCATTAAGCAAGTCGAAGCTCCTGACTTGTTTGAATGGGATCACGGAATAGCTCTGCATGCACTGCAGGGGAATGGAGCCTCATCTCGCCTCTAGGGGGAAGTCTCATGGTTTTTCTCGAGTTGCGGCGGGGACCTGGGGTATGTTCTCGACTTACGGCGGGGATGGCCCTTCAAAACACGAGTTTCTTCAGTGACGTCAGGACTCCTGTCTAGTAACGAGGGACACCTCAGGAATCGCTTCGAGGCTTGGCAGGGCCAAAGGGACGCTTCTCGAGCTGAGGCAGGGCACCCAAGACCCTTTCCAGTAGCCACAGGGATTTTGGGATTCCTATCAGTATTCAAGAGGAGTCAGGCATCGTCACCTTTTGAAGCAATGAACTCCGCGTGCCTCTCGAGGTGTCAGCGGGATGTGAGGCATTCCGTCAAAATGAGGCAGGGACCTAGGGCTTTCTCTAAGGTCTCCACAGGGGATTCAGACATCCCTTCATGTTGTGAGATGAAAGACGAGCCTGTATTCAAGCCACTGCAAGGAAATCCGGCCTCCTTTCAAGTTAGGGCTTCTCGCTGTATATTCCCCTTGAGGCAGCAAACTCGGGGTCCCTCCCACATACCTATTGCTGAGAGAAGCCTCCTCCTGAGGTGCTTCTGGGAAGTTGGCATACGTCTTGAGCCTAAGCCAGGGAATCAGCTCGCATCTCGAGACGATTTGGGGTGCACGGAGCATTCCTCGAGTTGCTGTGCTGAAGTTGGTGTTCCTCTAGACTTGGGACAGTGTTCTCGGGGCATCTCTGGAGTTGCCTGAAGGAAGTCGAGCCACCGGTCGTGTTGAATGGGGAACGGGGAATGGCTCTGGAGTCAATGCAGGGGAATCGGGCCTCATCTCGAGTTGATTTGGGGCACATGGAGCTGCTTTGCGTTGCTGGGGTGACCTCAGGGTCCGTCTAGACTGGTGACAGTGTTCTTGGGGACTGTCTCGAGATCCATTAAGCAAGTCGAAGCTCCTGACTTGTTTGAATGGGATCACGGAATAGCTCTGCATGCACTGCAGGGGAATGGAGCCTCATTTCGCCTCTAGGGGGAAGTCTCATGGTTTTTCTCGAGTTGCGGCGGGGACCTGGGGTATGTTCTCGACTTACGGCGGGGATGGCCCTTCAAAACACGAGTTTCTTCAGTGACGTCAGGACTCCTGTCTAGTAACGAGGGACACCTCAGGAATCGCTTCGACGCTTGGCAGGGCCAAAGGGACGCTTCTCGAGCTGAGGCAGGGCACCCAAGGACCCTTTCCAGTAGCCACAGGGATTTTGGGATTCCTATCAGTATTCAAGAGGAGTCAGGCATCGTCACCTTTTGAAGCAATGAACTCCGCGTGCCTCTCGAGGTGTCAGCGGGATGTGAGGCATTCCGTCAAAATGAGGCAGGGACCTAGGGCTTTCTCTAAGGTCTCCACAGGGGATTCAGACATCCCTTCATGTTGTGAGATGAAAGACGAGCCTGTATTCAAGCCACTGCAAGGAAATCCGGCCTCCTTTCAAGTTAGGGCTTCTCGCTGTATATTCCCCTTGAGGCAGCAAACTCGGGGTCCCTCCCACATACCTATTGCTGAGAGAAGCCTCCTCCTGAGGTGCTTCTGGGAAGTTGGCATACGTCTTGAGCCTAAGCCAGGGAATCAGCTCGCATCTCGAGACGATTTGGGGTACACGGAGCATTCCTCGAGTTGCTGTGCTGAAGTTGGTGTTCCTCTAGACTTGGGACAGTGTTCTCGGGGCATCTCTGGAGTTGCCTGAAGGAAGTCGAGCCACCGGTCTTGTTGAATGGGGAACGGGGAATGGCTCTGGAGTCAGTGCAGGGGAATCGGGCCTCATCTCGAGTTGATTTGGGGCACATGGAGCTGCTTTGCGTTGCTGGGGTGACCTCAGGGTCCGTCTAGACTGGTGACAGTGTTCTTGGGGACTGTCTCGAGATCCATTAAGCAAGTCGAAGCTCCTGACTTGTTTGAATGGGGTCACGGAATAGCTCTGCATGCACTGCAGGGGAATGGGGCCTCATCTCGCCTCTAGGGGGAAGTCTCATGGTTTTTCTCGAGTTGCGGCGGGGACCTGGGGTATGTTCTCGACTTACGGCGGGGATGGCCCTTCAAAACACGAGTTTCTTCAGTGACGTCAGGACTCCTGTCTAGTAACGAGGGACACCTCAGGAATCTCTTCGAGGCTTGGCAGGGCCAAAGGGACGCTTCTCGAGGTGAGGCAGGGCACCCAAGGACCCTTTCCAGTAGCCACAGGGATTTTGGGATTCCTATCAGTATTCAAGAGGAGTCAGGCATCGTCACCTTTTGAAGCAATGAACTCCGCGTGCCTCTCGAGGTGTCAGCGGGATGTGAGGCATTCCGTCAAAATGAGGCAGGGACCTAGGGCTTTCTCTAAGGTCTCCACAGGGGATTCAGACATCCCTTCATGTTGTGAGATGAAAGACGAGCCTGTATTCAAGCCACTGCAAGGAAATCCGGCCTCCTTTCAAGTTAGGGCTTCTCGCTGTATATTCCCCTTGAGGCAGCAAACTCGGGGTCCCTCCCACATACCTATTGCTGAGAGAAGCCTCCTCCTGAGGTGCTTCTGGGAAGTTGGCATACGTGTTGAGCCTAAGCCAGGGAATCAGCTCGCATCTCGAGACGATTTGGGGTGCACGGAGCATTCCTCGAGTTGCTGTGCTGAAGTTGGTGTTCCTCTAGACTTGGGACAGTGTTCTCGGGGCATCTCTGGAGTTGCCTGAAGGAAGTCGAGCCACCGGTCGTGTTGAATGGGGAACGGGGAATGGCTCTGGAGTCAATGCAGGGGAATCGGGCCTCATCTCGAGTTGATTTGGGGCACATGGAGCTGCTTTGCGTTGCTGGGGTGACCTCAGGGTCCGTCTAGACTGGTGACAGTGTTCTTGGGGACTGTCTCGAGATCCATTAAGCAAGTCGAAGCTCCTGACTTGTTTGAATGGGATCACGGAATAGCTCTGCATGCACTGCAGGGGAATGGGGCCTCATCTCGCCTCTAGGGGGAAGTCTCATGGTTTTTCTCGAGTTGCGGCGGGGACCTGGGGTATGTTCTCGACTTACGGCGGGGATGGCCCTTCAAAACACGAGTTTCTTCAGTGACGTCAGGACTCCTGTCTAGTAACGAGGGACACCTCAGGAACCTCTTCGAGGCTTGGCAGGGCCAAAGGGACGCTTCTCGAGGTGAGGCAGGGCACCCAAGGACCCTTTCCAGTAGCCACAAGGATTTTGGGATTCCTATCAGTATTCAAGAGGAGTCAGGCATCGTCACCTTTTGAAGCAATGAACTCCACGTGACTCTCGAGGTGTCAGCGGGATGTGAGGCATTCCGTCAAAATGAGGCAGGGACCTAGGGCTTTCTCTAAGGTCTCCACAGGGGATTCAGACATCCCTTCATGTTGTGAGATGAAAGACGAGCCTGTATTCAAGCCACTGCAAGGAAATCCGGCCTCCTTTCAAGTTAGGGCTTCTGGCTCTATATTCCCCTTGAGGCAGCAAACTCGGGGTCCCTCCCACATACCTATTGCTGAGAGAAGCCTCCTCCTGAGGTGCTTCTGGGAAGTTGGCATACGTCTTGAGCCTAAGCCAGGGAATCAGCTCGCATCTCGAGACGATTTGGGGTACACGGAGCATTCCTCGAGTTGCTGGGCTGAAGTTGGTGTTCCTCTAGACTTGGGACAGTGTTCTCGGGGCATCTCTGGAGTTGCCTAAAGGAAGTCGAGCCACCGGTCGTGTTGAATGGGGAACGAGGAATGGCTCTGGAGTCAATGCAGGGGAATAGGGCCTCATCTCGAGTTGATTTGGGGCACATGGAGCTGCTTTGCGTTGCTGGGGTGACCTCAGGGTCCGTCTAGACTGGTGACAGTGTTCTTGGGGACTGTCTCGAGATCCATTAAGCAAGTCGAAGCTCCTGACTTGTTTGAATGGGATCACGGAATAGCTCTGCATGCACTGCAGGGGAATGGGGCCTCATCTCGCCTCTAGGGGGAAGTCTCATGGTTTTTCTCGAGTTGCGGCGGGGACCTGGGGTATGTTCTCGACTTACGGCGGGGATGGCCCTTCAAAACACGAGTTTCTTCAGTGACGTCAGGACTCCTGTCTAGTAACGAGGGACACCTCAGGAATCTCTTCGAGGCTTGGCAGGGCCAAAGGGACGCTTCTCGAGGTGAGGCAGGGCACCCAAGGACCCTTTCCAGTAGCCACAGGGATTTTGGGATTCCTATCAGTATTCAAGAGGAGTCAGGCATCGTCACCTTTTGAAGCAATGAACTCCGCGTGCCTCTCGAGGTGTCAGCGGGATGTGAGGCATTCCGTCAAAATGAGGCAGGGACCTAGGGCTTTCTCTAAGGTCTCCACAGGGGATTCAGACATCCCTTCATGTTGTGAGATGAAAGACGAGCCTGTATTCAAGCCACTGCAAGGAAATCCGGCCTCCTTTCAAGTTAGGGCTTCTCGCTGTATATTCCCCTTGAGGCAGCAAACTCGGGGTCCCTCCCACATACCTATTGCTGAGAGAAGCCTCCTCCTGAGGTGCTTCTGGGAAGTTGGCATACGTCTTGAGCCTAAGCCAGGGAATCAGCTCGCATCTCGAGACGATTTGGGGTGCACGGAGCATTCCTCGAGTTGCTGTGCTGAAGTTGGTGTTCCTCTAGACTTGGGACAGTGTTCTCGGGGCATCTCTGGAGTTGCCTGAAGGAAGTCGAGCCACCGGTCGTGTTGAATGGGGAACGGGGAATGGCTCTGGAGTCAATGCAGGGGAATCGGGCCTCATCTCGAGTTGATTTGGGGCACATGGAGCTGCTTTGCGTTGCTGGGGTGACCTCAGGGTCCGTCTAGACTGGTGACAGTGTTCTTGGGGACTGTCTCGAGATCCATTAAGCAAGTCGAAGCTCCTGACTTGTTTGAATGGGATCACGGAATAGCTCTGCATGCACTGCAGGGGAATGGAGCCTCATTTCGCCTCTAGGGGGAAGTCTCATGGTTTTTCTCGAGTTGCGGCGGGGACCTGGGGTATGTTCTCGACTTACGGCGGGGATGGCCCTTCAAAACACGAGTTTCTTCAGTGACGTCAGGACTCCTGTCTAGTAACGAGGGACACCTCAGGAATCTCTTCGAGGCTTGGCAGGGCCAAAGGGACGCTTCTCGAGGTGAGGCAGGGCACCCAAGGACCCTTTCCAGTAGCCACAGGGATTTTGGGATTCCTATCAGTATTCAAGAGGAGTCAGGCATCGTCACCTTTTGAAGCAATGAACTCCGCGTGCCTCTCGAGGTGTCAGCGGGATGTGAGGCATTCCGTCAAAATGAGGCAGGGACCTAGGGCTTTCTCTAAGGTCTCCACAGGGGATTCAGACATCCCTTCATGTTGTGAGATGAAAGACGAGCCTGTATTCAAGCCACTGCAAGGAAATCCGGCCTCCTTTCAAGTTAGGGCTTCTCGCTGTATATTCCCCTTGAGGCAGCAAACTCGGGGTCCCTCCCACATACCTATTGCTGAGAGAAGCCTCCTCCTGAGGTGCTTCTGGGAAGTTGGCATACGTCTTGAGCCTAAGCCAGGGAATCAGCTCGCATCTCGAGACGATTTGGGGTACACGGAGCATTCCTCGAGTTGCTGTGCTGAAGTTGGTGTTCCTCTAGACTTGGGACAGTGTTCTCGGGGCATCTCTGGAGTTGCCTGAAGGAAGTCGAGCCACCGGTCGTGTTGAATGGGGAACGGGGAATGGCTCTGGAGTCAATGCAGGGGAATCGGGCCTCATCTCGATTTGATTTGGGGCACATGGAGCTGCTTTGCGTTGCTGGGGTGACCTCAGGGTCCGTCTAGACTGGTGACAGTGTTCTTGGGGACTGTCTCGAGATCCATTAAGCAAGTCGAAGCTCCTGACTTGTTTGAATGGGATCACGGAATAGCTCTGCATGCACTGCAGGGGAATGGAGCCTCATCTCGCCTCTAGGGGGAAGTCTCATGGTTTTTCTCGAGTTGCGGCGGGGACCTGGGGTATGTTCTCGACTTACGGCGGGGATGGCCCTTCAAAACACGAGTTTCTTCAGTGACGTCAGGACTCCTGTCTAGTAACGAGGGACACCTCAGGAATCGCTTCCAGGCTTGGCAGGGCCAAAGGGACGCTTCTCGAGCTGAGGCAGGGCACCCAAGACCCTTTCCAGTAGCCACAGGGATTTTGGGATTCCTATCAGTATTCAAGAGGAGTCAGGCATCGTCACCTTTTGAAGCAATGAATTCCGCGTGCCTCTCGAGGTGTCAGCGGGATGTGAGGCATTCCGTCAAAATGAGGCAGGGACCTAGGGCTTTCTCTAAGGTCTCCACAGGGGATTCAGACATCCCTTCATGTTGTGAGATGAAAGACGAGCCTGTATTCAAGCCACTGCAAGGAAATCCGGCCTCCTTTCAAGTTAGGGCTTCTCGCTGTATATTCCCCTTGAGGCAGCAAACTCGGGGTCCCTCCCACATACCTATTGCTGAGAGAAGCCTCCTCCTGAGGTGCTTCTGGGAAGTTGGCATACGTCTTGAGCCTAAGCCAGGGAATCAGCTCGCATCTCGAGACGATTTGGGGTACACGGAGCATTCCTCGAGTTGCTGTGCTGAAGTTGGTGTTCCTCTAGACTTGGGACAGTGTTCTCGGGGCATCTCTGGAGTTGCCTGAAGGAAGTCGAGCCACCGGTCGTGTTGAATGGGGAACGGGGAATGGCTCTGGAGTCAATGCAGGGGAATCGGGCCTCATCTCGAGTTGATTTGGGGCACATGGAGCTGCTTTGCGTTGCTGGGGTGACCTCAGGGTCCGTCTAGACTGGTGACAGTGTTCTTGGGGACTGTCTCGAGATCCATTAAGCAAGTCGAAGCTCCTGACTTGTTTGAATGGGATCACGGAATAGCTCTGCATGCACTGCAGGGGAATGGAGCCTCATCTCGCCTCTAGGGGGAAGTCTCATGGTTTTTCTCGAGTTGCGGCGGGGACCTGGGGTATGTTCTCGACTTACGGCGGGGATGGCCCTTCAAAACACGAGTTTCTTCAGTGACGTCAGGACTCCTGTCTAGTAACGAGGGACACCTCAGGAATCGCTTCGAGGCTTGGCAGGGCCAAAGGGACGCTTCTCGAGCTGAGGCAGGGCACCCAAGACCCTTTCCAGTAGCCACAGGGATTTTGGGATTCCTATCAGTATTCAAGAGGAGTCAGGCATCGTCACCTTTTGAAGCAATGAACTCCGCGTGCCTCTCGAGGTGTCAGCGGGATGTGAGGCATTCCGTCAAAATGAGGCAGGGACCTAGGGCTTTCTCTAAGGTCTCCACAGGGGATTCAGACATCCCTTCATGTTGTGAGATGAAAGACGAGCCTGTATTCAAGCCACTGCAAGGAAATCCGGCCTCCTTTCAAGTTAGGGCTTCTCGCTGTATATTCCCCTTGAGGCAGCAAACTCGGGGTCCCTCCCACATACCTATTGCTGAGAGAAGCCTCCTCCTGAGGTGCTTCTGGGAAGTTGGCATACGTCTTGAGCCTAAGCCAGGGAATCTGCTCGCATCTCGAGACGATTTGGGGTACACGGAGCATTCCTCGAGTTGCTGTGCTGAAGTTGGTGTTCCTCTAGACTTGGGACAGTGTTCTCGGGGCATCTCTGGAGTTGCCTGAAGGAAGTCGAGCCACCGGTCGTGTTGAATGGGGAACGGGGAATGGCTCTGGAGTCAGTGCAGGGGAATCGGGCCTCATCTCGAGTTGATTTGGGGCACATGGAGCTGCTTTGCGTTGCTGGGGTGACCTCAGGGTCCGTCTAGACTGGTGACAGTGTTCTTGGGGACTGTCTCGAGATCCATTAAGCAAGTCGAAGCTCCTGACTTGTTTGAATGGGGTCACGGAATAGCTCTGCATGCACTGCAGGGGAATGGGGCCTCATCTCGCCTCTAGGGGGAAGTCTCATGGTTTTTCTCGAGTTGCGGCGGGGACCTGGGGTATGTTCTCGACTTACGGCGGGGATGGCCTTTCAAAACACGAGTTTCTTCAGTGACGTCAGGACTCCTGTCTAGTAACGAGGGACACCTCAGGAATCTCTTCGAGGCTTGGCAGGGCCAAAGGGACGCTTCTCGAGGTGAGGCAGGGCACCCAAGGACCCTTTCCAGTAGCCACAGGGATTTTGGGATTCCTATCAGTATTCAAGAGGAGTCAGGCATCGTCACCTTTTGAAGCAATGAACTCCGCGTGCCTCTCGAGGTGTCAGCGGGATGTGAGGCATTCCGTCAAAATGAGGCAGGGACCTAGGGCTTTCTCTAAGTTCTCCACAGGGGATTCAGACATCCCTTCATGTTGTGAGATGAAAGACGAGCCTGTATTCAAGCCACTGCAAGGAAATCCGGCCTCCTTTCAAGTTAGGGCTTCTCGCTGTATATTCCCCTTGAGGCAGCAAACTCGGGGTCCCTCCCACATACCTATTGCTGAGAGAAGCCCCCTCCTGAGGTGCTTCTGGGAAGTTGGCATACGTCTTGAGCCTAAGCCAGGGAATCAGCTCGCATCTCGAGACGATTTGGGGTACACGGAGCATTCCTCGAGTTGCTGTGCTGAAGTTGGTGTTCCTCTAGACTTGGGACAGTGTTCTCGGGGCATCTCTGGAGTTGGCCTGAAGGAAGTCGAGCCACCGGTCGTGTTGAATGGGGAACGGGGAATGGCTCTGGAGTCAGTGCAGGGGAATCGGGCCTCATCTCGAGTTGATTTGGGGCACATGGAGCTGCTTTGCGTTGCTGGGGTGACCTCAGGGTCCGTCTAGACTGGTGACAGTGTTCTTGGGGACTGTCTCGAGATCCATTAAGCAAGTCGAAGCTCCTGACTTGTTTGAATGGGGTCACGGAGTAGCTCTGCATGCACTGCAGGGGAATGGGGCCTCATCTCGCCTCTAGGGGGAAGTCTCATGGTTTTTCTCGAGTTGCGGCGGGGACCTGGGGTATGTTCTCGACTTACGGCGGGGATGGCCCTTCAAAACACGAGTTTCTTCAGTGACGTCAGGACTCCTGTCTAGTAACGAGGGACACCTCAGGAATCTCTTCGAGGCTTGGCATGGCCAAAGGGACGCTTCTCGAGGTGAGGCAGGGCACCCAAGGACCCTTTCCAGTAGCCACAGGGATTTTGGGATTCCTATCAGTATTCAAGAGGAGTCAGGCATCGTCACCTTTTGAAGCAATGAACTCCGCGTGCCTCTCGAGGTGTCAGCGGGATGTGAGGCATTCCGTCAAAATGAGGCAGGGACCTAGGGCTTTCTCTAAGGTCTCCACAGGGGATTCAGACATCCCTTCATGTTGTGAGATGAAAGACGAGCCTGTATTCAAGCCACTGCAAGGAAATCCGGCCTCCTTTCAAGTTAGGGCTTCTCGCTGTATATTGCCCTTGAGGCAGCAAACTCGGGGTCCCTCCCGCATACCTATTGCTGAGAGAAGCCTCCTCCTGAGGTGCTTCTGGGAAGTTGGCATACGTCTTGAGCCTAAGCCAGGGAATCAGCTCGCATCTCGAGACGATTTGGGGTACACGGAGCATTCCTCGAGTTGCTGGGCTGAAGTTGGTGTTCCTCTAGACTTGGGACAGTGTTCTCGGGGCATCTCTGGAGTTGCCTGAAGGAAGTCGAGCCACCGGTCGTGTTGAATGGGGAACGGGGAATGGCTCTGGGGTCAATGCAGGGGAATCGGGCCTCATCTCGAGTTGATTTGGGGCACATGGAGCTGCTTTGCGTTGCTGGGGTGACCTCAGGGTCCGTCTAGACTGGTGACAGTGTTCTTGGGGACTGTCTCGAGATCCATTAAGCAAGTCGAAGCTCCTGACTTGTTTGAATGGGATCACGGAATAGCTCTGCATGCACTGCAGGGGAATGGGGCCTCATCTCGCCTCTAGGGGGAAGTCTCATGGTTTTTCTCGAGTTGCGGCGGGGACCTGGGGTATGTTCTCGACTTACGGCGGGGATGGCCCTTCAAAACACGAGTTTCTTCAGTGACGTCAGGACTCCTGTCTAGTAACGAGGGACACCTCGGGAATCTCTTCGAGGCTTGGCAGGGCCAAAGGGACGCTTCTCGAGGTGAGGCAGGGCACCCAAGGACCCTTTCCAGTAGCCACAGGGATTTTGGGATTCCTATCAGTATTCAAGAGGAGTCAGGCATCGTCACCTTTTGAAGCAATGAACTCCGCGTGCCTCTCGAGGTGTCAGCGGGATGTGAGGCATTCCGTCAAAATGAGGCAGGGACCTAGGGCTTTCTCTAAGGTCTCCACAGGGGATTCAGACATCCCTTCATGTTGTGAGATGAAAGACGAGCCTGTATTCAAGCCACTGCAAGGAAATCCGGCCTCCTTTCAAGTTAGGGCTTCTCGCTGTATATTCCCCTTGAGGCAGCAAACTCGGGGTCCCTCCCACATACCTATTGCTGAGAGAAGCCTCCTCCTGAGGTGCTTCTGGGAAGTTGGCATACGTCTTGAGCCTAAGCCAGGGAATCAGCTCGCATCTCGAGACGATTTGGGGTGCACGGAGCATTCCTCGAGTTGCTGTGCTGAAGTTGGTGTTCCTCTAGACTTGGGACAGTGTTCTCGGGGCATCTCTGGAGTTGCCTGAAGGAAGTCGAGCCACCGGTCGTGTTGAATGGGGAACGGGGAATGGCTCTGGAGTCAATGCAGGGGAATCGGGCCTCATCTCGAGTTGATTTGGGGCACATGGAGCTGCTTTGCGTTGCTGGGGTGACCTCAGGGTCCGTCTAGACTGGTGACAGTGTTCTTGGGGACTGTCTCGAGATCCATTAAGCAAGTCGAAGCTCCTGACTTGTTTGAATGGGATCACGGAATAGCTCTGCATGCACTGCAGGGGAATGGAGCCTCATCTCGCCTCTAGGGGGAAGTCTCATGGTTTTTCTCGAGTTGCGGCGGGGACCTGGGGTATGTTCTCGACTTACGGCGGGGATGGCCCTTCAAAACACGAGTTTCTTCAGTGACGTCAGGACTCCTGTCTAGTAACGAGGGACACCTCAGGAATCGCTTCGAGGCTTGGCAGGGCCAAAGGGACGCTTCTCGAGCTGAGGCAGGGCACCCAAGACCCTTTCCAGTAGCCACAGGGATTTTGGGATTCCTATCAGTATTCAAGAGGAGTCAGGCATCGTCACCTTTTGAAGCAATGAACTCCGCGTGCCTCTCGAGGTGTCAGCGGGATGTGAGGCATTCCGTCAAAATGAGGCAGGGACCTAGGGCTTTCTCTAAGGTCTCCACAGGGGATTCAGACATCCCTTCATGTTGTGAGATGAAAGACGAGCCTGTATTCAAGCCACTGCAAGGAAATCCGGCCTCCTTTCAAGTTAGGGCTTCTCGCTGTATATTGCCCTTGAGGCAGCAAACTCGGGGTCCCTCCCACATACCTATTGCTGAGAGAAGCCTCCTCCTGAGGTGCTTCTGGGAAGTTGGCATACGTCTTGAGCCTAAGCCAGGGAATCAGCTCGCATCTCGAGACGATTTGGGGTACACGGAGCATTCCTCGAGTTGCTGTGCTGAAGTTGGTGTTCCTCTAGACTTGGGACAGTGTTCTCGGGGCAACTCTGGAGTTGCCTGAAGGAAGTCGAGCCACCGGTCGTGTTGAATGGGGAACGGGGAATGGCTCTGGAGTCAATGCAGGGGAATCGGGCCTCATCTCGAGTTGACTTGGGGCACATGGAGCTGCTTTGCGTTGCTGGGGTGACCTCAGGGTCCGTCTAGACTGGTGACAGTGTTCTTGGGGACTGTCTCGAGATCCATTAAGCAAGTCGAAGCTCCTGACTTGTTTGAATGGGATCACGGAATAGCTCTGCATGCACTGCAGGGGAATGGGGCCTCATCTCGCCTCTAGGGGGAAGTCTCATGGTTTTTCTCGAGTTGCGGCGGGGACCTGGGATATGTTCTCGACTTACGGCGGGGATGGCCCTTCAAAACACGAGTTTCTTCAGTGACGTCAGGACTCCTGTCTAGTAACGAGGGACACCTCAGGAACCTCTTGGAGGCTTGGCAGGGCCAAAGGGACGCTTCTCGAGGTGAGGCAGGGCACCCAAGGACCCTTTCCAGTAGCCACAGGGATTTTGGGATTCCTATCAGTATTCAAGAGGAGTCAGGCATCGTCACCTTTTGAAGCAATGAACTCCGCGTGCCTCTCGAGGTGTCAGCGGGATGTGAGGCATTCCGTCAAAATGAGGCAGGGACCTAGGGCTTTCTCTAAGTTCTCCACAGGGGATTCAGACATCCCTTCATGTTGTGAGATGAAAGACGAGCCTGTATTCAAGCCACTGCAAGGAAATCCGGCCTCCTTTCAAGTTAGGGCTTCTCGCTGTATATTCCCCTTGAGGCAGCAAACTCGGGGTCCCTCCCACATACCTATTGCTGAGAGAAGCCCCCTCCTGAGGTGCTTCTGGGAAGTTGGCATACGTCTTGAGCCTAAGCCAGGGAATCAGCTCGCATCTCGAGACGATTTGGGGTACACGGAGCATTCCTCGAGTTGCTGTGCTGAAGTTGGTGTTCCTCTAGACTTGGGACAGTGTTCTCGGGGCATCTCTGGAGTTGCCTGAAGGAAGTCGAGCCACCGGTCGTGTTGAATGGGGAACGGGGAATGGCTCTGGAGTCAGTGCAGGGGAATCGGGCCTCATCTCGAGTTGATTTGGGGCACATGGAGCTGCTTTGCGTTGCTGGGGTGACCTCAGGGTCCGTCTAGACTGGTGACAGTGTTCTTGGGGACTGTCTCGAGATCCATTAAGCAAGTCGAAGCTCCTGACTTGTTTGAATGGGGTCACGGAGTAGCTCTGCATGCACTGCAGGGGAATGGGGCCTCATCTCGCCTCTAGGGGGAAGTCTCATGGTTTTTCTCGAGTTGCGGCGGGGACCTGGGGTATGTTCTCGACTTACGGCGGGGATGGCCCTTCAAAACACGAGTTTCTTCAGTGACGTCAGGACTCCTGTCTAGTAACGAGGGACACCTCAGGAATCTCTTCGAGGCTTGGCATGGCCAAAGGGACGCTTCTCGAGGTGAGGCAGGGCACCCAAGGACCCTTTCCAGTAGCCACAGGGATTTTGGGATTCCTATCAGTATTCAAGAGGAGTCAGGCATCGTCACCTTTTGAAGCAATGAACTCCGCGTGCCTCTCGAGGTGTCAGCGGGATGTGAGGCATTCCGTCAAAATGAGGCAGGGACCTAGGGCTTTCTCTAAGGTCTCCACAGGGGATTCAGACATCCCTTCATGTTGTGAGATGAAAGACGAGCCTGTATTCAAGCCACTGCAAGGAAATCCGGCCTCCTTTCAAGTTAGGGCTTCTCGCTGTATATTGCCCTTGAGGCAGCAAACTCGGGGTCCCTCCCGCATACCTATTGCTGAGAGAAGCCTCCTCCTGAGGTGCTTCTGGGAAGTTGGCATACGTCTTGAGCCTAAGCCAGGGAATCAGCTCGCATCTCGAGACGATTTGGGGTACACGGAGCATTCCTCGAGTTGCTGGGCTGAAGTTGGTGTTCCTCTAGACTTGGGACAGTGTTCTCGGGGCATCTCTGGAGTTGCCTGAAGGAAGTCGAGCCACCGGTCGTGTTGAATGGGGAACGGGGAATGGCTCTGGGGTCAATGCAGGGGAATCGGGCCTCATCTCGAGTTGATTTGGGGCACATGGAGCTGCTTTGCGTTGCTGGGGTGACCTCAGGGTCCGTCTAGACTGGTGACAGTGTTCTTGGGGACTGTCTCGAGATCCATTAAGCAAGTCGAAGCTCCTGACTTGTTTGAATGGGATCACGGAATAGCTCTGCATGCACTGCAGGGGAATGGGGCCTCATCTCGCCTCTAGGGGGAAGTCTCATGGTTTTTCTCGAGTTGCGGCGGGGACCTGGGGTATGTTCTCGACTTACGGCGGGGATGGCCCTTCAAAACACGAGTTTCTTCAGTGACGTCAGGACTCCTGTCTAGTAACGAGGGACACCTCGGGAATCTCTTCGAGGCTTGGCAGGGCCAAAGGGACGCTTCTCGAGGTGAGGCAGGGCACCCAAGGACCCTTTCCAGTAGCCACAGGGATTTTGGGATTCCTATCAGTATTCAAGAGGAGTCAGGCATCGTCACCTTTTGAAGCAATGAACTCCGCGTGCCTCTCGAGGTGTCAGCGGGATGTGAGGCATTCCGTCAAAATGAGGCAGGGACCTAGGGCTTTCTCTAAGGTCTCCACAGGGGATTCAGACATCCCTTCATGTTGTGAGATGAAAGACGAGCCTGTATTCAAGCCACTGCAAGGAAATCCGGCCTCCTTTCAAGTTAGGGCTTCTCGCTGTATATTCCCCTTGAGGCAGCAAACTCGGGGTCCCTCCCACATACCTATTGCTGAGAGAAGCCTCCTCCTGAGGTGCTTCTGGGAAGTTGGCATACGTCTTGAGCCTAAGCCAGGGAATCAGCTCGCATCTCGAGACGATTTGGGGTGCACGGAGCATTCCTCGAGTTGCTGTGCTGAAGTTGGTGTTCCTCTAGACTTGGGACAGTGTTCTCGGGGCATCTCTGGAGTTGCCTGAAGGAAGTCGAGCCACCGGTCGTGTTGAATGGGGAACGGGGAATGGCTCTGGAGTCAATGCAGGGGAATCGGGCCTTATCTCGAGTTGATTTGGGGCACATGGAGCTGCTTTGCGTTGCTGGGGTGACCTCAGGGTCCGTCTAGACTGGTGACAGTGTTCTTGGGGACTGTCTCGAGATCCATTAAGCAAGTCGAAGCTCCTGACTTGTTTGAATGGGGTCACGGAATAGCTCTGCATGCACTGCAGGGGAATGGGGCCTCATCTCGCCTCTAGGGGGAAGTCTCATGGTTTTTCTCGAGTTGCAGCGGGGACCTGGGCTATGTTCTCGACTTACGGCGGGGATGGCCCTTCAAAACACGAGTTTCTTCAGTGACGTCAGGACTCCTGTCTAGTAACGAGGGACACCTCAGGAATCTCTTCGAGGCTTGGCAGGGCCAAAGGGACGCTTCTCGAGGTGAGGCAGGGCACCCAAGGACCCTTTCCAGTAGCCACAGGGATTTTGGGATTCCTATCAGTATTCAAGAGGAGTCAGGCATCGTCACCTTTTGAAGCAATGAACTCCGCGTGCCTCTCGAGGTGTCAGCGGGATGTGAGGCATTCCGTCAAAATGAGGCAGAGACCTAGGGCTTTCTCTAAGGTCTCCACAGGGGATTCAGACATCCCTTCATGTTGTGAGATGAAAGAGGAGCCTGTATTCAAGCCACTGCAAGGAAATCCGGCCTCCTTTCAAGTTAGGGCTTCTCGCTGTATATTCCCCTTGAGGCAGCAAACTCGGGGTCCCTCCCACATACCTATTGCTGAGAGAAGCCCCCTCCTGAGGTGCTTCTGGGAAGTTGGCATACGTCTTGAGCCTAAGCCAGGGAATCAGCTCGCATCTCGAGACGATTTGGGGTACACGGAGCATTCCTCGAGTTGCTGTGCTGAAGTTGGTGTTCCTCTAGACTTGGGACAGTGTTCTCGGGGCATCTCTGGAGTTGCCTGAAGGAAGTCGAGCCACCGGTCGTGTTGAATGGGGAACGGGGAATGGCTCTGGAGTCAGTGCAGGGGAATCGGGCCTCATCTCGAGTTGATTTGGGGCACATGGAGCTGCTTTGCGTTGCTGGGGTGACCTCAGGGTCCGTCTAGACTGGTGACAGTGTTCTTGGGGACTGTCTCGAGATCCATTAAGCAAGTCGAAGCTCCTGACTTGTTTGAATGGGGTCACGGAGTAGCTCTGCATGCACTGCAGGGGAATGGGGCCTCATCTCGCCTCTAGGGGGAAGTCTCATGGTTTTTCTCGAGTTGCGGCGGGGACCTGGGGTATGTTCTCGACTTACGGCGGGGATGGCCCTTCAAAACACGAGTTTCTTCAGTGACGTCAGGACTCCTGTCTAGTAACGAGGGACACCTCAGGAATCTCTTCGAGGCTTGGCATGGCCAAAGGGACGCTTCTCGAGGTGAGGCAGGGCACCCAAGGACCCTTTCCAGTAGCCACAGGGATTTTGGGATTCCTATCAGTATTCAAGAGGAGTCAGGCATCGTCACCTTTTGAAGCAATGAACTCCGCGTGCCTCTCGAGGTGTCAGCGGGATGTGAGGCATTCCGTCAAAATGAGGCAGGGACCTAGGGCTTTCTCTAAGGTCTCCACAGGGGATTCAGACATCCCTTCATGTTGTGAGATGAAAGACGAGCCTGTATTCAAGCCACTGCAAGGAAATCCGGCCTCCTTTCAAGTTAGGGCTTCTCGCTGTATATTGCCCTTGAGGCAGCAAACTCGGGGTCCCTCCCGCATACCTATTGCTGAGAGAAGCCTCCTCCTGAGGTGCTTCTGGGAAGTTGGCATACGTCTTGAGCCTAAGCCAGGGAATCAGCTCGCATCTCGAGACGATTTGGGGTACACGGAGCATTCCTCGAGTTGCTGGGCTGAAGTTGGTGTTCCTCTAGACTTGGGACAGTGTTCTCGGGGCATCTCTGGAGTTGCCTGAAGGAAGTCGAGCCACCGGTCGTGTTGAATGGGGAACGGGGAATGGCTCTGGGGTCAATGCAGGGGAATCGGGCCTCATCTCGAGTTGATTTGGGGCACATGGAGCTGCTTTGCGTTGCTGGGGTGACCTCAGGGTCCGTCTAGACTGGTGACAGTGTTCTTGGGGACTGTCTCGAGATCCATTAAGCAAGTCGAAGCTCCTGACTTGTTTGAATGGGATCACGGAATAGCTCTGCATGCACTGCAGGGGAATGGGGCCTCATCTCGCCTCTAGGGGGAAGTCTCATGGTTTTTCTCGAGTTGCGGCGGGGACCTGGGGTATGTTCTCGACTTACGGCGGGGATGGCCCTTCAAAACACGAGTTTCTTCAGTGACGTCAGGACTCCTGTCTAGTAACGAGGGACACCTCGGGAATCTCTTCGAGGCTTGGCAGGGCCAAAGGGACGCTTCTCGAGGTGAGGCAGGGCACCCAAGGACCCTTTCCAGTAGCCACAGGGATTTTGGGATTCCTATCAGTATTCAAGAGGAGTCAGGCATCGTCACCTTTTGAAGCAATGAACTCCGCGTGCCTCTCGAGGTGTCAGCGGGATGTGAGGCATTCCGTCAAAATGAGGCAGGGACCTAGGGCTTTCTCTAAGGTCTCCACAGGGGATTCAGACATCCCTTCATGTTGTGAGATGAAAGACGAGCCTGTATTCAAGCCACTGCAAGGAAATCCGGCCTCCTTTCAAGTTAGGGCTTCTCGCTGTATATTCCCCTTGAGGCAGCAAACTCGGGGTCCCTCCCACATACCTATTGCTGAGAGAAGCCTCCTCCTGAGGTGCTTCTGGGAAGTTGGCATACGTCTTGAGCCTAAGCCAGGGAATCAGCTCGCATCTCGAGACGATTTGGGGTGCACGGAGCATTCCTCGAGTTGCTGTGCTGAAGTTGGTGTTCCTCTAGACTTGGGACAGTGTTCTCGGGGCATCTCTGGAGTTGCCTGAAGGAAGTCGAGCCACCGGTCGTGTTGAATGGGGAACGGGGAATGGCTCTGGAGTCAATGCAGGGGAATCGGGCCTCATCTCGAGTTGATTTGGGGCACATGGAGCTGCTTTGCGTTGCTGGGGTGACCTCAGGGTCCGTCTAGACTGGTGACAGTGTTCTTGGGGACTGTCTCGAGATCCATTAAGCAAGTCGAAGCTCCTGACTTGTTTGAATGGGATCACGGAATAGCTCTGCATGCACTGCAGGGGAATGGAGCCTCATCTCGCCTCTAGGGGGAAGTCTCATGGTTTTTCTCGAGTTGCGGCGGGGACCTGGGGTATGTTCTCGACTTACGGCGGGGATGGCCCTTCAAAACACGAGTTTCTTCAGTGACGTCAGGACTCCTGTCTAGTAACGAGGGACACCTCAGGAATCGCTTCGAGGCTTGGCAGGGCCAAAGGGACGCTTCTCGAGCTGAGGCAGGGCACCCAAGACCCTTTCCAGTAGCCACAGGGATTTTGGGATTCCTATCAGTATTCAAGAGGAGTCAGGCATCGTCACCTTTTGAAGCAATGAACTCCGCGTGCCTCTCGAGGTGTCAGCGGGATGTGAGGCATTCCGTCAAAATGAGGCAGGGACCTAGGGCTTTCTCTAAGGTCTCCACAGGGGATTCAGACATCCCTTCATGTTGTGAGATGAAAGACGAGCCTGTATTCAAGCCACTGCAAGGAAATCCGGCCTCCTTTCAAGTTAGGGCTTCTCGCTGTATATTCCCCTTGAGGCAGCAAACTCGGGGTCCCTCCCACATACCTATTGCTGAGAGAAGCCTCCTCCTGAGGTGCTTCTCGGAAGTTGGCATACGTCTTGAGCCTAAGCCAGGGAATCAGCTCGCATCTCGAGACGATTTGGGGTACACGGAGCATTCCTCGAGTTGCTGTGCTGAAGTTGGTGTTCCTCTAGACTTGGGACAGTGTTCTCGGGGCATCTCTGGAGTTGCCTGAAGGAAGTCGAGCCACCGGTCGTGTTGAATGGGGAACGGGGAATGGCTCTGGAGTCAATGCAGGGGAATCGGGCCTCATCTCGAGTTGATTTGGGGCACATGGAGCTGCTTTGCGTTGCTGGGGTGACCTCAGGGTCCGTCTAGACTGGTGACAGTGTTCTTGGGGACTGTCTCGAGATCCATTAAGCAAGTCGAAGCTCCTGACTTGTTTGAATGGGATCACGGAATAGCTCTGCATGCACTGCAGGGGAATGGAGCCTCATCTCGCCTCTAGGGGGAAGTCTCATGGTTTTTCTCGAGTTGCGGCGGGGACCTGGGGTATGTTCTCGACTTACGGCGGGGATGGCCCTTCAAAACACGAGTTTCTTCAGTGACGTCAGGACTCCTGTCTAGTAACGAGGGACACCTCAGGAATCGCTTCGAGGCTTGGCAGGGCCAAAGGGACGCTTCTCGAGCTGAGGCAGGGCACCCAAGACCCTTTCCAGTAGCCACAGGGATTTTGGGATTCCTATCAGTATTCAAGAGGAGTCAGGCATCGTCACCTTTTGAAGCAATGAACTCCGCGTGCCTCTCGAGGTGTCAGCGGGATGTGAGGCATTCCGTCAAAATGAGGCAGGGACCTAGGGCTTTCTCTAAGGTCTCCACAGGGGATTCAGACATCCCTTCATGTTGTGAGATGAAAGACGAGCCTGTATTCAAGCCACTGCAAGGAAATCCGGCCTCCTTTCAAGTTAGGGCTTCTCGCTGTATATTCCCCTTGAGGCAGCAAACTCGGGGTCCCTCCCACATACCTATTGCTGAGAGAAGCCTCCTCCTGAGGTGCTTCTGGGAAGTTGGCATACGTCTTGAGCCTAAGCCAGGGAATCTGCTCGCATCTCGAGACGATTTGGGGTACACGGAGCATTCCTCGAGTTGCTGTGCTGAAGTTGGTGTTCCTCTAGACTTGGGACAGTGTTCTCGGGGCATCTCTGGAGTTGCCTGAAGGAAGTCGAGCCACCGGTCGTGTTGAATGGGGAACGGGGAATGGCTCTGGAGTCAGTGCAGGGGAATCGGGCCTCATCTCGAGTTGATTTGGGGCACATGGAGCTGCTTTGCGTTGCTGGGGTGACCTCAGGGTCCGTCTAGACTGGTGACAGTGTTCTTGGGGACTGTCTCGAGATCCATTAAGCAAGTCGAAGCTCCTGACTTGTTTGAATGGGGTCACGGAATAGCTCTGCATGCACTGCAGGGGAATGGGGCCTCATCTCGCCTCTAGGGGGAAGTCTCATGGTTTTTCTCGAGTTGCGGCGGGGACCTGGGGTATGTTCTCGACTTACGGCGGGGATGGCCTTTCAAAACACGAGTTTCTTCAGTGACGTCAGGACTCCTGTCTAGTAACGAGGGACACCTCAGGAATCTCTTCGAGGCTTGGCAGGGCCAAAGGGACGCTTCTCGAGGTGAGGCAGGGCACCCAAGGACCCTTTCCAGTAGCCACAGGGATTTTGGGATTCCTATCAGTATTCAAGAGGAGTCAGGCATCGTCACCTTTTGAAGCAATGAACTCCGCGTGCCTCTCGAGGTGTCAGCGGGATGTGAGGCATTCCGTCAAAATGAGGCAGGGACCTAGGGCTTTCTCTAAGTTCTCCACAGGGGATTCAGACATCCCTTCATGTTGTGAGATGAAAGACGAGCCTGTATTCAAGCCACTGCAAGGAAATCCGGCCTCCTTTCAAGTTAGGGCTTCTCGCTGTATATTCCCCTTGAGGCAGCAAACTCGGGGTCCCTCCCACATACCTATTGCTGAGAGAAGCCCCCTCCTGAGGTGCTTCTGGGAAGTTGGCATACGTCTTGAGCCTAAGCCAGGGAATCAGCTCGCATCTCGAGACGATTTGGGGTACACGGAGCATTCCTCGAGTTGCTGTGCTGAAGTTGGTGTTCCTCTAGACTTGGGACAGTGTTCTCGGGGCATCTCTGGAGTTGCCTGAAGGAAGTCGAGCCACCGGTCGTGTTGAATGGGGAACGGGGAATGGCTCTGGAGTCAGTGCAGGGGAATCGGGCCTCATCTCGAGTTGATTTGGGGCACATGGAGCTGCTTTGCGTTGCTGGGGTGACCTCAGGGTCCGTCTAGACTGGTGACAGTGTTCTTGGGGACTGTCTCGAGATCCATTAAGCAAGTCGAAGCTCCTGACTTGTTTGAATGGGGTCACGGAGTAGCTCTGCATGCACTGCAGGGGAATGGGGCCTCATCTCGCCTCTAGGGGGAAGTCTCATGGTTTTTCTCGAGTTGCGGCGGGGACCTGGGGTATGTTCTCGACTTACGGCGGGGATGGCCCTTCAAAACACGAGTTTCTTCAGTGACGTCAGGACTCCTGTGTAGTAACGAGGGACACCTCAGGAATCTCTTCGAGGCTTGGCATGGCCAAAGGGACGCTTCTCGAGGTGAGGCAGGGCACCCAAGGACCCTTTCCAGTAGCCACAGGGATTTTGGGATTCCTATCAGTATTCAAGAGGAGTCAGGCATCGTCACCTTTTGAAGCAATGAACTCCGCGTGCCTCTCGAGGTGTCAGCGGGATGTGAGGCATTCCGTCAAAATGAGGCAGGGACCTAGGGCTTTCTCTAAGGTCTCCACAGGGGATTCAGACATCCCTTCATGTTGTGAGATGAAAGACGAGCCTGTATTCAAGCCACTGCAAGGAAATCCGGCCTCCTTTCAAGTTAGGGCTTCTCGCTGTATATTGCCCTTGAGGCAGCAAACTCGGGGTCCCTCCCGCATACCTATTGCTGAGAGAAGCCTCCTCCTGAGGTGCTTCTGGGAAGTTGGCATACGTCTTGAGCCTAAGCCAGGGAATCAGCTCGCATCTCGAGACGATTTGGGGTACACGGAGCATTCCTCGAGTTGCTGGGCTGAAGTTGGTGTTCCTCTAGACTTGGGACAGTGTTCTCGGGGCATCTCTGGAGTTGCCTGAAGGAAGTCGAGCCACCGGTCGTGTTGAATGGGGAACGGGGAATGGCTCTGGGGTCAATGCAGGGGAATCGGGCCTCATCTCGAGTTGATTTGGGGCACATGGAGCTGCTTTGCGTTGCTGGGGTGACCTCAGGGTCCGTCTAGACTGGTGACAGTGTTCTTGGGGACTGTCTCGAGATCCATTAAGCAAGTCGAAGCTCCTGACTTGTTTGAATGGGATCACGGAATAGCTCTGCATGCACTGCAGGGGAATGGGGCCTCATCTCGCCTCTAGGGGGAAGTCTCATGGTTTTTCTCGAGTTGCGGCGGGGACCTGGGGTATGTTCTCGACTTACGGCGGGGATGGCCCTTCAAAACACGAGTTTCTTCAGTGACGTCAGGACTCCTGTCTAGTAACGAGGGACACCTCGGGAATCTCTTCGAGGCTTGGCAGGGCCAAAGGGACGCTTCTCGAGGTGAGGCAGGGCACCCAAGGACCCTTTCCAGTAGCCACAGGGATTTTGGGATTCCTATCAGTATTCAAGAGGAGTCAGGCATCGTCACCTTTTGAAGCAATGAACTCCGCGTGCCTCTCGAGGTGTCAGCGGGATGTGAGGCATTCCGTCAAAATGAGGCAGGGACCTAGGGCTTTCTCTAAGGTCTCCACAGGGGATTCAGACATCCCTTCATGTTGTGAGATGAAAGACGAGCCTGTATTCAAGCCACTGCAAGGAAATCCGGCCTCCTTTCAAGTTAGGGCTTCTCGCTGTATATTCCCCTTGAGGCAGCAAACTCGGGGTCCCTCCCACATACCTATTGCTGAGAGAAGCCTCCTCCTGAGGTGCTTCTGGGAAGTTGGCATACGTCTTGAGCCTAAGCCAGGGAATCAGCTCGCATCTCGAGACGATTTGGGGTGCACGGAGCATTCCTCGAGTTGCTGTGCTGAAGTTGGTGTTCCTCTAGACTTGGGACAGTGTTCTCGGGGCATCTCTGGAGTTGCCTGAAGGAAGTCGAGCCACCGGTCGTGTTGAATGGGGAACGGGGAATGGCTCTGGAGTCAATGCAGGGGAATCGGGCCTTATCTCGAGTTGATTTGGGGCACATGGAGCTGCTTTGCGTTGCTGGGGTGACCTCAGGGTCCGTCTAGACTGGTGACAGTGTTCTTGGGGACTGTCTCGAGATCCATTAAGCAAGTCGAAGCTCCTGACTTGTTTGAATGGGGTCACGGAATAGCTCTGCATGCACTGCAGGGGAATGGGGCCTCATCTCGCCTCTAGGGGGAAGTCTCATGGTTTTTCTCGAGTTGCGGCGGGGACCTGGGGTATGTTCTCGACTTACGGCGGGGATGGCCCTTCAAAACACGAGTTTCTTCAGTGACGTCAGGACTCCTGTCTAGTAACGAGGGACACCTCAGGAATCTCTTCGAGGCTTGGCAGGGCCAAAGGGACGCTTCTCGAGGTGAGGCAGGGCACCCAAGGACCCTTTCCAGTAGCCACAGGGATTTTGGGATTCCTATCAGTATTCAAGAGGAGTCAGGCATCGTCACCTTTTGAAGCAATGAACTCCGCGTGCCTCTCGAGGTGTCAGCGGGATGTGAGGCATTCCGTCAAAATGAGGCAGAGACCTAGGGCTTTCTCTAAGGTCTCCACAGGGGATTCAGACATCCCTTCATGTTGTGAGATGAAAGACGAGCCTGTATTCAAGCCACTGCAAGGAAATCCGGCCTCCTTTCAAGTTAGGGCTTCTCGCTGTATATTGCCCTTGAGGCAGCAAACTCGGGGTCCCTCCCACATACCTATTGCTGAGAGAAGCCTCCTCCTGAGGTGCTTCTGGGAAGTTGGCATACGTCTTGAGCCTAAGCCAGGGAATCAGCTCGCATCTCGAGACGATTTGGGGTACACGGAGCATTCCTCGAGTTGCTGTGCTGAAGTTGGTGTTCCTCTAGACTTGGGACAGTGTTCTCGGGGCAACTCTGGAGTTGCCTGAAGGAAGTCGAGCCACCGGTCGTGTTGAATGGGGAACGGGGAATGGCTCTGGAGTCAATGCAGGGGAATCGGGCCTCATCTCGAGTTGACTTGGGGCACATGGAGCTGCTTTGCGTTGCTGGGGTGACCTCAGGGTCCGTCTAGACTGGTGACAGTGTTCTTGGGGACTGTCTCGAGATCCATTAAGCAAGTCGAAGCTCCTGACTTGTTTGAATGGGATCACGGAATAGCTCTGCATGCACTGCAGGGGAATGGGGCCTCATCTCGCCTCTAGGGGGAAGTCTCATGGTTTTTCTCGAGTTGCGGCGGGGACCTGGGATATGTTCTCGACTTACGGCGGGGATGGCCCTTCAAAACACGAGTTTCTTCAGTGACGTCAGGACTCCTGTCTAGTAACGAGGGACACCTCAGGAACCTCTTGGAGGCTTGGCAGGGCCAAAGGGACGCTTCTCGAGGTGAGGCAGGGCACCCAAGGACCCTTTCCAGTAGCCACAGGGATTTTGGGATTCCTATCAGTATTCAAGAGGAGTCAGGCATCGTCACCTTTTGAAGCAATGAACTCCGCGTGCCTCTCGAGGTGTCAGCGGGATGTGAGGCATTCCGTCAAAATGAGGCAGGGACCTAGGGCTTTCTCTAAGTTCTCCACAGGGGATTCAGACATCCCTTCATGTTGTGAGATGAAAGACGAGCCTGTATTCAAGCCACTGCAAGGAAATCCGGCCTCCTTTCAAGTTAGGGCTTCTCGCTGTATATTCCCCTTGAGGCAGCAAACTCGGGGTCCCTCCCACATACCTATTGCTGAGAGAAGCCCCCTCCTGAGGTGCTTCTGGGAAGTTGGCATACGTCTTGAGCCTAAGCCAGGGAATCAGCTCGCATCTCGAGACGATTTGGGGTACACGGAGCATTCCTCGAGTTGCTGTGCTGAAGTTGGTGTTCCTCTAGACTTGGGACAGTGTTCTCGGGGCATCTCTGGAGTTGCCTGAAGGAAGTCGAGCCACCGGTCGTGTTGAATGGGGAACGGGGAATGGCTCTGGAGTCAGTGCAGGGGAATCGGGCCTCATCTCGAGTTGATTTGGGGCACATGGAGCTGCTTTGCGTTGCTGGGGTGACCTCAGGGTCCGTCTAGACTGGTGACAGTGTTCTTGGGGACTGTCTCGAGATCCATTAAGCAAGTCGAAGCTCCTGACTTGTTTGAATGGGGTCACGGAGTAGCTCTGCATGCACTGCAGGGGAATGGGGCCTCATCTCGCCTCTAGGGGGAAGTCTCATGGTTTTTCTCGAGTTGCGGCGGGGACCTGGGGTATGTTCTCGACTTACGGCGGGGATGGCCCTTCAAAACACGAGTTTCTTCAGTGACGTCAGGACTCCTGTCTAGTAACGAGGGACACCTCAGGAATCTCTTCGAGGCTTGGCATGGCCAAAGGGACGCTTCTCGAGGTGAGGCAGGGCACCCAAGGACCCTTTCCAGTAGCCACAGGGATTTTGGGATTCCTATCAGTATTCAAGAGGAGTCAGGCATCGTCACCTTTTGAAGCAATGAACTCCGCGTGCCTCTCGAGGTGTCAGCGGGATGTGAGGCATTCCGTCAAAATGAGGCAGGGACCTAGGGCTTTCTCTAAGGTCTCCACAGGGGATTCAGACATCCCTTCATGTTGTGAGATGAAAGACGAGCCTGTATTCAAGCCACTGCAAGGAAATCCGGCCTCCTTTCAAGTTAGGGCTTCTCGCTGTATATTGCCCTTGAGGCAGCAAACTCGGGGTCCCTCCCGCATACCTATTGCTGAGAGAAGCCTCCTCCTGAGGTGCTTCTGGGAAGTTGGCATACGTCTTGAGCCTAAGCCAGGGAATCAGCTCGCATCTCGAGACGATTTGGGGTACACGGAGCATTCCTCGAGTTGCTGGGCTGAAGTTGGTGTTCCTCTAGACTTGGGACAGTGTTCTCGGGGCATCTCTGGAGTTGCCTGAAGGAAGTCGAGCCACCGGTCGTGTTGAATGGGGAACGGGGAATGGCTCTGGGGTCAATGCAGGGGAATCGGGCCTCATCTCGAGTTGATTTGGGGCACATGGAGCTGCTTTGCGTTGCTGGGGTGACCTCAGGGTCCGTCTAGACTGGTGACAGTGTTCTTGGGGACTGTCTCGAGATCCATTAAGCAAGTCGAAGCTCCTGACTTGTTTGAATGGGATCACGGAATAGCTCTGCATGCACTGCAGGGGAATGGGGCCTCATCTCGCCTCTAGGGGGAAGTCTCATGGTTTTTCTCGAGTTGCGGCGGGGACCTGGGGTATGTTCTCGACTTACGGCGGGGATGGCCCTTCAAAACACGAGTTTCTTCAGTGACGTCAGGACTCCTGTCTAGTAACGAGGGACACCTCGGGAATCTCTTCGAGGCTTGGCAGGGCCAAAGGGACGCTTCTCGAGGTGAGGCAGGGCACCCAAGGACCCTTTCCAGTAGCCACAGGGATTTTGGGATTCCTATCAGTATTCAAGAGGAGTCAGGCATCGTCACCTTTTGAAGCAATGAACTCCGCGTGCCTCTCGAGGTGTCAGCGGGATGTGAGGCATTCCGTCAAAATGAGGCAGGGACCTAGGGCTTTCTCTAAGGTCTCCACAGGGGATTCAGACATCCCTTCATGTTGTGAGATGAAAGACGAGCCTGTATTCAAGCCAGTGCAAGGAAATCCGGCCTCCTTTCAAGTTAGGGCTTCTCGCTGTATATTCCCCTTGAGGCAGCAAACTCGGGGTCCCTCCCACATACCTATTGCTGAGAGAAGCCTCCTCCTGAGGTGCTTCTGGGAAGTTGGCATACGTCTTGAGCCTAAGCCAGGGAATCAGCTCGCATCTCGAGACGATTTGGGGTGCACGGAGCATTCCTCGAGTTGCTGTGCTGAAGTTGGTGTTCCTCTAGACTTGGGACAGTGTTCTCGGGGCATCTCTGGAGTTGCCTGAAGGAAGTCGAGCCACCGGTCGTGTTGAATGGGGAACGGGGAATGGCTCTGGAGTCAATGCAGGGGAATCGGGCCTTATCTCGAGTTGATTTGGGGCACATGGAGCTGCTTTGCGTTGCTGGGGTGACCTCAGGGTCCGTCTAGACTGGTGACAGTGTTCTTGGGGACTGTCTCGAGATCCATTAAGCAAGTCGAAGCTCCTGACTTGTTTGAATGGGGTCACGGAATAGCTCTGCATGCACTGCAGGGGAATGGGGCCTCATCTCGCCTCTAGGGGGAAGTCTCATGGTTTTTCTCGAGTTGCGGCGGGGACCTGGGGTATGTTCTCGACTTACGGCGGGGATGGCCCTTCAAAACACGAGTTTCTTCAGTGACGTCAGGACTCCTGTCTAGTAAAGAGGGACACCTCAGGAATCTCTTCGAGGCTTGGCAGGGCCAAAGGGACGCTTCTCGAGGTGAGGCAGGGCACCCAAGGACCCTTTCCAGTAGCCACAGGGATTTTGGGATTCCTATCAGTATTCAAGAGGAGTCAGGCATCGTCACCTTTTGAAGCAATGAACTCCGCGTGCCTCTCGAGGTGTCAGCGGGATGTGAGGCATTCCGTCAAAATGAGGCAGAGACCTAGGGCTTTCTCTAAGGTCTCCACAGGGGATTCAGACATCCCTTCATGTTGTGAGATGAAAGACGAGCCTGTATTCAAGCCACTGCAAGGAAATCCGGCCTCCTTTCAAGTTAGGGCTTCTCGCTGTATATTGCCCTTGAGGCAGCAAACTCGGGGTCCCTCCCACATACCTATTGCTGAGAGAAGCCTCCTCCTGAGGTGCTTCTGGGAAGTTGGCATACGTCTTGAGCCTAAGCCAGGGAATCAGCTCGCATCTCGAGACGATTTGGGGTACACGGAGCATTCCTCGAGTTGCTGTGCTGAAGTTGGTGTTCCTCTAGACTTGGGACAGTGTTCTCGGGGCAACTCTGGAGTTGCCTGAAGGAAGTCGAGCCACCGGTCGTGTTGAATGGGGAACGGGGAATGGCTCTGGAGTCAATGCAGGGGAATCGGGCCTCATCTCGAGTTGATTTGGGGCACATGGAGCTGCTTTCGTTGCTGGGGTGACCTCAGGGTCCGTCTAGACTGGTGACAGTGTTCTTGGGGACTGTCTCGAGATCCATTAAGCAAGTCGAAGCTCCTGACTTGTTTGAATGGGATCACGGAATAGCTCTGCATGCACTGCAGGGGAATGGGGCCTCATCTCGCCTCTAGGGGGAAGTCTCATGGTTTTTCTCGAGTTGCGGCGGGGACCTGGGATATGTTCTCGACTTACGGCGGGGATGGCCCTTCAAAACACGAGTTTCTTCAGTGACGTCAGGACTCCTGTCTAGTAACGAGGGACACCTCAGGAACCTCTTGGAGGCTTGGCAGGGCCAAAGGGACGCTTCTCGAGGTGAGGCAGGGCACCCAAGGACCCTTTCCAGTAGCCACAGGGATTTTGGGATTCCTATCAGTATTCAAGAGGAGTCAGGCATCGTCACCTTTTGAAGCAATGAACTCCGCGTGACTCTCGAGGTGTCAGCGGGATGTGAGGCATTCCGTCAAAATGAGGCAGGGACCTAGGGCTTTCTCTAAGGTCTCCACAGGGGATTCAGACATCCCTTCATGTTGTGAGATGAAAGACGAGCCTGTATTCAAGCCACTGCAAGGAAATCCGGCCTCCTTTCAAGTTAGGGCTTCTGGCTCTATATTCCCCTTGAGGCAGCAAACTCGGGGTCCCTCCCACATACTTATTGCTGAGAGAAGCCTCCTCCTGAGGTGCTTCTGGGAAGTTGGCATACGTCTTGAGCCTAAGCCAGGGAATCAGCTCGCATCTCGAGACGATTTGGGGTACACGGAGCATTCCTCGAGTTGCTGTGCTGAAGTTGGTGTTCCTCTAGACTTGGGACAGTGTTCTCGGGGCATCTCTGGAGTTGCCTGAAGGAAGTCGAGCCACCGGTCGTGTTGAATGGGGAACGGGGAATGGCTCTGGAGTCAATGCAGGGGAATCGGGCCTCATCTCGAGTTGATTTGGGGCACATGGAGCTGCTTTGCGTTGCTGGGGTGACCTCAGGGTCCGTCTAGACTGGTGACAGTGTTCTTGGGGACTGTCTCGAGATCCATTAAGCAAGTCGAAGCTCCTGACTTGTTTGAATGGGGTCACGGAATAGCTCTGCATGCACTGCAGGGGAATGGGGCCTCATCTCGCCTCTAGGGGGAAGTCTCATGGTTTTTCTCGAGTTGCGGCGGGGACCTGGGGTATGTTCTCGACTTACGGCGGGGATGGCCCTTCAAAACACGAGTTTCTTCAGTGACGTCAGGACTCCTGTCTAGTAACGAGGGACACCTCAGGAATCTCTTCGAGGCTTGGCAGGGCCAAAGGGACGCTTCTCGAGGTGAGGCAGGGCACCCAAGGACCCTTTCCAGTAGCCACAGGGATTTTGGGATTCCTATCAGTATTCAAGAGGAGTCAGGCATCGTCACCTTTTGAAGCAATGAACTCCGCGTGCCTCTCGAGGTGTCAGCGGGATGTGAGGCATTCCGTCAAAATGAGGCAGGGACCTAGGGCTTTCTCTAAGGTCTCCACAGGGGATTCAGACATCCCTTCATGTTGTGAGATGAAAGACGAGCCTGTATTCAAGCCACTGCAAGGAAATCCGGCCTCCTTTCTAGTTAGGGCTTCTCTCTGTATATTCCCCTTGAGGCAGCAAACTCGGGGTCCCTCCCACATACCATTTGCTGAGAGAAGCCTCCTCCTGAGGTGCTTCTGGGAAGTTGGCATACGTCTTGAGCCTAAGCCAGGGAATCAGCTCGCATCTCGAGACGATTTGGGGTACACGGAGCATTCCTCGAGTTGCTGTGCTGAAGTTGGTGTTCCTCTAGACTTGGGACAGTGTTCTCAGGGCATCTCTGGAGTTGCCTGAAGGAAGTCGAGCCACCGGTCGTGTTGAATGGGGAACGGGGAATGGCTCTAGAGTCAGTGCAGGGGAATCGGGCCTCATCTCGAGTTGATTTGGGGCACATGGAGCTGCTTTGCGTTGCTGGGGTGACCTCAGGGTCCGTCTAGACTGGTGACAGTGTTCTTGGGGACTGTCTCGAGATCCATTAAGCAAGTCGAAGCTCCTGACTTGTTTGAATGGGATCACGGAATAGCTCTGCATGCACTGCAGGGGAATGGGGTCTCATCTCGCCTCTAGGGGGAAGTCTCATGGTTTTTCTCGAGTTGCGGCGGGGACCTGGGATATGTTCTCGACTTACGGCGGGGATGGCCCTTCAAAACACGAGTTTCTTCAGTGACTCAGGACTCCTGTCTAGTAACGAGGGACACCTCAGGAATCTCTTCGAGGCTTGGCAGAGCCAAAGGGACGCTTCTCGAGGTGAGGCAGGGCACCCAAGGACCCTTTCCAGTAGCCACAGGGATTTTGGGATTCCTATCAGTATTCAAGAGGAGTCAGGCATCGTCACCTTTTGAAGCAATGAACTCCGCATGCCTCTCGAGGTGTCAGCGGGATGTGAGGCATTCCGTCAAAATGAGGCAGGGACCTAGGGCTTTCTCTAAGGTCTCCACAGGGGATTCAGACATCCCTTCATGTTGTGAGATGAAAGACGAGCCTGTATTCAAGCCACTGCAAGGAAATCCGGCCTCCTTTCAAGTTAGGGCTTCTCGCTGTATATTCCCCTTGAGGCAGCAAACTCGGGGTCCCTCCCACATACCTATTGCTGAGAGAAGCCTCCTCCTGAGGTGCTTCTGGGAAGTTGGCATACGTCTTGAGCCTAAGCCAGGGAATCAGCTCGCATCTCGAGACGATTTGGGGTACACGGAGCATTCCTCGAGTTGCTGTGCTGAAGTTGGTGTTCCTCTAGACTTGGGACAGTGTTCTCGGGGCATCTCTGGAGTTGCCTGAAGGAAGTCGAGCCACCGGTCGTGTTGAATGGGGAATGGGGAATGGCTCTGGAGTCAATGCAGGGGAATCGGGCCTCATCTCGAGTTGATTTGGGGCACATGGAGCTGCTTTGCGTTGCTGGGGTGACCTCAGGGTCCGTCTAGACTGGTGACAGTGTTCTTGGGGACTGTCTCGAGATCCATTAAGCAAGTCGAAGCTCCTGACTTCTTTGAATGGGATCACGGAATAGCTCTGCATGCACTGCAGGGGAATGGAGCCTCATCTCGCCTCTAGGGGGAAGTCTCATGGTTTTTCTCGAGTTGCGGCGGGGACCTGGGGTATGTTCTCGACTTACGGCGGGGATGGCCCTTCAAAACACGAGTTTCTTCAGTGACGTCAGGACTCCTGTCTAGTAACGAGGGACACCTCAGGAATCGCTTCGACGCTTGGCAAGGCCAAAGGGACGCTTCTCGAGCTGAGGCAGGGCACCCAAGGACCCTTTCCAGTAGCCACAGGGATTTTGGGATTCCTATCAGTATTCAAGAGGAGTCAGGCATCGTCACCTTTTGAAGCAATGAACTCCGCGTGCCTCTCGAGGTGTCAGCGGGATGTGAGGCATTCCGTCAAAATGAGGCAGGGACCTAGGGCTTTCTCTAAGGTCTCCACAGGGGATTCAGACATCCCTTCATGTTGTGAGATGAAAGACGAGCCTGTATTCAAGCCACTGCAAGGAAATCCGGCCTCCTTTCAAGTTAGGGCTTCTCGCTGTATATTCCCCTTGAGGCAGCAAACTCGGGGTCCCTCCCACATACCTATTGCTGAGAGAAGCCTCCTCCTGAGGTGCTTCTGGGAAGTTGGCATACGTCTTGAGCCTAAGCCAGGGAATCAGCTCGCATCTCGAGACGATTTGGGGTACACGGAGCATTCCTCGAGTTGCTGTGCTGAAGTTGGTGTTCCTCTAGACTTGGGACAGTGTTCTCGGGGCATCTCTGGAGTTGCCTGAAGGAAGTCGAGCCACCGGTCGTGTTGAATGGGGAACGGGGAATGGCTCTGGAGTCAATGCAGGGGAATCGGGCCTCATCTCGAGTTGATTTGGGGCACATGGAGCTGCTTTGCATTGCTGGGGTGACCTCAGGGTCCGTCTAGACTGGTGACAGTGTTCTTGGGGACTGTCTCGAGATCCATTAAGCAAGTCGAAGCTCCTGACTTGTTTGAATGGGGTCACGGAATAGCTCTGCATGCACTGCAGGGGAATGGGGCCTCATCTCGCCTCTAGGGGGAAGTCTCATGGTTTTTCTCGAGTTGCGGCGGGGACCTGGGGTATGTTCTCGACTTACGGCGGGGATGGCCCTTCAAAACACGAGTTTCTTCAGTGACGTCAGGACTCCTGTCTAGTAACGAGGGACACCTCAGGAATCTCTTCGAGGCTTGGCAGGGCCAAAGGGACGCTTCTCGAGGTGAGGCAGGGCACCCAAGGACCCTTTCCAGTATCCACAGGGATTTTGGGATTCCTATCAGTATTCAAGAGGAGTCAGGCATCGTCACCTTTTGAAGCAATGAACTCCGCGTGCCTCTCGAGGTGTCAGCGGGATGTGAGGCATTCCGTCAAAATGAGGCAGGGACCTAGGGCTTTCTCTAAGGTCTCCACAGGGGATTCAGACATCCCTTCATGTTGTGAGGTGAAAGACGAGCCTGTATTCAAGCCACTGCAAGGAAATCCGGCCTCCTTTCAAGTTAGGGCTTCTCGCTGTATATTCCCCTTGAGGCAGCAAACTCGGGGTCCCTCCCACATACCTATTGCTGAGAGAAGCCTCCTCCTGAGGTGCTTCTGGGAAGTTGGCATACGTCTTGAGCCTAAGCCAGGGAATCAGCTCGCATCTCGAGACGATTTGGGGTACACGGAGCATTCCTCGAGTTGCTGTGCTGAAGTTGGTGTTCCTCTAGACTTGGGACAGTGTTCTCGGGGCATCTCTGGAGTTGCCTGAAGGAAGTCGAGCCACCGGTCGTGTTGAATGGGGAACGGGGAATGGCTCTGGAGTCAATGCAGGGGAATCGGGCCTCATCTCGAGTTGATTTGGGGCACATGGAGCTGCTTTGCGTTGCTGGGGTGACCTCAGGGTCCGTCTAGACTGGTGACAGTGTTCTTGGGGACTCTCTCGAGATCCATTAAGCAAGTCGAAGCTCCTGACTTGTTTGAATGGGATCACGGAATAGCTCTACATGCACTGCAGGGGAATGGAGCCTCATCTCGCCTCTAGGGGGAAGTCTCATGGTTTTTCTCGAGTTGCGGCGGGGACCTGGGGTATGTTCTCGACTTACGGCGGGGATGGCCCTTCAAAACACGAGTTTCTTCAGTGACGTCAGGACTCCTGTCTAGTAACGAGGGACACCTCAGGAATCGCTTCGAGGCTTGGCAGGGCCAAAGGGACGCTTCTCGAGCTGAGGCAGGGCACCCAAGGACCCTTTCCAGTAGCCACAGGGATTTTGGGATTCCTATCAGTATTCAAGAGGAGTCAGGCATCGTCACCTTTTGAAGCAATGAACTCCGCGTGCCTCTCGAGGTGTCAGCGGGATGTGAGGCATTCCGTCAAAATGAGGCAGGGACCTAGGGCTTTCTCTAAGGTCTCCACAGGGGATTCAGACATCCCTTCATGTTGTGAGATGAAAGACGAGCCTGTATTCAAGCCACTGCAAGGAAATCCGGCCTCCTTTCAAGTTAGGGCTTCTCGCTGTATATTCCCCTTGAGTCATCAAACTCGGGGTCCCTCCCACATACCTATTGCTGAGAGAAGCCTCCTCCTGAGGTGCTTCTGGGAAGTTGGCATACGTCTTGAGCCTAAGCCAGGGAATCAGCTCGCATCTCGAGACGATTTGGGGTACACGGAGCATTCCTCGAGTTGCTGTGCTGAAGTTGGTGTTCCTCTAGACTTGGGACAGTGTTCTCGGGGCATCTCTGGAGTTGCCTGAAGGAAGTCGAGCCACCGGTCGTGTTGAATGGGGAATGGGGAATGGCTCTGGAGTCAATGCAGGGGAATCGGGCCTCATCTCGAGTTGATTTGGGGCACATGGAGCTGCTTTGCGTTGCTGGGGTGACCTCAGGGTCCGTCTAGACTGGTGACAGTGTTCTTGGGGACTGTCTCGAGATCCATTAAGCAAGTCGAAGCTCCTGACTTGTTTGAATGGGATCACGGAATAGCTCTGCATGCACTGCAGGGGAATGGAGCCTCATCTCGCCTCTAGGGGGAAGTCTCATGGTTTTTCTCGAGTTGCGGCGGGGACCTGGGGTATGTTCTCGACTTACGGCGGGGATGGCCCTTCAAAACACGAGTTTCTTCAGTGACGTCAGGACTCCTGTCTAGTAATGAGGGACACCTCAGGAATCGCTTCGACGCTTGGCAGGGCCAAAGGGACGCTTCTCGAGCTGAGGCAGGGCACCCAAGGACCCTTTCCAGTAGCCACAGGGATTTTGGGATTCCTATCAGTATTCAAGAGGAGTCAGGCATCGTCACCTTTTGAAGCAATGAACTCCGCGTGCCTCTCGAGGTGTCAGCGGGATGTGAGGCATTCCGTCAAAATGAGGCAGGGACCTAGGGCTTTCTCTAAGGTCTCCACAGGGGATTCAGACATCCCTTCATGTTGTGAGATGAAAGACGAGCCTGTATTCAAGCCACTGCAAGGAAATCCGGCCTCCTTTCAAGTTAGGGCTTCTCGCTGTATATTCCCCTTGAGGCAGCAAACTCGGGGTCCCTCCCACATACCTATTGCTGAGAGAAGCCTCCTCCTGAGGTGCTTCTGGGAAGTTGGCATACGTCTTGAGCCTAAGCCAGGGAATCAGCTCGCATCTCGAGACGATTTGGGGTACACGGAGCATTCCTCGAGTTGCTGTGCTGAAGTTGGTGTTCCTCTAGACTTGGGACAGTGTTCTCGGGGCATCTCTGGAGTTGCCTGAAGGAAGTCGAGCCACCGGTCGTGTTGAATGGGGAACGGGGAATGGCTCTGGAGTCAATGCAGGGGAATCGGGCCTCATCTCGAGTTGATTTGGGGCACATGGAGCTGCTTTGCGTTGCTGGGGTGACCTCAGGGTCCGTCTAGACTGGTGACAGTGTTCTTGGGGACTGTCTCGAGATCCATTAAGCAAGTCGAAGCTCCTGACTTGTTTGAATGGGGTCACGGAATAGCTCTGCATGCACTGCAGGGGAATGGGGCCTCATCTCGCCTCTAGGGGGAAGTCTCATGGTTTTTCTCGAGTTGCGGCGGGGACCTGGGGTATGTTCTCGACTTACGGCGGGGATGGCCCTTCAAAACACGAGTTTCTTCAGTGACGTCAGGACTCCTGTCTAGTAACGAGGGACACCTCAGGAATCTCTTCGAGGCTTGGCAGGGCCAAAGGGACGCTTCTCGAGGTGAGGCAGGGCACCCAAGGACCCTTTCCAGTATCCACAGGGATTTTGGGATTCCTATCAGTATTCAAGAGGAGTCAGGCATCGTCACCTTTTGAAGCAATGAACTCCGCGTGCCTCTCGAGGTGTCAGCGGGATGTGAGGCATTCCGTCAAAATGAGGCAGGGACCTAGGGCTTTCTCTAAGGTCTCCACAGGGGATTCAGACATCCCTTCATGTTGTGAGATGAAAGACGAGCCTGTATTCAAGCCACTGCAAGGAAATCCGGCCTCCTTTCAAGTTAGGGCTTCTCGCTGTATATTCCCCTTGAGGCAGCAAACTCGGGGTCCCTCCCACATACCTATTGCTGAGAGAAGCCTCCTCCTGAGGTGCTTCTGGGAAGTTGGCATACGTCTTGAGCCTAAGCCAGGGAATCAGCTCGCATCTCGAGACGATTTGGGGTACACGGAGCATTCCTCGAGTTGCTGTGCTGAAGTTGGTGTTCCTCTAGACTTGGGACAGTGTTCTCGGGGCATCTCTGGAGTTGCCTGAAGGAAGTCGAGCCACCGGTCGTGTTGAATGGGGAACGGGGAATGGCTCTGGAGTCAATGCAGGGGAATCGGGCCTCATCTCGAGTTGATTTGGGGCACATGGAGCTGCTTTGCGTTGCTGGGGTGACCTCAGGGTCCGTCTAGACTGGTGACAGTGTTCTTGGGGACTGTCTCGAGATCCATTAAGCAAGTCGAAGCTCCTGACTTGTTTGAATGGGATCACGGAATAGCTCTACATGCACTGCAGGGGAATGGAGCCTCATCTCGCCTCTAGGGGGAAGTCTCATGGTTTTTCTCGAGTTGCGGCGGGGACCTGGGGTATGTTCTCGACTTACGGCGGGGATGGCCCTTCAAAACACGAGTTTCTTCAGTGACGTCAGGACTCCTGTCTAGTAACGAGGGACACCTCAGGAATCGCTTCGAGGCTTGGCAGGGCCAAAGGGACGCTTCTCGAGCTGAGGCAGGGCACCCAAGGACCCTTTCCAGTAGCCACAGGGATTTTGGGATTCCTATCAGTATTCAAGAGGAGTCAGGCATCGTCACCTTTTGAAGCAATGAACTCCGCGTGCCTCTCGAGGTGTCAGCGGGATGTGAGGCATTCCGTCAAAATGAGGCAGGGACCTAGGGCTTTCTCTAAGGTCTCCACAGGGGATTCAGACATCCCTTCATGTTGTGAGATGAAAGACGAGCCTGTATTCAAGCCACTGCAAGGAAATCCGGCCTCCTTTCAAGTTAGGGCTTCTGGCTCTATATTCCCCTTGAGGCAGCAAACTCGGGGTCCCTCCCACATACTTATTGCTGAGAGAAGCCTCCTCCTGAGGTGCTTCTGGGAAGTTGGCATACGTCTTGAGCCTAAGCCAGGGAATCAGCTCGCATCTCGAGACGATTTGGGGTACACGGAGCATTCCTCGAGTTGCTGTGCTGAAGTTGGTGTTCCTCTAGACTTGGGACAGTGTTCTCGGGGCATCTCTGGAGTTGCCTGAAGGAAGTCGAGCCACCGGTCGTGTTGAATGGGGAACGGGGAATGGCTCTGGAGTCAATGCAGGGGAATCGGGCCTCATCTCGAGTTGATTTGGGGCACATGGAGCTGCTTTGCGTTGCTGGGGTGACCTCAGGGTCCGTCTAGACTGGTGACAGTGTTCTTGGGGACTGTCTCGAGATCCATTAAGCAAGTCGAAGCTCCTGACTTGTTTGAATGGGGTCACGGAATAGCTCTGCATGCACTGCAGGGGAATGGGGCCTCATCTCGCCTCTAGGGGGAAGTCTCATGGTTTTTCTCGAGTTGCGGCGGGGACCTGGGGTATGTTCTCGACTTACGGCGGGGATGGCCCTTCAAAACACGAGTTTCTTCAGTGACGTCAGGACTCCTGTCTAGTAACGAGGGACACCTCAGGAATCTCTTCGAGGCTTGGCAGGGCCAAAGGGACGCTTCTCGAGGTGAGGCAGGGCACCCAAGGACCCTTTCCAGTAGCCACAGGGATTTTGGGATTCCTATCAGTATTCAAGAGGAGTCAGGCATCGTCACCTTTTGAAGCAATGAACTCCGCGTGCCTCTCGAGGTGTCAGCGGGATGTGAGGCATTCCGTCAAAATGAGGCAGGGACCTAGGGCTTTCTCTAAGGTCTCCACAGGGGATTCAGACATCCCTTCATGTTGTGAGATGAAAGACGAGCCTGTATTCAAGCCACTGCAAGGAAATCCGGCCTCCTTTCTAGTTAGGGCTTCTCTCTGTATATTCCCCTTGAGGCAGCAAACTCGGGGTCCCTCCCACATACCATTTGCTGAGAGAAGCCTCCTCCTGAGGTGCTTCTGGGAAGTTGGCATACGTCTTGAGCCTAAGCCAGGGAATCAGCTCGCATCTCGAGACGATTTGGGGTACACGGAGCATTCCTCGAGTTGCTGTGCTGAAGTTGGTGTTCCTCTAGACTTGGGACAGTGTTCTCAGGGCATCTCTGGAGTTGCCTGAAGGAAGTCGAGCCACCGGTCGTGTTGAATGGGGAACGGTGAATGGCTCTAGAGTCAGTGCAGGGGAATCGGGCCTCATCTCGAGTTGATTTGGGGCACATGGAGCTGCTTTGCGTTGCTGGGGTGACCTCAGGGTCCGTCTAGACTGGTGACAGTGTTCTTGGGGACTGTCTCGAGATCCATTAAGCAAGTCGAAGCTCCTGACTTGTTTGAATGGGATCACGGAATAGCTCTGCATGCACTGCAGGGGAATGGGGCCTCATCTCGCCTCTAGGGGGAAGTCTCATGGTTTTTCTCGAGTTGCGGCGGGGACCTGGGGTATGTTCTCGACTTACGGCGGGGATGGCCCTTCAAAACACGAGTTTCTTCAGTGACGTCAGGACTCCTGTCTAGTAACGAGGGACACCTCAGGAATCTCTTCGAGGCTTGGCAGGGCCAAAGGGACGCTTCTCGAGGTGAGGCAGGGCACCCAAGGACCCTTTCCAGTAGCCACAGGGATTTTGGGATTCCTATCAGTATTCAAGAGGAGTCAGGCATCGTCACCTTTTGAAGCAATGAACTCCGCGTGCCTCTCGAGGTGTCAGCGGGATGTGAGGCATTCCGTCAAAATGAGGCAGGGACCTAGGGCTTTCTCTAAGGTCTCCACAGGGGATTCAGACATCCCTTCATGTTGTGAGATGAAAGACGAGCCTGTATTCAAGCCACTGCAAGGAAATCCGGCCTCCTTTCAAGTTAGGGCTTCTCGCTGTATATTCCCCTTGAGGCAGCAAACTCGGGGTCCCTCCCACATACCTATTGATGAGAGAAGCCTCCTCCTGAGGTGCTTCTGGGAAGTTGGCATACGTCTTGAGCCTAAGCCAGGGAATCAGCTCGCATCTCGAGACGATTTGGGGTACACGGAGCATTCCTCGAGTTGCTGGGCTGAAGTTGGTGTTCCTCTAGACTTGGGACAGTGTTCTCGGGGCATCTCTGGAGTTGCCTGAAGGAAGTCGAGCCACCGGTCGTGTTGAATGGGGAACGAGGAATGGCTCTGGAGTCAATGCAGGGGAATCGGGCCTCATCTCGAGTTGATTTGGGGCACATGGAGCTGCTTTGCGTTGCTGGGGTGACCTCAGGGTCCGTCTAGACTGGTGACAGTGTTCTTGGGGACTGTCTCGAGATCCATTAAGCAAGTCGAAGCTCCTGACTTGTTTGAATGGGATCACGGAATAGCTCTGCATGCACTGCAGGGGAATGGGGCCTCATCTCGCCTCTAGGGGGAAGTCTCATGGTTTTTCTCGAGTTGCGGCGGGGACCTGGGGTATGTTCTCGACTTACGGCGGGGATGGCCCTTCAAAACACGAGTTTCTTCAGTGACGTCAGGACTCCTGTCTAGTAACGAGGGACACCTCAGGAATCTCTTCGAGGCTTGGCAGGGCCAAAGGGACGCTTCTCGAGGTGAGGCAGGGCACCCAAGGACCCTTTCCAGTAGCCACAGGGATTTTGGGATTCCTATCAGTATTCAAGAGGAGTCAGGCATCGTCACCTTTTGAAGCAATGAACTCCGCGTGCCTCTCGAGGTGTCAGCGGGATGTGAGGCATTCCGTCAAAATGAGGCAGGGACCTAGGGCTTTCTCTAAGGTCTCCACAGGGGATTCAGACATCCCTTCATGTTGTGAGATGAAAGACGAGCCTGTATTCAAGCCACTGCAAGGAAATCCGGCCTCCTTTCAAGTTAGGGCTTCTCGCTGTATATTCCCCTTGAGGCAGCAAACTGGGGGTCCCTCCCACATACCTATTGCTGAGAGAAGCCTCCTCCTGAGGTGCTTCTGGGAAGTTGGCATACGTCTTGAGCCTAAGCCAGGGAATCAGCTCGCATCTCGAGACGATTTGGGGTGCACGGAGCATTCCTCGAGTTGCTGTGCTGAAGTTGGTGTTCCTCTAGACTTGGGACAGTGTTCTCGGGGCATCTCTGGAGTTGCCTGAAGGAAGTCGAGCCACCGGTCGTGTTGAATGGGGAACGGGGAATGGCTCTGGAGTCAATGCAGGGGAATCGGGCCTCATCTCGAGTTGATTTGGGGCACATGGAGCTGCTTTGCGTTGCTGGGGTGACCTCAGGGTCCGTCTAGACTGGTGACAGTGTTCTTGGGTACTGTCTCGAGATCCATTAAGCAAGTCGAAGCTCCTGACTTGTTTGAATGGGATCACGGAATAGCTCTGCATGCACTGCAGGGGAATGGGGTCTCATCTCGCCTCTAGGGGGAAGTCTCATGGTTTTTCTCGAGTTGCGGCGGGGACCTGGGATATGTTCTCGACTTAGGGCGGGGATGGCCCTTCAAAACACGAGTTTCTTCAGTGACTCAGGACTCCTGTCTAGTAACGAGGGACACCTCAGGAATCTCTTCGAGGCTTGGCAGGGCCAAAGGGACGCTTCTCGAGGTGAGGAAGGGCACCCAAGGACCCTTTCCAGTAGCCACACGGATTTTGGGATTCCTATCAGTATTCAAGAGGAGTCAGGCATCGTCACCTTTTGAAGCAATGAACTCCGCGTGCCTCTCGAGGTGTCAGCGGGATGTGAGGCATTCCGTCAAAATGAGGCAGGGACCTAGGGCTTTCTCTAAGGTCTCCACAGGGGATTCAGACATCCCTTCATGTTGTGAGATGAAAGACGAGCCTGTATTCAAGCCACTGCAAGGAAATCCGGCCTCCTTTCAAGTTAGGGCTTCTCGCTGTATATTCCCCTTGAGGCAGCAAACTCGGGGTCCCTCCCACATACCTATTGCTGAGAGAAGCCTCCTCCTGAGGTGCTTCTGGGAAGTTGGCATACGTCTTGAGCCTAAGCCAGGGAATCAGCTCGCATCTCGAGACGATTTGGGGTACACGGAGCATTCCTCGAGTTGCTGTGCTGAAGTTGGTGTTCCTCTAGACTTGGGACAGTGTTCTCGGGGCATCTCTGGAGTTGCCTGAAAGAAGTCGAGCCACCGGTCGTGTTGAATGGGGAACGGGGAATGGCTCTGGAGTCAATGCAGGGGAATCGGGCCTCATCTCGAGTTGATTTGGGGCACATGGAGCTGCTTTGCGTTGCTGGGGTGACCTCAGGGTCCGTCTAGACTGGTGACAGTGTTCTTGGGGACTGTCTCGAGATCCATTAAGCAAGTCGAAGCTCCTGACTTGTTTGAATGGGATCACGGAATAGCTCTGCATGCACTGCAGGGGAATGGAGCCTCATCTCGCCTCTAGGGGGAAGTCTCATGGTTTTTCTCGAGTTGCGGCGGGGACCTGGGGTATGTTCTCGACTTACGGCGGGGATGGCCCTTCAAAACACGAGTTTCTTCAGTGACGTCAGGACTCCTGTCTAGTAACGAGGGACACCTCAGGAATCGCTTCGAGGCTTGGCAGGGCCAAAGGGACGCTTCTCGAGCTGAGGCAGGGCACCCAAGGACCCTTTCCAGTAGCCACAGGGATTTTGGGATTCCTATCAGTATTCAAGAGGAGTCAGGCATCGTCACCTTTTGAAGCAATGAACTCCGCGTGCCTCTCGAGGTGTCAGCGGGATGTGAGGCATTCCGTCAAAATGAGACATGGACCTAGGGCTTTCTCTAAGGTCTCCACAGGGGATTCAGACATCCCTTCATGTTGTGAGATGAAAGACGAGCCTGTATTCAAGCCACTGCAAGGAAATCCGGCCTCCTTTCTAGTTAGGGCTTCTCGCTGTATATTCCCCTTGAGGCAGCAAGCTCGGGGTCCCTCCCACATACCTATTGCTGAGAGAAGCCTCCTCCTGAGGTGCTTCTGGGAAGTTGGCATACGTCTTGAGCCTAAGCCAGGGAATCAGCTCGCATCTCGAGACGATTTGGGGTACACGTAGCATTCCTCGAGTTGCTGTGCTGAAGTTGGTGTTCCTCTAGACTTGGGACAGTGTTCTCGGGGCATCTCTGGAGTTGCCTGAAAGAAGTCGAGCCACCGGTCGTGTTGAATGGGGAACGGGGAATGGCTCTGGAGTCAGTGCAGGGGAATCGGGCCTCATCTCGAGTTGATTTGGGGCACATGGAGCTGCTTTGCGTTGCTGGGGTGACCTCAGGGTCCGTCTAGACTGGTGACAGTGTTCTTGGGGACTGTCTCGAGATCCATTAAGCAAGTCGAAGCTCCTGACTTGTTTGAATGGGGTCACGGAATAGCTCTGCATGCACTGCAGGGGAATGGGGCCTCATCTCGCCTCTAGGGGGAAGTCTCATGGTTTTTCTCGAGTTGCGGCGGGGACCTGGGGTATGTTCTCGACTTACGGCGGGGATGGCCCTTCAAAACACGAGTTTCTTCAGTGACGTCAGGACTCCTGTCTAGTAACGAGGGACACCTCAGGAATCTCTTCGAGGCTTGGCAGGGCCAAAGGGACGCTTCTCGAGGTGAGGCAGGGCACCCAAGGACCCTTTCCAGTAGCCACAGGGATTTTGGGATTCCTATCAGTATTCAAGAGGAGTCAGGCATCGTCACCTTTTGAAGCAATGAACTCCGCGTGCCTCTCGAGGTGTCAGCGGGATGTGAGGCATTCCGTCAAAATGAGGCAGGGACCTAGGGCTTTCTCTAAGTTCTCCACAGGGGATTCAGACATCCCTTCATGTTGTGAGATGAAAGACGAGCCTGTATTCAAGCCACTGCAAGGAAATCCGGCCTCCTTTCAAGTTAGGGCTTCTCGCTGTATATTCCCCTTGAGGCAGCAAACTCGGGGTCCCTCCCACATACCTATTGCTGAGAGAAGCCCCCTCCTGAGGTGCTTCTGGGAAGTTGGCATACGTCTTGAGCCTAAGCCAGGGAATCAGCTCGCATCTCGAGACGATTTGGGGTACACGGAGCATTCCTCGAGTTGCTGTGCTGAAGTTGGTGTTCCTCTAGACTTGGGACAGTGTTCTCGGGGCATCTCTGGAGTTGCCTGAAGGAAGTCGAGCCACCGGTCGTGTTGAATGGGGAACGGGGAATGGCTCTGGAGTCAGTGCAGGGGAATCGGGCCTCATCTCGAGTTGATTTGGGGCACATGGAGCTGCTTTGCGTTGCTGGGGTGACCTCAGGGTCCGTCTAGACTGGTGACAGTGTTCTTGGGGACTGTCTCGAGATCCATTAAGCAAGTCGAAGCTCCTGACTTGTTTGAATGGGGTCACGGAATAGCTCTGCATGCACTGCAGGGGAATGGGGCCTCATCTCGCCTCTAGGGGGAAGTCTCATGGTTTTTCTCGAGTTGCGGCGGGGACCTGGGGTATGTTCTCGACTTACGGCGGGGATGGCCCTTCAAAACACGAGTTTCTTCAGTGACGTCAGGACTCCTGTCTAGTAATGAGGGACACCTCAGGAATCTCTTCGAGGCTTGGCAGGGCCAAAGGGACGCTTCTCGAGGTGAGGCAGGGCACCCAAGGACCCTTTCCAGTAGCCACAGGGATTTTGGGATTCCTATCAGTATTCAAGAGGAGTCAGGCATCGTCACCTTTTGAAGCAATGAACTCCGCGTGCCTCTCGAGGTGTCAGCGGGATGTGAGGCATTCCGTCAAAATGAGGCAGGGACCTAGGGCTTTCTCTAAGGTCTCCACAGGGGATTCAGACATCCCTTCATGTTGTGAGATGAAAGACGAGCCTGTATTCAAGCCACTGCAAGGAAATCCGGCCTCCTTTCAAGTTAGGGCTTCTCGCTGTATATTCCCCTTGAGGCAGCAAACTCGGGGTCCCTCCCACATACCTATTGCTGAGAGAAGCCTCCTCCTGAGGTGCTTCTGGGAAGTTGGCATACGTCTTGAGCCTAAGCCAGGGAATCAGCTCGCATCTCGAGACAATTTGGGGTACACGGAGCATTCCTCGAGTTGCTGTGCTGAAGTTGGTGTTCCTCTAGACTTGGGACAGTGTTCTCGGGGCATCTCTGGAGTTGCCTGAAGGAAGTCGAGCCACCGGTCGTGTTGAATGGGGAACGGGGAATGGCTCTGGAGTCAATGCAGGGGAATCGGGCCTCATCTCGAGTTGATTTGGGGCACATGGAGCTGCTTTGCGTTGCTGGGGTGACCTCAGGGTCCGTCTAGACTGGTGACAGTGTTCTTGGGGACTGTCTCGAGATCCATTAAGCAAGTCGAAGCTCCTGACTTGTTTGAATGGGATCACGGAATAGCTCTGCATGCACTGCAGGGGAATGGGGCCTCATCTCGCCTCTAGGGGGAAGTCTCATGGTTTTTCTCGAGTTGCGGCGGGGACCTGGGATATGTTCTCGACTTACGGCGGGGATGGCCCTTCAAAACACGAGTTTCTTCAGTGACGTCAGGACTCCTGTCTAGTAACGAGGGACACCTCAGGGTTCTCTTCGAGGCTTGGCAGGGCCAAAGGGACGCTTCTCGAGCTGAGGCAGGGCACCCAAGGACCCTTTCCAGTAGCCACAGGGATTTTGGGATTCCTATCAGTATTCAAGAGGAGTCAGGCATCGTCACCTTTTGAAGCAATGAACTCCGCGTGCCTCTCGAGGTGTCAGCGGGATGTGAGGCATTCCGTCAAAATGAGGCAGGGACCTAGGGCTTTCTCTAAGGTCTCCACAGGGGATTCAGACATCCCTTCATGTTGTGAGATGAAAGACGAGCCTGTATTCAAGCCACTGCAAGGAAATCCGGCCTCCTTTCAAGTTAGGGCTTCTCGCTGTATATTCCCCTTGAGGCAGCAAACTCGGGGTCCCTCCCACATACCTATTGCTGAGAGAAGCCCCCTCCTGAGGTGCTTCTGGGAAGTTGGCATACGTCTTGAGCCTAAGCCAGGGAATCAGCTCGCATCTCGAGACGATTTGGGGTACACGGAGCATTCCTCGAGTTGCTGTGCTGAAGTTGGTGTTCCTCTAGACTTGGGACAGTGTTCTCGGGGCATCTCTGGAGTTGCCTGAAGGAAGTCGAGCCACCGGTCGTGTTGAATGGGGAACGGGGAATGGCTCTGGAGTCAATGCAGGGGAATCGGGCCTCATCTCGAGTTGATTTGGGGCACATGGAGCTGCTTTGCGTTGCTGGGGTGACCTCAGGGTCCGTCTAGACTGGTGACAGTGTTCTTGGGGACTGTCTCGAGATCCATTAAGCAAGTCGAAGCTCCTGACTTGTTTGAATGGGATCACGGAATAGCTCTGCATGCACTGCAGGGGAATGGGGCCTCATCTCGCCTCTAGGGGGAAGTCTCATGGTTTTTCTCGAGTTGCGGCGGGGACCTGGGGTATGTTCTCGACTTACGGCGGGGATGGCCCTTCAAAACACGAGTTTCTTCAGTGACGTCAGGACTCCTGTCTAGTAACGAGGGACACCTCAGGAATCTCTTCGAGGCTTGGCAGGGCCAAAGGGATGCTTCTCGAGGTGAGGCAGGGCACCCAAGGACCCTTTCCAGTAGCCACAGGGATTTTGGGATTCCTATCAGTATTCAAGAGGAGTCAGGCATCGTCACCTTTTGAAGCAATGAACTCCGCGTGCCTCTCGAGGTGTCAGCGGGATGTGAGGCATTCCGTCAAAATGAGGCAGGGACCTAGGGCTTTCTCTAAGGTCTCCACAGGGGATTCAGACATCCCTTCATGTTGTGAGATGAAAGACGAGCCTGTATTCAAGCCACTGCAAGGAAATCCGGCCTCCTTTCAAGTTAGGGCTTCTCGCTGTATATTCCCCTTGAGGCAGCAAACTCGGGGTCCCTCCCACATACCTATTGCTGAGAGAAGCCTCCTCCTGAGGTGCTTCTGGGAAGTTGGCATACGTCTTGAGCCTAAGCCAGGGAATCAGCTCGCATCTCGAGATGATTTGGGGTACACGGAGCATTCCTCGAGTTGCTGTGCTGAAGTTGGTGTTCCTCTAGACTTGGGACAGTGTTCTCGAGGCATCTCTGGAGTTGCCTGAAGGAAGTCGAGCCACCGGTCGTGTTGAATGGGGAACGGGGAATGGCTCTGGAGTCAATGCAGGGGAATCGGGCCTCATCTCGAGTTGATTTGGGGCACATGGAGCTGCTTTGCGTTGCTGGGGTGACCTCAGGGTCCGTCTAGACTGGTGACAGTGTTCTTGGGGACTGTCTCGAGATCCATTAAGCAAGTCGAAGCTCCTGACTTGTTTGAATGGGATCACGGAATAGCTCTGCATGCACTGCAGGGGAATGGAGCCTCATCTCGCCTCTAGGGGGAAGTCTCATGGTTTTTCTCGAGTTGCGGCGGGGACCTGGGGTATGTTCTCGACTTACGGCGGGGATGGCCCTTCAAAACACGAGTTTCTTCAGTGACGTCAGGACTCCTTTCTAGTAACGAGGGACACCTCAGGAATCTCTTCGAGGCTTGGCAGGGCCAAAGGGACGCTTCTCGAGGTGAGGCAGGGCACCCAAGGACCCTTTCCAGTAGCCACAGGGATTTTGGGATTCCTATCAGTATTCAAGAGGAGTCAGGCATCGTCACCTTTTGAAGCAATGAACTCCGCGTGCCTCTCGAGGTGTCAGCGGGATGTGAGGCATTCCGTCAAAATGAGGCAGGGACCTAGGGCTTTCTCTAAGGTCTCCACAGGGGATTCAGACATCCCTTCATGTTGTGAGATGAAAGACGAGCCTGTATTCAAGCCACTGCAAGGAAATCCGGCCTCCTTTCAAGTTAGGGCTTCTCGCTGTATATTCCCCTTGAGGCAGCAAACTCGGGGTCCCTCCCACATACCTATTGCTGAGAGAAGCCTCCTCCTGAGGTGCTTCTGGGAAGTTGGCATACGTCTTGAGCCTAAGCCAGGGAATCAGCTCGCATCTCGAGACGATTTGGGGTACACGGAGCATTCCTCGAGTTGCTGTGCTGAAGTTGGTGTTCCTCTAGACTTGGGACAGTGTTCTCGGGGCATCTCTGGAGTTGCCTGAAGGAAGTCGAGCCACCGGTCGTGTTGAATGGGGAACGGGGAATGGCTCTGGAGTCAATGCAGGGGAATCGGGCCTCATCTCGAGTTGATTTGGGGCACATGGAGCTGCTTTGCGTTGCTGGGGTGACCTCAGGGTCCGTCTAGACTGGTGACAGTGTTCTTGGGGACTGTCTCGAGATCCATTAAGCAAGTCGAAGCTCCTGACTTGTTCGAATGGGGTCACGGAATAGCTCTGCATGCACTGCAGGGGAATGGGGCCTCATCTCGCCTCTAGGGGGAAGTCTCATGGTTTTTCTCGAGTTGCGGCGGGGACCTGGGGTATGTTCTCGACTTACGGCGGGGATGGCCCTTCAAAACACGAGTTTCTTCAGTGACGTCAGGACTCCTGTCTAGTAACGAGGGACACCTCAGGAATCTCTTCGAGGCTTGGCAGGGCCAAAGGGACGCTTCTCGAGGTGAGGCAGGGCACCCAAGGACCCTTTCCAGTAGCCACAGGGATTTTGGGATTCCTATCAGTATTCAAGAGGAGTCAGGCATCGTCACCTTTTGAAGCAATGAACTCCGCGTTCCTCTCGAGGTGTCAGCGGGATGTGAGGCATTCCGTCAAAATGAGGCAGGGACTTAGGGCTTTCTCTAAGTTCTCCACAGGGGATTCAGACATCCCTTCATGTTGTGAGATGAAAGACGAGCCTGTATTCAAGCCACTGCAAGGAAATCCGGCCTCCTTTCAAGTTAGGGCTTCTCGCTGTATATTCCCCTTGAGGCAGCAAACTCGGGGTCCCTCCCACATACCTATTGCTGAGAGAAGCCCCCTCCTGAGGTGCTTCTGGGAAGTTGGCATACGTCTTGAGCCTAAGCCAGGGAATCAGCTCGCATCTCGAGACGATTTGGGGTACACGGAGCATTCCTCGAGTTGCTGGGCTGAAGTTGGTGTTCCTCTAGACTTGGGACAGTGTTCTCGGGGCATCTCTGGAGTTGCCTGAAGGAAGTCGAGCCACCGGTCGTGTTGAATGGGGAACGGGGAATGGCTCTGGAGTCAATGCAGGGGAATCGGGCCTCATCTCGAGTTGATTTGGGGCACATGGAGCTGCTTTGCGTTGCTGGGGTGACCTCAGGGTCCGTCTAGACTGGTGACAGTGTTCTTGGGGACTGTCTCGAGATCCATTAAGCAAGTCGAAGCTCCTGACTTGTTTGAATGGGGTCACGGAATAGCTCTGCATGCACTGCAGGGGAATGGGGCCTCATCTCGCCTCTAGGGGAAAGTCTCATGGTTTTTCTCGAGTTGCGGCGGGGACCTGGGGTATGTTCTCGACTTACGGCGGGGATGGCCCTTCAAAACACGAGTTTCTTCAGTGACGTCAGGACTCTTGTCTAGTAACGAGGGACACCTCAGGAATCTCTTCGAGGCTTGGCAGGGCCAAAGGGACGCTTCTCGAGGTGAGGCAGGGCACCCAAGGACCCTTTCCAGTAGCCACAGGGATTTTGGGATTCCTATCAGTATTCAAGAGGAGTCAGGCATCGTCACCTTTTGAAGCAATGAACTCCGCGTGCCTCTCGAGGTGTCAGCGGGATGTGAGGCATTCCGTCAAAATGAGGCAGGGACCTAGGGCTTTCTCTAAGGTCTCCACAGGGGATTCAGACATCCCTTCATGTTGTGAGATGAAAGACGAGCCTGTATTCAAGCCACTGCAAGGAAATCCGGCCTCCTTTCAAGTTAGGGCTTCTCGCTGTATATTCCCCTTGAGGCAGCAAACTCGGGGTCCCTCCCACATACCTATTGCTGAGAGAAGCCCCCTCCTGAGGTGCTTCTGGGAAGTTGGCATACGTCTTGAGCCTAAGCCAGGGAATCAGCTCGCATCTCGAGACGATTTGGGGTACACGGAGCATTCCTCGAGTTGCTGTGCTGAAGTTGGTGTTCCTCTAGACTTGGGACAGTGTTCTCGGGGCATCTCTGGAGTTGCCTGAAGGAAGTCGAGCCACCGGTCGTGTTGAATGGGGAACGGGGAATGGCTCTGGAGTCAGTGCAGGGGAATCGGGCCTCATCTCGAGTTGATTTGGGGCACATGGAGCTGCTTTGCGTTGCTGGGGTGACCTCAGGGTCCGTCTAGACTGGTGACAGTGTTCTTGGGGACTGTCTCGAGATCCATTAAGCAAGTCGAAGCTCCTGACTTGTTTGAGTGGGGTCACGGAATAGCTCTGCATGCACTGCAGGGGAATGGGGCCTCATCTCGCCTCTAGGGGGAAGTCTCATGGTTTTTCTCGAGTTGCGGCGGGGACCTGGGGTATGTTCTCGACTTACGGCGGGGATGGCCCTTCAAAACACGAGTTTCTTCAGTGACGTCAGGACTCCTGTCTAGTAACGAGGGACACCTCAGGGATCTCTTCGAGGCTTGGCAGGGCCAAAGGGACGCTTCTCGAGCTGAGGCAGGGCACCCAAGGACCCTTTCCAGTAGCCACAGGGATTTTGGGATTCCTATCAGTATTCAAGAGGAGTCAGGCATCGTCACCTTTTGAAGCAATGAACTCCGCGTGCCTCTCGAGGTGTCAGCGGGATGTGAGGCATTCCGTCAAAATGAGGCAGGGACCTAGGGCTTTCTCTAAGGTCTCCACAGGGGATTCAGACATCCCTTCATGTTGTGAGATGAAAGACGAGCCTGTATTCAAGCCACTGCAAGGAAATCCGGCCTCCTTTCAAGTTAGGGCTTCTCGCTGTATATTCCCCTTGAGGCAGCAAACTCGGGGTCCCTCCCACATACCTATTGCTGAGAGAAGCCCCCTCCTGAGGTGCTTCTGGGAAGTTGGCATACGTCTTGAGCCTAAGCCAGGGAATCAGCTCGCATCTCGAGACGATTTGGGGTACACGGAGCATTCCTCGAGTTGCTCTGCTGAAGTTGGTGTTCCTCTAGACTTGGGACAGTGTTCTCGGGGCATCTCTGGAGTTGCCTGAAGGAAGTCGAGCCACCGGTCGTGTTGAATGGGGAACGGGGAATGGCTCTGGAGTCAATGCAGGGGAATCGGGCCTCATCTCGAGTTGATTTGGGGCACATGGAGCTGCTTTGCGTTGCTGGGGTGACCTCAGGGTCCGTCTAGACTGGTGACAGTGTTCTTGGGGACTGTCTCGAGATCCATTAAGCAAGTCGAAGCTCCTGACTTGTTTGAATGGGGTCACGGAATAGCTCTGCATGCACTGCAGGGGAATGGGGCCTCATCTCGCCTCTAGGGGGAAGTCTCATGGTTTTTCTCGAGTTGCGGCGGGGACCTGGGGTATGTTCTCGACTTACGGCGGGGATGGCCCTTCAAAACACGAGTTTCTTCAGTGACGTCAGGACTCCTGTCTAGTAACGAGGGACACCTCAGGAATCTCTTCGAGGCTTGGCAGGGCCAAAGGGACGCTTCTCGAGGTGAGGCAGGGCACCCAAGGACCCTTTCCAGTAGCCACAGGGATTTTGGGATTCCTATCAGTATTCAAGAGGAGTCAGGCATCGTCACCTTTTGAAGCAATGAACTCCGCGTGCCTCTCGAGGTGTCAGCGGGATGTGAGGCATTCCGTCAAAATGAGGCAGGGACCTAGGGCTTTCTCTAAGGTCTCCACAGGGGATTCAGACATCCCTTCATGTTGTGAGATGAAAGACGAGCCTGTATTCAAGCCACTGCAAGGAAATCCGGCCTCCTTTCAAGTTAGGGCTTCTCGCTGTATATTCCCCTTGAGGCAGCAAACTCGGGGTCCCTCCCACATACCTATTGCTGAGAGAAGCCTCCTCCTGAGGTGCTTCTGGGAAGTTGGCATACGTCTTGAGCCTAAGCCAGGGAATCAGCTCGCATCTCGAGACGATTTGGGGTACACGGAGCATTCCTCGAGTTGCTGTGCTGAAGTTGGTGTTCCTCTAGACTTGGGACAGTGTTCTCGGGGCATCTCTGGAGTTGCCTGAAGGAAGTCGAGCCACCGGTCGTGTTGAATGGGGAACGGGGAATGGCTCTGGTGTCAATGCAGGGGAATCGGGCCTCATCTCGAGTTGATTTGGGGCACATGGAGCTGCTTTGCGTTGCTGGGGTGACCTCAGGGTCCGTCTAGACTGGTGACAGTGTTCTTGGGGACTGTCTCGAGATCCATTAAGCAAGTCGAAGCTCCTGACTTGTTTGAATGGGATCACGGAATAGCTATGCATGCACTGCAGGGGAATGGGGCCTCATCTCGCCTCTAGGGGGAAGTCTCATGGTTTTTCTCGAGTTGCGGCGGGGACCTGGGATATGTTCTCGACTTACGGCGGGGATGGCCCTTCAAAACACGAGTTTCTTCAGTGACGTCAGGACTCCTGTCTAGTAACGAGGGACACCTCAGGGATCTCTTCGAGGCTTGGCAGGGCCAAAGGGACGCTTCTCGAGCTGAGGCAGGGCACCCAAGGACCCTTTCCAGTAGCCACAGGGATTTTGGGATTCCTATCAGTATTCAAGAGGAGTCAGGCATCGTCACCTTTTGAAGCAATGAACTCCGCGTGCCTCTCGAGGTGTCAGCGGGATGTGAGGCATTCCGTCAAAATGAGGCAGGGACCTAGGGCTTTCTCTAAGGTCTCCACAGGGGATTCAGACATCCCTTCATGTTGTGAGATGAAAGACGAGCCTGTATTCAAGCCACTGCAAGGAAATCCGGCCTCCTTTCAAGTTAGGGCTTCTCGCTGTATATTCCCCTTGAGGCAGCAAACTCGGGGTCCCTCCCACATACCTATTGCTGAGAGAAGCCCCCTCCTGAGGTGCTTCTGGGAAGTTGGCATACGTCTTGAGCCTAAGCCAGGGAATCAGCTCGCATCTCGAGACGATTTGGGGTACACGGAGCATTCCTCGAGTTGCTGTGCTGAAGTTGGTGTTCCTCTAGACTTGGGACAGTGTTCTCGGGGCATCTCTGGAGTTGCCTGAAGGAAGTCGAGCCACCGGTCGTGTTGAATGGGGAACGGGGAATGGCTCTGGAGTCAATGCAGGGGAATCGGGCCTCATCTCGAGTTGATTTGGGGCACATGGAGCTGCTTTGCGTTGCTGGGGTGACCTCAGGGTCCGTCTAGACTGGTGACAGTGTTCTTGGGGACTGTCTCGAGATCCATTAAGCAAGTCGAAGCTCCTGACTTGTTCGAATGGGGTCACGGAATAGCTCTGCATGCACTGCAGGGGAATGGGGCCTCATCTCGCCTCTAGGGGGAAGTCTCATGGTTTTTCTCGAGTTGCGGCGGGGACCTGGGGTATGTTCTCGACTTACGGCGGGGATGGCCCTTCAAAACACGAGTTTCTTCAGTGACGTCAGGACTCCTGTCTAGTAACGAGGGACACCTCAGGAATCTCTTCGAGGCTTGGCAGGGCCAAAGGGACGCTTCTCGAGGTGAGGCAGGGCACCCAAGGACCCTTTCCAGTAGCCACAGGGATTTTGGGATTCCTATCAGTATTCAAGAGGAGTCAGGCATCGTCACCTTTTGAAGCAATGAACTCCGCGTGCCTCTCGAGGTGTCAGCGGGATGTGAGGCATTCCGTCAAAATGAGGCAGGGACCTAGGGCTTTCTCTAAGGTCTCCACAGGGGATTCAGACATCCCTTCATGTTGTGAGATGAAAGACGAGCCTGTATTCAAGCCACTGCAAGGAAATCCGGCCTCCTTTCAAGTTAGGGCTTCTCGCTGTATATTCCCCTTGAGGCAGCAAACTCGGGGTCCCTCCCACATACCTATTGCTGAGAGAAGCCTCCTCCTGAGGTGCTTCTGGGAAGTTGGCATACGTCTTGAGCCTAAGCCAGGGAATCAGCTCGCATCTCGAGACGATTTGGGGTACACGGAGCATTCCTCGAGTTGCTGGGCTGAAGTTGGTGTTCCTCTAGACTTGGGACAGTGTTCTCGGGGCATCTCTGGAGTTGCCTGAAGGAAGTCGAGCCACCGGTCGTGTTGAATGGGGAACGGGGAATGGCTCTGGAGTCAATGCAGGGGAATCGGGCCTCATCTCGAGTTGATTTGGGGCACATGGAGCTGCTTTGCGTTGCTGGGGTGACCTCAGGGTCCGTCTAGACTGGTGACAGTGTTCTTGGGGACTGTCTCGAGATCCATTAAGCAAGTCGAAGCTCCTGACTTGTTCGAATGGGGTCACGGAATAGCTCTGCATGCACTGCAGGGGAATGGGGCCTCATCTCGCCTCTAGGGGGAAGTCTCATGGTTTTTCTCGAGTTGCGGTGGGGACCTGGGGTATGTTCTCGACTTACGGCGGGGATGGCCCTTCAAAACACGAGTTTCTTCAGTGACGTCAGGACTCCTGTCTAGTAACGAGGGACACCTCAGGAATCTCTTCGAGGCTTGGCAGGGCCAAAGGGACGCTTCTCGAGGTGAGGCAGGGCACCCAAGGACCCTTTCCAGTAGCCACAGGGATTTTGGGATTCCTATCAGTATTCAAGAGGAGTCAGGCATCGTCACCTTTTGAAGCAATGAACTCCGCGTGCCTCTCGAGGTGTCAGCGGGATGTGAGGCATTCCGTCAAAATGAGGCAGGGACCTAGGGCTTTCTCTAAGGTCTCCACAGGGGATTCAGACATCCCTTCATGTTGTGAGATGAAAGACGAGCCTGTATTCAAGCCACTGCAAGGAAATCCGGCCTCCTTTCAAGTTAGGGCTTCTCGCTGTATATTCCCCTTGAGGCAGCAAACTCGGGGTCCCTCCCACATACCTATTGCTGAGAGAAGCCTCCTCCTGAGGTGCTTCTGGGAAGTTGGCATACGTCTTGAGCCTAAGCCAGGGAATCAGCTCGCATCTCGAGACGATTTGGGGTACACGGAGCATTCCTCGAGTTGCTGGGCTGAAGTTGGTGTTCCTCTAGACTTGGGACAGTGTTTTCGGGGCATCTCTTGAGTTGCCTGAAGGAAGTCGAGCCACCGGTCGTGTTGAATGGGGAACGGGGAATGGCTCTGGAGTCAGTGCAGGGGAATCGGGCCTCATCTCGAGTTGATTTGGGGCACATGGAGCTGCTTTGCGTTGCTGGGGTGACCTCAGGGTCCGTCTAGACTGGTGACAGTGTTCTTGGGGACTGTCTCGAGATCCATTAAGCAAGTCGAAGCTCCTGACTTGTTTGAATGGGGTCACGGAATAGCTCTGCATGCACTGCAGGGGAATGGGGCCTCATCTCGCCTCTAGGGGGAAGTCTCATGGTTTTTCTCGAGTTGCGGCGGGGACCTGGGGTATGTTCTCGACTTACGGCGGGGATGGCCCTTCAAAACACGAGTTTCTTCAGTGACGTCAGGACTCCTGTCTAGTAACGAGGGACACCTCAGGAATCTCTTCGAGGCTTGGCAGGGCCAAAGGGACGCTTCTCGATGTGAGGCAGGGCACCCAAGGACCCTTTCCAGTAGCCACAGGGATTTTGGGATTCCTATCAGTATTCAAGAGGAGTCAGGCATCGTCACCTTTTGAAGCAATGAACTCCGCGTGCCTCTCGAGGTGTCAGCGGGATGTGAGGCATTCCGTCAAAATGAGGCAGGGACCTAGGGCTTTCTCTAAGGTCTCCACAGGGGATTCAGACATCCCTTCATGTTGTGAGATGAAAGACGAGCCTGTATTCAAGCCACTGCAAGGAAATCCGGCCTCCTTTCAAGTTAGGGCTTCTCGCTGTATATTCCCCTTGAGGCAGCAAACTCGGGGTCCCTCCCACATACCTATTGCTGAGAGAAGCCTCCTCCTGAGGTGCTTCTGGGAAGTTGGCATACGTCTTGAGCCTAAGCCAGGGAATCAGCTCGCATCTCGAGACGATTTGGGGTACACGGAGCATTCCTCGAGTTGCTGTGCTGAAGTTGGTGTTCCTCTAGACTTGGGACAGTGTTCTCGGGGCATCTCTGGAGTTGCCTGAAGGAAGTCGAGCCACCGGTCGTGTTGAATGGGGAACGGGGAATGGCTCTGGAGTCAATGCAGGGGAATCGGGCCTCATCTCGAGTTGATTTGGGGCACATGGAGCTGCTTTGCGTTGCTGGGGTGACCTCAGGGTCCGTCTAGACTGGTGACAGTGTTCTTGGGGACTGTCTCGAGATCCATTAAGCAAGTCGAAGCTCCTGACTTGTTTGAATGGGATCACGGAATAGCTCTGCATGCACTGCAGGGGAATGGGGCCTCATCTCGCCTCTAGGGGGAAGTCTCATGGTTTTTCTCGAGTTGCGGCGGGGACCTGGGATATGTTCTCGACTTACGGCGGGGATGGCCCTTCAAAACACGAGTTTCTTCAGTGACGTCAGGACTCCTGTCTAGTAACGAGGGACACCTCAGGGATCTCTTCGAGGCTTGGCAGGGCCAAAGGGACGCTTCTCGAGCTGAGGCAGGGCACCCAAGGACCCTTTCCAGTAGCCACAGGGATTTTGGGATTCCTATCAGTATTCAAGAGGAGTCAGGCATCGTCACCTTTTGAAGCAATGAACTCCGCGTGCCTCTCGAGGTGTCAGCGGGATGTGAGGCATTCCGTCAAAATGAGGCAGGGACCTAGGGCTTTCTCTAAGGTCTCCACAGGGGATTCAGACATCCCTTCATGTTGTGAGATGAAAGACGAGCCTGTATTCAAGCCACTGCAAGGAAATCCGGCCTCCTTTCAAGTTAGGGCTTCTCGCTGTATATTCCCCTTGAGGCAGCAAACTCGGGGTCCCTCCCACATACCTATTGCTGAGAGAAGCCCCCTCCTGAGGTGCTTCTGGGAAGTTGGCATACGTCTTGAGCCTAAGCCAGGGAATCAGCTCGCATCTCGAGACGATTTGGGGTACACGGAGCATTCCTCGAGTTGCTGTGCTGAAGTTGGTGTTCCTCTAGACTTGGGACAGTGTTCTCGGGGCATCTCTGGAGTTGCCTGAAGGAAGTCGAGCCACCGGTCGTGTTGAATGGGGAACGGGGAATGGCTCTGGAGTCAATGCAGGGGAATCGGGCCTCATCTCGAGTTGATTTGGGGCACATGGAGCTGCTTTGCGTTGCTGGGGTGACCTCAGGGTCCGTCTAGACTGGTGACAGTGTTCTTGGGGACTGTCTCGAGATCCATTAAGCAAGTCGAAGCTCCTGACTTGTTCGAATGGGGTCACGGAATAGCTCTGCATGCACTGCAGGGGAATGGGGCCTCATCTCGCCTCTAGGGGGAAGTCTCATGGTTTTTCTCGAGTTGCGGCGGGGACCTGGGGTATGTTCTCGACTTACGGCGGGGATGGCCCTTCAAAACACGAGTTTCTTCAGTGACGTCAGGACTCCTGTCTAGTAACGAGGGACACCTCAGGAATCTCTTCGAGGCTTGGCAGGGCCAAAGGGACGCTTCTCGAGGTGAGGCAGGGCACCCAAGGACCCTTTCCAGTAGCCACAGGGATTTTGGGATTCCTATCAGTATTCAAGAGGAGTCAGGCATCGTCACCTTTTGAAGCAATGAACTCCGCGTGCCTCTCGAGGTGTCAGCGGGATGTGAGGCATTCCGTCAAAATGAGGCAGGGACCTAGGGCTTTCTCTAAGGTCTCCACAGGGGATTCAGACATCCCTTCATGTTGTGAGATGAAAGACGAGCCTGTATTCAAGCCACTGCAAGGAAATCCGGCCTCCTTTCAAGTTAGGGCTTCTCGCTGTATATTCCCCTTGAGGCAGCAAACTCGGGGTCCCTCCCACATACCTATTGCTGAGAGAAGCCTCCTCCTGAGGTGCTTCTGGGAAGTTGGCATACGTCTTGAGCCTAAGCCAGGGAATCAGCTCGCATCTCGAGACGATTTGGGGTACACGGAGCATTCCTCGAGTTGCTGGGCTGAAGTTGGTGTTCCTCTAGACTTGGGACAGTGTTCTCGGGGCATCTCTGGAGTTGCCTGAAGGAAGTCGAGCCACCGGTCGTGTTGAATGGGGAACGGGGAATGGCTCTGGAGTCAATGCAGGGGAATCGGGCCTCATCTCGAGTTGATTTGGGGCACATGGAGCTGCTTTGCGTTGCTGGGGTGACCTCAGGGTCCGTCTAGACTGGTGACAGTGTTCTTGGGGACTGTCTCGAGATCCATTAAGCAAGTCGAAGCTCCTGACTTGTTCGAATGGGGTCACGGAATAGCTCTGCATGCACTGCAGGGGAATGGGGCCTCATCTCGCCTCTAGGGGGAAGTCTCATGGTTTTTCTCGAGTTGCGGTGGGGACCTGGGGTATGTTCTCGACTTACGGCGGGGATGGCCCTTCAAAACACGAGTTTCTTCAGTGACGTCAGGACTCCTGTCTAGTAACGAGGGACACCTCAGGAATCTCTTCGAGGCTTGGCAGGGCCAAAGGGACGCTTCTCGAGGTGAGGCAGGGCACCCAAGGACCCTTTCCAGTAGCCACAGGGATTTTGGGATTCCTATCAGTATTCAAGAGGAGTCAGGCATCGTCACCTTTTGAAGCAATGAACTCCGCGTGCCTCTCGAGGTGTCAGCGGGATGTGAGGCATTCCGTCAAAATGAGGCAGGGACCTAGGGCTTTCTCTAAGGTCTCCACAGGGGATTCAGACATCCCTTCATGTTGTGAGATGAAAGACGAGCCTGTATTCAAGCCACTGCAAGGAAATCCGGCCTCCTTTCAAGTTAGGGCTTCTCGCTGTATATTCCCCTTGAGGCAGCAAACTCGGGGTCCCTCCCACATACCTATTGCTGAGAGAAGCCTCCTCCTGAGGTGCTTCTGGGAAGTTGGCATACGTCTTGAGCCTAAGCCAGGGAATCAGCTCGCATCTCGAGACGATTTGGGGTACACGGAGCATTCCTCGAGTTGCTGGGCTGAAGTTGGTGTTCCTCTAGACTTGGGACAGTGTTTTCGGGGCATCTCTTGAGTTGCCTGAAGGAAGTCGAGCCACCGGTCGTGTTGAATGGGGAACGGGGAATGGCTCTGGAGTCAGTGCAGGGGAATCGGGCCTCATCTCGAGGTGATTTGGGGCACATGGAGCTGCTTTGCGTTGCTGGGGTGACCTCAGGGTCCGTCTAGACTGGTGACAGTGTTCTTGGGGACTGTCTCGAGATCCATTAAGCAAGTCGAAGCTCCTGACTTGTTTGAATGGGGTCACGGAATAGCTCTGCATGCACTGCAGGGGAATGGGGCCTCATCTCGCCTCTAGGGGGAAGTCTCATGGTTTTTCTCGAGTTGCGGCGGGGACCTGGGGTATGTTCTCGACTTACGGCGGGGATGGCCCTTCAAAACACGAGTTTCTTCAGTGACGTCAGGACTCCTGTCTAGTAACGAGGGACACCTCAGGAATCTCTTCGAGGCTTGGCAGGGCCAAAGGGACGCTTCTCGATGTGAGGCAGGGCACCCAAGGACCCTTTCCAGTAGCCACAGGGATTTTGGGATTCCTATCAGTATTCAAGAGGAGTCAGGCATCGTCACCTTTTGAAGCAATGAACTCCGCGTGCCTCTCGAGGTGTCAGCGGGATGTGAGGCATTCCGTCAAAATGAGGCAGGGACCTAGGGCTTTCTCTAAGGTCTCCACAGGGGATTCAGACATCCCTTCATGTTGTGAGATGAAAGACGAGCCTGTATTCAAGCCACTGCAAGGAAATCCGGCCTCCTTTCAAGTTAGGGCTTCTCGCTGTATATTCCCCTTGAGGCAGCAAACTCGGGGTCCCTCCCACATACCTATTGCTGAGAGAAGCCTCCTCCTGAGGTGCTTCTGGGAAGTTGGCATACGTCTTGAGCCTAAGCCAGGGAATCAGCTCGCATCTCGAGACGATTTGGGGTACACGGAGCATTCCTCGAGTTGCTGTGCTGAAGTTGGTGTTCCTCTAGACTTGGGACAGTGTTCTCGGGGCATCTCTGGAGTTGCCTGAAGGAAGTCGAGCCACCGGTCGTGTTGAATGGGGAACGGGGAATGGCTCTGGAGTCAATGCAGGGGAATCGGGCCTCATCTCGAGTTGATTTGGGGCACATGGAGCTGCTTTGCGTTGCTGGGGTGACCTCAGGGTCCGTCTAGACTGGTGACAGTGTTCTTGGGGACTGTCTCGAGATCCATTAAGCAAGTCGAAGCTCCTGACTTGTTTGAATGGGGTCACGGAATAGCTCTGCATGCACTGCAGGGGAATGGGGCCTCATCTCGCCTCTAGGGGGAAGTCTCATGGTTTTTCTCGAGTTGCGGCGGGGACCTGGGGTATGTTCTCGACTTACGGCGGGGATGGCCCTTCAAAACACGAGTTTCTTCAGTGACGTCAGGACTCCTGTCTAGTAACGAGGGACACCTCAGGAATCTCTTCGAGGCTTGGCAGGGCCAAAGGGACGCTTCTCGAGGTGAGGCAGGGCACCCAAGGACCCTTTCCAGTAGCCACAGGGATTTTGGGATTCCTATCAGTATTCAAGAGGAGTCAGGCATCGTCACCTTTTGAAGCAATGAACTCCGCGTGCCTCTCGAGGTGTCAGCGGGATGTGAGGCATTCCGTCAAAATGAGGCAGGGACCTAGGGCTTTCTCTAAGGTCTCCACAGGGGATTCAGACATCCCTTCATGTTGTGAGATGAAAGACGAGCCTGTATTCAAGCCACTGCAAGGAAATCCGGCCTCCTTTCAAGTTAGGGCTTCTCGCTGTATATTCCCCTTGAGGCAGCAAACTCGGGGTCCCTCCCACATACCTATTGCTGAGAGAAGCCTCCTCCTGAGGTGCTTCTGGGAAGTTGGCATACGTCTTGAGCCTAAGCCAGGGAATCAGCTCGCATCTCGAGACGATTTGGGGTACACGGAGCATTCCTCGAGTTGCTGGGCTGAAGTTGGTGTTCCTCTAGACTTGGGACAGTGTTCTCGGGGCATCTCTGGAGTTGCCTGAAGGAAGTCGAGCCACCGGTCGTGTTGAATGGGGAACGGGGAATGGCTCTGGAGTCAATGCAGGGGAATCGGGCCTCATCTCGAGTTGATTTGGGGCACATGGAGCTGCTTTGCGTTGCTGGGGTGACCTCAGGGTCCGTCTAGACTGGTGACAGTGTTCTTGGGGACTGTCTCGAGATCCATTAAGCAAGTCGAAGCTCCTGACTTGTTCGAATGGGGTCACGGAATAGCTCTGCATGCACTGCAGGGGAATGGGGCCTCATCTCGCCTCTAGGGGGAAGTCTCATGGTTTTTCTCGAGTTGCGGCGGGGACCTGGGGTATGTTCTCGACTTACGGCGGGGATGGCCCTTCAAAACACGAGTTTCTTCAGTGACGTCAGGACTCCTGTCTAGTAACGAGGGACACCTCAGGAATCTCTTCGAGGCTTGGCAGGGCCAAAGGGACGCTTCTCGAGGTGAGGCAGGGCACCCAAGGACCCTTTCCAGTAGCCACAGGGATTTTGGGATTCCTATCAGTATTCAAGAGGAGTCAGGCATCGTCACCTTTTGAAGCAATGAACTCCGCGTGCCTCTCGAGGTGTCAGCGGGATGTGAGGCATTCCGTCAAAATGAGGCAGGGACCTAGGGCTTTCTCTAAGGTCTCCACAGGGGATTCAGACATCCCTTCATGTTGTGAGATGAAAGACGAGCCTGTATTCAAGCCACTGCAAAGAAATCCGGCCTCCTTTCAAGTTAGGGCTTCTCGCTGTATATTCCCCTTGAGGCAGCAAACTCGGGGTCCCTCCCACATACCTATTGCTGAGAGAAGCCTCCTCCTGAGGTGCTTCTGGGAAGTTGGCATACGACTTGAGCCTAAGCCAGGGAATCATCTCGCATCTCGAGACGATTTGGGGTACACGGAGCATTCCTCGAGTTGCTGGGCTGAAGTTGGTGTTCCTCTAGACTTGGGACAGTGTTCTCGGGGCATCTCTGGAGTTGCCTGAAGGAAGTCGAGCCACCGGTCGTGTTGAATGGGGAACGGGGAATGGCTCTGGAGTCAATGCAGGGGAATCGGGCCTCATCTCGAGTTGATTTGGGGCACATGGAGCTGCTTTGCGTTGCTGGGGTGACCTCAGGGTCCGTCTAGACTGGTGACAGTGTTCTTGGGGACTGTCTCGAGATCCATTAAGCAAGTCGAAGCTCCTGACTTGTTTGAATGGGATCACGGAATAGCTCTGCATGCACTGCAGGGGAATGGGGCCTCATCTCGCCTCTAGGGGGAAGTCTCATGGTTTTTCTCGAGTTGCGGCGGGGACCTGGGGTATGTTCTCGACTTACGGCGGGGATGGCCCTTCAAAACACGAGTTTCTTCAGTGACGTCAGGACTCCTGTCTAGTAACGAGGGACACCTCAGGAATCTCTTCGAGGCTTGGCAGGGCCAAAGGGACGCTTCTCGAGCTGAGGCAGGGCACCCAAGGACCCTTTCCAGTAGCCACAGGGATTTTGGGATTCCTATCAGTATTCAAGAGGAGTCAGGCATCGTCACCTTTTGAAGCAATGAACTCCGCGTGCCTCTCGAGGTGTCAGCGGGATGTGAGGCATTCCGTCAAAATGAGGCAGGGACCTAGGGCTTTCTCTAAGGTCTCCACAGGGGATTCAGACATCCCTTCATGTTGTGAGATGAAAGACGAGCCTGTATTCAAGCCACTGCAAGGAAATCCGGCCTCCTTTCAAGTTAGGGCTTCTCGCTGTATATTCCCCTTGAGGCAGCAAACTCGGGGTCCCTCCCACATACCTATTGCTGAGAGAAGCCTCCTCCTGAGGTGCTTCTGGGAAGTTGGCATACGTCTTGAGCCTAAGCCAGGGAATCAGCTCGCATCTCGAGACGATTTGGGGTACACGGAGCATTCCTCGAGTTGCTGTGCTGAAGTTGGTGTTCCTCTAGACTTGGGACAGTGTTCTCGGGGCATCTCTGGAGTTGCCTGAAGGAAGTCGAGCCACCGGTCGTGTTGAATGGGGAACGGGGAATGGCTCTGGAGTCAATGCAGGGGAATCGGGCCTCATCTCGAGTTGATTTGGGGCACATGGAGCTGCTTTGCGTTGCTGGGGTGACCTCAGGGTCCGTCTAGACTGGTGACAGTGTTCTTGGGGACTGTCTCGAGATCCATTAAGCAAGTCGAAGCTCCTGACTTGTTCGAATGGGGTCACGGAATAGCTCTGCATGCACTGCAGGGGAATGGGGCCTCATCTCGCCTCTAGGGGGAAGTCTCATGGTTTTTCTCGAGTTGCGGCGGGGACCTGGGGTATGTTCTCGACTTACGGCGGGGATGGCCCTTCAAAACACGAGTTTCTTCAGTGACGTCAGGACTCCTGTCTAGTAACGAGGGACACCTCAGGAATCTCTTCGAGGCTTGGCAGGGCCAAAGGGACGCTTCTCGAGGTGAGGCAGGGCACCCAAGGACCCTTTCCAGTAGCCACAGGGATTTTGGGATTCCTATCAGTATTCAAGAGGAGTCAGGCATCGTCACCTTTTGAAGCAATGAACTCCGCGTGCCTCTCGAGGTGTCAGCGGGATGTGAGGCATTCCGTCAAAATGAGGCAGGGACCTAGGGCTTTCTCTAAGGTCTCCACAGGGGATTCAGACATCCCTTCATGTTGTGAGATGAAAGACGAGCCTGTATTCAAGCCACTGCAAGGAAATCCGGCCTCCTTTCAAGTTAGGGCTTCTCGCTGTATATTCCCCTTGAGGCAGCAAACTCGGGGTCCCTCCCACATACCTATTGCTGAGAGAAGCCTCCTCCTGAGGTGCTTCTGGGAAGTTGGCATACGTCTTGAGCCTAAGCCAGGGAATCAGCTCGCATCTCGAGACGATTTGGGGTACACGGAGCATTCCTCGAGTTGCTGTGCTGAAGTTGGTGTTCCTCTAGACTTGGGACAGTGTTCTCGGGGCATCTCTGGAGTTGCCTGAAGGAAGTCGAGCCACCGGTCGTGTTGAATGGGGAACGGGGAATGGCTCTGGAGTCAATGCAGGGGAATCGGGCCTCATCTCGAGTTGATTTGGGGCACATGGAGCTGCTTTGCGTTGCTGGGGTGACCTCAGGGTCCGTCTAGACTGGTGACAGTGTTCTTGGGGACTGTCTCGAGATCCATTAAGCAAGTCGAAGCTCCTGACTTGTTTGAATGGGATCACGGAATAGCTCTGCATGCACTGCAGGGGAATGGGGCCTCATCTCGCCTCTAGGGGGAAGTCTCATGGTTTTTCTCGAGTTGCGGCGGGGACCTGGGATATGTTCTCGACTTACGGCGGGGATGGCCCTTCAAAACACGAGTTTCTTCAGTGACGTCAGGACTCCTGTCTAGTAACGAGGGACACCTCAGGGATCTCTTCGAGGCTTGGCAGGGCCAAAGGGACGCTTCTCGAGCTGAGGCAGGGCACCCAAGGACCCTTTCCAGTAGCCACAGGGATTTTGGGATTCCTATCAGTATTCAAGAGGAGTCAGGCATCATCACCTTTTGAAGCAATGAACTCCGCGTGCCTCTCGAGGTGTCAGCGGGATGTGAGGCATTCCGTCAAAATGAGGCAGGGACCTAGGGCTTTCTCTAAGGTCTCCACAGGGGATTCAGACATCCCTTCATGTTGTGAGATGAAAGACGAGCCTGTATTCAAGCCACTGCAAGGAAATCCGGCCTCCTTTCAAGTTAGGGCTTCTCGCTGTATATTCCCCTTGAGGCAGCAAACTCGGGGTCCCTCCCACATACCTATTGCTGAGAGAAGCCCCCTCCTGAGGTGCTTCTGGGAAGTTGGCATACGTCTTGAGCCTAAGCCAGGGAATCAGCTCGCATCTCGAGACGATTTGGGGTACACGGAGCATTCCTCGAGTTGCTGTGCTGAAGTTGGTGTTCCTCTAGACTTGGGACAGTGTTCTCGGGGCATCTCTGGAGTTGCCTGAAGGAAGTCGAGCCACCGGTCGTGTTGAATGGGGAACGGGGAATGGCTCTGGAGTCAATGCAGGGGAATCGGGCCTCATCTCGAGTTGATTTGGGGCACATGGAGCTGCTTTGCGTTGCTGGGGTGACCTCAGGGTCCGTCTAGACTGGTGACAGTGTTCTTGGGGACTGTCTCGAGATCCATTAAGCAAGTCGAAGCTCCTGACTTGTTTGAATGGGATCACGGAATAGCTCTGCATGCACTGCAGGGGAATGGGGCCTCATCTCGCCTCTAGGGGGAAGTCTCATGGTTTTTCTCGAGTTGCGGCGGGGACCTGGGGTATGTTCTCGACTTACGGCGGGGATGGCCCTTCAAAACACGAGTTTCTTCAGTGACGTCAGGACTCCTGTCTAGTAACGAGGGACACCTCAGGAATCTCTTCGAGGCTTGGCAGGGCCAAAGGGACGCTTCTCGAGGTGAGGCAGGGCACCCAAGGACCCTTTCCAGTAGCCACAGGGATTTTGGGATTCCTATCAGTATTCAAGAGGAGTCAGGCATCGTCACCTTTTGAAGCAATGAACTCCGCGTGCCTCTCGAGGTGTCAGCGGGATGTGAGGCATTCCGTCAAAATGAGGCAGGGACCTAGGGCTTTCTCTAAGGTCTCCACAGGGGATTCAGACATCCCTTCATGTTGTGAGATGAAAGACGAGCCTGTATTCAAGCCACTGCAAGGAAATCCGGCCTCCTTTCAAGTTAGGGCTTCTCGCTGTATATTCCCCTTGAGGCAGCAAACTCGGGGTCCCTCCCACATACCTATTGCTGAGAGAAGCCTCCTCCTGAGGTGCTTCTGGGAAGTTGGCATACGTCTTGAGCCTAAGCCAGGGAATCAGCTCGCATCTCGAGACGATTTGGGGTACACGGAGCATTCCTCGAGTTGCTGTGCTGAAGTTGGTGTTCCTCTAGACTTGGGACAGTGTTCTCGGGGCATCTCTGGAGTTGCCTGAAGGAAGTCGAGCCACCGGTCGTGTTGAATGGGGAACGGGGAATGGCTCTGGAGTCAATGCAGGGGAATCGGGCCTCATCTCGAGTTGATTTGGGGCACATGGAGCTGCTTTGCGTTGCTGGGGTGACCTCAGGGTCCGTCTAGACTGGTGACAGTGTTCTTGGGGACTGTCTCGAGATCCATTAAGCAAGTCGAAGCTCCTGACTTGTTCGAATGGGGTCACGGAATAGCTCTGCATGCACTGCAGGGGAATGGGGCCTCATCTCGCCTCTAGGGGGAAGTCTCATGGTTTTTCTCGAGTTGCGGCGGGGACCTGGGGTATGTTCTCGACTTACGGCGGGGATGGCCCTTCAAAACACGAGTTTCTTCAGTGACGTCAGGACTCCTGTCTAGTAACGAGGGACACCTCAGGAATCTCTTCGAGGCTTGGCAGGGCCAAAGGGACGCTTCTCGAGGTGAGGCAGGGCACCCAAGGACCCTTTCCAGTAGCCACAGGGATTTTGGGATTCCTATCAGTATTCAAGAGGAGTCAGGCATCGTCACCTTTTGAAGCAATGAACTCCGCGTGCCTCTCGAGGTGTCAGCGGGATGTGAGGCATTCCGTCAAAATGAGGCAGGGACCTAGGGCTTTCTCTAAGGTCTCCACAGGGGATTCAGACATCCCTTCATGTTGTGAGATGAAAGACGAGCCTGTATTCAAGCCACTGCAAGGAAATCCGGCCTCCTTTCAAGTTAGGGCTTCTCGCTGTATATTCCCCTTGAGGCAGCAAACTCGGGGTCCCTCCCACATACCTATTGCTGAGAGAAGCCTCCTCCTGAGGTGCTTCTGGGAAGTTGGCATACGTCTTGAGCCTAAGCCAGGGAATCAGCTCGCATCTCGAGACGATTTGGGGTACACGGAGCATTCCTCGAGTTGCTGTGCTGAAGTTGGTGTTCCTCTAGACTTGGGACAGTGTTCTCGGGGCATCTCTGGAGTTGCCTGAAGGAAGTCGAGCCACCGGTCGTGTTGAATGGGGAACGGGGAATGGCTCTGGAGTCAATGCAGGGGAATCGGGCCTCATCTCGAGTTGATTTGGGGCACATGGAGCTGCTTTGCGTTGCTGGGGTGACCTCAGGGTCCGTCTAGACTGGTGACAGTGTTCTTGGGGACTGTCTCGAGATCCATTAAGCAAGTCGAAGCTCCTGACTTGTTTGAATGGGATCACGGAATAGCTCTGCATGCACTGCAGGGGAATGGAGCCTCATCTCGCCTCTAGGGGGAAGTCTCATGGTTTTTCTCGAGTTGCGGCGGGGACCTGGGGTATGTTCTCGACTTACGGCGGGGATGGCCCTTCAAAACACGAGTTTCTTCAGTGACGTCAGGACTCCTGTCTAGTAACGAGGGACACCTCAGGAATCTCTTCGAGGCTTGGCAGGGCCAAAGGGACGCTTCTCGAGGTGAGGCAGGGCACCCAAGGACCCTTTCCAGTAGCCACAGGGATTTTGGGATTCCTATCAGTATTCAAGAGGAGTCAGGCATCGTCACCTTTTGAAGCAATGAACTCCGCGTGCCTCTCGAGGTGTCAGCGGGATGTGAGGCATTCCGTCAAAATGAGGCAGGGACATAGGGCTTTCTCTCAGGTCTCCACAGGGGATTCAGACATCCCTTCATGTTGTGAGATGAAAGACGAGCCTGTATTCAAGCCACTGCAAGGAAATCCGGCCTCCTTTCAAGTTAGGGCTTCTCGCTGTATATTCCCCTTGAGGCAGCAAACTCGGGGTCCCTCCCACATACCTATTGCTGAGAGAAGCCTCCTCCTGAGGTGCTTCTGGGAAGTTGGCATACGTTTTGAGCCTAAGCCAGGGAATCAGCTCGCATCTCGAGACGATTTGGGGTACACGGAGCATTCCTCGAGTTGCTGTGCTGAAGTTGGTGTTCCTCTAGACTTGGGACAGTGTTCTCGGGGCATCTCTGGAGTTGCCTGAAGGAAGTCGAGCCACCGGTCGTGTTGAATGGGGAACGGGGAATGGCTCTGGAGTCAATGCAGGGGAATCGGGCCTCATCTCGAGTTGATTTGGGGCACATGGAGCTGCTTTGCGTTGCTGGGGTGACCTCAGGGTCCGTCTAGACTGGTGACAGTGTTCTTGGGGACTGTCTCGAGATCCATTAAGCAAGTCGAAGCTCCTGACTTGTTCGAATGGGGTCACGGAATAGCTCTGCATGCACTGCAGGGGAATGGGGCCTCATCTCGCCTCTAGGGGGAAGTCTCATGGTTTTTCTCGAGTTGCGGCGGGGACCTGGGGTATGTTCTCGACTTACGGCGGGGATGGCCCTTCAAAACACGAGTTTCTTCAGTGACGTCAGGACTCCTGTCTAGTAACGAGGGACACCTCAGGAATCTCTTCGAGGCTTGGCAGGGCCAAAGGGACGCTTCTCGAGGTGAGGCAGGGCACCCAAGGACCCTTTCCAGTAGCCACAGGGATTTTGGGATTCCTATCAGTATTCAAGAGGAGTCAGGCATCGTCACCTTTTGAAGCAATGAACTCCGCGTTCCTCTCGAGGTGTCAGCGGGATGTGAGGCATTCCGTCAAAATGAGGCAGGGACCTAGGGCTTTCTCTAAGTTCTCCACAGGGGATTCAGACATCCCTTCATGTTGTGAGATGAAAGACGAGCCTGTATTCAAGCCACTGCAAGGAAATCCGGCCTCCTTTCAAGTTAGGGCTTCTCGCTGTATATTCCCCTTGAGGCAGCAAACTCGGGGTCCCTCCCACATACCTATTGCTGAGAGAAGCCCCCTCCTGAGGTGCTTCTGGGAAGTTGGCATACGTCTTGAGCCTAAGCCAGGGAATCAGCTCGCATCTCGAGACGATTTGGGGTACACGGAGCATTCCTCGAGTTGCTGTGCTGAAGTTGGTGTTCCTCTAGACTTGGGACAGTGTTCTCGGGGCATCTCTGGAGTTGCCTGAAGGAAGTCGAGCCACCGGTCGTGTTGAATGGGGAACGGGGAATGGCTCTGGAGTCAATGCAGGGGAATCGGGCCTCATCTCGAGTTGATTTGGGGCACATGGAGCTGCTTTGCATTGCTGGGGTGACCTCAGGGTCCGTCTAGACTGGTGACAGTGTTCTTGGGGACTGTCTCGAGATCCATTAAGCAAGTCGAAGCTCCTGACTTGTTTGAATGGGGTCACGGAATAGCTCTGCATGCACTGCAGGGGAATGGGGCCTCATCTCGCCTCTAGGGGGAAGTCTCATGGTTTTTCTCGAGTTGCGGCGGGGACCTGGGGTATGTTCTCGACTTACGGCGGGGTTGGCCCTTCAAAACACGAGTTTCTTCAGTGACGTCAGGACTCTTGTCTAGTAACGAGGGACACCTCAGGAATCTCTTCGAGGCTTGGCAGGGCCAAAGGGACGCTTCTCGAGGTGAGGCAGGGCACCCAAGGACCCTTTCCAGTAACCACAGGGATTTTGGGATTCCTATCAGTATTCAAGAGGAGTCAGGCATCGTCACCTTTTGAAGCAATGAACTCCGCGTGCCTCTCGAGGTGTCAGCGGGATGTGAGGCATTCCGTCAAAATGAGGCAGGGACCTAGGGCTTTCTCTAAGTTCTCCACAGGGGATTCAGACATCCCTTCATGTTGTGAGATGAAAGACGAGCCTGTATTCAAGCCACTGCAAGGAAATCCGGCCTCCTTTCAAGTTAGGGCTTCTCGCTGTATATTCCCCTTGAGGCAGCAAACTCGGGGTCCCTCCCACATACCTATTGCTGAGAGAAGCCCCCTCCTGAGGTGCTTCTGGGAAGTTGGCATACGTCTTGAGCCTAAGCCAGGGAATCAGCTCGCATCTCGAGACGATTTGGGGTACACGGAGCATTCCTCGAGTTGCTGTGCTGAAGTTGGTGTTCCTCTAGACTTGGGACAGTGTTCTCGGGGCATCTCTGGAGTTGCCTGAAGGAAGTCGAGCCACCGGTCGTGTTGAATGGGGAACGGGGAATGGCTCTGGAGTCAGTGGAGGGGAATCGGGCCTCATCTCGAGTTGATTTGGGGCACATGGAGCTGCTTTGCGTTGCTGGGGTTACCTCAGGGTCCGTCTAGACTGGTGACAGTGTTCTTGGGGACTGTCTCGAGATCCATTAAGCAAGTCGAAGCTCCTGACTTGTTTGAATGGGGTCACGGAATAGCTCTGCATGCACTGCAGGGGAATGGGGCCTCATCTCGCCTCTAGGGGGAAGTCTCATGGTTTTTCTCGAGTTGCGGCGGGGACCTGGGGTATGTTCTCGACTTACGGCGGGGATGGCCCTTCAAAACACGAGTTTCTTCAGTGACGTCAGGACTCCTGTCTAGTAACGAGGGACACCTCAGGAATCTCTTCGAGGCTTGGCAGGGCCAAAGGGACGCTTCTCGAGGTGAGGCAGGGCACCCAAGGACCCTTTCCAGTAGCCACAGGGATTTTGGGATTCCTATCAGTATTCAAGAGGAGTCAGGCATCGTCACCTTTTGAAGCAATGAACTCCGCGTGCCTCTCGAGGTGTCAGCGGGATGTGAGGCATTCCGTCAAAATGAGGCAGGGACCTAGGGCTTTCTCTAAGGTCTCCACAGGGGATTCAGACATCCCTTCATGTTGTGAGATGAAAGACGAGCCTGTATTCAAGCAACTGCAAGGAAATCCGGCCTCCTTTCAAGTTAGGGCTTCTCGCTGTATATTCCCCTTGAGGCAGCAAACTCGGGGTCCCTCCCACATACCTATTGCTGAGAGAAGCCCCCTCCTGAGGTGCTTCTGGGAAGTTGGCATACGTCTTGAGCCTAAGCCAGGGAATCAGCTCGCATCTCGAGACGATTTGGGGTACACGGAGCATTCCTCGAGTTGCTGTGCTGAAGTTGGTGTTCCTCTAGACTTGGGACAGTGTTCTCGGGGCATCTCTGGAGTTGCCTGAAGGAAGTCGAGCCACCGGTCGTGTTGAATGGGGAACGGGGAATGGCACTGGAGTCAGTGCAGGGGAATCGGGCCTCATCTCGAGTTGATTTGGGGCACATGGAGCTGCTTTGCGTTGCTGGGGTGACCTCAGGGTCCGTCTAGACTGGTGACAGTGTTCTTGGGGACTGTCTCGAGATCCATTAAGCAAGTCGAAGCTCCTGACTTGTTTGAATGGGGTCACGGAATAGCTCTGCATGCACTGCAGGGGAATGGGGCCTCATCTCGCCTCTAGGGGGAAGTCTCATGGTTTTTCTCGAGTTGCGGCGGGGACCTGGGGTATGTTCTCGACTTACGGCGGGGATGGCCCTTCAAAACACGAGTTTCTTCAGTGACGTCAGGACTCCTGTCTAGTAACGAGGGACACCTCAGGGATCTCTTCGAGGCTTGGCAGGGCCAAAGGGACGCTTCTCGAGCTGAGGCAGGGCACCCAAGGACCCTTTCCAGTAGCCACAGGGATTTTGGGATTCCTATCAGTATTCAAGAGGAGTCAGGCATCGTCACCTTTTGAAGCAATGAACTCCGCGTGCCTCTCGAGGTGTCAGCGGGATGTGAGGCATTCCGTCAAAATGAGGCAGGGACCTAGGGCTTTCTCTAAGGTCTCCACAGGGGATTCAGACATCCCTTCATGTTGTGAGATGAAAGACGAGCCTGTATTCAAGCCACTGCAAGGAAATCCGGCCTCCTTTCAAGTTAGGGCTTCTCGCTGTATATTCCCCTTGAGGCAGCAAACTCGGGGTCCCTCCCACATACCTATTGCTGAGAGAAGCCCCCTCCTGAGGTGCTTCTGGGAAGTTGGCATACGTCTTGAGCCTAAGCCAGGGAATCAGCTCGCATCTCGAGACGATTTGGGGTACACGGAGCATTCCTCGAGTTGCTCTGCTGTAGTTGGTGTTCCTCTAGACTTGGGACAGTGTTCTCGGGGCATCTCTGGAGTTGCCTGAAGGAAGTCGAGCCACCGGTCGTGTTGAATGGGGAACGGGGAATGGCTCTGGAGTCAATGCAGGGGAATCGGGCCTCATCTCGAGTTGATTTGGGGCACATGGAGCTGCTTTGCGTTGCTGGGGTGACCTCAGGGTCCGTCTAGACTGGTGACAGTGTTCTTGGGGACTGTCTCGAGATCCATTAAGCAAGTCGAAGCTCCTGACTTGTTTGAATGGGGTCACGGAATAGCTCTGCATGCACTGCAGGGGAATGGGGCCTCATCTCGCCTCTAGGGGGAAGTCTCATGGTTTTTCTCGAGTTGCGGCGGGGACCTGGGGTATGTTCTCGACTTACGGCGGGGATGGCCCTTCAAAACACGAGTTTCTTCAGTGACGTCAGGACTCCTGTCTAGTAACGAGGGACACCTCAGGAATCTCTTCGAGGCTTGGCAGGGCCAAAGGGACGCTTCTCGAGGTGAGGCAGGGCACCCAAGGACCCTTTCCAGTAGCCACAGGGATTTTGGGATTCCTATCAGTATTCAAGAGGAGTCAGGCATCGTCACCTTTTGAAGCAATGAACTCCGCGTGCCTCTCGAGGTGTCAGCGGGATGTGAGGCATTCCGTCAAAATGAGGCAGGGACCTAGGGCTTTCTCTAAGGTCTCCACAGGGGATTCAGACATCCCTTCATGTTGTGAGATGAAAGACGAGCCTGTATTCAAGCCACTGCAAGGAAATCCGGCCTCCTTTCAAGTTAGGGCTTCTCGCTGTATATTCCCCTTGAGGCAGCAAACTCGGGGTCCCTCCCACATACCTATTGCTGAGAGAAGCCTCCTCCTGAGGTGCTTCTGGGAAGTTGGCATACGTCTTGAGCCTAAGCCAGGGAATCAGCTCGCATCTCGAGACGATTTGGGGTACACGGAGCATTCCTCGAGTTGCTGTGCTGAAGTTGGTGTTCCTCTAGACTTGGGACAGTGTTCTCGGGGCATCTCTGGAGTTGCCTGAAGGAAGTCGAGCCACCGGTCGTGTTGAATGGGGAACGGGGAATGGCTCTGGAGTCAATGCAGGGGAATCGGGCCTCATCTCGAGTTGATTTGGGGCACATGGAGCTGCTTTGCGTTGCTGGGGTGACCTCAGGGTCCGTCTAGACTGGTGACAGTGTTCTTGGGGACTGTCTCGAGATCCATTAAGCAAGTCGAAGCTCCTGACTTGTTTGAATGGGATCACGGAATAGCTCTGCATGCACTGCAGGGGAATGGGGCCTCATCTCGCCTCTAGGGGGAAGTCTCATGGTTTTTCTCGAGTTGCGGCGGGGACCTGGGATATGTTCTCGACTTACGGCGGGGATGGCCCTTCAAAACACGAGTTTCTTCAGTGACGTCAGGACTCCTGTCTAGTAACGAGGGACACCTCAGGGATCTCTTCGAGGCTTGGCAGGGCCAAAGGGACGCTTCTCGAGCTGAGGCAGGGCACCCAAGGACCCTTTCCAGTAGCCAGAGGGATTTTGGGATTCCTATCAGTATTCAAGAGGAGTCAGGCATCGTCACCTTTTGAAGCAATGAACTCCGCGTGCCTCTCGAGGTGTCAGCGGGATGTGAGGCATTCCGTCAAAATGAGGCAGGGACCTAGGGCTTTCTCTAAGGTCTCCACAGGGGATTCAGACATCCCTTCATGTTGTGAGATGAAAGACGAGCCTGTATTCAAGCCACTGCAAGGAAATCCGGCCTCCTTTCAAGTTAGGGCTTCTCGCTGTATATTCCCCTTGAGGCAGCAAACTCGGGGTCCCTCCCACATACCTATTGCTGAGAGAAGCCCCCTCCTGAGGTGCTTCTGGGAAGTTGGCATACGTCTTGAGCCTAAGCCAGGGAATCAGCTCGCATCTCGAGACGATTTGGGGTACACGGAGCATTCCTCGAGTTGCTGTGCTGAAGTTGGTGTTCCTCTAGACTTGGGACAGTGTTCTCGGGGCATCTCTGGAGTTGCCTGAAGGAAGTCGAGCCACCGGTCGTGTTGAATGGGGAACGGGGAATGGCTCTGGAGTCAATGCAGGGGAATCGGGCCTCATCTCGAGTTGATTTGGGGCACATGGAGCTGCTTTGCGTTGCTGGGGTGACCTCAGGGTCCGTCTAGACTGGTGACAGTGTTCTTGGGGACTGTCTCGAGATCCATTAAGCAAGTCGAAGCTCCTGACTTGTTCGAATGGGGTCACGGAATAGCTCTGCATGCACTGCAGGGGAATGGGGCCTCATCTCGCCTCTAGGGGGAAGTCTCATGGTTTTTCTCGAGTTGCGGCGGGGACCTGGGGTATGTTCTCGACTTACGGCGGGGATGGCCCTTCAAAACACGAGTTTCTTCAGTGACGTCAGGACTCCTGTCTAGTAACGAGGGACACCTCAGGAATCTCTTCGAGGCTTGGCAGGGCCAAAGGGACGCTTCTCGAGGTGAGGCAGGGCACCCAAGGACCCTTTCCAGTAGCCACAGGGATTTTGGGATTCCTATCAGTATTCAAGAGGAGTCAGGCATCGTCACCTTTTGAAGCAATGAACTCCGCGTGCCTCTCGAGGTGTCAGCGGGATGTGAGGCATTCCGTCAAAATGAGGCAGGGACCTAGGGCTTTCTCTAAGGTCTCCACAGGGGATTCAGACATCCCTTCATGTTGTGAGATGAAAGACGAGCCTGTATTCAAGCCACTGCAAGGAAATCCGGCCTCCTTTCAAGTTAGGGCTTCTCGCTGTATATTCCCCTTGAGGCAGCAAACTCGGGGTCCCTCCCACATACCTATTGCTGAGAGAAGCCTCCTCCTGAGGTGCTTCTGGGAAGTTGGCATACGTCTTGAGCCTAAGCCAGGGAATCAGCTCGCATCTCGAGACGATTTGGGGTACACGGAGCATTCCTCGAGTTGCTGGGCTGAAGTTGGTGTTCCTCTAGACTTGGGACAGTGTTCTCGGGGCATCTCTGGAGTTGCCTGAAGGAAGTCGAGCCACCGGTCGTGTTGAATGGGGAACGGGGAATGGCTCTGGAGTCAGTGCAGGGGAATCGGGCCTCATCTCGAGTTGATTTGGGGCACATGGAGCTGCTTTGCGTTGCTGGGGTGACCTCAGGGTCCGTCTAGACTGGTGACAGTGTTCTTGGGGACTGTCTCGAGATCCATTAAGCAAGTCGAAGCTCCTGACTTGTTTGAATGGGGTCACGGAATAGCTCTGCATGCACTGCAGGGGAATGGGGCCTCATCTCGCCTCTAGGGGGAAGTCTCATGGTTTTTCTCGAGTTGCGGCGGGGACCTGGGGTATGTTCTCGACTTACGGCGGGGATGGCCCTTCAAAACACGAGTTTCTTCAGTGACGTCAGGACTCCTGTCTAGTAACGAGGGACACCTCAGGAATCTCTTCGAGGCTTGGCAGGGCCAAAGGGACGCTTCTCGAGGTGAGGCAGGGCACCCAAGGACCCTTTCCAGTAGCCACAGGGATTTTGGGATTCCTATCAGTATTCAAGAGGAGTCAGGCATCGTCACCTTTTGAAGCAATGAACTCCGCGTGCCTCTCGAGGTGTCAGCGGGATGTGAGGCATTCCGTCAAAATGAGGCAGGGACCTAGGGCTTTCTCTAAGGTCTCCACAGGGGATTCAGACATCCCTTCATGTTGTGAGATGAAAGACGAGCCTGTATTCAAGCCACTGCAAGGAAATCCGGCCTCCTTTCAAGTTAGGGCTTCTCGCTGTATATTCCCCTTGAGGCAGCAAACTCGGGGTCCCTCCCACATACCTATTGCTGAGAGAAGCCTCCTCCTGAGGTGCTTCTGGGAAGTTGGCATACGTCTTGAGCCTAAGCCAGGGAATCAGCTCGCATCTCGAGACGATTTGGGGTACACGGAGCATTCCTCGAGTTGCTGGGCTGAAGTTGGTGTTCCTCTAGACTTGGGACAGTGTTCTCGGGGCATCTCTGGAGTTGCCTGAAGGAAGTCGAGCCACCGGTCGTGTTGAATGGGGAACGGGGAATGGCTCTGGAGTCAATGCAGGGGAATCGGGCCTCATCTCGAGTTGATTTGGGGCACATGGAGCTGCTTTGCGTTGCTGGGGTGACCTCAGGGTCCGTCTAGACTGGTGACAGTGTTCTTGGGGACTGTCTCGAGATCCATTAAGCAAGTCGAAGCTCCTGACTTGTTCGAATGGGGTCACGGAATAGCTCTGCATGCACTGCAGGGGAATGGGGCCTCATCTCGCCTCTAGGGGGAAGTCTCATGGTTTTTCTCGAGTTGCGGCGGGGACCTGGGGTATGTTCTCGACTTACGGCGGGGATGGCCCTTCAAAACACGAGTTTCTTCAGTGACGTCAGGACTCCTGTCTAGTAACGAGGGACACCTCAGGAATCTCTTCGAGGCTTGGCAGGGCCAAAGGGACGCTTCTCGAGGTGAGGCAGGGCACCCAAGGACCCTTTCCAGTAGCCACAGGGATTTTGGGATTCCTATCAGTATTCAAGAGGAGTCAGGCATCGTCACCTTTTGAAGCAATGAACTCCGCGTGCCTCTCGAGGTGTCAGCGGGATGTGAGGCATTCCGTCAAAATGAGGCAGGGACCTAGGGCTTTCTCTAAGGTCTCCACAGGGGATTCAGACATCCCTTCATGTTGTGAGATGAAAGACGAGCCTGTATTCAAGCCACTGCAAGGAAATCCGGCCTCCTTTCAAGTTAGGGCTTCTCGCTGTATATTCCCCTTGAGGCAGCAAACTCGGGGTCCCTCCCACATACCTATTGCTGAGAGAAGCCTCCTCCTGAGGTGCTTCTGGGAAGTTGGCATACGTCTTGAGCCTAAGCCAGGAAATCAGCTCGCATCTCGAGACGATTTGGGGTACACGGAGCATTCCTCGAGTTGCTGGGCTGAAGTTGGTGTTCCTCTAGACTTGGGACAGTGTTCTCGGGGCATCTCTGGAGTTGCCTGAAGGAAGTCGAGCCACCGGTCGTGTTGAATGGGGAACGGGGAATGGCTCTGGAGTCAATGCAGGGGAATCGGGCCTCATCTCGAGTTGATTTGGGGCACATGGAGCTGCTTTGCGTTGCTGGGGTGACCTCAGGGTCCGTCTAGACTGGTGACAGTGTTCTTGGGGACTGTCTCGAGATCCATTAAGCAAGTCGAAGCTCCTGACTTGTTCGAATGGGGTCACGGAATAGCTCTGCATGCACTGCAGGGGAATGGGGCCTCATCTCGCCTCTAGGGGGAAGTCTCATGGTTTTTCTCGAGTTGCGGCGGGGACCTGGGGTATGTTCTCGACTTACGGCGGGGATGGCCCTTCAAAACACGAGTTTCTTCAGTGACGTCAGGACTCCTGTCTAGTAACGAGGGACACCTCAGGAATCTCTTCGAGGCTTGGCAGGGCCAAAGGGACGCTTCTCGAGGTGAGGCAGGGCACCCAAGGACCCTTTCCAGTAGCCACAGGGATTTTGGGATTCCTATCAGTATTCAAGAGGAGTCAGGCATCGTCACCTTTTGAAGCAATGAACTCCGCGTGCCTCTCGAGGTGTCAGCGGGATGTGAGGCATTCCGTCAAAATGAGGCAGGGACCTAGGGCTTTCTCTAAGGTCTCCACAGGGGATTCAGACATCCCTTCATGTTGTGAGATGAAAGACGAGCCTGTATTCAAGCCACTGCAAGGAAATCCGGCCTCCTTTCAAGTTAGGGCTTCTCGCTGTATATTCCCCTTGAGGCAGCAAACTCGGGGTCCCTCCCACATACCTATTGCTGAGAGAAGCCTCCTCCTGAGGTGCTTCTGGGAAGTTGGCATACGTCTTGAGCCTAAGCCAGGGAATCAGCTCGCATCTCGAGACGATTTGGGGTACACGGAGCATTCCTCGAGTTGCTGGGCTGAAGTTGGTGTTCCTCTAGACTTGGGACAGTGTTCTCGGGGCATCTCTGGAGTTGCCTGAAGGAAGTCGAGCCACCGGTCATGTTGAATGGGGAACGGGGAATGGCTCTGGAGTCAATGCAGGGGAATCGGGCCTCATCTCGAGTTGATTTGGGGCACATGGAGCTGCTTTGCGTTGCTGGGGTGACCTCAGGGTCCGTCTAGACTGGTGACAGTGTTCTTGGGGACTGTCTCGAGATCCATTAAGCAAGTCGAAGCTCCTGACTTGTTTGAATGGGATCACGGAATAGCTCTGCATGCACTGCAGGGGAATGGGGCCTCATCTCGCCTCTAGGGGGAAGTCTCATGGTTTTTCTCGAGTTGCGGCGGGGACCTGGGGTATGTTCTCGACTTACGGCGGGGATGGCCCTTCAAAACACGAGTTTCTTCAGTGACGTCAGGACTCCTGTCTAGTAACGAGGGACACCTCAGGAATCTCTTCGAGGCTTGGCAGGGCCAAAGGGACGCTTCTCGAGCTGAGGCAGGGCACCCAAGGACCCTTTCCAGTAGCCACAGGGATTTTGGGATTCCTATCAGTATTCAAGAGGAGTCAGGCATCGTCACCTTTTGAAGCAATGAACTCCGCGTGCCTCTCGAGGTGTCAGCGGGATGTGAGGCATTCCGTCAAAATGAGGCAGGGACCTAGGGCTTTCTCTAAGGTCTCCACAGGGGATTCAGACATCCCTTCATGTTGTGAGATGAAAGACGAGCCTGTATTCAAGCCACTGCAAGGAAATCCGGCCTCCTTTCAAGTTAGGGCTTCTCGCTGTATATTCCCCTTGAGGCAGCAAACTCGGGGTCCCTCCCACATACCTATTGCTGAGAGAAGCCTCCTCCTGAGGTGCTTCTGGGAAGTTGGCATACGTCTTGAGCCTAAGCCAGGGAATCAGCTCGCATCTCGAGACGATTTGGGGTACACGGAGCATTCCTCGAGTTGCTGGGCTGAAGTTGGTGTTCCTCTAGACTTGGGACAGTGTTCTCGGGGCATCTCTGGAGTTGCCTGAAGGAAGTCGAGCCACCGGTCGTGTTGAATGGGGAACGGGGAATGGCTCTGGAGTCAATGCAGGGGAATCGGGCCTCATCTCGAGTTGATTTGGGGCACATGGAGCTGCTTTGCGTTGCTGGGGTGACCTCAGGGTCCGTCTAGACTGGTGACAGTGTTCTTGGGGACTGTCTCGAGATCCATTAAGCAAGTCGAAGCTCCTGACTTGTTTGAATGGGGTCACGGAATAGCTCTGCATGCACTGCAGGGGAATGGGGCCTCATCTCGCCTCTAGGGGGAAGTCTCATGGTTTTTCTCGAGTTGCGGCGGGGACCTGGGGTATGTTCTCGACTTACGGCGGGGATGGCCCTTCAAAACACGAGTTTCTTCAGTGACGTCAGGACTCCTGTCTAGTAACGAGGGACACCTCAGGAATCTCTTCGAGGCTTGGCAGGGCCAAAGGGACGCTTCTCGAGGTGAGGCAGGGCACCCAAGGACCCTTTCCAGTAGCCACAGGGATTTTGGGATTCCTATCAGTATTCAAGAGGAGTCAGGCATCGTCACCTTTTGAAGCAATGAACTCCGCGTGCCTCTCGAGGTGTCAGCGGGATGTGAGGCATTCCGTCAAAATGAGGCAGGGACCTAGGGCTTTCTCTAAGGTCTCCACAGGGGATTCAGACATCCCTTCATGTTGTGAGATGAAAGACGAGCCTGTATTCAAGCCACTGCAAGGAAATCCGGCCTCCTTTCAAGTTAGGGCTTCTCGCTGTATATTCCCCTTGAGGCAGCAAACTCGGGGTCCCTCCCACATACCTATTGCTGAGAGAAGCCTCCTCCTGAGGTGCTTCTGGGAAGTTGGCATACGTCTTGAGCCTAAGCCAGGGAATCAGCTCGCATCTCGAGACGATTTGGGGTACACGGAGCATTCCTCGAGTTGCTGGGCTGAAGTTGGTGTTCCTCTAGACTTGGGACAGTGTTCTCGGGGCATCTCTGGAGTTGCCTGAAGGAAGTCGAGCCACCGGTCGTGTTGAATGGGGAACGGGGAATGGCTCTGGAGTCAATGCAGGGGAATCGGGCCTCATCTCGAGTTGATTTGGGGCACATGGAGCTGCTTTGCGTTGCTGGGGTGACCTCAGGGTCCGTCTAGACTGGTGACAGTGTTCTTGGGGACTGTCTCGAGATCCATTAAGCAAGTCGAAGCTCCTGACTTGTTTGAATGGGATCACGGAATAGCTCTGCATGCACTGCAGGGGAATGGGGCCTCATCTCGCCTCTAGGGGGAAGTCTCATGGTTTTTCTCGAGTTGCGGCGGGGACCTGGGGTATGTTCTCGACTTACGGCGGGGATGGCCCTTCAAAACACGAGTTTCTTCAGTGACGTCAGGACTCCTGTCTAGTAACGAGGGACACCTCAGGAATCTCTTCGAGGCTTGGCAGGGCCAAAGGGACGCTTCTCGAGGTGAGGCAGGGCACCCAAGGACCCTTTCCAGTAGCCACAGGGATTTTGGGATTCCTATCAGTATTCAAGAGGAGTCAGGCATCGTCACCTTTTGAAGCAATGAACTCCGCGTGCCTCTCGAGGTGTCAGCGGGATGTGAGGCATTCCGTCAAAATGAGGCAGGGACCTAGGGCTTTCTCTAAGGTCTCCACAGGGGATTCAGACATCCCTTCATGTTGTGAGATGAAAGACGAGCCTGTATTCAAGCCACTGCAAGGAAATCCGGCCTCCTTTCAAGTTAGGGCTTCTCGCTGTATATTCCCCTTGAGGCAGCAAACTCGGGGTCCCTCCCACATACCTATTGCTGAGAGAAGCCTCCTCCTGAGGTGCTTCTGGGAAGTTGGCATACGTCTTGAGCCTAAGCCAGGGAATCAGCTCGCATCTCGAGACGATTTGGGGTACACGGAGCATTCCTCGAGTTGCTGGGCTGAAGTTGGTGTTCCTCTAGACTTGGGACAGTGTTCTCGGGGCATCTCTGGAGTTGCCTGAAGGAAGTCGAGCCACCGGTCGTGTTGAATGGGGAACGGGGAATGGCTCTGGAGTCAATGCAGGGGAATCGGGCCTCATCTCGAGTTGATTTGGGGCACATGGAGCTGCTTTGCGTTGCTGGGGTGACCTCAGGGTCCGTCTAGACTGGTGACAGTGTTCTTGGGGACTGTCTCGAGATCCATTAAGCAAGTCGAAGCTCCTGACTTGTTCGAATGGGGTCACGGAATAGCTCTGCATGCACTGCAGGGGAATGGGGCCTCATCTCGCCTCTAGGGGGAAGTCTCATGGTTTTTCTCGAGTTGCGGCGGGGACCTGGGGTATGTTCTCGACTTACGGCGGGGATGGCCCTTCAAAACACGAGTTTCTTCAGTGACGTCAGGACTCCTGTCTAGTAACGAGGGACACCTCAGGAATCTCTTCGAGGCTTGGCAGGGCCAAAGGGACGCTTCTCGAGGTGAGGCAGGGCACCCAAGGACCCTTTCCAGTAGCCACAGGGATTTTGGGATTCCTATCAGTATTCAAGAGGAGTCAGGCATCGTCACCTTTTGAAGCAATGAACTCCGCGTGCCTCTCGAGGTGTCAGCGGGATGTGAGGCATTCCGTCAAAATGAGGCAGGGACCTAGGGCTTTCTCTAAGGTCTCCACAGGGGATTCAGACATCCCTTCATGTTGTGAGATGAAAGACGAGCCTGTATTCAAGCCACTGCAAGGAAATCCGGCCTCCTTTCAAGTTAGGGCTTCTCGCTGTATATTCCCCTTGAGGCAGCAAACTCGGGGTCCCTCCCACATACCTATTGCTGAGAGAAGCCTCCTCCTGAGGTGCTTCTGGGAAGTTGGCATACGTCTTGAGCCTAAGCCAGGGAATCAGCTCGCATCTCGAGACGATTTGGGGTACACGGAGCATTCCTCGAGTTGCTGGGCTGAAGTTGGTGTTCCTCTAGACTTGGGACAGTGTTCTCGGGGCATCTCTGGAGTTGCCTGAAGGAAGTCGAGCCACCGGTCGTGTTGAATGGGGAACGGGGAATGGCTCTGGAGTCAATGCAGGGGAATCGGGCCTCATCTCGAGTTGATTTGGGGCACATGGAGCTGCTTTGCGTTGCTGGGGTGACCTCAGGGTCCGTCTAGACTGGTGACAGTGTTCTTGGGGACTGTCTCGAGATCCATTAAGCAAGTCGAAGCTCCTGACTTGTTCGAATGGGGTCACGGAATAGCTCTGCATGCACTGCAGGGGAATGGGGCCTCATCTCGCCTCTAGGGGGAAGTCTCATGGTTTTTCTCGAGTTGCGGCGGGGACCTGGGGTATGTTCTCGACTTACGGCGGGGATGGCCCTTCAAAACACGAGTTTCTTCAGTGACGTCAGGACTCCTGTCTAGTAACGAGGGACACCTCAGGAATCTCTTCGAGGCTTGGCAGGGCCAAAGGGACGCTTCTCGAGGTGAGGCAGGGCACCCAAGGACCCTTTCCAGTAGCCACAGGGATTTTGGGATTCCTATCAGTATTCAAGAGGAGTCAGGCATCGTCACCTTTTGAAGCAATGAACTCCGCGTGCCTCTCGAAGTGTCAGCGGGATGTGAGGCATTCCGTCAAAATGAGGCAGGGACCTAGGGCTTTCTCTAAGGTCTCCACAGGGGATTCAGACATCCCTTCATGTTGTGAGATGAAAGACGAGCCTGTATTCAAGCCACTGCAAGGAAATCCGGCCTCCTTTCAAGTTAGGGCTTCTCGCTGTATATTCCCCTTGAGGCAGCAAACTCGGGGTCCCTCCCACATACCTATTGCTGAGAGAAGCCTCCTCCTGAGGTGCTTCTGGGAAGTTGGCATACGTCTTGAGCCTAAGCCAGGGAATCAGCTCGCATCTCGAGACGATTTGGGGTACACGGAGCATTCCTCGAGTTGCTGGGCTGAAGTTGGTGTTCCTCTAGACTTGGGACAGTGTTCTCGGGGCATCTCTGGAGTTGCCTGAAGGAAGTCGAGCCACCGGTCGTGTTGAATGGGGAACGGGGAATGGCTCTGGAGTCAATGCAGGGGAATCGGGCCTCATCTCGAGTTGATTTGGGGCACATGGAGCTGCTTTGCGTTGCTGGGGTGACCTCAGGGTCCGTCTAGACTGGTGACAGTGTTCTTGGGGACTGTCTCGAGATCCATTAAGCAAGTCGAAGCTCCTGACTTGTTCGAATGGGGTCACGGAATAGCTCTGCATGCACTGCAGGGGAATGGGGCCTCATCTCGCCTCTAGGGGGAAGTCTCATGGTTTTTCTCGAGTTGCGGCGGGGACCTGGGGTATGTTCTCGACTTACGGCGGGGATGGCCCTTCAAAACACGAGTTTCTTCAGTGACGTCAGGACTCCTGTCTAGTAACGAGGGACACCTCAGGAATCTCTTCGAGGCTTGGCAGGGCCAAAGGGACGCTTCTCGAGGTGAGGCAGGGCACCCAAGGACCCTTTCCAGTAGCCACAGGGATTTTGGGATTCCTATCAGTATTCAAGAGGAGTCAGGCATCGTCACCTTTTGAAGCAATGAACTCCGCGTGCCTCTCGAGGTGTCAGCGGGATGTGAGGCATTCCATCAAAATGAGGCAGGGACCTAGGGCTTTCTCTAAGGTCTCCACAGGGGATTCAGACATCCCTTCATGTTGTGAGATGAAAGACGAGCCTGTATTCAAGCCACTGCAAGGAAATCCGGCCTCCTTTCAAGTTAGGGCTTCTCGCTGTATATTCCCCTTGAGGCAGCAAACTCGGGGTCCCTCCCACATACCTATTGCTGAGAGAAGCCTCCTCCTGAGGTGCTTCTGGGAAGTTGGCATACGTCTTGAGCCTAAGCCAGGGAATCAGCTCGCATCTCGAGACGATTTGGGGTACACGGAGCATTCCTCGAGTTGCTGGGCTGAAGTTGGTGTTCCTCTAGACTTGGGACAGTGTTCTCGGGGCATCTCTGGAGTTGCCTGAAGGAAGTCGAGCCACCGGTCGTGTTGAATGGGGAACGGGGAATGGCTCTGGAGTCAATGCAGGGGAATCGGGCCTCATCTCGAGTTGATTTGGGGCACATGGAGCTGCTTTGCGTTGCTGGGGTGACCTCAGGGTCCGTCTAGACTGGTGACAGTGTTCTTGGGGACTGTCTCGAGATCCATTAAGCAAGTCGAAGCTCCTGACTTGTTTGAATGGGATCACGGAATAGCTCTGCATGCACTGCAGGGGAATGGGGCCTCATCTCGCCTCTAGGGGGAAGTCTCATGGTTTTTCTCGAGTTGCGGCGGGGACCTGGGGTATGTTCTCGACTTACGGCGGGGATGGCCCTTCAAAACACGAGTTTCTTCAGTGACGTCAGGACTCCTGTCTAGTAACGAGGGACACCTCAGGAATCTCTTCGAGGCTTGGCAGGGCCAAAGGGACGCTTCTCGAGGTGAGGCAGGGCACCCAAGGACCCTTTCCAGTAGCCACAGGGATTTTGGGATTCCTATCAGTATTCAAGAGGAGTCAGGCATCGTCACCTTTTGAAGCAATGAACTCCGCGTGCCTCTCGAGGTGTCAGCGGGATGTGAGGCATTCCGTCAAAATGAGGCAGGGACCTAGGGCTTTCTCTAAGGTCTCCACAGGGGATTCAGACATCCCTTCATGTTGTGAGATGAAAGACGAGCCTGTATTCAAGCCACTGCAAGGAAATCCGGCCTCCTTTCAAGTTAGGGCTTCTCGCTGTATATTCCCCTTGAGGCAGCAAACTCGGGGTCCCTCCCACATACCTATTGCTGAGAGAAGCCTCCTCCTGAGGTGCTTCTGGGAAGTTGGCATACGTCTTGAGCCTAAGCCAGGGAATCAGCTCGCATCTCGAGACGATTTGGGGTACACGGAGCATTCCTCGAGTTGCTGGGCTGAAGTTGGTGTTCCTCTAGACTTGGGACAGTGTTCTCGGGGCATCTCTGGAGTTGCCTGAAGGAAGTCGAGCCACCGGTCGTGTTGAATGGGGAACGGGGAATGGCTCTGGAGTCAATGCAGGGGAATCGGGCCTCATCTCGAGTTGATTTGGGGCACATGGAGCTGCTTTGCGTTGCTGGGGTGACCTCAGGGTCCGTCTAGACTGGTGACAGTGTTCTTGGGGACTGTCTCGAGATCCATTAAGCAAGTCGAAGCTCCTGACTTGTTCGAATGGGGTCACGGAATAGCTCTGCATGCACTGCAGGGGAATGGGGCCTCATCTCGCCTCTAGGGGGAAGTCTCATGGTTTTTCTCGAGTTGCGGCGGGGACCTGGGGTATGTTCTCGACTTACGGCGGGGATGGCCCTTCAAAACACGAGTTTCTTCAGTGACGTCAGGACTCCTGTCTAGTAACGAGGGACACCTCAGGAATCTCTTCGAGGCTTGGCAGGGCCAAAGGGACGCTTCTCGAGGTGAGGCAGGGCACCCAAGGACCCTTTCCAGTAGCCACAGGGATTTTGGGATTCCTATCAGTATTCAAGAGGAGTCAGGCATCGTCACCTTTTGAAGCAATGAACTCCGCGTGCCTCTCGAGGTGTCAGCGGGATGTGAGGCATTCCGTCAAAATGAGGCAGGGACCTAGGGCTTTCTCTAAGGTCTCCACAGGGGATTCAGACATCCCTTCATGTTGTGAGATGAAAGACGAGCCTGTATTCAAGCCACTGCAAGGAAATCCGGCCTCCTTTCAAGTTAGGGCTTCTCGCTGTATATTCCCCTTGAGGCAGCAAACTCGGGGTCCCTCCCACATACCTATTGCTGAGAGAAGCCTCCTCCTGAGGTGCTTCTGGGAAGTTGGCATACGTCTTGAGCCTAAGCCAGGGAATCAGCTCGCATCTCGAGACGATTTGGGGTACACGGAGCATTCCTCGAGTTGCTGGGCTGAAGTTGGTGTTCCTCTAGACTTGGGACAGTGTTCTCGGGGCATCTCTGGAGTTGCCTGAAGGAAGTCGAGCCACCGGTCGTGTTGAATGGGGAACGGGGAATGGCTCTGGAGTCAATGCAGGGGAATCGGGCCTCATCTCGAGTTGATTTGGGGCACATGGAGCTGCTTTGCGTTGCTGGGGTGACCTCAGGGTCCGTCTAGACTGGTGACAGTGTTCTTGGGGACTGTCTCGAGATCCATTAAGCAAGTCGAAGCTCCTGACTTGTTCGAATGGGGTCACGGAATAGCTCTGCATGCACTGCAGGGGAATGGGGCCTCATCTCGCCTCTAGGGGGAAGTCTCATGGTTTTTCTCGAGTTGCGGCGGGGACCTGGGGTATGTTCTCGACTTACGGCGGGGATGGCCCTTCAAAACACGAGTTTCTTCAGTGACGTCAGGACTCCTGTCTAGTAACGAGGGACACCTCAGGAATCTCTTCGAGGCTTGGCAGGGCCAAAGGGACGCTTCTCGAGGTGAGGCAGGGCACCCAAGGACCCTTTCCAGTAGCCACAGGGATTTTGGGATTCCTATCAGTATTCAAGAGGAGTCAGGCATCGTCACCTTTTGAAGCAATGAACTCCGCGTGCCTCTCGAGGTGTCAGCGGGATGTGAGGCATTCCGTCAAAATGAGGCAGGGACCTAGGGCTTTCTCTAAGGTCTCCACAGGGGATTCAGACATCCCTTCATGTTGTGAGATGAAAGACGAGCCTGTATTCAAGCCACTGCAAGGAAATCCGGCCTCCTTTCAAGTTAGGGCTTCTCGCTGTATATTCCCCTTGAGGCAGCAAACTCGGGGTCCCTCCCACATACCTATTGCTGAGAGAAGCCTCCTCCTGAGGTGCTTCTGGGAAGTTGGCATACGTCTTGAGCCTAAGCCAGGGAATCAGCTCGCATCTCGAGACGATTTGGGGTACACGGAGCATTCCTCGAGTTGCTGGGCTGAAGTTGGTGTTCCTCTAGACTTGGGACAGTGTTCTCGGGGCATCTCTGGAGTTGCCTGAAGGAAGTCGAGCCACCGGTCGTGTTGAATGGGGAACGGGGAATGGCTCTGGAGTCAATGCAGGGGAATCGGGCCTCATCTCGAGTTGATTTGGGGCACATGGAGCTGCTTTGCGTTGCTGGGGTGACCTCAGGGTCCGTCTAGACTGGTGACAGTGTTCTTGGGGACTGTCTCGAGATCCATTAAGCAAGTCGAAGCTCCTGACTTGTTTGAATGGGATCACGGAATAGCTCTGCATGCACTGCAGGGGAATGGGGCCTCATCTCGCCTCTAGGGGGAAGTCTCATGGTTTTTCTCGAGTTGCGGCGGGGACCTGGGGTATGTTCTCGACTTACGGCGGGGATGGCCCTTCAAAACACGAGTTTCTTCAGTGACGTCAGGACTCCTGTCTAGTAACGAGGGACACCTCAGGAATCTCTTCGAGGCTTGGCAGGGCCAAAGGGACGCTTCTCGAGGTGAGGCAGGGCACCCAAGGACCCTTTCCAGTAGCCACAGGGATTTTGGGATTCCTATCAGTATTCAAGAGGAGTCAGGCATCGTCACCTTTTGAAGCAATGAACTCCGCGTGCCTCTCGAGGTGTCAGCGGGATGTGAGGCATTCCGTCAAAATGAGGCAGGGACCTAGGGCTTTCTCTAAGGTCTCCACAGGGGATTCAGACATCCCTTCATGTTGTGAGATGAAAGACGAGCCTGTATTCAAGCCACTGCAAGGAAATCCGGCCTCCTTTCAAGTTAGGGCTTCTCGCTGTATATTCCCCTTGAGGCAGCAAACTCGGGGTCCCTCCCACATACCTATTGCTGAGAGAAGCCTCCTCCTGAGGTGCTTCTGGGAAGTTGGCATACGTCTTGAGCCTAAGCCAGGGAATCAGCTCGCATCTCGAGACGATTTGGGGTACACGGAGCATTCCTCGAGTTGCTGGGCTGAAGTTGGTGTTCCTCTAGACTTGGGACAGTGTTCTCGGGGCATCTCTGGAGTTGCCTGAAGGAAGTCGAGCCACCGGTCGTGTTGAATGGGGAACGGGGAATGGCTCTGGAGTCAATGCAGGGGAATCGGGCCTCATCTCGAGTTGATTTGGGGCACATGGAGCTGCTTTGCGTTGCTGGGGTGACCTCAGGGTCCGTCTAGACTGGTGACAGTGTTCTTGGGGACTGTCTCGAGATCCATTAAGCAAGTCGAAGCTCCTGACTTGTTCGAATGGGGTCACGGAATAGCTCTGCATGCACTGCAGGGGAATGGGGCCTCATCTCGCCTCTAGGGGGAAGTCTCATGGTTTTTCTCGAGTTGCGGCGGGGACCTGGGGTATGTTCTCGACTTACGGCGGGGATGGCCCTTCAAAACACGAGTTTCTTCAGTGACGTCAGGACTCCTGTCTAGTAACGAGGGACACCTCAGGAATCTCTTCGAGGCTTGGCAGGGCCAAAGGGACGCTTCTCGAGGTGAGGCAGGGCACCCAAGGACCCTTTCCAGTAGCCACAGGGATTTTGGGATTCCTATCAGTATTCAAGAGGAGTCAGGCATCGTCACCTTTTGAAGCAATGAACTCCGCGTGCCTCTCGAGGTGTCAGCGGGATGTGAGGCATTCCGTCAAAATGAGGCAGGGACCTAGGGCTTTCTCTAAGGTCTCCACAGGGGATTCAGACATCCCTTCATGTTGTGAGATGAAAGACGAGCCTGTATTCAAGCCACTGCAAGGAAATCCGGCCTCCTTTCAAGTTAGGGCTTCTCGCTGTATATTCCCCTTGAGGCAGCAAACTCGGGGTCCCTCCCACATACCTATTGCTGAGAGAAGCCTCCTCCTGAGGTGCTTCTGGGAAGTTGGCATACGTCTTGAGCCTAAGCCAGGGAATCAGCTCGCATCTCGAGACGATTTGGGGTACACGGAGCATTCCTCGAGTTGCTGGGCTGAAGTTGGTGTTCCTCTAGACTTGGGACAGTGTTCTCGGGGCATCTCTGGAGTTGCCTGAAGGAAGTCGAGCCACCGGTCGTGTTGAATGGGGAACGGGGAATGGCTCTGGAGTCAATGCAGGGGAATCGGGCCTCATCTCGAGTTGATTTGGGGCACATGGAGCTGCTTTGCGTTGCTGGGGTGACCTCAGGGTCCGTCTAGACTGGTGACAGTGTTCTTGGGGACTGTCTCGAGATCCATTAAGCAAGTCGAAGCTCCTGACTTGTTTGAATGGGGTCACGGAATAGCTCTGCATGCACTGCAGGGGAATGGGGCCTCATCTCGCCTCTAGGGGGAAGTCTCATGGTTTTTCTCGAGTTGCGGCGGGGACCTGGGGTATGTTCTCGACTTACGGCGGGGATGGCCCTTCAAAACACGAGTTTCTTCAGTGACGTCAGGACTCCTGTCTAGTAACGAGGGACACCTCAGGAATCTCTTCGAGGCTTGGCAGGGCCAAAGGGACGCTTCTCGAGGTGAGGCAGGGCACCCAAGGACCCTTTCCAGTAGCCACAGGGATTTTGGGATTCCTATCAGTATTCAAGAGGAGTCAGGCATCGTCACCTTTTGAAGCAATGAACTCCGCGTGCCTCTCGAGGTGTCAGCGGGATGTGAGGCATTCCGTCAAAATGAGGCAGGGACCTAGGGCTTTCTCTAAGGTCTCCACAGGGGATTCAGACATCCCTTCATGTTGTGAGATGAAAGACGAGCCTGTATTCAAGCCACTGCAAGGAAATCCGGCCTCCTTTCAAGTTAGGGCTTCTCGCTGTATATTCCCCTTGAGGCAGCAAACTCGGGGTCCCTCCCACATACCTATTGCTGAGAGAAGCCTCCTCCTGAGGTGCTTCTGGGAAGTTGGCATACGTCTTGAGCCTAAGCCAGGGAATCAGCTCGCATCTCGAGACGATTTGGGGTACACGGAGCATTCCTCGAGTTGCTGGGCTGAAGTTGGTGTTCCTCTAGACTTGGGACAGTGTTCTCGGGGCATCTCTGGAGTTGCCTGAAGGAAGTCGAGCCACCGGTCGTGTTGAATGGGGAACGGGGAATGGCTCTGGAGTCAATGCAGGGGAATCGGGCCTCATCTCGAGTTGATTTGGGGCACATGGAGCTGCTTTGCGTTGCTGGGGTGACCTCAGGGTCCGTCTAGACTGGTGACAGTGTTCTTGGGGACTGTCTCGAGATCCATTAAGCAAGTCGAAGCTCCTGACTTGTTTGAATGGGATCACGGAATAGCTCTGCATGCACTGCAGGGGAATGGGGCCTCATCTCGCCTCTAGGGGGAAGTCTCATGGTTTTTCTCGAGTTGCGGCGGGGACCTGGGGTATGTTCTCGACTTACGGCGGGGATGGCCCTTCAAAACACGAGTTTCTTCAGTGACGTCAGGACTCCTGTCTAGTAACGAGGGACACCTCAGGAATCTCTTCGAGGCTTGGCAGGGCCAAAGGGACGCTTCTCGAGGTGAGGCAGGGCACCCAAGGACCCTTTCCAGTAGCCACAGGGATTTTGGGATTCCTATCAGTATTCAAGAGGAGTCAGGCATCGTCACCTTTTGAAGCAATGAACTCCGCGTGCCTCTCGAGGTGTCAGCGGGATGTGAGGCATTCCGTCAAAATGAGGCAGGGACCTAGGGCTTTCTCTAAGGTCTCCACAGGGGATTCAGACATCCCTTCATGTTGTGAGATGAAAGACGAGCCTGTATTCAAGCCACTGCAAGGAAATCCGGCCTCCTTTCAAGTTAGGGCTTCTCGCTGTATATTCCCCTTGAGGCAGCAAACTCGGGGTCCCTCCCACATACCTATTGCTGAGAGAAGCCTCCTCCTGAGGTGCTTCTGGGAAGTTGGCATACGTCTTGAGCCTAAGCCAGGGAATCAGCTCGCATCTCGAGACGATTTGGGGTACACGGAGCATTCCTCGAGTTGCTGGGCTGAAGTTGGTGTTCCTCTAGACTTGGGACAGTGTTCTCGGGGCATCTCTGGAGTTGCCTGAAGGAAGTCGAGCCACCGGTCGTGTTGAATGGGGAACGGGGAATGGCTCTGGAGTCAATGCAGGGGAATCGGGCCTCATCTCGAGTTGATTTGGGGCACATGGAGCTGCTTTGCGTTGCTGGGGTGACCTCAGGGTCCGTCTAGACTGGTGACAGTGTTCTTGGGGACTGTCTCGAGATCCATTAAGCAAGTCGAAGCTCCTGACTTGTTCGAATGGGGTCACGGAATAGCTCTGCATGCACTGCAGGGGAATGGGGCCTCATCTCGCCTCTAGGGGGAAGTCTCATGGTTTTTCTCGAGTTGCGGCGGGGACCTGGGGTATGTTCTCGACTTACGGCGGGGATGGCCCTTCAAAACACGAGTTTCTTCAGTGACGTCAGGACTCCTGTCTAGTAACGAGGGACACCTCAGGAATCTCTTCGAGGCTTGGCAGGGCCAAAGGGACGCTTCTCGAGGTGAGGCAGGGCACCCAAGGACCCTTTCCAGTAGCCACAGGGATTTTGGGATTCCTATCAGTATTCAAGAGGAGTCAGGCATCGTCACCTTTTGAAGCAATGAACTCCGCGTGCCTCTCGAGGTGTCAGCGGGATGTGAGGCATTCCGTCAAAATGAGGCAGGGACCTAGGGCTTTCTCTAAGGTCTCCACAGGGGATTCAGACATCCCTTCATGTTGTGAGATGAAAGACGAGCCTGTATTCAAGCCACTGCAAGGAAATCCGGCCTCCTTTCAAGTTAGGGCTTCTCGCTGTATATTCCCCTTGAGGCAGCAAATTCGGGGTCCCTCCCACATACCTATTGCTGAGAGAAGCCTCCTCCTGAGGTGCTTCTGGGAAGTTGGCATACGTCTTGAGCCTAAGCCAGGGAATCAGCTCGCATCTCGAGACGATTTGGGGTACACGGAGCATTCCTCGAGTTGCTGGGCTGAAGTTGGTGTTCCTCTAGACTTGGGACAGTGTTCTCGGGGCATCTCTGGAGTTGCCTGAAGGAAGTCGAGCCACCGGTCGTGTTGAATGGGGAACGGGGAATGGCTCTGGAGTCAATGCAGGGGAATCGGGCCTCATCTCGAGTTGATTTGGGGCACATGGAGCTGCTTTGCGTTGCTGGGGTGACCTCAGGGTCCGTCTAGACTGGTGACAGTGTTCTTGGGGACTGTCTCGAGATCCATTAAGCAAGTCGAAGCTCCTGACTTGTTCGAATGGGGTCACGGAATAGCTCTGCATGCACTGCAGGGGAATGGGGCCTCATCTCGCCTCTAGGGGGAAGTCTCATGGTTTTTCTCGAGTTGCGGCGGGGACCTGGGGTATGTTCTCGACTTACGGCGGGGATGGCCCTTCAAAACACGAGTTTCTTCAGTGACGTCAGGACTCCTGTCTAGTAACGAGGGACACCTCAGGAATCTCTTCGAGGCTTGGCAGGGCCAAAGGGACGCTTCTCGAGGTGAGGCAGGGCACCCAAGGACCCTTTCCAGTAGCCACAGGGATTTTGGGATTCCTATCAGTATTCAAGAGGAGTCAGGCATCGTCACCTTTTGAAGCAATGAACTCCGCGTGCCTCTCGAGGTGTCAGCGGGATGTGAGGCATTCCGTCAAAATGAGGCAGGGACCTAGGGCTTTCTCTAAGGTCTCCACAGGGGATTCAGACATCCCTTCATGTTGTGAGATGAAAGACGAGCCTGTATTCAAGCCACTGCAAGGAAATCCGGCCTCCTTTCAAGTTAGGGCTTCTCGCTGTATATTCCCCTTGAGGCAGCAAACTCGGGGTCCCTCCCACATACCTATTGCTGAGAGAAGCCTCCTCCTGAGGTGCTTCTGGGAAGTTGGCATACGTCTTGAGCCTAAGCCAGGGAATCAGCTCGCATCTCGAGACGATTTGGGGTACACGGAGCATTCCTCGAGTTGCTGGGCTGAAGTTGGTGTTCCTCTAGACTTGGGACAGTGTTCTCGGGGCATCTCTGGAGTTGCCTGAAGGAAGTCGAGCCACCGGTCGTGTTGAATGGGGAACGGGGAATGGCTCTGGAGTCAATGCAGGGGAATCGGGCCTCATCTCGAGTTGATTTGGGGCACATGGAGCTGCTTTGCGTTGCTGGGGTGACCTCAGGGTCCGTCTAGACTGGTGACAGTGTTCTTGGGGACTGTCTCGAGATCCATTAAGCAAGTCGAAGCTCCTGACTTGTTTGAATGGGATCACGGAATAGCTCTGCATGCACTGCAGGGGAATGGGGCCTCATCTCGCCTCTAGGGGGAAGTCTCATGGTTTTTCTCGAGTTGCGGCGGGGACCTGGGGTATGTTCTCGACTTACGGCGGGGATGGCCCTTCAAAACACGAGTTTCTTCAGTGACGTCAGGACTCCTGTCTAGTAACGAGGGACACCTCAGGAATCTCTTCGAGGCTTGGCAGGGCCAAAGGGACGCTTCTCGAGGTGAGGCAGGGCACCCAAGGACCCTTTCCAGTAGCCACAGGGATTTTGGGATTCCTATCAGTATTCAAGAGGAGTCAGGCATCGTCACCTTTTGAAGCAATGAACTCCGCGTGCCTCTCGAGGTGTCAGCGGGATGTGAGGCATTCCGTCAAAATGAGGCAGGGACCTAGGGCTTTCTCTAAGGTCTCCACAGGGGATTCAGACATCCCTTCATGTTGTGAGATGAAAGACGAGCCTGTATTCAAGCCACTGCAAGGAAATCCGGCCTCCTTTCAAGTTAGGGCTTCTCGCTGTATATTCCCCTTGAGGCAGCAAACTCGGGGTCCCTCCCACATACCTATTGCTGAGAGAAGCCTCCTCCTGAGGTGCTTCTGGGAAGTTGGCATACGTCTTGAGCCTAAGCCAGGGAATCAGCTCGCATCTCGAGACGATTTGGGGTACACGGAGCATTCCTCGAGTTGCTGGGCTGAAGTTGGTGTTCCTCTAGACTTGGGACAGTGTTCTCGGGGCATCTCTGGAGTTGCCTGAAGGAAGTCGAGCCACCGGTCGTGTTGAATGGGGAACGGGGAATGGCTCTGGAGTCAATGCAGGGGAATCGGGCCTCATCTCGAGTTGATTTGGGGCACATGGAGCTGCTTTGCGTTGCTGGGGTGACCTCAGGGTCCGTCTAGACTGGTGACAGTGTTCTTGGGGACTGTCTCGAGATCCATTAAGCAAGTCGAAGCTCCTGACTTGTTCGAATGGGGTCACGGAATAGCTCTGCATGCACTGCAGGGGAATGGGGCCTCATCTCGCCTCTAGGGGGAAGTCTCATGGTTTTTCTCGAGTTGCGGCGGGGACCTGGGGTATGTTCTCGACTTACGGCGGGGATGGCCCTTCAAAACACGAGTTTCTTCAGTGACGTCAGGACTCCTGTCTAGTAACGAGGGACACCTCAGGAATCTCTTCGAGGCTTGGCAGGGCCAAAGGGACGCTTCTCGAGGTGAGGCAGGGCACCCAAGGACCCTTTCCAGTAGCCACAGGGATTTTGGGATTCCTATCAGTATTCAAGAGGAGTCAGGCATCGTCACCTTTTGAAGCAATGAACTCCGCGTGCCTCTCGAGGTGTCAGCGGGATGTGAGGCATTCCGTCAAAATGAGGCAGGGACCTAGGGCTTTCTCTAAGGTCTCCACAGGGGATTCAGACATCCCTTCATGTTGTGAGATGAAAGACGAGCCTGTATTCAAGCCACTGCAAGGAAATCCGGCCTCCTTTCAAGTTAGGGCTTCTCGCTGTATATTCCCCTTGAGGCAGCAAACTCGGGGTCCCTCCCACATACCTATTGCTGAGAGAAGCCTCCTCCTGAGGTGCTTCTGGGAAGTTGGCATACGTCTTGAGCCTAAGCCAGGGAATCAGCTCGCATCTCGAGACGATTTGGGGTACACGGAGCATTCCTCGAGTTGCTGGGCTGAAGTTGGTGTTCCTCTAGACTTGGGACAGTGTTCTCGGGGCATCTCTGGAGTTGCCTGAAGGAAGTCGAGCCACCGGTCGTGTTGAATGGGGAACGGGGAATGGCTCTGGAGTCAATGCAGGGGAATCGGGCCTCATCTCGAGTTGATTTGGGGCACATGGAGCTGCTTTGCGTTGCTGGGGTGACCTCAGGGTCCGTCTAGACTGGTGACAGTGTTCTTGGGGACTGTCTCGAGATCCATTAAGCAAGTCGAAGCTCCTGACTTGTTCGAATGGGGTCACGGAATAGCTCTGCATGCACTGCAGGGGAATGGGGCCTCATCTCGCCTCTAGGGGGAAGTCTCATGGTTTTTCTCGAGTTGCGGCGGGGACCTGGGGTATGTTCTCGACTTACGGCGGGGATGGCCCTTCAAAACACGAGTTTCTTCAGTGACGTCAGGACTCCTGTCTAGTAACGAGGGACACCTCAGGAATCTCTTCGAGGCTTGGCAGGGCCAAAGGGACGCTTCTCGAGGTGAGGCAGGGCACCCAAGGACCCTTTCCAGTAGCCACAGGGATTTTGGGATTCCTATCAGTATTCAAGAGGAGTCAGGCATCGTCACCTTTTGAAGCAATGAACTCCGCGTGCCTCTCGAGGTGTCAGCGGGATGTGAGGCATTCCGTCAAAATGAGGCAGGGACCTAGGGCTTTCTCTAAGGTCTCCACAGGGGATTCAGACATCCCTTCATGTTGTGAGATGAAAGACGAGCCTGTATTCAAGCCACTGCAAGGAAATCCGGCCTCCTTTCAAGTTAGGGCTTCTCGCTGTATATTCCCCTTGAGGCAGCAAACTCGGGGTCCCTCCCACATACCTATTGCTGAGAGAAGCCTCCTCCTGAGGTGCTTCTGGGAAGTTGGCATACGTCTTGAGCCTAAGCCAGGGAATCAGCTCGCATCTCGAGACGATTTGGGGTACACGGAGCATTCCTCGAGTTGCTGGGCTGAAGTTGGTGTTCCTCTAGACTTGGGACAGTGTTCTCGGGGCATCTCTGGAGTTGCCTGAAGGAAGTCGAGCCACCGGTCGTGTTGAATGGGGAACGGGGAATGGCTCTGGAGTCAATGCAGGGGAATCGGGCCTCATCTCGAGTTGATTTGGGGCACATGGAGCTGCTTTGCGTTGCTGGGGTGACCTCAGGGTCCGTCTAGACTGGTGACAGTGTTCTTGGGGACTGTCTCGAGATCCATTAAGCAAGTCGAAGCTCCTGACTTGTTCGAATGGGGTCACGGAATAGCTCTGCATGCACTGCAGGGGAATGGGGCCTCATCTCGCCTCTAGGGGGAAGTCTCATGGTTTTTCTCGAGTTGCGGCGGGGACCTGGAGTATGTTCTCGACTTACGGCGGGGATGGCCCTTCAAAACACGAGTTTCTTCAGTGACGTCAGGACTCCTGTCTAGTAACGAGGGACACCTCAGGGATCTCTTCGAGGCTTGGCAGGGCCAAAGGGACGCTTCTCGAGCTGAGGCAGGGCACCCAAGGACCCTTTCCAGTAGCCACAGGGATTTTGGGATTCCTATCAGTATTCAAGAGGAGTCAGGCATCGTCACCTTTTGAAGCAATGAACTCCGCGTGCCTCTCGAGGTGTCAGCGGGATGTGAGGCATTCCGTCAAAATGAGGCAGGGACCTAGGGCTTTCTCTAAGGTCTCCACAGGGGATTCAGACATCCCTTCATGTTGTGAGATGAAAGACGAGCCTGTATTCAAGCCACTGCAAGGAAATCCGGCCTCCTTTCAAGTTAGGGCTTCTCGCTGTATATTCCCCTTGAGGCAGCAAACTCGGGGTCCCTCCCACATACCTATTGCTGAGAGAAGCCTCCTCCTGAGGTGCTTCTGGGAAGTTGGCATACGTCTTGAGCCTAAGCCAGGGAATCAGCTCGCATCTCGAGACGATTTGGGGTACACGGAGCATTCCTCGAGTTGCTGTGCTGAAGTTGGTGTTCCTCTAGACTTGGGACAGTGTTCTCGGGGCATCTCTGGAGTTGCCTGAAGGAAGTCGAGCCACCGGTCGTGTTGAATGGGGAACGGGGAATGGCTCTGGAGTCAATGCAGGGGAATCGGGCCTCATCTCGAGTTGATTTGGGGCACATGGAGCTGCTTTGCGTTGCTGGGGTGACCTCAGGGTCCGTCTAGACTGGTGACAGTGTTCTTGGGGACTGTCTCGAGATCCATTAAGCAAGTCGAAGCTCCTGACTTGTTTGAATGGGATCACGGAATAGCTCTGCATGCACTGCAGGGGAATGGGGCCTCATCTCGCCTCTAGGGGGAAGTCTCATGGTTTTTCTCGAGTTGCGGCGGGGACCTGGGGTATGTTCTCGACTTACGGCGGGGATGGCCCTTCAAAACACGAGTTTCTTCAGTGACGTCAGGACTCCTGTCTAGTAACGAGGGACACCTCAGGAATCTCTTCGAGGCTTGGCAGGGCCAAAGGGACGCTTCTCGAGGTGAGGCAGGGCACCCAAGGACCCTTTCCAGTAGCCACAGGGATTTTGGGATTCCTATCAGTATTCAAGAGGAGTCAGGCATCGTCACCTTTTGAAGCAATGAACTCCGCGTGCCTCTCGAGGTGTCAGCGGGATGTGAGGCATTCCGTCAAAATGAGGCAGGGACCTAGGGCTTTCTCTAAGGTCTCCACAGGGGATTCAGACATCCCTTCATGTTGTGAGATGAAAGACGAGCCTGTATTCAAGCCACTGCAAGGAAATCCGGCCTCCTTTCAAGTTAGGGCTTCTCGCTGTATATTCCCCTTGAGGCAGCAAACTCGGGGTCCCTCCCACATACCTATTGCTGAGAGAAGCCTCCTCCTGAGGTGCTTCTGGGATGTTGGCATACGTCTTGAGCCTAAGCCAGGGAATCAGCTCGCATCTCGAGACGATTTGGGGTACACGGAGCATTCCTCGAGTTGCTGTGCTGAAGTTGGTGTTCCTCTAGACTTGGGACAGTGTTCTCGGGGCATCTCTGGAGTTGCCTGAAGGAAGTCGAGCCACCGGTCGTGTTGAATGGGGAACGGGGAATGGCTCTGGAGTCAATGCAGGGGAATCGGGCCTCATCTCGAGTTGATTTGGGGCACATGGAGCTGCTTTGCGTTGCTGGGGTGACCTCAGGGTCCGTCTAGACTGGTGACAGTGTTCTTGGGGACTGTCTCGAGATCCATTAAGCAAGTCGAAGCTCCTGACTTGTTTGAATGGGATCACGTAATAGCTCTGCATGCACTGCAGGGGAATGGGGCCTCATCTCGCCTCTAGGGGGAAGTCTCATGGTTTTTCTCGAGTTGCGGCGGGGACCTGGGGTATGTTCTCGACTTACGGCGGGGATGGCCCTTCAAAACACGAGTTTCTTCAGTGACGTCAGGACTCCTGTCTAGTAACGAGGGACACCTCAGGAATCTCTTCGAGGCTTGGCAGGGCCAAAGGGACGCTTCTCGAGGTGAGGCAGGGCACCCAAGGACCCTTTCCAGTAGCCACAGGGATTTTGGGATTCCTATCAGTATTCAAGAGGAGTCAGGCATCGTCACCTTTTGAAGCAATGAACTCCGCGTGCCTCTCGAGGTGTCAGCGGGATGTGAGGCATTCCGTCAAAATGAGGCAGGGACCTAGGGCTTTCTCTAAGGTCTCCACAGGGGATTCAGACATCCCTTCATGTTGTGAGATGAAAGACGAGCCTGTATTCAAGCCACTGCAAGGAAATCCGGCCTCCTTTCAAGTTAGGGCTTCTGGCTCTATATTCCCCTTGAGGCAGCAAACTCGGGGTCCCTCCCACATACCTATTGCTGAGAGAAGCCTCCTCCTGAGGTGCTTCTGGGAAGTTGGCATACCCTTGAGCCTAAGCCAGGGAATCAGCTCGCATCTCGAGACGATTTGGGGTACACGGAGCATTCCTCGAGTTGCTGTGCTGAAGTTGGTGTTCCTCTAGACTTGGGACAGTGTTCTCGGGGCATCTCTGGAGTTGCCTGAAGGAAGTCGAGCCACCGGTCGTGTTGAATGGGGAACGGGGAATGGCTCTGGAGTCAATGCAGGGGAATCGGGCCTCATCTCGAGTTGATTTGGGGCACATGGAGCTGCTTTGCGTTGCTGGGGTGACCTCAGGGTCCGTCTAGACTGGTGACAGTGTTCTTGGGGACTGTCTCGAGATCCATTAAGCAAGTCGAAGCTCCTGACTTGTTTGAATGGGATCACAGAATAGCTCTGCATGCACTGCAGGGGAATGGGGCCTCATCTCGCCTCTAGGGGGAAGTCTCATGGTTTTTCTCGAGTTGCGGCGGGGACCTGGGGTATGTTCTCGACTTACGGCGGGGATGGCCCTTCAAAACACGAGTTTCTTCAGTGACGTCAGGACTCCTGTCTAGTAACGAGGGACACCTCAGGAATCTCTTCGAGGCTTGGCAGGGCCAAAGGGACGCTTCTCGAGGTGAGGCAGGGCACCCAAGGACCCTTTCCAGTAGCCACAGGGATTTTGGGATTCCTATCAGTATTCAAGAGGAGTCAGGCATCGTCACCTTTTGAAGCAATGAACTCCGCGTGCCTCTCGAGGTGTCAGCGGGATGTGAGGCATTCCGTCAAAATGAGGCAAGGACCTAGGGCTTTCTCTAAGGTCTCCACAGGGGATTCAGACATCCCTTCATGTTGTGAGATGAAAGACGAGCCTGTATTCAAGCCACTGCAAGGAAATCCGGCCTCCTTTCAAGTTAGGGCTTCTCGCTGTATATTCCCCTTGAGGCAGCAAACTCGGGGTCCCTCCCACATACCTATTGCTGAGAGAAGCCTCCTCCTGAGGTGCTTCTGGGAAGTTGGCATACGTCTTGAGCCTAAGCCAGGGAATCAGCTCGCCTCTCGAGACGATTTGGGGTACACGGAGCATTCCTCGAGTTGCTGTGCTGAAGTTGGTGTTCCTCTAGACTTGGGACAGTGTTCTCGGGGCATCTCTGGAGTTGCCTGAAGGAAGTCGAGCCACCGGTCGTGTTGAATGGGGAACGGGGAATGGCTCTGGAGTCAATGCAGGGGAATCGGGCCTCATCTCGAGTTGATTTGGGGCACATGGAGCTGCTTTGCGTTGCTGGGGTGACCTCAGGGTCCGTCTAGACTGGTGACAGTGTTCTTGGGGACTGTCTCGAGATCCATTAAGCAAGTCGAAGCTCCTGACTTGTTTGAATGGGGTCACGGAATAGCTCTGCATGCACTGCAGGGGAATGGGGCCTCATCTCGCCTCTAGGGGGAAGTCTCATGGTTTTTCTCGAGTTGCGGCGGGGACCTGGGGTATGTTCTCGACTTACGGCGGGGATGGCCCTTCAAAACACGAGTTTCTTCAGTGACGTCAGGACTCCTGTCTAGTAACGAGGGACACCTCAGGAATCTCTTCGAGGCTTGGCAGGGCCAAAGGGACGCTTCTCGAGGTGAGGCAGGGCACCCAAGGACCCTTTCCAGTAGCCACAGGGATTTTGGGATTCCTATCAGTATTCAAGAGGAGTCAGGCATCGTCACCTTTTGAAGCAATGAACTCCGCGTGCCTCTCGAGGTGTCAGCGGGATGTGAGGCATTCCGTCAAAATGAGGCAGGGACCTAGGGCTTTCTCTAAGGTCTCCACAGGGGATTCAGACATCCCTTCATGTTATGAGATGAAAGACGAGCCTGTATTCAAGCCACTGCAAGGAAATCCGGCCTCCTTTCAAGTTAGGGCTTCTCGCTGTATATTCCCCTTGAGGCAGCAAACTCGGGGTCCCTCCCACATACCTATTGCTGAGAGAAGCCTCCTCCTGAGGTGCTTCTGGGAAGTTGGCATACGTCTTGAGCCTAAGCCAGGGAATCAGCTCGCATCTCGAGACGATTTGGGGTACACGGAGCATTCCTCGAGTTGCTGTGCTGAAGTTGGTGTTCCTCTAGACTTGGGACAGTGTTCTCGGGGCATCTCTGGAGTTGCCTGAAGGAAGTCGAGCCACCGGTCGTGTTGAATGGGGAACGGGGAATGGCTCTGGAGTCAATGCAGGGGAATCGGGCCTCATCTCGAGTTGATTTGGGGCACATGGAGCTGCTTTGCGTTGCTGGGGTGACCTCAGGGTCCGTCTAGACTGGTGACAGTGTTCTTGGGGACTGTCTCGAGATCCATTAAGCAAGTCGAAGCTCCTGACTTGTTTGAATGGGATCACGGAATAGCTCTGCATGCACTGCAGGGGAATGGGGCCTCATCTCGCCTCTAGGGGGAAGTCTCATGGTTTTTCTCGAGTTGCGGCGGGGACCTGGGATATGTTCTCGACTTATGGCGGGGATGGCCCTTCAAAACACGAGTTTCTTCAGTGACGTCAGGACTCCTGTCTAGTAACGAGGGACACCTCAGGAATCTCTTCGAGGCTTGGCAGGGCCAAAGGGACGCTTCTCGAGGTGAGGCAGGGCACCCAAGGACCCTTTCCAGTAGCCACAGGGATTTTGGGATTCCTATCAGTATTCAAGAGGAGTCAGGCATCGTCACCTTTTGAAGCAATGAACTCCGCGTGCCTCTCGAGGTGTCAGCGGGATGTGAGGCATTCCGTCAAAATGAGGCAGGGACCTAGGGCTTTCTCTAAGGTCTCCACAGGGGATTCAGACATCCCTTCATGTTGTGAGATGAAAGACGAGCCTGTATTCAAGCCACTGCAAGGAAATCCGGCCTCCTTTCAAGTTAGGGCTTCTCGCTGTATATTCCCCTTGAGGCAGCAAACTCGGGGTCCCTCCCACATACCTATTGCTGAGAGAAGCCCCCTCCTGAGGTGCTTCTGGGAAGTTGGCATACGTCTTGAGCCTAAGCCAGGGAATCAGCTCGCATCTCGAGACGATTTGGGGTACACGGAGCATTCCTCGAGTTGCTGTGCTGAAGTTGGTGTTCCTCTAGACTTGGGACAGTGTTCTCGGGGCATCTCTGGAGTTGCCTGAAGGAAGTCGAGCCACCGGTCGTGTTGAATGGGGAACGGGGAATGGCTCTGGAGTCAATGCAGGGGAATCGGGCCTCATCTCGAGTTGATTTGGGGCACATGGAGCTGCTTTGCGTTGCTGGGGTGACCTCAGGGTCCGTCTAGACTGGTGACAGTGTTCATGGGGACTGTCTCGAGATCCATTAAGCAAGTCGAAGCTCCTGACTTGTTCGAATGGGGTCACGGAATAGCTCTGCATGCACTGCAGGGGAATGGGGCCTCATCTCGCCTCTAGGGGGAAGTCTCATGGTTTTTCTCGAGTTGCGGCGGGGACCTGGGGTATGTTCTCGACTTACGGCGGGGATGGCCCTTCAAAACACGAGTTTCTTCAGTGACGTCAGGACTCCTGTCTAGTAACGAGGGACACCTCAGGAATCTCTTCGAGGCTTGGCAGGGCCAAAGGGACGCTTCTCGAGGTGAGGCAGGGCACCCAAGGACCCTTTCCAGTAGCCACAGGGATTTTGGGATTCCTATCAGTATTCAAGAGGAGTCAGGCATCGTCACCTTTTGAAGCAATGAACTCCGCGTGCCTCTCGAGGTGTCAGCGGGATGTGAGGCATTCCGTCAAAATGAGGCAGGGACCTAGGGCTTTCTCTAAGGTCTCCACAGGGGATTCAGACATCCCTTCATGTTGTGAGATGAAAGACGAGCCTGTATTCAAGCCACTGCAAGGAAATCCGGCCTCCTTTCAAGTTAGGGCTTCTCGCTGTATATTCCCCTTGAGGCAGCAAACTCGGGGTCCCTCCCACATACCTATTGCTGAGAGAAGCCCCCTCCTGAGGTGCTTCTGGGAAGTTGGCATATGTCTTGAGCCTAAGCCAGGGAATCAGCTCGCATCTCGAGACGATTTGGGGTACACGGAGCATTCCTCGAGTTGCTGTGCTGAAGTTGGTGTTCCTCTAGACTTGGGACAGTGTTCTCGGGGCATCTCTGGAGTTGCCTGAAGGAAGTCGAGCCACCGGTCGTGTTGAATGGGGAACGGGGAATGGCTCTGGAGTCAATGCAGGGGAATCGGGCCTCATCTCGAGTTGATTTGGGGCACATGGAGCTGCTTTGCGTTGCTGGGGTGACCTCAGGGTCCGTCTAGACTGGTGACAGTGTTCATGGGGAATGTCTCGAGATCCATTAAGCAAGTCGAAGCTCCTGACTTGTTTGAATGGGATCACGGAATAGCTCTGCATGCACTGCAGGGGAATGGGGCCTCATCTCGCCTCTAGGGGGAAGTCTCATGGTTTTTCTCGAGTTGCGGCGGGGACCTGGGGTATGTTCTCGACTTACGGCGGGGATGGCCCTTCAAAACACGAGTTTCTTCAGTGACGTCAGGACTCCTGTCTAGTAACGAGGGACACCTCAGGAATCTCTTCGAGGCTTGGCAGGGCCAAAGGGACGCTTCTCGAGGTGAGGCAGGGCACCCAAGGACCCTTTCCAGTAGCCACAGGGATTTTGGGATTCCTATCAGTATTCAAGAGGAGTCAGGCATCGTCACCTTTTGAAGCAATGAACTCCGCGTGCCTCTCGAGGTGTCAGCGGGATGTGAGGCATTCCGTCAAAATGAGGCAGGGACCTAGGGCTTTCTCTAAGGTCTCCACAGGGGATTCAGACATCCCTTCATGTTGTGAGGTGAAAGACGAGCCTGTATTCAAGCCACTGCAAGGAAATCCGGCCTCCTTTCAAGTTAGGGCTTCTCGCTGTATATTCCCCTTGAGGCAGCAAACTCGGGGTCCCTCCCACATACCTATTGCTGAGAGAAGCCTCCTCCTGAGGTGCTTCTGGGAAGTTGGCATACGTCTTGAGCCTAAGCCAGGGAATCAGCTCGCATCTCGAGACGATTTGGGGTACACGGAGCATTCCTCGAGTTGCTGTGCTGAAGTTGGTGTTCCTCTAGACTTGGGACAGTGTTCTCGGGGCATCTCTGGAGTTGCCTGAAGGAAGTCGAGCCACCGGTCGTGTTGAATGGGGAACGGGGAATGGCTCTGGAGTCAATGCAGGGGAATCGGGCCTCATCTCGAGTTGATTTGGGGCACATGGAGCTGCTTTGCGTTGCTGGGGTGACCTCAGGGTCCGTCTAGACTGGTGACAGTGTTCATGGGGACTGTCTCGAGATCCATTAAGCAAGTCGAAGCTCCTGACTTGTTCGAATGGGGTCACGGAATAGCTCTGCATGCACTGCAGGGGAATGGGGCCTCATCTCGCCTCTAGGGGGAAGTCTCATGGTTTTTCTCGAGTTGCGGCGGGGACCTGGGGTATGTTCTCGACTTACGGCGGGGATGGCCCTTCAAAACACGAGTTTCTTCAGTGACGTCAGGACTCCTGTCTAGTAACGAGGGACACCTCAGGAATCTCTTCGAGGCTTGGCAGGGCCAAAGGGACGCTTCTCGAGGTGAGGCAGGGCACCCAAGGACCCTTTCCAGTAGCCACAGGGATTTTGGGATTCCTATCAGTATTCAAGAGGAGTCAGGCATCGTCACCTTTTGAAGCAATGAACTCCGCGTGCCTCTCGAGGTGTCAGCGGGATGTGAGGCATTCCGTCAAAATGAGGCAGGGACCTAGGGCTTTCTCTAAGGTCTCCACAGGGGATTCAGACATCCCTTCATGTTGTGAGATGAAAGACGAGCCTGTATTCAAGCCACTGCAAGGAAATCCGGCCTCCTTTCAAGTTAGGGCTTCTCGCTGTATATTCCCCTTGAGGCAGCAAACTCGGGGTCCCACCCACATACCTATTGCTGAGAGAAGCCTCCTCCTGAGGTGCTTCTGGGAAGTTGGCATACGTCTTGAGCCTAAGCCAGGGAATCAGCTCGCATCTCGAGACGATTTGGGGTACACGGAGCATTCCTCGAGTTGCTGTGCTGAAGTTGGTGTTCCTCTAGACTTGGGACAGTGTTCTCGGGGCATCTCCGGAGTTGCCTGAAGGAAGTCGAGCCACCGGTCGTGTTGAATGGGGAACGGGGAATGGCTCTGGAGTCAATGCAGGGGAATCGGGCCTCATCTCGAGTTGATTTGGGGCACATGGAGCTGCTTTGCGTTGCTGGGGTGACCTCAGGGTCCGTCTAGACTGGTGACAGTGTTCTTGGGGACTGTCTCGAGATCCATTAAGCAAGTCGAAGCTCCTGACTTGTTTGAATGGGATCACGGAATAGCTCTGCATGCACTGCAGGGGAATGGGGCCTCATCTCGCCTCTAGGGGGAAGTCTCATGGTTTTTCTCGAGTTGCGGCGGGGACCTGGGGTATGTTCTCGACTTACGGCGGGGATGGCCCTTCAAAACACGAGTTTCTTCAGTGACGTCAGGACTCCTGTCTAGTAACGAGGGACACCTCAGGAATCTCTTCGAGGCTTGGCAGGGCCAAAGGGACGCTTCTCGAGGTGAGGCAGGGCACCCAAGGACCCTTTCCAGTAGCCACAGGGATTTTGGGATTCCTATCAGTATTCAAGAGGAGTCAGGCATCGTCACCTTTTGAAGCAATGAACTCCGCGTGCCTCTCGAGGTGTCAGCGGGATGTGAGGCATTCCGTCAAAATGAGGCAGGGACCTAGGGCTTTCTCTAAGGTCTCCACAGGGGATTCAGACATCCCTTCATGTTGTGAGATGAAAGACGAGCCTGTATTCAAGCCACTGCAAGGAAATCCGGCCTCCTTTCAAGTTAGGGCTTCTCGCTGTATATTCCCCTTGAGGCAGCAAACTCGGGGTCCCTCCCACATACCTATTGCTGAGAGAAGCCCCCTCCTGAGGTGCTTCTGGGAAGTTGGCATACGTCTTGAGCCTAAGCCAGGGAATCAGCTCGCATCTCGAGACGATTTGGGGTACACGGAGCATTCCTCGAGTTGCTCTGCTGAAGTTGGTGTTCCTCTAGACTTGGGACAGTGTTCTCGGGGCATCTCTGGAGTTGCCTGAAGGAAGTCGAGCCACCGGTCGTGTTGAATGGGGAACGGGGAATGGCTCTGGAGTCAATGCAGGGGAATCGGGCCTCATCTCGAGTTGATTTGGGGCACATGGAGCTGCTTTGCGTTGCTGGGGTGACCTCAGGGTCCGTCTAGACTGGTGACAGTGTTCATGGGGACTGTCTCGAGATCCATTAAGCAAGTCGAAGCTCCTGACTTGTTTGAATGGGATCACGGAATAGCTCTGCATGCACTGCAGGGGAATGGGGCCTCATCTCGCCTCTAGGGGGAAGTCTCATGGTTTTTCTCGAGTTGCGGCGGGGACCTGGGGTATGTTCTCGACTTACGGCAGGGATGGCCCTTCAAAACACGAGTTTCTTCAGTGACGTCAGGACTCCTGTCTAGTAACGAGGGACACCTCAGGAATCTCTTCGAGGCTTGGCAGGGCCAAAGGGACGCTTCTCGAGGTGAGGCAGGGCACCCAAGGACCCTTTCCAGTAGCCACAGGGATTTTGGGATTCCTATCAGTATTCAAGAGGAGTCAGGCATCGTCACCTTTTGAAGCAATGAACTCCGCGTGCCTCTCGAGGTGTCAGCGGGATGTGAGGCATTCCGTCAAAATGAGGCAGGGACCTAGGGCTTTCTCTAAGGTCTCCACAGGGGATTCAGACATCCCTTCATGTTGTGAGGTGAAAGACGAGCCTGTATTCAAGCCACTGCAAGGAAATCCGGCCTCCTTTCAAGTTAGGGCTTCTCGCTGTATATTCCCCTTGAGGCAGCAAACTCGGGGTCCCTCCCACATACCTATTGCTGAGAGAAGCCTCCTCCTGAGGTGCTTCTGGGAAGTTGGCATACGTCTTGAGCCTAAGCCAGGGAATCAGCTCGCATCTCGAGACGATTTGGGGTACACGGAGCATTCCTCGAGTTGCTGTGCTGAAGTTGGTGTTCCTCTAGACTTGGGACAGTGTTCTCGGGGCATCTCTGGAGTTGCCTGAAGGAAGTCGAGCCACCGGTCGTGTTGAATGGGGAACGGGGAATGGCTCTGGAGTCAATGCAGGGGAATCGGGCCTCATCTCGAGTTGATTTGGGGCACATGGAGCTGCTTTGCGTTGCTGGGGTGACCTCAGGGTCCGTCTAGACTGGTGACAGTGTTCTTGGGGACTGTCTCGAGATCCATTAAGCAAGTCGAAGCTCCTGACTTGTTTGAATGGGGTCACGGAATAGCTCTGCATGCACTGCAGGGGAATGGGGCCTCATCTCGCCTCTAGGGGGAAGTCTCATGGTTTTTCTCGAGTTGCGGCGGGGACCTGGGGTATGTTCTCGACTTACGGCGGGGATGGCCCTTCAAAACACGAGTTTCTTCAGTGACGTCAGGACTCCTGTCTAGTAACGAGGGACACCTCAGGAATCTCTTCGAGGCTTGGCAGGGCCAAAGGGACGCTTCTCGAGGTGAGGCAGGGCACCCAAGGACCCTTTCCAGTAGCCACAGGGATTTTGGGATTCCTATCAGTATTCAAGAGGAGTCAGGCATCGTCACCTTTTGAAGCAATGAACTCCGCGTGCCTCTCGAGGTGTCAGCGGGATGTGAGGCATTCCGTCAAAATGAGGCAGGGACCTAGGGCTTTCTCTAAGGTCTCCACAGGGGATTCAGACATCCCTTCATGTTGTGAGATGAAAGACGAGCCTGTATTCAAGCCACTGCAAGGAAATCCGGCCTTCTTTCAAGTTAGGGCTTCTGGCTCTATATTCCCCTTGAGGCAGCAAACTCGGGGTCCCTCCCACATACCTATTGCTGAGAGAAGGCTCCTCCTGAGGTGCTTCTGGGAAGTTGGCATACGTCTTGAGCCTAAGCCAGGGAATCAGCTCGCATCTCGAGACGATTTGGGGTACACGGAGAATTCCTCGAGTTGCTGTGCTGAAGTTGGTGTTCCTCTAGACTTGGGACAGTGTTCTCGGGGCATCTCTGGAGTTGCCTGAAGGAAGTCGAGCCACCGGTCGTGTTGAATGGGGAACGGGGAATGGCTCTGGAGTCAATGCAGGGGAATCGGGCCTCATCTCGAGTTGATTTGGGGCACATGGTGCTGCTTTGCGTTGCTGGGGTGACCTCAGGGTCCGTCTAGACTGGTGACAGTGTTCTTGGGGACTGTCTCGAGATCCATTAAGCAAGTCGAAGCTCCTGACTTGTTTGAATGGGGTCATGGAATAGCTCTGCATGCACTGCAGGGGAATGGGGCCTCATCTCGCCTCTAGGGGGAAGTCTCATGGTTTTTCTCGAGTTGCGGCGGGGACCTGGGGTATGTTCTCGACTTACGGCGGGGATGGCCCTTCAAAACACGAGTTTCTTCAGTGACGTCAGGACTCCTGTCTAGTAACGAGGGACACCTCAGGAATCTCTTCGAGGCTTGGCAGGGGCAAAGGGACGCTTCTCGAGGTGAGGCAGGGCACCCAAGGACCCTTTCCAGTAGCCACAGGGATTTTGGGATTCCTATCAGTATTCAAGAGGAGTCAGGCATCGTCACCTTTTGAAGCAATGAACTCCGCGTGCCTCTCGAGGTGTCAGCGGGATGTGAGGCATTCCGTCAAAATGAGGCAGGGACCTAGGGCTTTCTCTAAGGTCTCCACAGGGGATTCAGACATCCCTTCATGTTGTGAGATGAAAGACGAGCCTGTATTCAAGCCACTGCAAGGAAATCCGGCCTCCTTTCAAGTTAGGGCTTCTCGCTGTATATTGCCCTTGAGGCAGCAAACTCGGGGTCCCTCCCACATACCTATTGCTGAGAGAAGCCTCCTCCTGAGGTGCTTCTGGGAAGTTGGCATACGTCTTGAGCCTAAGCCAGGGAATCAGCTCGCATCTCGAGACGATTTGGGGTACACGGAGCATTCCTCGAGTTGCTGTGCTGAAGTTGGTGTTCCTCTAGACTTGGGACAGTGTTCTCGGGGCATCTCTGGAGTTGCCTGAAGGAAGTCGAGCCACCGGTCGTGTTGAATGGGGAACGGGGAATGGCTCTGGAGTCAATGCAGGGGAATCGGGCCTCATCTCGAGTTGATTTGGGGCACATGGAGCTGCTTTGCGTTGCTGGGGTGACCTCAGGGTCCGTCTAGACTGGTGACAGTGTTCTTGGGGACTGTCTCGAGATCCATTAAGCAAGTCGAAGCTCCTGACTTGTTTGAATGGGGTCACGGAATAGCTCTGCATGCACTGCAGGGGAATGGGGCCTCATCTCGCCTCTAGGGGGAAGTCTCATGGTTTTTCTCGAGTTGCGGCGGGGACCTGGGGTATGTTCTCGACTTACGGCGGGGATGGCCCTTCAAAACACGAGTTTCTTCAGTGACGTCAGGACTCCTGTCTAGTAACGAGGGACACCTCAGGAATCTCTTCGAGGCTTGGCAGGGCCAAAGGGACGCTTCTCGAGGTGAGGCAGGGCACCCAAGGACCCTTTCCAGTAGCCACAGGGATTTTGGGATTCCTATCAGTATTCAAGAGGAGTCAGGCATCGTCACCTTTTGAAGCAATGAACTCCGCGTGCCTCTCGAGGTGTCAGCGGGATGTGAGGCATTCCGTCAAAATGAGGCAGGGACCTAGGGCTTTCTCTAAGGTCTCCACAGGGGATTCAGACATCCCTTCATGTTGTGAGATGAAAGACGAGCCTGTATTCAAGCCACTGCAAGGAAATCCGGCCTTCTTTCAAGTTAGGGCTTCTGGCTCTATATTCCCCTTGAGGCAGCAAACTCGGGGTCCCTCCCACATACCTATTGCTGAGAGAAGCCCCCTCCTGAGGTGCTTCTGGGAAGTTGGCATACGTCTTGAGCCTAAGCCAGGGAATCAGCTCGCATCTCGAGACGATTTGGGGTACACGGAGCATTCCTCGAGTTGCTGTGCTGAAGTTGGTGTTCCTCTAG